ATTTTTTTGAAAAAAGCTGACGAGCCCTTAATGACTTTCCATTGCAACAAAGGTATTTTTAAATTTTTCATTCCTTTCCTTATTTCTAGGGACTGAATCTTTACTGAATCTTCTCTGTAACTGTAAATAAATAAATCTCCTTCTGTCAAATCATAATTTAGAAAAAATAAACCAGCGTAAGAAATGGCAATAAACAAAAAAACTTTAATCACCCCAGGGAGAAATAATAATTCCAAGCCGGTGATAGTGAATTCGGCGATGATTAAAATCAGGATTCTTTGTTTATAAAAATTATTCCGGCAAAGCGCGGCTAAGGAGCAAATGCCACTCTTGCGTCAGCGAAAAACAAAATTATTTTTCTTGGAGATTTGAGCTCTTGAAAATTTATGAGCTGTGATAATTTGTTGCTTCTTCGCTGTTTTGGAAGTAAACATGTCAACTTAAATATCAGAACCCAAGTGCTCATAAAAAAAACAGTTTTTTTTCGTGATAAAATTGCTTTTTAGGGGGTTAAAAAAATTTATGGAAGTGATTTTATGGATCAGGGTTTTGATTGGCCGGTAGGCCAAATATAGCAGTCTTACAGTAAGACTCTTACTGGTTATCCAAAAATGCATTTCCATAAATTGGCATAATCCTTTTTAAGGGGGTAAACATCATAAATGGTGATTTTCAAGATAATTTTTCGCCAAAAATTAAAATATTGACACCCTTATTTTATCTTTTAAATAGAAACTTTGAACCCTAAAAATGAAAGTTTCACAAAATTTTCTTTTGTTTTTTCTTTGATGCCATATTTGCATAGAAACGTGCAGAAATATTGACAGTTCTAACATTTTGGCTTTCACAGATTTTAGATAATATCTTAAAACGTATTTTGAGCAGAAAAAATATGGGGGTAACAATGTTTTTTAACCATGTTTAACCATGTTTTGGGTAACCATGAAAAGAAAAATCATCTCGAAAATCCAGTTTGCGATATCTACTCCCTTAACCCGTTGCCGAGCGCGTAGCATTCAGGATGCTACAACCTGCCCTGAGGCTCGAAATCCAGCCTTACTATTGGCGTACTGCCTTCACACAGTTAGCGCTCGGAAACGGGTTAAAATTAAAAGTGAACAGAATTATTTACTCGTTAAAATGGGGACCCCTATTTTGTTTCAAATCGTTTTTGGAGTCTTCCCACTAAAGGAGTTCTTTCCTTTGAGATTCGAAAAAGTGACCGTGTCTAACAGAAAAACTCGTTGATAAAATACTGAGAAGCGCGCCTGTATCTGGCTAGAATTAGCATATTTTATTAGGCGCGTTTCGCCACCACGAATTTCAATCAAATAAAACACGATAATTGAGCCGCCGCCGGATATTGCGACATTTTTGGCAAGTTCAAAAAACCTCCCTCGTGCATTTTCAATCGCCCCGACATGAGTGTTTCATAAGCTGCTGTTTTGTTCGATTAACGGGACGCGAAAAGACAACTTTTTTCAAAAACCAAAACAAACAAAAAAAAAGTTCTAAAATTTTCGGGTTTCTTTTTGGCTAAAAAACTGGCTTGCGCCACCACTTTCTCTTTTGGCTAAAACTTGGCTCGGCAACCTGTGTAAAAAACCTGAGTCAGGACCAGAAAAATATGGAGAAAACCTGTATTTTTAAAATCCTGACTCAGGTTTTCATCTTCATTCGATTGAAAAAATATTCTTTTCGCCTTTTTTATTGTTAGATAAGAGTTAAACTTGTTATGTATCCGAGAACGCCTTGACTTGTCAAAAAAGCGTTAAAAACTGTTTTTTTTCCCAGGAAGAGCGTCGGAATAATATGGACGGGCGTCGCACGCATTTCTTCTGGCTTTGGAAAAGATGGAGGAGCAGACCACGGAGATAGGCATCGCCGATGATCGCTGGCATCTCCCCTATCACTCGATTTGCTAGAATAACCTTTATTATTTACTTAAATATTCTCAGACCCTGACTCAGGTTTTCAAATTATTGATAACGCTGTTATCTTGAGGAAAGAAAGAATATTTCTTCGCGAATTTTAGTCGAAAAATTATCGAAACTCGTTTCGGAATAATTTTTAACTCGGATATAAATTTTGTATATGATGATCTTCTCATTTTAACTTGCCAAACCTGCGATCAAGGATCTTTTGCACATTCCGCCTATTTGCGAATTTTAACTTGAAAAAAAAAATAAATTTTGAAAAGATAAAATTATGCAATTTCTAAAAACAGCGCGTTTTAGAGAGGCGAATCTGGCGCAGCTTTGCGTCAAATTTGTCACGTAAAGCTTTCCGGGCTTGACGTATCCGTTTTTAATTTTTGTATTTTCAGTTGGAGGAAGTCCACATCGGGGAGAAACTACTAGAAGTAGCGCTAGAAAACGAGGGCCCTGACTCTGAAAACGCGAATCCAATGGGAATAAAGAGCTCCTCCCGAATCCGATCAACTCGATCAAGATCATCCACACCATCTCCCGAAACTACAAAACTTCTGAGAAGATGACTTCACTCTTTATCAAGGTGGCTTATCAGATGATCGGATCCTGAAGGGCGTATATCTGGGCCCGATAACCTGTGTAGAAAACCTGAGTCAGGTTTTGAAGAGGTAAGATGAAAACCCGCACCGAACGAAGCCGCAAAGCCTGACTCAGGTTTTCTACACAGGTTGCCGAGCTCAGTTATTTTATATACCGTATATATCAAGCAGGAATGGTAAGGAATGGGAAGGATCGTTCGGCAAGCGGACTTTTAATTAAACCATATCGTTGAAAATATCCCGTTGATGGACGTCAATTGTGATAAGCGTCTCAAACTTGACACGATTTTCGATCGAGCTTGTTGAGTTCCTGCGGTGCTTTATCGATGAGCGTGTTCAAGAGCTCGAGGAAGAAGTTGTTTGTTTTTTTTTCATAATCGAAGGGTCAGCAGCGTTTCAGAATCTTGAGTCCAAAAAATTGATTTCGAACTTCGAAGAGTCCGATTTTGGGCAAAAAAAAATCACAGAAAATTTCATTTTTGCAAAACTTCAGAATTTCAACCACCTCCTGGAAAGTATTAAGAAGGTTCTCGTCACTGTTCGAGTGCTGAGCAAGCTGTTAGCTCTCAGAAAAGATGGGATCGATTCAATCCTCGAGAAGAAGAAGCTGGAAGCTTTTGAAACGAACATTAAGATGTTACATCTTAGAGGCAACCCCGTTAAGCTCGATTTTGTCGGCGCCGATTTGAATGACGAAGGTTCTATAAATTATTTGGAGATTCGAATTGGATCGAAGAAGCCGGTGCCAAGGACAAAGGTGTTAGAGATTCTCGCCATGTTCCAGCCGCTCTCTAAAAACATCAACTTGAACAAGCAAAAAGCTTATCAAGACTTGTTCAGGCGTTATCCGAAGCAAGATCTGAACGATTCTCTCCTTCAATAAGCAAAACAAGATCCAGCAGGGTCAGAGTTCTTCCCTTTTTTTACCAAATTTTCAGGGTCACATCACATTTGGAAGAAGTTCTAGTGCCCAAAAACTCGCTGATTGAAAGGACTTTTTTTTCAACAATAGTTTGTTTGGGCTTATCTTCACCGCGCTTTTTGGCATCGTTTTTCTCAACGACCTGCTGTTTTTTGACAAGAGCGAGGTGTTCCTGTAGAACAACCTTCTTTCCTCCCGATAAAAAGGATTGTCAACAAGCTTGTTCACGGTTCACTGGGTGTCATCCAAAAACTGGGAATCATCGGAATGGGGAATTTCTAATGCGATGTCGGCAATAAGAGCAAATACTTCTTAATCGGCATTCCAAATCATTTGGCCAATTATTATGAGTCATAAATAATTTCAACTCTTTCTAGCTATTTTTGAAAATAATTGAAAGTAACCGCTAAATCATGATTTTGACCCTTGAAAACAGGCAGCTCTTCAAACGAATGGACGAGCGAATGGCCGTCATCCGGCCACTTCAGCTTGAATTCAAGATACTTGATACCAAGGACGCCAAGACGGCCAGCAAGACGTACAATCAAATCAGCAGCACTTTTATTGAGTAAATTACGATGTATCAAAAAATTGATTTTTTAGAGAAAGCCCCTAAAAACGCACATTTTTAGCTTTAGCATTTCTCTGCAGTATGGATTCGCCAGAAACAACTGAATCAGTAGAACCAATTTAAAAATCATTTTCGAATTTTTTTTCATAAAAAATATGATTAAAAAACAGAATTACGTAAGAAAATTTCAATTCTACCTCACTTGTTAAAAAATCGAGCGCTTGATTTTTATTCGCGCATCGAAATCAACGAGGAGTTTTCATTCATTTTTCTTTCGCTGATGAGAAGTGCGAATATTTTTAAAGGCTGTTTTTCGAAATCAAGATAGGAAATTTTATTTTATGTACAGAATTATTGTCGAATCGTAATGTTCCAGCGGACAAAAGTATGTCCTCCTTCGAGTTTGACCATTCCTTTTGAATCCGGCGTCAACTTTTTCGCCGAGTTGTAGCTCTTCCCAGTATCACCGCCAATATCGTCCGCGGTGGCTTGAAAGTCGACGCGTTTTCCTAAAAAATAAAATCTCAAATTCAACAATCGATACCGTTGTAAGTGAGCCACATTTTCCAGAATTGCCCGTCGCCACCGTAGTCTTTTTTGCTCGTTTGATGTCGGATTGTCCATCCAGCTTCCGACACTTCCAAATTTTTGCATTGAAAAAAACTTTATTTTGGCTGAAAATCGCGTCGAAACAAAACTCAAAATACTGAAAAATGCGATTTAATCCAATTCCTTCAAATTAAAAGTCGTGAACCCAGCTGCCATTGCTCGAAGCACTCTTCGCACTGCTGCTTCCTCGTGTCCTCTTCGGACAGATGAAGAGTCGTCGCCGTTGTAAAGTCCAAATCCGTTCAGTGGTGATGCGCCGAGGAATTCAACCTTTTCTTTCAGTCCTTTATTTTCTGTTTCCAGCTTTGTGATTTTGTTTTGAGCTTCCTTCAAAGTCTCCTGTGTTTTTGTTAATCTCTGTTCAGCTTTCACCATAAATCCATCATTTTCTTCTGTGTCTCTTCAAGTTTCTTCTGCAACTCCGCAATCAAATGATCATTAATAACATCCTTGGTCTCCAGTCGATTGAGTCCAAAAACGAGATTTTCGGGTTTGATTCGATGTTTGAGCTGCTCGACCAAACTCCACAAAACAGGCTGGTTCATCAAAGAAGTCACGCTTTCGACTCGCTCGCCGATTTCGACGACCAAACACTGCTTGATCAGACTTTCCATTACAGGGAAGGCGACTTCGGCTGGACTTCGAATGTTTTGGGCGATGTTCATCATTGTTTGGAAATGGTTGTCCGTGGCGAAGGGATGTCTTTTTTCAGTTTTGAAACTTTATTTTGTGAGAAAGTATTTTCGAAAATAAAAAATAAGAGAAGAAATAAACTTTTCTAAAATTTGGTAAAACTGTCCCTAAAAGTACAAAGCATTTGCATAATGATTCCGAATGGCCACAAATCTCGTCGGAAAGAGATCTGCTCGGTTTCCTTATCAGTGTTTGAAAATTGTTGAAACACCGGTCTGAGGAAGAACCGTCCAATTTTTTCGGAAAAATGTCGGCTAAAATTCAAGCAAATATCCGCTCAATGATTTTGGGTAGAATAAATTTTTGGAAGAGATTTTTATGAAAAGGGTTTTGATTGGCCGGTAGACCAAATACAGCAATCTTATTCGTTATCCGAAAATTCAATTCCAAAAATTGGTTTTGTCTTTGATTTTCGGAACCTTCTTTTTCAAACACTGTTCCTGATTCTTGAGTGTTTCCGGCGGGTAATAGTCAATTGTTCCTGCGACGCCGGTATTTTTGGTCGCTTCGATTGTTCGGGAAATGTTGAAATCGGCCAGCTTCGCCTAATTTTTGCATTTATTTTGTGAAGTCATCGATTATTTACCGTTTTCTTATCAGCAGAAAGAAGGACATTTTCGGGCTTTACGTCTCGGTGGATTACATTTTGGGAATGAACGTAGTCTATTTTAAAATTACGACTTTATTATTCAAATTTCCTCAAACCTAGAGCAACAGCCAGTTGAGCCGTTATCCGAAGCGCTTCGTTTTCATCCCAGGGTTCTTCAGTTTCTTTTCCTTCTGAAAGAATCAATAAAGAAAGAATGTTATTGCTGAATCTTACCGTTGAGAAGCTTCTCTTTGAGATATTCGGACAAATCGCCTCCAGGAAGATATTCGAGGATTAGCGCGTGGTAGGTGAAGTTTTTTGGGCCATTGAAAACGAAATCATCGAGTAGTTTCACGACATAGTCGTTGTCTTTTCAGAGGTTAAAAATTGAATTGAAATAATGAATCAAGCAAAAACTTATTCAAACAAAATCAAACCCCTTTCCTAGTTTTTGAAGCAGGGCAACTTCCGATTTTGCGTCTTCTTCTTGCTGTTCATTTAAAAGTGCGATTCCCTTGAGCATTTTCAACTCGTTGTCTAAATACGATTACGAAACCGCCCCTTCCACACTTCCCCTTACCATTTTGAGTATCCTCAACGAGGAAGTAAATCTTCCCATCTCTCGACTCTTTCAATTCTCTGATCGCCTTGTAGCGCTGGTTGATCATCTCACCTTCCATTTTCGTCAAAATTCGATTCTGCTGAATGAGAAGACAGAATTTGCAGCGCGGCCGGCTTTTTTATTTGCAAAGATCGCCTTCTTCAAATTCTGCAAATATTGCTCAGAATTCGCCACCGCCCAACAACTGTATTTGTTCTGTCTATTTACAGGTCTTCGTCGAAAATGAAAATTTCCCGGATATTTTTAAAAGAGACAGAATGAAAACAAAAATTCATAATATTTTATTAAGTTTTATTTTTTTATTGACTAAAAGAAGAAAATAAAAAGCAAACAAGCAAAAGCCATTGAAATTGAAGCTGAGGATGCGGAAGAATCTCTGTTGAGCGGCAGTCCATTTCTTTCCCAAATTTCTTCAAGCTGCTCTTCGCATTGAGTCTTGTTATTTGGCGCATCGCAGAAGAGGTTGGCTTCAATGCTTCGAGCAGATCGGTCGAGTTCCTTCGCTTGTTCGAGCAGATTCCCGTCGAAACTGTCTTCAAAGCCGCCCCAAATAGCGCCGAAAAAATAATTCTTCTTCGCTAAGAAAATGGTCCAAAGAAGACAAAATCAGTGTTTTTTACCGTGTTTCTGGACAAAAGGAATGTATTCTTTTAGCATCAAATTGAATCGGGCGCTAAATTGAAATTTTTCTTTCAGAAAATTTTCATTTGAAAAAAAAACCTGTAAATAAACCATCGCAAAACGCCAGTGTAAAAGGTTTGTTCCTCAGGATGGCCGATTGTATTTTCAAAAGTCATGATGTTTTGGAGCATAGGAATAACTTGTTCCGCATGTGCTCGGCAACCTGTTTAGAAAACCTGAGTCAGGTTTTGAAGAACTAAAATGAAAAGCCGCTTAGTCAATATTTTTAAATAAATAAAAGTAATTTTGTTCGCTACGCGGCTTTTCATTTCAGGCTTTCCAAGCCTGACTCAGGTTTTTACACAGGTTGCCGAGCCCAGTGTTCTGTCAACTCAGTAGCGTCCGAGACTGCATTGTAGAACTCGACGGATTGAAGCATTTCCATCACATCTATAATTTGCACGAAAATTTTGTCGCACAACTGAATTTTTACCGTCACAAGCTTCGGGATACAAAGCGACGAGACGAACGAACGCCCATGCTGTTCCAACATCGCTGCCGATCGAGTCGATTTTAGTAAAATTTCCGCTGAAATGCGTTTTAAAAAATAATGAATCGAAAGAGTACCTGAAGTATTTTAAGTAGAACGCGTGGAATTTCTCGATCGGGGGTTTAATAGCTCTGCTGAATTGTTTGACAGCATCGTTGACTCCAGAACAGATTTCGTTGGCATAGCTTCGCGGCACAGTTGATCGCTTTTTGAGAGGAATATTGGTTTCAGTTAGGGTTAGGCCCTGACTGTCAGGGTAGGGGGAGAAGACTAAGTAGAGTTACTCAGTTTGGGTTAGGGTTAGGTATTCAATGTAGGGATAAAAACAAATATAAGGGCGCCTTCAAAAAAAATGGTGGTAATAATCCTTCCTGCAAGAAAACAGCGATGATATCGGTCACATGAGTAAGATCTTCGAATACAAATTGATTGTCATTTTCTTGATAAAATCTTTTACCTGGAAGTTCAGAAGACCCGTTGTTGAAAAACGGAGCCAGTGGCTGGAGAATATACTCAAACACATTATTCGCGCTTTCGCCCTCTACTTCAGTCAAAAGAAACGCGGCAACGGAAGTGATCATATCCTCGATTTCCCGCGTTGAAGACTCGCTAACTTCAGCAAATATATCAAAAATGAACTTTCGAATAGCGGCGACGTCCAATTCGATGCTCTCGCGCTCAGTCGAAAAAACTTCAATCCCGCTTTTGCACCAGTCGTTGTCCCACTTGAAAAGGATGAATTTCGCGATGGTGATTGTGTCCAAATAAGTTGCGTCAGAGAAATTGGAGGAAAACAGAAGCCCGGCGATGTTAACATCTTCTTCAAGCCGTCTGAAAGGAACATGATTTTCAATTTCAGGCTCCAATTCGGGGTAGTGTCCGGAACCGACAAAAAATTCGATTTTTCGAAATTTTTTGTCGGTTCCGGTCACCTACTCTCAAATTCGACTAGAAAATCGACTATTTCGGGCCCAAACCACAGTTTTTCCGACAATTTTGGGCTTACTACTGTATTCACCTTATGGTTTCCTTGACAAATGCAACTCCAAAAGCAATATCTTTTATTTCATTTTTCTCCGTCTCATTCAGACCATCCAGTGCACTCATATCGTCCACAGTCGCATGACAAAGAGTTCCGAACTTTTCATCAAAAAACTGGGCAGAAATGCCTGCAAAGAGGCAAATACCAAGTCGCATTTTATCTCTTTGAAAATCAGCGAAGAGGGATGCGATGAAAAAATGATTTGATTTCAATGATTAATTCCGGCCGGAAATGCATCGACGATTTTTGATGAAAAATGCTTGGATTTAATTTTTTGTTGTTTGACATCGGTGAAATTGGTATGGTTTTGTTTATTTCAGTAAAGCTTTCGGATGCTGAGATCCATCTTCAGTACTAGAATAAAGTGTAAAGAATACGAAAAGAAGTGAAAATATTTTGAGGGCTAGACTTTGAGAGAGAGTAGCGCACTGAAGTTCAAATGAAAGATTTCAAGAGAAATAAATTTGGTCTAGAGAATTTTTGAAAGAATAAATGTTGAACTAGAGATTTTTTGAAAATGATTAATATAATCGGGCTTCGGATCATTTTCAAAAATCTCTAGTTCAACATTTATTCTTTCAAAATTCTCTAGACCAAATTTATTTCTCTTGAAATCTTTCATTTGAACTTCAGTGCGCTACTCTCTCTCAAAGTCTAGCCCTCAAAGGTTTATTTTTACTTCTTTTCGTATTCTTTACACTTTATTCTAGTACTGAAGATGGATCTCAGCATCCGAAAGCTTTACTGAAATAAACAAAACCATACCAATTTCACCGATGTCAAACAACAAGAGATTATCTTAATGGAAAACAGACATCACCGTATCTACGAAATATACGAATGTACCCGTAAAATCGTACGAACAAGAAGTAACAATTTATTCCTCGAGAGATGTTTAACTGCTGGACTCAACCCTAAATTCACCGCCTTTTCTTGTCAATTCCTATCGAAGGTAAACTGGTCGCCGCATGTTATCCACCAAAAACGAACGAAGATCACTAAAAACGCTATATTTAACAATCAAGCTAAAATTTCTCATCTTAATTCTCAGCTTCATCATCTTAAGTTAAAACATTTTCATAATTCCTCCGATACATTTACCGACTCATCCATCGAATACCATTTCAAACTTGCAAATGAGCATGAATCATCTCATACTAAAATTCTTAATCGAAAATTTGAACAATTGTCATCACCATCATCTGATCAAGCATCCATTCATATTTTCAATGACACAAATATTGAAATACCCCATTCGGTTATCCAGATTCTTAAATTTTCAAGTAAACGACCAATCGGTGGCTCGCCCACAACAGTTAGAATTACGGAGAGTTTTGAGTATCTTTTTAACAATGTGTTAAAGTATTGCAAAGATTTAAAATTGGACGCGCTAGAAATAGATGAAATCAAAACAAAGCTAAAAACTCAATTTCATTTTTTACGAAAAAGTTATTCATCATCTAATGACGCTAAAATCCTAAAAGATTTTCTCGCGAAACACCCCGATTACTTATTTATTAATGTAGATAAATCTGAAAATTTGAGATTTTGCTCATTTGAGTATTACAAAAATAAACTTTTGGAAATTCTCACTACAAATAACTATAAACCAATTACACATGATCACACAGAACTAAATTATTTTCGAATGAATAATATTATCGAAATGCTTAAACCATACATAAGTCATAAATTAGAAAAACAAATTAAACCAAATTTCAATAGCAGAATCGGCTTCGGCATAAGCAAAGAATCGAAAGAGAATAAACCCCTTCGATTAATTGTTAGCGGAAGAAATGCTATTTCATCAAATATAGAACAATTCTATCTTTTACCAATTCTGAAAAAGTTAGAAGGCTTCTGTAAATTTCAAATTCGAGACACTAAACAACTTAAAACTAATCTGACTAATATAAGAAATAAATTTGACCCAAAAATTCACTGTATTTACAGCCTGGATATCGTCAAAATGTACGACAATATCAATGTTTTCGAAGCAATTAATTTTATTTGTGATAAAATTTATGCATTTCCTAATAAGTTTTTTCCCAAAAAAGATAATAATAATGATAACCCTTACTCTAATCTTGATTCAAACATACCACCACGATCACTTTTTCAGTCTATTTTGAAAGCAACCCTTACAGATTTTACAAGTTTTAAGACCCTTGTGGGAGACTATCAACAAATACAAGGTATAAGCATGGGAGGACAAATAAGTGGACTCATAGCGAATATTTATGCAGCAAAAGTTGAAAACCCTATTATTACTAAATTATTGAGAAATAATGACATTATTCTATATAACAGATTCGTCGACGATTCCATAATTATTGGCACAAAATCAAGTAAACTGAAACTTTTCGCGTCTTTAAATTCAGCCGACAAAAATTTGAAATATAAAATTGAACATTCAACAAATAAATCTATTAATTTTCTGGACACCACAATTAAATTTTCAAATAAAACTAGCCAATTAGAGATGGAACATTTCGAGAAAAAGTCAAAAAGTTCCGTTACAATGAATTACAAAACTTCCATAGCCCCTACGTCTCATAAACGTAACACAATTTTAGGATCATGTAATAGAATTAGAAACGCATGCACAAATCAACAAGATGAAGACAAAGGTCTTTCTAAACTTAAATCTAAATTAATCAAAAACAATTTCCCTAAACAATTTTTGAAAAATGAAATTGATAAATTTAAAAATAACTCAAACAAAACTAAAGATAAAGATTTTGATTCCTCTCTATTTTTATCGCTAGATTTTACTTCTGAACGATGTAATACAATACACAAAAACATCCTAAAAATTTTCCAAACTCATCTCCCGCGATTCAAATTAACAATTAGTTGGCGATGCATCAGATTGAATTCAATATTAACTCCCCTTACTAAACCTAGAAAAGACACGGAAAACCGAAAGGCGTGCATTTACTCTTTCGTATGCGATTGCTCTCAAAACTATATCGGCCACACAAAGCGGCAATTGAACACTCGTATTTCAGAACATGGTCAAAAAAGTCGAAAATCGGAAGTCGGAGTCCATATTTTTAACTGCAATAATTATAAAAATAATCTTCTTTCTAACTTTGGTTCCAAACCAACTCCATCTCAACGTTTCCAGTACCTAAAATCTCATTTTACTGTTCTAAAAGACAATGTCTTCGATTATTTCAAACGAACTTTTATTGAATCATATCATATCCATTTCTGCCAACCTTCCCTTAACAGACAACGTCAACACCAATCTATAACAATAATATAGTCGGGCACTTTTTGAAAATGATCCGAAGCCCGATTATATTAATCATTTTCAAAAATCTCTAGTTCAACATTTATTCTTTCAAAAATTCTCTAGACCAAATTTATTTCTCTTGAAATCTTTCATTTGAACTTCAGTGCGCTACTCTCTCTCAAAGTCTAGCCCTCAAAATATTTTCACTTCTTTTCGTATTCTTTACACTTTATTCTAGTACTGAAGATGGATCTCAGCATCCGAAAGCTTTACTGAAATAAACAAAACCATACGGATTTAATTTTATTTAATAAATTTAGCTCAATCAGAAAATGAACTGCCGAATAGATATTCGTGGAAAAATCACGGACCGTTTTTTCCCTAAGCCCTGTAAATAGACAAAATAAATACAGTTGCTGGGCGGTGGCGAATTCGGAGCAATATTTGCAGAATTTGAAGAAGGCGATCTTTGCAAACAGAAAAAGCCGGCCGCGCTGCAAATTCTCTTTTTCATTCAGCAGAATCGAATTTTGACGAAAAATGGAAGGTGAAATGATCAACGAGCGCTACAAGGCGATCAGAGAATTGAAAGAGTCGAGAGATGGGAAGATTTACTTTCTCGTCGAGGATACTCAAAATGGTAAAGAGAAGTGTGGAAGGAGCGGTTACGTGATCGTGTTTAGACAACGAGCAGAAAATGCTCAAGGGAATCGCGCTTTTGAATGAACAACAAAAAGAAGACGCGAAATCGGAAATTGCTTTGCTCCGAAGACTAGGAAAAGGGTTTATTGACCAGATCTTAAAACTTTCTGGAATGAACTACAAGTTAATGAAAACCTCTCAAAAGACAATGACTATGTAGTAAAACTGCTCGACGATTTCGTTTTTACTGACCCGAACAACTTCACCTACCACGCTCTGATTCTCGAATATCTTCCAGGAGGCGACTTGTCCGAGTATTTGAAGGAGAAACTTCTCAACGGTAAGATCAAGCAGAAGCATTTTTCCATTGCTTTTTTGTTTCAGAAGGAAAAGAAACTGAAGAACCGTGGGATGAAAATGAAGCGCTTCGGATTACTGCTCAACTGGCTGTTGCTCTAGGTTTGCACAAATTTGAATAATTAAATCGTAATTTTAAAATAGACTACGTCCATTCCCAAAATGTGATACACCGAGACGTCAAGCCCGAAAACGTCCTGCTTTCTGCTGATAAGAAAACGGTAAACAAACTTTAACGTCATCAGAAATTTGAGAAAATTAAGGCAAAACTGGCCGATTTCAACATTTCCCGAACGATCGAGGCGACCAAAAACACCGGTGTCGCTGGAACAATGGACTTTTATCCACCCGAAACGCTTAGAAATCAAGAAACTGAGCAGATCTCTTTCCGACGAGATTTGTGGCCATTTGGAATTATCATGCAGATGCTTTGTTCTTTCAGGAATAGTTTTAAAATCAAAGATTTTTTGATTTTCTTTATGAAAATTTGAAAACTGAAAAAGACATCCCTTCGCAACGGATGACCCTTTGCAAACAATGATGAACATCGCCCAAAACATCCGTCAACCAGCAGAAGTCGCCTTTCCGGTCATGGAAAGTCTGATCAAGCAATGTTTGGTCGTCGAAATCGGCGAAAGAGTCGAAAGCGTGACTTCTTTGATGAAACAGCCTCTTTTGTGGAGTTTGGTTGAGCAGCTCAAGAATAGAATCAAACCGGAAAACCTCGTTTTTGGACTCAATCGATTGGAGACCAAGGATGTTATTAAGGATTATTTGATTGCGGAGTTGCAGAAGAAACTTGAAGAAACGCAGAAGAAAATGGTCGATTTTATGGGAAAAACCCAGCGGACTTTGAAGGAAGCTCAAAGCAAAATCTCAAAGCTCGAAACTGAAAACACTAAACTGAAAAAACTGTCGGGTTTCTCTGCGGATCACCACATGATGGATTTGGTCTTTTTCATGGCGACGACAAACGATCTCAGCACTACGAACATGATGTGCCAAAAGTGCTTCGAGGAATGGCTTCTGGCTTGACGACTTTTAATTTGAAGGAATTGGATAAAATCACATTTTTAGTTTTTTGATTTTTGTTTCGACGCGATTTTCATCCAAAATTAAGTTTTGGCTCAACGACAATTTCGAAGTATCGGAAGCTGGCTGGACAATCCGACATCAATCGAAGAGCAAAAACTACGGCGGCGACGGCTTCTGGAAAATGTGGCTTCTTTTCAACGGTATTGATTGTTGAATTTGAGATTTTTATTTTTTAGGAAAACGCGTCGGTTTTGAAGCCGACGCGGACGATATTGACCATTATGATGGGAAGAGCTACAACTCGGCGAAGAAGTTGACGCCGGATTCACAAGGAATGGTCAAACTCAAAGGAGAACGACTTTATGTCCGCTGGAATATTACTGTAAGAAAGTAATTCTGTAAATTTATATAAAATGATGATCGATTTTAAAGCAAAGACTTCATTTTCAAATATATTCGCGCTCCTCATCAGCAAATACTAGTAAGAACTATCTTTGTTGAAATTTCTAGTCGCGAATTATTTTTAAACCTATTCTTTTAAACCTTTTTCAATCAATTTTCAATTAAAAAAAATAGAAAAAAGCTTTAATTATTTATTCTTTTTTTTTTTCAGACACATTTAATTTTCGAAATACCAAGCTTTTAAACCTAGCTTTTTATTTCATGCAAACTTTAATTAACTGATGCAACTTTGATAATAAATTATTTTTAAAAATTAATGAAATTCTGCATATTTCATTTTCCTGACCAAAACTCCTTGCGTCAATAAAAGTCCAGAGCTTTCCATTTCCCTCAATTCATGCGAAAAACAACTGCCGCGGGCGGTTTCGTTCTGCATAAAACGGTCGTTACACCCCACCTAGTCTCAATCTTCTAGAAAATTTCAGGAGAAAATTGAAAATCAATTATAAAAAAATGAAATTTTTCAACGCTCTCGCATTTTTCGCTGGTTCAATTTCCGCCAGATCCAGCGGAGCTCCAGGATATACTCCAATTCTGCAAAATTTGAAGCCAGGAGGACCTCATGCCAGATTGTGGGCGACCAAGTAAGATAGAGAATGGTTAAAACTCGTATTTTTCGAAAATAGTATTTCAAAATATTCACAATTTTGTTTACAGAGAAGAATTTGGCCCTGCCCATCACCACATCAGCTTTGGCTACGACGAGTCCTCCGGCGAAGTCGTTTTCGTCAACGGCGACAACGACGCCAAAACATTCAAGGGTCTTCTTCTCCGACTGACTGGCGCTGAGTTCAACGGCATTCCCGGCGGCTTCAAAGGCTACCCCCACCAAAGCAACTATTTGACGCACTCATCTCCCGCCTTGAAAAGCACTGCCGATGTTCGCTTCCCGATCTCCTGCAATCCAGGCGACAGTGTCAAAGTCGAAGCGACGATGGCGATCAAAATCAACGAGTTCTTTTTCGATCTCGTCGGCGAATTTCAGTGCTGATTTTTTTTGTTTGACTGGTATTTGAAATAAACTGTCAACAGCTAGAATGATCTTCAAGCGTAATCGAAGCCGCAGGGCCACTCAAATTTTTAAATGAAAGAGGAAATTTTCAGCAGATTGAAAATCATGAAACTCAAAATTTTATTCCTTCCTTTTTCGTTTTCTTACCCAGGCGGCGCGCCGGGATTTTCAAGAGTCCTGGAAGCTGGGCTCGGCAATCTGTGTAGAAAACCTGAGTCAGGGTCTCAAAGATATTTCAAGAAAAGCCCTGTAGCGTCACTTTTCCAATGAGTTTCGCCAAATCAGCTTGCCAAAGAAAAGCAAGGGGGTTTTGATCAAATATCTTTCAGACCCTGACTCAGGTTTTCTACACAGGTTGCCGAGTCCAGCCCGCAAGACCTGAGCCCAACATTGATGAGTCCCCATTCAAAAACTTGGATTCAAAGAGACAAATATGGACCCACCCATCATCACCTCAGCTTCTACTACGACGAGTCCAAGAGAACAGTGATCTTCAAAAACGGGGACAATGAGCCAAAACGATTCAAAGGACTGCTTCTCCGAGTGACTGGTGCTGAATTTGACGAAATTCCTAATGGCTTCGAAGGGTTTTCCGGCCAGTCGAACTATTTGACGCATTCGAATAATTTAATCAAAAGCACTGATGATGTCCTTTTTCCGATCAAATGCAACACGGGAGATAAAGTGAAAGTTGAAGCGACGATGGCGATTCATAAATACTTATTTTTCTATGGAATAACTGGAGAGTTTACTTGCTAGAGAAAAATAAAACAACACGAACCTGCAAATTTTGCTTCTTGCAATTATTAAATAAATCATGAATAAATGAGTGGCCGTTTTTTCTCACCGAACCTTTATTGAATAAAAAATCACCAAGTTTAATTGACTTATTATATGGACACCACAGAAAGAGAAGGTAAATTGGGCAGCATTGAGATCTAGTAGGATTGTTAACCTGTGAAGAAAACCTGAGTCAGGGCTAATAATCAAGTTCTTTCGGACACTGACTCAGGTTCTCTGCACAGGTTGCCAAGCCCAGATTGAGATAGGCAGAAAAGATGTAAAAATGACAGTGATTGATGACTCATCAATGATGAGTTAAAAAACCGGATAATTTCAAACAAGAAGATGCAACTTGTTTCCTTCGACGTATCCAACATCGCAGTGGTCAGGCTCGAGACTTTCGCTCAAATCTCGGTATTCCGGAATGCAGAAATCCTCTGAACCGGCAATTTAAAAGCCGAAAAAGAAAATATGATACTTAACAAGGTTGATAACTGGCAGGGTAGTTTCTTCAGCGTCGTTATTATCTATGAACACTGTAGCTTTTTGAGATTTAGAAATTTTCCTTTGGACGGCTTTGATTTGAAACGTAAATGCATCAGTATAATTCTTCAAATTTAAAACAAGATGGATGACGCCGTTAGTGCCAAGTTTAACCGATACACTGCATTCTCCTCGATATTTCAAGAAGCACAAGTATGTCAAATCGTCATTTGGTTCATCAGAACCGAGCCATCTTCCAATGCTTCCCAGCGCAAAATATCTTCCATTATCACGAGGTTCTTTCAACGGAACTTGCAATCCTGTACTATCGAATTTATAAACATCGCAGCGCTTTAAACAGTACAGAATAGAATCGCAAATTCCAAAATATCTTTCTTCGAATGGATCCGGATGTGATGAGTGCAGTCTCAGTACGCCCGATCGGTCATCATTTATACGTGTTATATGTTCCACCGTTTTCGGGCAGATTGCCAGAGAATAATGACGAACTTCTTTCGTATTCAAATCACAATGAAAAAGTTTCGCAGACAAAGAAGGAAGTCGAGGGTAAACGACCACGAGCCAATTAGATTCGCCGATGAATCTTGCCCAAATCGAATGCCTACCCCTTGGAAGGCTGAAATCGAAGCTCCAAAAAATCTTTTCTTGTCCACCAGAAAAACTGCTAAAATCGACAACATATCGACGCATGGGTGTATCTTCTTGATAAAAAGTATCTTTGAAGTTGAGTACAGGATGTAGATTCATACAAGGATTAGTTTTATAATCTCTCCAAGATCGTTGCCGAGAGAAATTTCGGTTTATTGGAGAATAAGTAATTTTCTCGTGCAGAAAATGTCTCTTGCGTCCTAATTCTAAAACAGTTGAATTGATACACTTTTGACGAGTAGAATTAAACCTGCAAACTTTAATGTTTCATAATCAAAGAAAGCCGGCAAATCTTCGTGACGGTGCCCCAAAAAAACTGTTTCGAGCATGGTTATTGAATCTTCAGGTTCAAAGTCATAATACTTAATCGGAGTTGCATTTTTTTTTCAAAATTTCTCTTTTGCTTAGATGATTTTCACAAGAGGCAAGCTGACTGTTATTTTTCATTTGCAACTCTTTCCTCGATAAAATTTTGTGGATCATATTCAATTGGTTCGATAATCGGTGAGCGCTCGTCATTTTCGCGATTAATCTTGAAGATACGATCTCCGGCCCGGTCTTTAGTAAAAATCTAGGCAAATTGAGAGTGAACGTTTCAAAAGTTATATTTTCTTACATATGAGCCAGAAAATTTGACAGAAGAACCGAAGAACTCATGTTCTGTAAATAATTCCATCGTCGCTTTTGGAATCAGTTTCTTCTTGTTGTTTTTGAGATCTTCTCGCTTTTGAATAATTTTCATGATTTCAGAGAGACGATCAGGTTTTCCCTTTTTCTCTGCTTCGAATTCTTTTCCAACGAGATCAAGAATTGTGTCTCTTTCGTAATGATAGTTGAGAAAGTTTCGGCAAAAAAGCGTTCTCGTCAGATCATCAAAAGATCGATCATCGGATTCCAGAACAAAAGGGGCGAGTAGAGTCAATGAATCCATCGGCATTCGCTCAAAAATCAGCTCGGACAAAATTTGCGGATAATCGAGCATCTTTCTTAGAGTTGAGCGACGAAACTCATCCATTTTAGCCGATTTTTTTACTTTTTGGATCACTAGAAATTCAATTTTAGACCCTTTTTACATTTCAATATGTGGTTTATTTAAACATTCATTTTTCAAATAATTCGCTCGCTTTTTGAGTTGAAGCAGCATAGATACACTTTACTTTGCAGTGTTGGATACAGAAGATTTCTTATCTTTCAGTTTTTTTGTACAAAATTTTGAAAAAGTAAAATTTAAAATAAATCGTCGTCGTCGTTGTCGAGGATCAGGGCATTTTGATTTTGGTCATCTGAGGCTGAAAAATTGGTTAATTTTCAATTTTTCGAGGAGTTTCTTTAAGAAACTTTCTTACCACCAGGTTGTGAAGCAGAAGTGAAGACGGGACGGTGGCACAGTGGGCAGACGTTTTTCAAGCGCAGCCATTTCTTTATACAAAGCCTGAAAAAAAAAGTTAGATTGAAATCATGTGTTAGGGGGTAGACATCGAGATAGGAAAATTTCTAGCGAAAACTTATCGTCAAAAAAGTTCGAGCCTTTTTTATCAAACAAAATAGTGAGTGAAAAAGATAATTTTCTGAACAAATCTCTTAAAATTTTCTAATTTTTTAAATTGGGGACCCCAATTTGGATTTCCCCGATTCGGAATTCGGAATTAACCTGGTTATTTCATCTTTATATCTTGGAATAAAAAAAATCCTCACACAAAGCCTAGCCCTTATTAAGTACTGAATAGCTGGTCAAAAATGAACCTTAGAATTCTGATAATTTTGTCCTTACTTGTGGAATCTATGCTGACAACTTGTCTCCACGACGGGATTCGAGGAACAAGTCTGAACGGCAAAATCTTCGTAGCAAATTGCGCATAATCTATCCGGCTCAGGAATCTAAACAAATCTAAAGCCACGCTAAAATGGCGATTGTCTTTACCTCCGAAACGTCGACGACCTTGAGCTTGTCAAGCAAATCGGCGGTTTGAAGTCGGAGCTTGATCGATTTCGCCGTTTTGGTGAAAGTTCTGTAGATATTGAAATAGGTGTGGATAGTCATCATCAGAATTCGGACGACGGTCATTATTGGACGCTCGAAGATCAGAACATAGCTGAAATTCAAAAAGGATGAAAGAAAGTGGGAAGGAACTCTTGGCTCGGCAACCTGAGTAGGAAACCTGAGTCAGGGTCTGACAGATCAAAAATGAAAAACCGCGTAGCGTCTTTTTTAAGAACGAAGCCGCAAAGAAGTTTAAAATAAGATTGAATGATATTTTTGCGAAGCTACTTTGCGGCTTCATTTTCAAAAAAGCCGCTGCGCGGCTTTCCATTTTTGCTCTTTCACACCCTGACTCAGGTTTTCTACTCAGATTGCCGAGCCTAGGGAGGGACTTACATGGCATTTATCAACATAACGATTCCGCCGAGGAGTTCTACTCCTTTTGAAGCCGTCTTTGTCCAGAAAATCGTATCTACGAACAAATATCAGTTGAAATGAACAATTAAAAGAAAAACCTTCATCAGCGTCATTTTGATTCAACCAGTAAACGGCGAAAGACGTGACCGCTTTGACGATCAGTTCCAGCGTAAAGACAAAAACGGGAATCGACCAAGTTGAGATTTCATGATTTTTGAGCAGCTCAATTTCGATGCAAAGCGGAATGAGGAACAACGCAAACATCGCCTGATTATTTTGTTGTCAAAAAGATCAAAAGAAGAAGAGAACCTGTAAAGGACGAGAAACAGAGCGCCCGTCGACATGGTTGCTGTTCAGTTCGGCGTCGACGATTTCGTGGAGGTAGTGGAGACAGGCGACCACTTCCAGCCAGCTGTTTTTGTAAGCGCGCTCGAATCGTTCTTCGGGACTCATGAAGGTGATTCCTGTTTGCAGCGCCATGAATCCGTGAAGCATTCCTAGTTTTTTAGTTAGGAAGATAGTCTATTTGCGAGATTTTTTTAGATTGCCGCGAAGAGAAAGCGACAGAAAATCGCGAGATTTCGGCACGATCTACTTTTTGTTATTTTTGTCGCTCCTATTTTTTCCTTACCAAGAAACTGTCCCATCCGCTGCCCCCTCTCTTCGGGATCATTCGGTTCTTCTCCATTTCCCAGCCATCTTTGAATAGCGACGCCGAGCCAAACTCCCGGCCCAGAAAGAAAATACGCAACTGCAAAGACGGAAAACAACGAATCAGTAGTAATCAAGACGATGGAACTGACGATTGTGGAGGGCATGTAGTCGCCGAAATATTGCATTTCGACAAACTCGTGGAGGCCAAAAGCGGACATGTTCATCATTGCCAGACCGGAAGAGTTGAGACTCGTTATTGAGAGCTTTTCGATGTCAGGACTCGACTGAATATAACTTTAGATTATTCAAATATCCGTTTTCGAAGAAGAGGCGCGAAGCGACAAAATTTGCGCGGGCGACTTTTTGAGACAGTGCCGGGAAGCGACAAATGAATCCGACAGAAAACCCACTTCACGACTTTCTTTTACTGGTATCTGATTGGGCAGCCAAGTGAATAGAGAAATCTGATTCGAGAAAATTGTCGCAGAAAAGGGTCTATGTCGCATTTTTTTTTTGTCGCAGCGCGGCTTTCCGGCTGCTAATTGGCTACTAGCCAATGGCTAGCTGACTACATACGGGCTTCTGATTGGCCAAATATATTTATTCATAGTCAATCAGAAGCCTGCATTCCGCTTTCTGTCCAATCAGCGCCAGAAAAGTCGACAACGCAAAATTCGTCGCAATTTTTGTCGCTTTCCCATTTTTACCTCAATAAGGCTTTCTACAGATTTGCCGAAATGCGTGTAAGTCGAAATCGCGTGCAAAACGCTCTTGATGATCATCGAATGGAGCAATATTTTAAGAATGATTCCAAAAGCTGGATTGTTGTTCATCAGCGTTTCCAGCATCAGGCGGAGGCCGGTTCGCATGTGCGCGTAAACTTGAGTTTCCGGATCGGTGTTTTCTTCCTCGAAAATGTTGTTGTACTGTTCGGCTGTTTATAGGGTTAGCAATCGATAAACTCGAGTACTCGAGGTAGAAAAGACTTTTTCAAACTAACTTTCAAATTTTAAACCCTGGCTATGTCAGTATCATGAATCGTCCGTAAAATCTCTCTGGTAATCGGAATGATCATATTTCTGAGACACATGATTCTGATTCCAAGAAGAATGTAATACGCCGCGCTTTCGAAGTTCGCGAAAAGCATTATTACTCCCACTGCGATGGCGGGCAGTTGGGAGAAGGACCAGCGCGAATCTTCGTCTTCAGGCTCGATGATCATCAAATTTGAAAGCGTCGCGCGGAAGAAGATCAGGTTGAAGAGCATAAACGCCACGCGGACCAGGTACTGCAAATTCAAAATAATGAATAGAATTTTTCTTCCAAAGCTATTATAATAACACCCTTATTTAATTTCACCGAAAGAAAGATTATTCTATGTTCGATGGAAAGCTAACACTAGAACATTCCCTAAATAAGGCGGCATCATAAAAAAATGTCGACAAAAAGTTCGATTTTTGCGACAAATTTTTCATAAATTTGATTGGTCGGCTAGGCGATTGCGGAAATCGGGAAGGCGGCACGAGGCGACAATTTTCGGCCGGCAATTCTAGCGAGAATTTAAGAAAATTTTGGACCAATAAGATTGCCACATTCGGCGGGTAGGCCAATCGGATTTCAGAAAATAGTATTCCGATTCGCGCTGCAATCCCGTCTAAAATTCGACTAAACTTTTGGGCAAGATCGTCGACTTTTTTGTCTATTCGAGTCAACTCCCAGGAAAAATGGCTATTTTAGAAGAAAAATTCGCAAAAAAATCGCAAACCTGAAAATCGGGAAGTTCCATCGGGGCAAGACCGATGAGTCCGTAAATTGGCGGCGAATCGGGTCGCGTCAAATTGAGCAAAAAGGCGTCTACCAGGTTTAGCATACAATGGCCAATATAAACGAGAACGAGGCGGTAGTACTGGGGGATTTTGTCGTCGTGAAGAAAAAGCGGAATAATGGAGCCGAGCCAGAGCTGGACGCTGATCCAAGTCGGGGTCGAGTCGTGAAGGATTCTTCCCGAAACGAGAGCTTCGATCATGATGAAGAGCGGAACTCGGTAGAGCTCTTTTGGAATGTTGAAGTTCCATCTGAACAATAGGATAAGAAAGGGAGGTGCACGACGAAAGCTGCGGAGAAAAAAAAAGAGATGAACCGAAGCGACAAAAATAAGCGTTGATTTTATGTCGCAAAATCAGTGTCGCACGAATCCTGGCGTCTTTTGTCGCGAAAAATGATGGAATTATTCTTTTTTACAAATTTCTCATTGGCTGATTTTTTATTTGAAAATTTAGTCACTCAAAAATTGTCGCTTCGTGTAATACGGCCTAAGAAACCGGATTTCTGTCGCGAATTATTTCGCGCAAACGCGACTGTAAAAAACGAGGCAAACCTGAATGGGTCAATTTCTCTTCGCGCAACTTCCATTTTCCGCGAATTTCTTTGTTCACCAAGTTTTCGTTGTTTTTCTTGCAAATAAAATATACACTAGAAAGACTTCGGAATAGGCGTTGTCTTTATTTCAGAACCTTATCGACCTCGGCATGTCTAAATCAGCAATCTGAAATAAAATGATGAAAGTCACGAGTTTCTATCGTAAAAAGAGAGAGTTCTGGAAGAGCTTTTTTACGGCAAATAATATGTTTGAGACAGACAAGTCAAGTTTTGTCTCGAAAAAATACAAATAAAACTGAAGGAACTCAATAAATTTGCAGTTTTCTCGAGGTAACGACTCGAAAGGACAAAAATTTCGACAAAATTCTGCGTGAAAATTTTCGACCAATAAGCAGTCTGAATTTGGCTAATCAGCTAACGGAAAATTTTGTCGTATTTTTTGTCGATTCGAGCCTTCTCACCTTAGTTTCTTTTTTTAGAAAGAAAAATTGTATTTTTAGTCGAAAATGCAAGATTTTGAAATCGAAAAAATTTGAGTCAAAAAGATAAATTTCTCAAAAATACGATTTTCTCTTAGAGGTAGACTACCAATTATGATCGAAAAAAGGGAAAATTCAATTTAGGCACCATAAATCCTTTCTTCAAATAAAACTCTGGATGATTCTACGCTGGCGCTGATTGGTCAAAGCCAACAGAAAGCCATTCCGCAGCGCAGTTGTCTCCGTTTTTCGTAAAACGTCAAATCTCGTCGCCGTCTCGTAAAAATTAATTTCTCAGAGTTTTGAAAGGAAGAAAGAAGGAAAATGAAAGGAGAGAACTAAAGAAAAATTGGCGGAAGCATGCGAAGAAAATTGCTCTTTTTATCGATTTTTGGATTTGTGCGCGCTCAGGATTCAGGAAAACCGGCTCAGATTTAAAGATTTTTGGGTTATTTTAGGTGCTGGCGTGAATCGACCAAAAATGCGACGAAAAAAATACGATTTTTTGCGAATTGTTTTTCTGAAAGTCGATTGGCCTATCCGCCCTATCCGCAAATCTGATTGGTCTAAAATTAAACCCAAATTTAGGTCAAAATTGTCGCACTTTTTGTCGATTCCTCATACCATTCCAAAAAGTTTTCGAAATTTAGAAACATTTTTTGTCTTTTAAAATTCGACCAAATTTTCGTGAGAATGAAAATGCCACGCTGTCAAGAAGAAACTCCTTTTCAAACATAAAATTTACGTCGCCTCGGCTCCAAAGTACGAAAAAATCCGTCGCTAGTCATTTCCGTATTTTATTAGCGCTTTTGATCTGAACACATCTTTCAGCTGCAAAAATGTACAATTCTAATTGACTCAGTCTTATCCCTTTTCTCGGCCTGATTGTACTCAACAAACAATCGTCAATCGTAATAATCAAACTGTAAATATTGGCCCAGTGACTGTTGTTCTTTTGTCAGGGCTCGGTAACCTGTGTAGAAAACCTGTGTCAGGGTCCAAAAAGAGCTTTGATAAAAACCGCGTAGCTTCGCGGCTTATTTTCTAAAAAAAGCCGCTGCGCGGCTATTATTAAACCTCTTTTCGCACCCTGACTCAGGTTTTCTACACAGGTTGCCGATTCCAGTCTTTCATTTTTTTTATTAAAAGCAAAAATTCTGAGCCCGAAAAAAAGAAGCCGAAAAAAGCAAAAGCTTTTTTGACTGGGACGACAAAACCGTTGACGGCTATTTTTGCCACAATTCAAGACTTGCTTTTTTCAATGGCTTGAACGAAAATGGCGATGTTGATCTGAGCAAGTTGCCGGAAATTCCAAAAAAAGATGCGAACAAGTTTTTGAAGGTAAAATATTTTTTTTTTTTGATTTTGAAATCAAGGAAGATTTTGATTATTTTTTTGAATTTCTGACTGGGCTCGTCCTAATATAGAAAAAAATAGAAAATGGACACACTTGCCGAGCCCGGGCCCAGATTTCTGAATGTTCACTGAAAATCATCTTTCAGACCGAAACGTCCTTCTCCGTGCTAAAATTCGGCGGCTTCTTCGAGCGCTCGCTAGAACGAGTTTCCATCGAAGAATATTGCGACGGAGAAAAACTCGGCGACAACGAATTTTCCACTTGTCGAGAAAAGAAGCGGGCTTTTGTCAACGACTTTTGCAAAGAATCCGACAGTTTATTTTTCTCGAAGAATTTTGGATCGCTGAAGAAGTTTGAAACGAAGCTGAATTCGGTGAGGAAACAAAAGTATGATCGCTGCATGGAACATGTCAGAAGGAGAATGACTCAGGCAGAGTTGCCAATTTTATAAGCTTAGTAAACTGAGCTTACTAAGCTGCCAGCTAAGCTTATTCAACTAAGCTAATCAACTAAGAAGTTGGCTTAGCTGAGCAAGACTGATTACTTATGTCGGAAATGATGAGGAATTTTTTAGCAAAGTAAAACTTAGCTGAACTAAGTCGAATCGGAATTGAAAGGCCTATGCTGAGCTTAGCCAACCTACGACACATGCTGTAAGACTTTTCCTTTACGATAAGTTGAGCCAAGCATTAGCTAGGCTTAGCTGATTTTGCCAAAAAAGAAATGCAAAAAGAAGCTAGCTAAGCCTAAGCCGAAAGGCAGCTTAGCCTAAGGAAGCTTAGCTTCGATGAAATAATTCTATTAAACTTAACGCAGTTGAGCTCAGCTGGTTTCTAGAGAAAATAAGAGAAATTCAGCTGAGCTTAGCCAAGCTTAGCCCACCGCTTATTTTTAATTAATTTTAACCAATAATTTGCACAAAATTTGCAACCCTAGGCTCAGGTCATGGGCAAACTCGCTGGAAAAGAAGTGAAAAGTGACGAGGACTCGAAAAAGAAATGGCAAATGGAGTTGAAGCCAGACCGGTTGTTCAGAGGCTGGTGGCATGAATTACAAAAGGCGTTTTTGCGAGTTTGCATGACAGACAAAACCGACTGCGCTAGAAAGTGCAGCCACGAAAATGGAGTCTGTCAACTAGCCAAAGATCCGACGGCGAATGAAGATGACGAAAAGTGGGTTTATGAATGCCAGTGCCAGCCGGATTACGAACCAGTCGTCTCATCGAACACAGATCCAATGGTCGTTTCCGAACTTTGCAACAGAACAAAAGTCGACGCTCCAAAAGGCTCGTGCTCTCCCCTCAGGCACGCAAAGAGATACGAAATGGCCCGAGGCGCGACGCCGGACAATCCAATGACGGAACTTCGAGACACGATTCCAGTCGACCACCAGTTTCTCTGCACCTCACTGAGGCCAAAGAATGAACCGTGGGATTGCGACTACGATATTGAACGAGAGACTTGGCGAAAAAGACGAGCGATTGGTAGCAAAATTGAAAGAAATGAGTTCATTTCGCAAACGGATTTCGGCTACTTTCCCTGGGTCGTCGAATTGAACCACTATCCTTCCAAGAATTTTAAAAAGCCAAACGCAAAGATTGAGGAAAAAGTTACTGAGAAAGACAAGATGAAAGGAACAGACACTCACAGGGACGGGTTCGTACCGGGGGTCGTATTTACCGGATTTTAATAATTGTAGGCATCATTAATTTTGCTAGAAAAGGGGGGGCTGTTCATCCTCTTAATTCCAGCATTTTTGGCCTTGTTCATCGCGCCAACGCATTAGTAGCTCAAGCAGTGGCCACTAAAGCTTCGTCTCCTTCATACTTAGAAAAAGGGACGAATAACTTATTCGGAATTAGGCCACACATGCTGCATGTGACATGCAAGAGGTTTAAGGATGAACAAGGCCACCCCCTATTATGCACACCAACCCTCTGAAAGATGTTCTGGAACTCTGATCGCTGGGAACAAACAGTCAGGCCAGGACTTCATTATCACAGCCGCCCATTGCTTTTGCGCCGAGCAAGAAATCGGTCAATGGCTCGTCCGAATCGGCATCATCGACAACACAAAGCATCTAAATCTCTACCAAGGAAAATTGGATGCCCTGACTGAAGCGCACCTCGGCCCAGAAAAATACGTCGACGTGACGATTGATCACTGGCAAATGGGCGCTGAAAATGATTATTTGAATAATGGCTGCAATACTGGAATGGGATCGTCGGCGACTGGAAAAGACGATTTCGCGATTCTTTATTTGAACGGAAGAATGAGGCAGAAAATTCGAGAGAGTCTTCAGCACAACGTCAGGCACAGCTGCGTCAATGGAATCGACAATTTCAATCAAATCAGAAATGTCGATTCGATCAGCGATTATTACGGAAGCAAGTGCTTTTTGGCTGGATGGGGCAGTCATAAAAAAGATGTAAGTACCATTTCTTTTTTAATAAAGACATGAATTTTTTTAGGAATATATGACGCTCGGAATTCCGAAAAAATCCAACTTCATCAACGTCAAAGTGGTTCCCTTCGAAGAATGCCGGGACGACCCTATTTACGGCCTGAGCAACGATCCCGGAATCGATCCAGACGAGTTGAAAAACATCGATCCGAATAATTCGCCGTTCATTTGCGCCAAGGGTTTCGAAGGAAGCAGCAGTTGTGCTGGCGATTCAGGCGGAGGACTGTTTTGTTTTTCGGAAGAAGGCCAAAGTGTCCATTTGCTCGGGCCGCTGCATGGGACTACTGCTTCTCGGTGCGAGGTAAGAGAGGGAAAATGAAGCTGATTTCTGATGCCGTTTTCAGGAGGGCGGATACATGTACTTCGCAAATTTGGCGCACGAGCAATATCGAAGCCTCATCGAAAAGAAAAAGAAAAAAGCTACTCAAAGAGACGAACTGTAATTTTCAATTCTTCTGTAAATTTATATTTTTTTGTTTTCTTTCCAAACTAGTTCCAAAAGGAAAATACTCACATTGCCTCGCTTCATAAACCACTTACCGATCTTTACTTCAAATCTTACGAAAAATCGACTGTAAATAAAACTGATACGTATTTTAAAGCGAAATTCGAAAAAAACTAGAGAGACTGAGTAAGAGACTATTTGAATCGTAAAGAGCTTAAGTGTCGAGAATTTATCTGTATTTTGATAAAATACAAAGAGAATAAAAATGTATCAGTTTTTTTTTCAGAAAATTTCATTTGTCTCAGTGTTCCACTTGTAACCAAAAAGGGTAAAGTCTCTTTCGTATGCTTTGAAAAGTTTGTTTCTCGTCGGAATCGAAATATCTTTCATCAGAGCGTCGATTCTTTCTTGAATCGCGCTGTTCTCGTCCGTGCTCGCGAAGCCTCCTACAGCTTGGTGGCGAATATCTTCGTAGCCAGCTGGAATCTCGATTTGAGGCAAAGCGTCGAAGACTTCCGAAAGCTCGGAGAAGAGATTTCCCACGTCCACGATCGCGTCGTATTTGTTGAAAAGGCAGGTGTTGCGGACTCCTCCTTTTGTTGCCGGGCCGGTGATTGGAGAAAAGTGAGGGTCAAGAGTCGCCAGATCGTGCTGGAGAATGAATTTCACGAATCGGGGGAAACTGATCTAAAGAATACAATAATTATCATTTAATAAATTACACAAAGCTTAAAATTAATTTCTCTGAAGGCCAAAATTATGATTTTTCTATTTTTTCTATTAGACGTAGCGGCTTTTCATTTTTGATCTTTCAGATCCTGACTCAGGTTTTCTACTCAGGTTGCCGAGCCCAGGTAATAAGGGTGTCACTCTGCTAAATTTTGCTATGAAAATTTGAAATAAAAATGCTTACAATATGATCTTCGTCGCCAATATGCTTCAAATTTTCAAACTCCAAGCAGCTATCTGGCACTTTTTTGTTGTTCGCACCAAAGTGTCGTACTAGAGGGTAGCAGGGAATCTGCTGTGTCGATCCGTAAGTTGTCTCTGGAACGTAATACTTGTCGTAAAGCTGCTCCATAATCTGAAAACAGGTTTAGTTTTTTTCCTCCCTTGAGAATAGAGCAAAGAGCTTGAAAAATTTATAAAATTGGCTTGGATTACAGCGAAAAAACTCTGTAAATCAATTATTTACTCGGCTCTTACACACTTGAGCTAGGTTTCATTACTGTAGCTTCTGTGGCAATAGAATTATCTTAGAACTTACAAATTGTTTTTCAGTGACGAAATATCTGAAGGACTTGGCGCGGAGGAGGAGATTAAGTCCGTAGCGGATGCCTGGGCCGCCTTTATTTTTAATATTGAACTTGTCGTTCCAGGCCGAGGCTAAGCGCAAAATCGGATGGCGGACGACTAAGACTTTCAACGCGGAACGGCAGTCGTTTACCAGCTTCTGCCCCTTGATTCTGCCAAAGGAGATTGTTTTTTGAAAAAAAAATAAGACAAGCAGAAAGATGCCCCCTTTCCTGTGGTTGACGAAGCGAACGGCAGATCTGTAAGAATACGGCTGCCCGGGCTTTTTTTCTTCGATCAGGTTTTTCGGGAGCTCGAGCAACTTGAAGGCCATTTGGAAGATGTATTGCGACGCGCATTTGTTAGGCACGGAGATCATCAAATCACTCGAGATGAAAAATGAGCTGTTTTAGAGCTTCCAATTTGAAATTCACTAATTTTTGATTATTTAATAGAAATATGGATATGGAACTTAAAACCTTTTTGGTAAAAAATGATGTGAAAGCTTTTCCTATAGCCGGAATTTTCTTTGCAAAATTTCGGAGATTTCCAATTTCTCGGCTTTTCGTTGTAAAATTCTTCGCATTTTTCGTACATCGCGGTGGCCCTCCTAAAGATGCTTGAATTTTCATGCGATTTCTGCAAAAAGTCAGGAATGACTGTCGTATTTTCGTTTCCAAAAAGATCATTTTCAATTTCTTCTTTGTCTTTGAGTTTTGATGGCGTTTTCAGAGAACTTTTTTCTTCAGAAATTTTCGGTTTCTTTGAATTTTTTGTGTCATTTTTCCCCGTCGATGAGTTAAATTTTGCTGTTTTCGGTGACTTTTGGATTGTCGTTTTTGTCGTCGTTGTTGTTTTCACAGTTGTTGTTGTTGAAATTCCCGTTGTTGAAATTTCCTGTGTCGTTTTTGTCACTCGATAGGTGGCGACAGCATACTGAATCTTTTGAATATACTGTTCTTCTTCATTTTCTAAACTTTGCATGCCAAAGAGAACTGAAATCGTCAGTCCCCGAAGAACTTCAAAAATCATACCTGTCATCGCGAAAACGACGTAAAAAAGCGTCGTTCGATTAAAATTGAAATTGCATGGAAAAATTGGAAATCCTCCATTCATATCAATCTTGCACTTCTTCTGTTTTCCGATTTTTCTCTGTTTTTTTACATTCAATTTTTGAGAAATTAATTAAAGTGGCGAAAAAGTAAGCGCGGCGGGGAGAAAACTGAAGAGTCCTTTTCTACGCTACTATGTCAACAGAAAAGGTCGAAATGATTATTGAGCTTTGAGGAAAAGACGCCTCGAAAAACGAATGCTGGAATCAGATGAAATATTCATCGCCGTCTATTTTTACGCTTGGATAATGGAGAATGGATCGTGGAGAGACATCTTCGCTGAATTATGGATGCGAAGGAAGAAATCATTTATTGCAAGTCAGATGAATGTTTCTATCAATTTTACGACACGAGTCAGTTTGAAACAGAAAGTGAGGTTTTCATTTTTTTTTTCACATATAATGCAGCGTAATTTGCCGATAGAAACAAATAGGGTTCCATGAAAATTGGGTTTTTGACTTCCCTTCTTGCTAGGCTCGGCATCTTGTGGGAGTCTGATTATGAAAGAGCCGCAATGAAAAGCTGCGTAGCGGTTTTTTACTATTAATTTTAGCCGGAACTTTAAAATAGCCAATAGTCGTCAGGAAGGTATTTTTTTCCTGACGAACCGTAGGTCACCCCAATAGTCTTGTAATATTGTCTTTAAAATATTGCAATACAATTTACAGAGAAAATAATACCGACGCGGCTTTTGATTCATAGCCAGACTCAGGCATTTAACACAGGTTTCCGAGCCTAGCAAGGGAAGTAAGTAAAAATTTACAGTGTAAATCCAGTAAGCGAGTATCTGAATATGCATTATCGATCCTTCGCCTTCGAATGATGATGGTATTACATGATGAAAAAAGATGTTCGATCTGTGGCGAAAGCGACTTTCAATTTGAATATCGAAATCGCGCAAATCGCCGCTAGAGGGCTCGTCCAAGTCGCTTTTAATAATGCAAAACGCTTCTCCTTCGCCTTTGACAGGACATATTTCTTTGCTCATCTGACAAAAAATAACTAATATATATTCACTCAGAAAAATTCTTTTCAAATTTTTGGATCGTAAAATTTGCGCGAAAATGATGTTTGATGATTCTGGGCCAAGTTTGCGGAGAGATTTATGATTGATGGAAGTTTATGGATCGCCTGAATTTTATATTTCGGAAAAAGGCCAAAAACAGAAATTGAAAATAGAGAAGAGATGTTGAGAGAGATGTCATGCAGGCTCTACTCCCAGTACTACCAGCTCAAACTTACTGTAAGTCGGATAAAAGCAATTTTTTGGGGAAGTGTTTTGAACCGACAAAAATATTTCGACAAATTTTTCGTGGAAATTTTCAACCAATCAGAAGCCAGGATTCGGCTAATCGGCAAATCAGCAGCCGAGAAGCCGACCACGCAAAATTTGTCGAAATTTTTTGTCAGGTCTTGACACCAACCAAGTTTTTTGAAGAATCAAACTTCTGCATTCGGCGAGTAGGCGAATCAGATTTCAGAAAAAAATGTCGCCAAAATTCCGGATATTTTTCTCGTTTCTTTTTGTTGACCCGCGCCGCTACCAGAAGATTTTGAAGTTTTTTTCTTAATAAAAAAATCCGATCAAATAATTTATTTTTTACTGAAAAAGCCTTCAACCTTCTGCGCGTGACCTTTCATTCGAGTTTACTACGTTCATTTATAGCGTGTGTATAAGGACCGTCCACCTGACAGGTCATGAAAACTCTGACAAACACGCTCAGACTGGCCAGAAAATTATAATAAGTTTTTAAAAAGAGATGGTTTCTATACGAGAACGTCGAGCAAGCGCGCTAGAAAGGGTTCAAAATCAGGTATTTTTCGAAATTTTGGATTTGCTGAATTTTGAACCCTTGAGCTTGGACATGTAAAAATTAATAATTTCCGAGCAAAAGTTGAAAATGAATGTTTAGGCAGTTCTGATTTCAATTTTGTACATCGGAATGGGTTCTTTCCTGCTCTATCTCGTCTCCGACTTTTACACGTTTCTGGAGAGCCCGCTGATGAAAACGAGAAATGGAGAAGTGCGCACTCGTGATCTCATTAATCTTCCTGAAGGGTAAGTCAACTCGAGATTTTAAGAGCAAAATAGCGGCAAAATTGGACATTTTTGATCAAATTTTTGGAGAAAAATGAGAAAGCGACCGTTTCTGAGCGACGTAACCTTCAAAAATAATTGACCAACTCACTTTTTCCGAAATTTGAAATTAGGGTCTTCATATTACCATGATAAGTATTTATACTGTATCTTTACAAGAAAAATAAGGGTGTCCCTATGAAAAGTTTCAGAGTTATTTTCTATGAAAAATCCTTATTCAAGAATTCCAACGCCATTCTTTCGATAGTTTTCCAAGTTTCGAAAGTTGTATTTTTCTTCACGAGCGCCTAAGTCGATTTATATTTTATTGTGTCTGGCGCGCGGCCAGACCCCAGACTGACACTTTGAATACCTTTTCAAAGAAAAACCTAAAGGCAATTATGAGTGACCAATATTGACAGTTTCTGAGATGATGCTCAATTAGCTAATGCAGCACTTTCGCTTGACGTCAGCTAAGACCCTTCAAGGTCGATTGGATTATGCAGAAAAGATATCTCCAGAAATAAGCCGCATTTTCTATGCATGTGCTCTTTTGGGGGCAATTAAGTTATTTTGTGGAGAAAGACAGCAAATTGCATTTTCACAAGTTCATTTTAAAACTGAAATCGCAGTTCAGATTTTGAACTTGCAAATAATTTTCGTCATTTTTTATTATTCTACAGAGAAATAAAATCTATGTCAGCCCCTAAAAAGGAGCTTAATTTTTAATCCCCGCCTCAATCTTCCTTGATTTTTAATAATCCCTTTTTTCAGAACGAAGAACAGTCTTTTATTATTCTACTTCCTCTTTTGCTCGATCGCCATGTCTACTGGCTTTGTTTGGCTCTTTCTTACTGTTAGCTACGATGTGGTTGTTTTTAGGGTGCTTCAGACGATTCTAACGCTCATTTCAGGGAATGGTCCTCGTTGATTGCAAAATTTTATTTTGAAAAATTAAGATAATTATTTTATTAGCTTATTTATTAGTTTTTATGAGAGATTAATTTAAATGACAATATAAATAATTGTTATTCTAATAAATTATTCTAATTTTTATTTGCTATCAAAAATTATTAATTGAAATTTCAACTATTCAATTTTCTAATTATTTTTTTTTTAATTTTCAATTTTTTTATAAATTTTATAAATATTTTCATTATAAAAATATTTATATTACAAAAAACGAACCTCCAAAAAGTACTGAGTTCATTATCAGGCATCATCAGCCCTTGTTTCATTAGAGAGAAGATTTCTCCCAAAGAAAAGGAGCTGCACCAAAAGGAAGGATTAAATTAGTAAATGCCCATTTTTGTAGCCTCGGCGACAAGGGATCTAATCCAATCTGAGCTAATATCGCTTATGTTGACGTTCGGAATGTTGTTTATCCTCTCTTGCTTCTCGATTTATAATATTTACTGGCGAAAGCAGCTCATGCAAGACGAAGGTAAGCTTTTACTAACAAATGAATAGCTGAGTTGCAAATTTTCTTAGCTAAGATAGCGAAGCTAGCGGAGATAGCTAAGCTGCCGGCTTAGCTAAGTTTAGCCTCTTAGCTTAGCTGCTAAGCGATTCCCAAGAAAGGGTCAGCTTAGCTTAGCTGAGCTTAGCTTTCGTTTAAAATCTCACCTCGGCTTCGCTTAGCTAAACTTGAACTTCAGCTTAGCTGTCTTAGCTATCTTCTTTTATGTTTTTAGCTAAGACAGCTAAGCTGCTGGCTATTCCTAGAAAAGGGTCAGCTTAGCTTAGCTTAGCTATCTTTTTCCCATCTATCTTGGCTAAGCAAAAATTTTGAAATATTTGCAACTCTGATATAAAGCTAAGGTTGTAGGCGGTCACGAGGAGACTTTTCTCCCAGTTCGTATTTTCGCGAACGAGGAGACTTTTCTCCCAGTTCGCCGAAATTCGAACGAGGAGACTTTTTTCTCCCACTGACCACGTTCTGAGAATTTTTGAACGAGGAGACTTTTTGCAATTATTTTCTCTAGATGAGTTTCACTGCGTAGATTCTACGCCGTCGAAGATGAATGTTCGACTGATTGTCTACAAAAGATAACTGGAGAAAAAACTTTCAGAGGATAAGGAAGAAAATAGGCTTGGCAGGAGAAAATTATAAAAGAAGACAAGACTTATTCAGTAACCCTAAATAACCCTAGCCTATCCCCCTCGGGTAAGTTTGTTCTGTCATTTCGCCCAGTGCCCCCTAACCCTAACCTCAAATATAAGAAAATGCTCCCAACTGCAAATTATTCCTCAAAAGCCGGGATTTGGCGAGCCCGAGAGTGTCTATGCGCTTCGCGCCTGTCTTTTAGAAAACCTCGTAGAAAATGAGTCATATTATCAATCAAGATAACTACGGAAAATGTTTTCAAAAAAGTCTCCTCGTAACCGCGATTCAGTTGAGAAATGAACGGGGAGAAAAAATGTCTCCTCGTTCGCATTCTGACGAACTAGGAGAAAAGTCTCCTCGTTCGCGAAAATACGAACTGGGAGAAAAGTCTCCTCGTGACCGCATATCACCTAAAGCTAAGACTGATTCTAGATTACGTACAAGAAGTTGAACGAGTTCCCGGGCAGTCGGATAAACCGCCAGCGTACGATACTCTTGCTCTTAGTTCACCTCCTCCAAAGGTAAAATTAAACGTCTTTTTGATATGAAATAAGAGCGATTTTGAAGTACGAATCGGTGGTGAGAATATCCCAACAAACAACGAAAAGCTGCTTCTTATGAAAAAAATTACTGACTTCTCTTCAAAAATTTATAATTTCTTCCATCAGCACAAATAAAGGACAAATCTCTTTACTGGTATCTTTCTTTTTCGAATGATTTTTCATTTATAGCGGGATATTTGCCTTGAAATAAAGTGAAGCTGACGGCAAAAATTGCTCATTTTTTCGATAAATCATTTCGTCTTCATTTTTATAGCAAAGTTTTCTTGCAAAATCGAAGCTTATCAATTGAGAAAAGGCAAATGCATGTAAGTTTATTTTATGTTTTTTTAATTTAATGCTGGTAAGAGATGAGAATCTGCAAGAAGAATGCAATGACATTTGCAGAGTTGATTATGCCTACTGTCGACTTCTGTGCGAGTCCGACTACTGTCTCTCTATTTGCGAACGAAGCTTCAAAGGTGAAATTTATTACCGTAGAGAGGGGTTATCATTTGAGCCTATGATTCGAGCCATCCAATATCTAAGATATTATATCTCTAGAGTCTGGGCTAGTGGTTAGGGTAAGGAACTGGGAGAGGGTCTCGGGGGCAGAGCCCCCTGGGTTAGGGTTAGGGTTAGGGGCAGCTCGAATGATAACACCCTACTACTTTTATTACTGCAGATTGTCTGGACGAATGTCCTTGTGGAGAAAAATGCCCAAATGGGTGTGAAAACTGTGAAAATCCGATCTCCCATGGCTCGGAAGTTTCTACTGCTTTTTCGACAGTAACGATTAGACCGTCCATTTCTCCAATAAATCTTATTAATATGAAATCGAGATTCTGATCATTTGTACAATTAAAGCGAAACTGCTATTTTGGTTTTGATGCCTTAAGTCAACGATCCCTGCATTCTTTCTGGAGATGACGAAGAAACTTCCAAACTAACAATTTACGCTTCTCATAAGAATTTTGCTCGAAATGCAGCTTCCGGCATTGTCAAAGGGGATTTCTACTTATTGAGTTGAAGTTCTAACAAGAGACATGTTGAGGTTCACCTTTGCTTGTAATGAGACGAGAGAAAACTCAAGTTTTAGGGTTCAAAAAAAAAAAAATGTATATAATGGAGGTTTTCGTAATAAGAAGTGAACAGAAAAACCCGGGAACCCTCGACTCGCCGGGATTTCCTCGACTCGCCGGGGATTTGCAAATTTTTTCCCGGCGAGTCGAGGGTGATCTAGAGATCGCGAGAATCATCAATTATACCGATTTTTAACGCTTTAATATTTTATATTTTCAATCATTCGGAATCATTCATTCCTAATCAATATTTCCAAAACAAAAGGTTAAGTGGGGGGTTATATTTTGGGTTTTAGGTTAGGGTTTAGGGTTAGTGTTAAGAAATGTTGTTTCTAATTCGAATTAGGGATAGGGTGGATAACCCTCGACTCGCCGGGATTCTCTCTGCATAGTTTTTCCCGGCGAGTCGAGGGTCGGGCGAAAATCCCGGCGAGTCGAGGGTCTCCCGAAAAACCGGCGCTGGGCCGAAAGACAGGTTTTGAACAGGTGCAGGAATCTCTTTCCAACATATCAAAACATACACCAAGATTCTAGCGGCGTGAACCGACGATTTTCGAAGAAAATTACGAAGATAATAAGGTCGAACATTTTTGATCTCTTTCTTTTCTTATCATGATTTTAATTAAAGTATAGCTTAGTTCTCACGATCCATTCTCATCGGGAAACTCAATCGACTCAGTATTACATAGAACAGTGGGTCAATTGCTAAATTCCTGTAATAAGATTACAGGGGGTCAACAAGGTGAAAGTTGAGTTGATAATTGATGGTGGGTTTGAACAGTTCTATCATAAAAGATCAAAATAAGCAGTGTTTACGGTAGTCGTGCAGGGAAGTGTGACTTTTATCATATTAGTAATATTAAAATGTGAACGAACATAGTCAGCTGATTGATAGAAAGAGCGTCCGGAGCGTTCCGGTACAGATCAAAAGCGGCTGGAAAGTCACGGCAAGTGTTTAAGGGGGTGGTGAACGAGAATCGGATTTTTTTCAACAAAATTAGCTCAAAATTTTTCAAAAAAAAATTTTTTTTCTCAACAAAAATGGGTTTAAAAGGGTTCAAATTGTTTTGGCGACTTAATTAAAAAAAAAATTTTTTTTCTCGGAAAAAGCTCAAAATATGCTTCTAAAGTGGACCTATCTCGTGACAAAATTGTGAAGAAACCCTTAAATTTTTTTCAAAGTTAAATTGATTGTGAAGATAGTTAAGACCCTCAAGGATGTGGGCAAAATACATTAGTATCCATTAGTAATGTAGTTTCAAAAAGGTTCTGTTACAATTTCAGGTCGCAAAAGCTGATTTAAAAAATGTTGCTATCTTCAAAATCATCATTTTTCACCCAATTTGAAATTTAATTTTTCGAAAAAAATCATAACTATTCTCAAGTATTGCCTTTTTATGAATAAAATCTTATATTTTAATAATATCTCGAAGCAAAAATCATGTAAATATCGGTCTTAGCATGGAAAATCAAATTTCAAATTTTCGAAAAATCGTGAATTCCCGACCTAAAATCGATATTTTCTAAAGGAAACTTGATCCAATAAAAAAATTGTAGTGACCGATTTGCAGAACGCCGTTCTGGAAGAACTTGGCCGCCCGCCGGTTCACAATGGGTTAGTTTACAAATAAAAGGTATGACGTCTTTAAATCCTGGACTTTCTAGGCGAATCATGTTAGCTTATCCTTATCGAATTCAAAAATCCTTTAGAACAGTATTCTCAACACTGGACTTTTCATTGTCTAGGAGGAAATATCTAAAGAACAGGTGACACGGAAAACGAGTTGCAGCTCAAACAGATAATGAGAAAGAAATGAAAAAGTGAAAAACTAATGAAATTTTAAGCTTACTGTAAGAAAAAAATTTTTGAGTATCATGATCCCATCAGATTTCGTAAGTATGAGAAATAGCGCGTAAGGGGCGCGCGTAGATTGGCACCAAAATAATTTTAAAATGCTTAACAATTTGTTAATAACAAATAACCATTTTTAGTGTCCCCCCTTATTCATTCTCCTGCTTTCAAATCTGAAATCAGAATTCAAAAATCTTTTCAAGAGAATTCTTTTTTACCCTTAAGGACCCCTTCCACGGTTCGGTTTTTCGAGAATTTTGAAGCCGTCTAGCGGCTAAACTAGATGCGATAGATTATCTCCTAACAAAGATCTGACAAGGGCCATATGCAAAGAATCTGTTCATGAAAAATGAAAGTGGAATGATGTCGGACAAGGATTCTACAGCGATTTGAAAATCCGCAACATCCAAACCATGGGAGGGGTCCTTTAAGCAGCAAACAGAGGCAAAAATGAAGCTTTTGTTTTCATCAAACAAGAAAAATAATTCAAATTATTATGGTTTAGTTTTGAAAGAACCCGTAAAGCGAACATGTGTGTTAGAGGTGCACATTGCCTCTCGAATTCTCAGTTTAGAAAACACACATTCAAGCAGGCAAAACAAAGTAAGATATTGTTTTTGCGTAAACGGTTTCCTCAAAAATTAGTTGCTTCTTTAAGGCGCCAGAAAATACATAACATGAAGCAAATAAATATCATACCTGTAGGAAAAACTGTAGGCTATTTGACGTTGTTTCCAACAAAAATGCGAAACAACGTCCTTTGAAATGCAGAACGCCGACGGAAAATCTGAGAGTTGCAAAGATTAACACAAAACATTAAAAAACGTTTTCTTAGGGCCGGAATCTCTCTGTCGACACCCTTAAATTAATCTATCTTTCTAATGGAAGTTCTTCGGGATTTTACCCAGAAGCATGACGGGGGATCGTCGAGGTAGAACTCGCAAGGCACCGATTTCGTCGATTTTAAAATGCGCCGTGGAAAGTTAAAAGAGATGATTATGAAATTTTCATTTAAATAAAGCGGCTCTTAATGTCTCTGAAAAGATCGTTTATCAAAAAAGAATTTTTAACATGGGTCTAAAAAATATTTCTTTATTTTCTAATCGGATTTTATACAAACCCAGGTTGCATGACCCTTGATTTTAATCAACCATTTTGACATGAATGCTCTCTGATGTCTAAACTCATTAAAAATTGTTGTATCCTAAATAATAGTCACCTTCCATTGATCATTGACTAATAACATTTCGCTGGAACAATCCTTAATATTTTGCCATCCGCTGAATAATACTTCGAACAAACCAAAAAAAGTTATAAATTCTCGTCGTAAGCACGTTATCAAGTCTTTCAAATTTAATTTTAAAGAACTGATATAATTGTCAAAGTTGGCTTCTCATGAATCGATGTTTGAAATTAATTTTTGGACGCGTTCCGGCCTCAATGGGTCTTTGTCAGCCCTAAGCACAGATTAAGATTTATTTAATTTTTTGAAAGTTTAAAAAACAGGAAAAACAGTCTCTCACCTAGAGTGCACAATTTCGAATGCAGGCAAAAATTGAAAACATAAAAACATTATTCGCTTTCGCGGGAAGGTGTAATGGAGCGCAAGAAGAAAGCAATTAACACATATTTTTTGAACTCTGATTAAAGTCTGTGCAATGGGCTAACAAAGGCCGATTGAGGCCGAAACGCGTCCCAAAATAACATCAAACATTCAAAACTTATAAAACTTCTTTAAATTATGCTTAAAACTATATATATGCGCAAACGCACGACGCACAGAGCTTATGGAAAAGCCCCTTTCTCCTTCATTATCTTCAACTTTTCGAGGATAAGAATACTCGAGACCTTATTTTTATGGTACTTAAAGTCTTCGAGAATAACAGAATTGAGGTCGAAAAATTTTTTTTTTTAGGTTAAATGTCAAATTTGGGCAAAAAAAAACAGAGCAAGAGTTTCAACCATTTATATAAAAAAAATTTGTAATAGTTAAAATGATCGTTTTTATTAATTGAGACTAGGGAAATATTTGATAAAAATTATTTTATCGATTTGATGCTATATGCTCAACAAACAAAATCAAAATGGAGCGAATATGCATTTTTGTTACACTGCATGATTTTAAACCTTGTTCAGTTATTATCCTTTATTAGCGTGAACATTTAATTTATTGACCAAAAAATGCTCATAATAACGATCTGTCTGTGCAGAGCAATTATGCTGATATTTAAATCAATTACATTGACTTTCCTAAACAAGGCCTGTTATTAAGAAAACAAAACAACCTTATGCTCCGCAAAAATGTTCTACAATATTTGATTCATTTGAGATAAATTATTTTCTGTTTTGATCATTTCAAGCATCGACAAAAGTCGAGCTTTTCAAGCGATTTTCATCAGCTCTATGAAAAGATAAACATTTTGTTGATATTTATTTCGATTTTTTTTTATAAAAAGAATCCTCTTTATTATTATTGCAACGTTCCTTTTTTGCGTGTTTTTACTGAGCAAATTCCCTCTTACCGTAGCAAGAGCGCCATCATATAAAATGCTTTAAATTCAAGTTACTTTTATTCTGCCTTATCATTATTCTTCTCAAAATAAGACGAAAGAGAATTCGAATCGTTCGATATTTGAGGTAATATAAAAGATTCTTTTTACGCGTAAATGCCTTTTCTCGCACCTGGGTTTTTTGAGCTTTATAACGGAAAGACCTTAACTCGGCAAACTCGGAAGACCCTGCAGACAATTTTTCATCAAATTTTCCCCTGCTCTCTGATTATTTTTCAAAGAGATACAATTTATCGTAAGAAAGAGTTTCTTCAAAGTTAAAGACTACAATAAGTTGCAGTTCGAGACCAAGAATCTTATTATTTAAGCAAATTCGGGGTTTTCTACCATTGTACACGCGGAACGGGCTAAAGGGACTCCGCCGACGCAGCTCCGCGCGCCAGGCTCGCTCTTTTTCACTCTCACTTTCCATTGGGACAATATTCTTCGATTTTTTTGAAGCTTTAGGACCAAACTAAAATTTTTATTCTCTTTCATCTCCATCTTTAAATATTATCATATGTTGTAGCTACGCTGAGTGGCGGCAAAAACTTTGACGCTCAATTTAAAGTGTACATAAGTACTCGAAATAATCGGATTGAGACTTTGAAACTCGACTCATTGGAAAGCCCGTAGTCTCTTCTATAAAGGTCACGCTGTGAGATTTCCAAGAATTGTATTCTTATCTGATTATCGAGGGATTAATGCGGGTCTCCTGGATTGCTCGGCGTGATATCCGCCCTTTTTACACTGTAAGCGCGCGGCCCCCGCTATGTCCCTATACTAATCGGTCGATTATATTAATTGTATTTTTTTCAAATAACCTCACAGCGTTATCTTTAAAGAAGAGACTACGGGCTTTCCAATGAGTCTAGTCTAAAAGTCTCAATCCGATTATTTCGAGTACTTATGTACACTTGAAATCGAGCGTCAAAGTTTCTGCCGGAACTTAGCATAGCTACAGTTTTTTATGGAATTTTTGGACATCAAATTTTCGGACATTTTTGCAATTTTAAGGGGTTTTCTTGGGACACTTTTAAGCAGGGGTCAAAACAGACTAGTCTGTCCAGCCTAAAGTCTTAGTCTGCCTAGGTTAAGGCTGCAAGAATAACAGACTACCAAAAAATCCCATCATAAATTAGGCTCGTTTTCAGCCCAGCCTAGACTTAAAAGTCTGCAGACTACAGACTAAATCAAATTAGGCTGTTGAGGCTGTCAGCCTAGCGGAGACTTAAATTGTCTATTTCTAGATTTTTTTGGTTTTTATCTAGACTTTCGCAATGCCGGCGAACATTTTGCACCATTTGTGATTGAGGCGTTGGTGCACCCTTTACCCGCTCTTTAGGGTTGCACTACCTGCGCCAGAGTTGTACATTTGACAAAATGTTCTCGTAACGGAGATATATCCGCTGCTATATCCGCTATCTCCGCTAGTTTCGCTACGCAAATGTACAACTCTGAACTGCGCAGACCACTATAATCTTTTAGGCGAGTTTTTAATCGCCACAAAGACTTTAACGGGCAATTTCTCTACGAATAACTTAGCGAAATGAAAAAAATTTTTACTTTTATGAAAAATTCGGACATTTCTCTACCTAGTACTTACTTTAAAAAAATCCTCGACAAATAAAGATTCTTTTAACCCTATTTTAAACGAGCCTTAAAAAAGGAAAGCTCCAGACTAAAGTCGCAGACTTGACCAAATCTATGAATTTTAAGGTTGCAGACTTTCAGCCTAAAACAGACTAAGTCTGTCAGCCTTGGCCAGCCTAGACTTTTGATTTTCCCTAAATACCCAGCCCAGACTTGCAGCCTAAAAAGGCTGGAAAATCGCCCAGCCCAGCCTAGACTAGACTTTCAATTTTTAAAACGGATTTCGACCCCTGCTTTTAAGAAGTGCTTGTATCAAATTTTTGGACATTTTCTACGCCAAAATTTTTAATTTTCTGTTTTTTGTGAGATATGACGTCTTTTCTTATCAAAAATCTTATTTTTTCTTTGAGAAAGATAAGATTGGAGGTTGATCTCGTACCCCTAGAGTATTTTATGTCTTTGGAAGATGGAGAAAACTCAGGATGATTTTCCTCAAAAAAAATTTTTTAAGCGATTTTGATGGGAGATCTTCGCTGTATCAAATCCCTGCTTGGTACATTTTTATTTTTGTAACATTGAAAAATTCCTTATTCTAAAGGTGTTAACCCTTTACAAAAATCAGATTTTGTAAAGTTCTTTTCAGCTGGACGATTTTATTATGGCCAACATAAGAATAGAAGATTTTTATAAAAAAAAATTTATTTTCATAATAATCATTTTTAATTTTGAATCATATTTAAGAAAATCTTCATTTTTATGGTTTTTCAGGGAGTATTTGACATCGGAAAAGAGATGAGGTAAAAAAAAAATTTTGGGATGACCGATTTTTGCCCGTTTCTACTTCAAGATTATTTTATCTTAGGTCTAACTAAAGATATAGGTATTGGATGGTGAGGGTTTCTCAAAAAATAGAAGCGCTCGATAAGATTACCAATTGGTATTCTAATACCAATTTTTGAATTCAAATACCAATTTTTGGTATTCAAATACCAATTTTGGTATTCGAAAACCAAATTCGCCAAAGAATACTTATTTCGCCCGTCAAAAATGCGAGTGTGCGCTCCGCGCCTGTTTTAAAGGAAGCTTAAGATGTGATTTACCTGTCTTTGAAGGAAAAAATTGTTTTCAGAAGAAATATTTGGTATTTTCATACCAATTTTTGGTAATCTAACCGAGCGCCCCCGAAAAAAATGTCCAAAAAATAAAGTTAAAAATCGCTAAGCAACATAAATCTTCGACATTCTGCCTTAAAAATTGCTTCCAATTTATTGAGTTTTTCTTATAATTTTGCATTCAAAAAAAACCAAAGATGAATATAAGAAGATAAACAAGCTTCTCTATTAAAGCACTTTTCAATACCAATTGAATTTATGAAAATCTTTGTTAACGAAAGCATTTTTTTTTAATTTAAAGAGCTTGAAGATCCAGAATCCATTTTTTAGAAAAAAGTCATCAATATTTATGTGAAGTGAAGTCTTTTCTTAGAGAATATTAATGAGAAAATTGTTTTGCCATGAGCGAATCCAATTATTTTTTTAAGCCGCATTCATAAGTTTCCCCCTGGGCTAGACCCCGGCAGAGCCCGTAGGTAAGGACCATTTTGATTTTACTTTTTATCACCAAAATGAAATTAATAAGCCTATGTATTTTGGATAAAGAATTAATCTTGATTTAAGGGGCTTTTGGTTAAGAATTTTATTTGATGTTTTTTCAATTTTCAATCGTATTTTTGGATTCCTTCTGACTTCTTTTTGCATTTTTAACTTCGTTATGCAAAAAATGAATTTAAAAAAGTAAATTGAGAGCGCGCGAGGGAAAAAATGCCGCGCGCCGAGCGAAAATTCAGGCAAAGCGGGTCGATTTGTCGTCGCGCGCCATATTTTGAGTTTTTAAATCATCTGTTTAAAAGTGAAGACGTGGATGGAAATTCATAAAATTTAGTGGCCAACGTGCTCAAGTGTTTCAACTCCCCCTTTAAAAAACTTTATTTTAAAAACAATGATAAGGAGATAGCGTTTTTAAGGTCACGATTGGTCGACTTCGACGAAATTTTTCACCATCTTCCCGAAAAAATATTTTTTTTTCGAATTAAGCAGCCCACATAAATAAGACCCTTTTTAGCCTATTTACATTGAAAGAAAAAATTTTTTTTGAAAAAATTTGAGTTTTTTAGGTTGATAAAAATCTGAGTCTCGACCACCACCCCATTAATAAGATAACTACATTAATTATTTACATTTTTATTAAAAAATATCTTTATTAAAAATATACCTTTTCATAAGGTAAATTTTGACGTTTGAGGACAAGATTGGGAGCTTAAGATAATCTTGACCACGAGGGCACGCTTGAAGATGAATCTCGAGTCTTGGTTTAGGTGCGAGGATTTAGGTGAGGGAGACAGGGGCAAGCTTATTGCATTCTTTCGAAGTTTACGTGGCAAACCATCATTTTAAACATTTATTTCTAGCCAAGATAAACAAGTGTAACCTATGAAGCTTTCCGCCTACTTCCTTTCATCATTTCTATGCGATCCAATTCCTCAAGAGGAAAACCTTCCTTCATCTGATTCGAATAAAATCGCTCAAAGTTCGATTCAAAGATCCGTTTCTTTGTTTGACAGGCTACCAGATGCGCTCATGGACAAGTTTGCTGACATTGGAGAGTATTCCTGTAATAATGCTCAATTTCATTATGAAGGATGAGATAGAACAAACTATTGACTATCAATAATATTGTTATAAGTTTCTATTTATTGCAAGCGCCTTAACAGACTCTATTTTCAAATAAAAGCTGACTTGCGCTTTATGGACCATTTAACGAATATCGCGAAAAAGATCTTTTTTAGAGAAGCGCCAAATCAATATGATTTTTAAATCGGCACTAATTGTGGAGCTATCTTAGAACAGTATACTATTCATTTTTGACATTTAATGTTTTTAATATTGAATATCGGGAAAGTGCGATAAAATAACCTGATTACTTCTCTCTTGAGCTGAATTTTAAATGGTCTTAAGATGCTTAAATGGTACTGATATTATCGGAATTAGGAAACTCAAGATAAGGTTTCTCTTAAAGTTAATTTTTTAACATATAAAATGTATTTTTGTTAAAAATTCTTATAAGATTTCTTATGATTTAAATATCTTTGAAAAGGTCCATCGAAAATAGCATTCGATAACAGAATTGCTGTCAAACAAGAAGACATTCAAAAAGCATTCGGCTCGATGTTTACTTCAGATTTGGTTATCCAGTATATGACAGAAATAACGCAATATATGTCATTTATTGGCTATTTTCAAGGACACAGGTACAGCAAGTAGATTTTTTATTAAAAGAAAATTAACCCGATAGCAGGGGCAGTAGGCTTTTGCCTGCACAAGAGCCCGTCGGTGATTGACTCAAATTATGAATCCGAACATGGGATTTGCTACTCATTTCCACGCGTGGAGATAAAATCTCCACGGACTTGTTAACGGAGTAAGAGACCCAGTTAGCCCTAAAATTACTGGCTTTCCAAAAAAACTTGGATATTGAGTCTTTTGAAGGCCCTTGAAGCCCTCATGGTAAAAAATGACCCCATGGTATCAATTGTCAAAATGGTGCGCATGATCTAAGCATTCAAAAACTGCATCGATAACCTCCCTACCCAACCCCAGAAAAAAGTCGAAATAATTACCGGTTCTCCTACTGATGCTCAATTTTCAAGATTTTTTTGAATTTTTCTTCTGCAAATCATACCTTCGGACTCTCTTTTATTTGCTGTTATCTGAATTTTTATACAGCTAAGAGTTTTGTCGCCAGAACTGAACAAAATTTATTTACTTCAAAAATGATCTTGTCCTCCAATTTCTATTTTACCTAATCAAAATTACTACCAGTTGAAAGCGAAGGAAATTCTCTTAAAATCCCCACTAGTATGCAATTTTAATGTCAACACTGATTGTGATCAGGAAGCGATTCTTGGAAGTACTTAGCGCGCTCGGTGGAATTCCATCGCAAACAAGTCTTTTGTAGCGCTTTGTGACACGGTGCCCGCGTTAGATGTGGTTAATTTTCATGGTTATCAGTTTCTGCATGATTCTTATCATTAATGAGCTCATTAAAGTTGCAAACTTGGTATGATTTGTAGAGAATTTTCTCCGCTTTTTACTTAAAGTAACTTTGATTTGATATAATGAAAATTGTAAAACAAGATAGCTAATGAAGTTTATTCATTTCAATCAGTTCTAGCGATATAGCTCTAAGCCTTATAGAAATTAAGATTACAACATATGAAACCTGAGAGTCTAAGGAGAAAGTCTCAGAAGATAAATTAAAAAATCTCGAGAACTGATCATCAGGGGAGCCCTGAACCCGCGCCTGAATCAACCTAACTGGGTCCCTTAAGATTGCAGTACTCACAGGTCACTTGTGCGCAATTGCGATTCCCGGAATCGGAAGACTTGACTGAAATTTTTGTTGAAAATCAATAAGAAATGATTCATTTGAATTTTTCATCATATAAAATAGATGTGATGGTTGATTTAAAGGGAATTTTGCAGCATTGAATATAACAAATTTGTTTCTTGAATTGAGCACCTTCATTTTATACGCAGTCTTATTCAAGCGCTTTTTATTCGCACTTAGTACATTCATTTAAGAGGCATCAAAATTGAAGATACTCTCAATTTTAAAATTTTTTTTTGAGAGAAGAAGAATTTAAAGTAAAGATCAAAATTTCTTTAATCACATTGAAATCAATATTAAAAAAAATTTATTTTAAAGATAACACCTTTTTTAGTTTAGACTATCCGGATCAATGGTTGGACTTTCTGGACACGCGAGCGGATTTTCTTGGAAATTTCTTTACAGAAGGGCTAATCAATGCCCTGAGACATTTTCCTTTTAATGAATGCAAGAGAAAAATTGTTACAAGTAAGTGAATTTTTTCGTTCTTAATTTGGGAATGTTTCAATTGCGAGATTTTTTCCGCATTGATTTTCTTTTAAATCGAAAATAACTGGTGAATAATGAGACATTTATCTCAGCGCCAGTTACCCTTATTGTGCCAAAAACGTGATTTCATAGTATGCAAAAATATGTCAAATTTTTAGTTTTATAGATTCCAAGATGGAACATACCGCGATTTCATTCGGACTGACTGCAAGCGGGTGAGGGCGCTCGGGCGCAAGGCCCAGGGGAAATTTCGCTTTCGGACTTTTCGAACTCTCGCTCTGGGCGGAACGTTGCTCCGGCGTCGGGCGCTGATCCCTTCAAAGTGATCCCGCGCTTCCATTTTACGTCTAAATAATAACCCAAAAATTTGTTTCATGAGAAATAAATTAGTTCAGAAAATATTTTTCGGAATCCGTCTTTTCATTGAATAACGAATATTTTGATACCAGTCATCGTTGATTTTCGGTGATTTTCGACAAGCGCCGGATTTTCTTGGGCAAAATTCAGAATTTTATTCACTTACGGACATGATTGAGGTTTCCGGCGAGTATTTATGTGCGTACTAGCTACCCAAGTGGAAGTATGCAATTTGCCTGGTCACCGTGGCCAGACTTCGACCGAAATTCCTAGTCTGGCCAAGTGGACCAGACTTGAGTTATTCCAATTGCCAATTGTCTCTTATCTCGCGGCTCCGCCCCCTAGGTCCTAATATGCTGGGGTCTAGTCTAGGGTTACTTAGGGTACATTAATTAATCCTAACTAACCCTAGCCTCCTCTCGTGTGAGTTTATTTTGTCATTTGTCCAGTGCCCCCAACCCCAACCTGGCCAGACTAGGGGTTTCGGGCGAAGTTTGCCGGCAAGACTCTGGCCAGGGTGACCAGACTAGAAATCTTTGGCGAAGTCTGGCCACGGTGGCCAGGCTAATTGCAACCCTCCACCCAAGTTCGATCCATTTTTGTTTATTTTGATAAAATTTGACATTTCCTAATTTTCTCGACGGGAGATCATGGCCCAGTTTTACTCCCGAAGATCGATATCTTGTTATTAGTATCATTTGAAAGCTGAAATCACGCTGAGGAAAATTATCATATCTTTATTTCTAAAAGATCGTTTAAGTATAATAGATATATTTTTAAAAAATAAAAAATCGGTCAGGGGGATTAACGTTGTCGCTGGTTGAAAAGGGTCGAGATCCGCGATGGTCGTGTGAGAACTCGCGCGGCGCCGACTCCGTCGATTTTCTTAGGTGGCGCGGAAAGTTAAAGGAGGTGCAAGAAAAAAGAGTTCACTTTTTTGGTGACAGAAAAGGCTTGATTTCTGTCACCAAAAAGAGAGTGCAGTCACTCAAAATGAAATCGCGGTACAATAGGGCAAAATTTGAGACAAAATAAGAGAGGAGAAAGCAAACCGAAAAGAAAGAAACTTTTTGTTAAGGAAATGAAGCGTTTAAACTAATTGTGATATAGCAACCATAGATCTCTTTATTTTTAATGTCGATAAAGACGGATTCATGAAGCATCTTCATATTTTTTTTCCTTAATAAATTATTGTAAGGGGTCATCAAGTCAAATAATCAAGTTATCTTCTGTAGCTTTCAGATCTTCATCAATTTTACGACTAATTGCCGCGAACCTGGCTAAAGACGTTGACCACCGCGTGACATTTTTTACGAAATAAAATTTCACATTCTTTTCGATTTCTCCTAATCATTTTTTCGATTTTAAAAAATTTTAAATAAAATAAATTGATTTGGCTTTTGATCAGGGCCAATTTTATCTTTTAACGCCATCTCGAATCATTGTTATTACCATTGAAGGAATCAGCGCGTGAGATATCCTTTTGTCGGCCGCGTAAGAACTTTAATTCAAGATTCTCGAGGAAAATATTTTCTCAAATTTTTCTGGGACGCACTGACTATGTCGCCGAATGTCGCCGAATGTCTCCGAATGTCGCCGAATGTCGCCATTTTGTTGAAAATAGCCTCAAAATAAAAAAAACGTTTCGGCATCAAAATAAATTCGTTCTAGAAAATGACGGAGGCGCAAAAATTGACAGGCTCACTCTTTGAGTTTCCTTCTATCCAGGCGCGAAGCGCACATAGATTTCTTGAAGGAATATTTAGTTTAGGTTTCTTATGGCTAGTTTTATGCTTATTTCTGTTAAAATTACATTTTTTAACGATCAGAATATTATTTTCTATAAGAAACGATTTTATGACCAAAAATCGAAGTTTTCTAGAACATGGTGTTTTTGTTTTTTTTTTGGCGACATTCGGCGACATTCGGCGACATTCGGCGACATTCAGCGATATTCGGCGACATTCGGCGACATAGTCAGTGTCAGCCATTTTTCTTTCATAATATGTCTTCAATAAAAGATATAGGAATTTTTGTAAAAGTATATATTTGAATGTTTTTATAAAGAATCAGAGTCGGTTGAAAACAGCATGTTCGCCGAATCGCTTAATCTAAAAAATATAATATACAGTTGGTTTCCTTATTTCCGGACTAATTTTGTTCCCTGGTTTCCAAAAAAATGTCCGGAAATTTGGTCCACCGGAAAAAATTTTATGTCCTACCAAGTATTCTTAAAAAAAAACGTTAGTACAGGCTAAATACAAAGAGATTGTGAAAGAAAAACCACTTAATGATCCTAAGTTTTACTCTTGTTCTTCAACCTCGCGAACAAGCTCAGTTGGCGCCCAAAAAGAAGTTAATTTAACCGTAAATTGAACCCTTTTTTAGAGAAAATGATCCCTAATCAGTAAAGTTTTGAAAAAAATCCGGAAATTTGGACAATGGTCGATTTTGTAGTGTCCCACAAAGATGCCCTAAAATCTGAAAAATGTCCGGAAATTTGGACTCCGGAAATTTGGAAACCAACTGTAAATCGATACTTCTGATTGTTTAATAAAAAATAGAGTTTTTAAGTTCAGCTTTAGACCATTTATTGCAAAATTCATGTTAAAATACATTTTTCATAAATGCGAAGGCTTCATTTAACCCCACGAGTCCAATCGGAGGGCGTAACCCCACGAGTCTAAGTCGACATTTTTTGTCGAAATGGCCTTCCCGATTAGATAACTTATTGAAAATTTGTACTTATACTAATTAAAACGTGCTCTTTCACATGGTGGTCTTTGTTTTTCTCTATCATGAGCAGAACACGATTAATTGGGTCTGACCAAATTTTATAATCACCGTTCCATCTATTTTTAGCGACGCGCTAATTTTAAAATCTTCATGACAATATTTGAGTGGAAATAGACTGAACCAATTAATAAGGCCAGGGTTTTAGCAGGATTACTGCATGATGTATAAATGCTTCCGTTTTTGCTACCTGTATTAGCATTCTTTACGCGCTTGTTTTCAAAAATGTCTGACTCCGAAAATGATAATGAGAATGAAGCTGAGAGATTTCTTTCCGATTAAGAGATCACAGAGTTTCTTGAAAAAGTTGAAGAAGAATTGTTCTGTCTGCCTTCTTAAAACTTTCACCATTTGAAGTCATTACTTCGATTCCTAGCCCAGACTAGCTTTTCTTCATTTTATCTAATTTTAAATATCTTATTTAAATTCTACGCATTTGAAAACCTATATGTACCTTTTTGAACGTAGTAAATCCGATTCTTTGATCCGAAATAATTGTCGGAAGGTTATCGCACGTACTTTCACGTTGGTGCAGAAAGTGATTAATCCGGTACCAAGCGCCACCAAAAGGGATTAGCGCGCTCTTTTTTTGGTCAGAGGTGCTTTATACCAGTGTGAATACACATTACATTTTTCAGCTCGATCCGGATCACAGATAGATCAGTACAGCTAATAAAAACCGGATTTCGACAAAAAATGTCGACTTAGACTCGTGGGGTTAATTGCGGGCATGACAAAAATCGCTTTTTTCGGAAAAAACTATTGCAACCCAATTCAAAAATTTTTTTTCGGATCAAATTATTTATTGATAACGAGGAATCACAAACAATGTGATATTGTCAATCTTCAATATTTTAATTTTAAAGATTTTAAAGATTTTTTAAGAAATATTTTTTTCGGAATTTCGAGAATAACAAGATTTTGTTTAGATACAACCCAAAAATTTATCAACACACAGAATGCGATTCTCGACAATGATAGAATCCGCGCACCGATTCTTCTCGTTAGTATCGACAAAACGGAATCAAAGAGCCTATCTGCCAGGACGGATGATCAAGAAGAGTAAGTATTTAAAGGAAATTAAATATTGATTTATCTTATTTTTACAAAATAATATAAAAACTTATGAGACCTTTCTTTAATTGAGTAATTTAATATTGATGCAAAAATTTTTTTCTTTTAATTTGAAATTTAAGCTGTTGAATAAAATTTTTTATATCATCACCTTTTTTTCAAAAAGCTTTGGTACTGCGAGTCCCCGACGCCCAGGGAAGCGTCTAATAAACTCATACTCTTGAAGAATTAGTATTTTTTCGATTCTTATTAATATAATGATCGTTAACCGACATTGCAACTAGTTAGTTGGATCTTCGTTAAAGGATGAATATATAAATGCATTGAGGCATTTGATATTTCTTTAGTATATCGAAATTGAAATGATAGTATCGGAAAATGATGCCATCCAAGATTAAATAAAAATATAATGTATAGCATTTGTCACGATAAAAATCATAAAGGAGGCAGATTCTGGCCAAAAATGATGCATTCTTTACAGATTTATCGATTCTGTCAAATATTTAGCTATCTGCTATATTTTCTTAAGTTCTGACGAGTTTTACGCCGTTCAAGAGATTGTAAACAATTCAAATGGACCACAAACTGGTAAGTAAGATACAATTTTAAGGGATATTAATTTCCTCAAATATCATTTGCAATTGCGATGTAGTAGCCTGATCGGTTTACACAAGCGCGTTCTGCTTCGATACATCATTTTTAATCATTCAAGCGATAGTTATCACAAAAAAAAATTTTATAACAATTAAATGTTTGAATATCGGATAAGGGCTTCTAACATTTGAATTATTGCGAGTCGAGGATCTATCAGAAGCTCGAAAAAGCTAATATTGTTTATTTAAGACTTTTGACGTGAGCTTTTTTTGATTGCTTTACTGAAAGTGATAGTTGTTATAAAAACGCTGTGTCCTAAAATATCAATAAATTAATTTAAAAAGGATATGATAATTGACTGCGCATTCTTGGCGCGTAATTTGTAACGCTTCTATATCTCAATTTGTTTTCTCGCTTCAGACTCAGAAAAGCTTTTTGCTTCTGAGAGGTTATATCTTGTTTCGTCATTAACTATCTATTGACCTGATTTCCTGACAAGAAATCTTTCTCTCAAACAAGTCGCTGTCAATTAATAAGAAAAAAGGATATTTTTGAATATTTTTTTAGTAACTATTGAGAAAGACATCGTCAAAATGACTGCACAAACGCATACAACAACGAATTCGTGGAATTGGGGAATTTCTGAAAAGTACTCATTCAAAGCAGAAGAAGAATTTGGTTTTGTAAAAACATCTGAGTCTGTCGAAATCGGCATTAACGCTGGCGTTTCATCAAGCTCAACTGATGGAAATTCAAGGTCGAGAACAGTTTGGGAAAAATTCCAATTCACATTAGAAGCACCACCATGTTCGAAAATAAACGGAACAATCAGGTAAATTATAGAAGGCTATTTAAGGACCCCCCCGTCAACAAATTTCGAAAAATCTATTTTCGGAATTTCAAAATTTTGACCCCGGAAATGGATTCTGCAGGTCAAAAAACGATTTTGAGGCTTCATTTTTTGGGGGTCTATCTCGACTCTAACACCCTCAAAATCGCGTTTGAAAATCGGACTTTTTGACGAAAATTGACGAAAAAGTGCCAATTTTGCTATAATTTCAGATTTTTCTTGGTCAAAAAGTGCTCCGAACAAGTTTTTTGTGATTAATTGAACTTCCAGGAACACTAAGAAGCCAAAATATGGGTTTTTTGAAATTTTCGATTTTTTGGGGAAAGTTGTTGACGGGGGGGTCCTTAACGAAACAAAAAATTTTTGCAAAAATTTTGAATTTCAAGGACGTTACGCATCTCCTTTATTTGTCTTTGATAGGCGATAATGGGGGAAGTCCACGGTTTTGAAAAAATCGGAAATTTCATATTTTTTTGAAGATTGTAAAAGCTCGTTAGAAGAGCTAAAAACTTTATGTCATTTTTTTTCCAAATAAAAGAGGAAAAACGGGTGTATGGCGCCCAGGTTATGCATGCATAACCTGGTTATGAAAATGCATAACCATTACACCGTCGCTAATACAGTTTCGCTGCTTACCCTAACCAATTTTTAAAGAAAATTTATATAAAGAATCGACATAAAAACAGCTACAGGATAATTTCTAGAACATTTCGGATAAGACCCTCCGAATGCCTGGACTTTCAATTTTTCCAGGCATTAGAAGGGTCCCCGAAAATGACACTTAAAGAATCGCAGCATTTCTGCGATAAATTGTTTCATTTTGGTCATTTATTAAAAAAGCCATTCATAAACTCAGATTTTTGAATAAACTCAAAGAACAGTTGTTTTCCTCTTTTGTGGACATTTTTTGTCTCAATTTTTCGTAAAAATGTCCAAAATAGTGGGCAAGAGTCTCCAAAAAAATGTTTTTTCTTCGATAAATATTGCTTCGAAAAGTGGCAAATTTCATCATCGAAACGCCTTTTTTTGTCTTGAAGAAAATGTCAACAAAATTGGGGTCTACAAAAGAGGAAAAAAACTGTATTGTTAAATGAAATTTAAAAAGCAATAATCTTCTTCTTATTATTTAGTGTATCGAGGGAAACGAAACAATATGATTTGCATGAGACATTCGAAATTGCTGGAAAACAAGTAACAGTCGATGGAACAATGGAAGTTAGAAATGCACTTACTCAAAGTTTTATCGTTAACAATATTGAAAAAGTAAGTTTCAAATTATTCTCACTAAATACCGGTGAAAGCAGACTCAAATCCGGGGTTAAGCCGCCACTTAGGCCCTCCAATCTTGTGATTGGTCGATGGAAAAAAGATGTCTACAGGGGGTGGAGACATGTTTGAAAACCCGGGTAAAGGCTTGCTTTCACCGGTATTAAGGGTGTCCCCAACGATCGGGCCCGAGTTTTCTTAGTCGGGTGAACAAACTATTTAGTGTTAATTATGGGAAGCTGATTCTAAAGCTTCTTTCAGATTTGAAATATCTCATCTGGTTCTCGAGATATGACTGTTTCTATGACCGCGCTTATGCATTACGGCTCGATAGAAATGCACTGTAAAATGTGTCATTTTCAAACTTTCGATTTTATATATCAACCTGTATATTTTCTGAAAGCTTGAAAAATTTTCTATCCAATGATGCCCATATCGACACGATAACACCATTTTTTCACTTTCGAACAGTGCGCCAAAAGTCGCAAACACGTGCACTTTGGCGCCGAGAAAGGAGATTAAGGGACTTATCAGCGCGCAATCTGAGCGTACCGGGAGATTGTCAATAGATGAAACTATTTTCCCTGAAAAAATTAGGAAAATTCAATTTCAGAAACTACGCTAGAATCGAGCACAAACTTTAGCAAAATCGTTGCTTTAGATAATGCATCGTCTCAGATGCATGCAGTTGAATTTTCAAAATCCGCCAAATTTAATGCAGAGAGGAGTGTTCAAGGAATCCGGATCTGCCCGAAATTTGAAAATTGAATTTGTTGAACTCGAGAAAAACGATCTCAAAGATTGGTCAGAATAGAAAAGTCAGACTTCTTTGAAGAAGCGGTAATGGATTAAAAGATTACAATTTCGAAATTCTGCCAAATTTAATGCAGAGAAATGGGTCTGAATAATAATTGGTATAATTTTTTTGACCAAAAAGTCTTTAGGAAGTGCTATAAATTTTAGCTCAAACTATGGCCCGTTTTAAAAAAATCGTTGGGGACACCCTTAAGGGTAAAAGTATACATCGGCGCGGCGCCGCTCGCTCGATCCGCGCTCCGCAAGAACCTATTTCTCACGAGGCCTTAAAATCTGAACGGATCGAGATTTTTTCGAGATTTAAACAGATTCGGAATTCTCAAAGTCTCTTCTATAAACTGATTGAAAATCAAAACAATTTTCAAAGAGGAACAATGTGAAAAGTGCCAGTTTCCTTCAAATGACATTTTCTCCATAATTTTTCATCCAAATTTTTTGAAAATTAGACTGTCTTGTAGAGAATCGTCAGTTCTACAATTCCTGTGTTTCAGATTTTTTATTTGGGCTTTCAAAAATTATGTCGGCTCTTTTCAAAAGAGAGTTATTCTCGCCCGCGTCTCTCCGCTTCCTATTTCTCGCGGCGCGCTCCCGCTGCGCTCTTTACAAATTGCGATGTAAAATTAATGAAAGCTTAAAACAAAAATGTGAAACACAGGAATTGTAGAGCTGACGATTCTCTACAAGACAGTCTAATTTTCAAAAAATTTTGATGAAAAATTATGGAGAAAATGTCATTTGAAGGAAACTGGCACTTTTCACATTGTTCCTCTTTGAAAATTGTTTTGATTTTCAATCAGTTTATAGAAGAGACTTTGAGAATTCCGAATCTGTTTAAATCTCGAAAAAATCTCGATCCGTTCAGATTTTAAGGCCTCGTGAGAAATAGGTTCTTGCGGAGCGCGGATCGAGCGAGCGGCGCCGCGCCGATGTATACCATTACCCTTAATGCAAAAAACTCTTTAATTAAAAAACTTTATAAAATTCTTATTATAATGTTATTGTTCTCCATCATTTATTAAGATCGAGAACTGCGCTGGTGCTGAGGATATAACTGATCATTGTGCTTTGGATGCAATCGATCCGTTGATTCTCCCTCCAGGAGACCATGAGTGGGTGTGTACAACAACATTAAGAAAAACTGTATGTAAAGCAAGATGCAGAAATGGAAATCATTACAATGATGCTCCTTACAAGATTTACTGCTATCATGAATCAACGTTTTGGTATAAGGACGATATAGAAATGAGTCCTGTTGATTGCTCTTAATTATATTTTCGATTGTTTTTTCTCCTATACTGTTTCTCAAATATTATCTCTCTTGCATAATAATTTTGATTTACAACAGCCGTTCTTGTTTTGATTTTTCTCTTTTCTGCTCACTTTAAACGACTTATTAACAAAGCAAAATATTAATGATTTATCAGAAAGATGATTAATCTTGAATGAGCTTGGCTTAAGATAATCATGAGCAATAAAAAATTTATCAGGTACAGTGGCGTCTCTCGCTTTCAACTCCTTCTTCGCCGCGCGAGAGTGATAATAGAGGACGATTTCAGGCGGCGGGCCTTTGATCGCAACGAGCTAAGATCGCCCGTAGAGGGTGAAAGTAGAAGTGCAATAGGGGGGGTTGAAAGCGAGGGACGCGAGTGTACCTTAGAAATTATTATAATCAAAGATTATTCATCATCGTTTTCTGTGAGTCTGACCATTATTACTGTAACGATCAATGAAGTGGTGCCTTGGGGAATGAGGTTTCAGAATCTTCTTTCCCAATTTTTTTTTTAAACAAATAAATATAATCTGATTATAAAGATCACTCCATATTCAACCGTTTTGGGCCGAAACAGGGCCAATCACACGATAAATTAGATCTTACTTGCAGACGAACGGTCTGTTTTGGCAGAACACCAGTTTTGCAGACACAAAACGCCCGTCACACTCATACTACGATCGATCATGATTCTAAAAATTGGCGAAAATTTGAATAACTTCCAAGTAACGGATATAAAATCCGATAAAAAGCAAAACCAGAGATGCATTGAGCATTTATTTTTATTTCGTCGATGGTGACATTCAGAGAATTTTTTATTAGGAAAACTTTATATTTCCGAAATTTTATATGGATAAAACAAAACTGTCGCCGGTGATTATCATTAGTTGCAACGAATTCGTTACTCTCGGTAAAAAAATTCCGACAACATCGACAAAAATGAGTTACTCTATCAAATAAGGCGCGGAACGCATTTAGATTATCATTTTATAGGACTTTGACTCGTTATTTAACGAATTATTCGTTTTTTTAACGTTATTCTGAAAATTTGGAGTAGAGAATGGGTGGCTCTCGGGCAAGAGTGAACTCCCCTCCGAGAGAGAGATAAGATGGAGGGTTGTGCTCGGCAGCGCCCGGGTCTACCCGACGCTGCTTGGCACTCCCTTCCAGAGAAGGAGAATGTAAACACTTGATCTTCTTTTTTCTCATGCAATCGTGTGGCAAAGCAAAGCGAATCAAAATTTGAAAAGCGGTAGCAAAACAAAATAAAAATTTTCCTAAAAGAGTGATTTTTTTTTTGCTTTTCATTGAGGCTCAAACTGACGAAAAAAGCTTTGCTCTTTACATTAACCACTGCAATAGGATAAACGATTTTTATTTTTACAGATCGAGAGTCTTTACATTAAGTCAGTATTCATCGGTCAAAAATTCCAGCCGTGCACTCATTAAATATGTAACATATTATATCATATAATTTACATGTTTAACTCGATTTTAATCAGGTTTCACGTGGGCCAATCAAAAAAATCTGGAGAACAAGATTTAATTTTTGATGAGGAATTCAAAGATAAGGTCAAAATTTTCCAACTAGAAAATTTTCCATATTGATAAACCCCTCCTTAAATATTGTTTTTTCGCTGAGCCGAGGTTGTTAAACTGTGAATTTGCTGAGTTGTGCCAAGCTAAGCTATTTAAAACTATATTTTGAGGGACAAAGATGTGAGTTGAGGAGAGCTTAGCTTGCCTTTTCCGACCTAATTTGAATAAAATCACTGAGTTGAACTGAGGTAGATCGAGGATTACGATTTATTTTTAGATTGTAAAGATCGATTCAGTTAATTTTTGTCTATCTTTAGCTTGTGCCAAGGCAAAAAAGGCACATTATAGACAGCGCTCGAGCCCCTCGAATCGAAGCATTTTACTGTTGCAGTGAAAAGTAAGATATTCAAGAGCTTTAGCGCGAACTCGACGTCAATTTTTTCTTCATTCGCCGGAGAAAATTGGATAACTCTTACAAATTCGTAGGTTAAAACCGACCAAAAACCAACCAACCAATTCAAAAAGTCATAATCCATGGTCGGTCCGGTCGGTGCCCTTATTAATCCGACCATTTCCGACCAGGTCGGCTTTTTTGGTCGGGTGGTCAGGGTTCCAATTTTTCTCAAAAAATATTTGAGCGGAGCGAGCGGCTGAGCGGACGGCTGAAAAAAAATTGAGCGAGTGAGCGGACTTTGAGCGGAATTTTTTTTATTTCTTTCCGTTTGATAATATTTCGACAAAGGTCAGTAGATTTGACCGCAGTACGAAGGGCCGAGATCTGTCCGCGCAAAAAAAGATGAAGAAATCGAGCAATTGCTCTCGTTTCTTCCAAAGACAATCATCATGTTCTGTTTGTTTTTGAAAACCTTCTCTAGCTAATATTCGGACATCGTCGCCTTCGATAATCTTCTTTCTTATACGGGATCGGGAAAGAGGGTCGAAAATCTGTAAAAAGGAGTTCTGATTTTTTCTCTGGTATTCCTACAATAGAAAAGGAGCTTTTTGGCTTCTCCCAATCAGAGCATGAAATAGCTCTGAGTGATCATTTCGCGATGCGCTCGCAGGCGACCAATATAATTGCGAGAAGAATGCCACTAATGCTTAGTCGCCGCTCACTCCGCTCAACTGCTTTCGCTCAATTGAGCGAGCGGGTGAGCGACCGGCAATAATCAGACTTTGTTCTGAGCGAGCGAGCGACCGCTCACCGCTCGCTCATCGCTCGCTCACGACCAAATACCGCTCACCGCTCAACTAAAATTGGAACCCTGCGGGTCGTTGCCGACCCTAGCTATCACGTCCTTGTCATAAAAAAACGTCCGAACGAAAAACAAAAACGAAAAGTTGTCTCGATTTTCCGATTCAGAGAATAGATCTGGTCGAAGAAGAAATTGCTGAAATTGAAATCATTGGAAATCGGCCCTACTCTGTCAATTATACTGTTTTATTCGAGACAACATTCGATTGCTGCGAATATAATTGAATCAACGAATCGTTGGAATTCGCCATCAATCGTCGTCTCTCATCGACCGGTTGATTTCCAAACACGCAGCTTATCAATCGAAAGAATTAAAAATAAACTCACAAGGCTGAGAGACAAGTTAAAACGCAATTGAGAGAAACGCATTTGAATCACTCTTTTCCGCTCGATCAAAAAATAATCATAATATTTTTATAAAGTTAAAAATAGAGAAACTCCAGAGAAAAAGAATTTCTTCAAGTCGATGGGATCGCGAAATGCCGATGAAGAAGACGAGCGATTGGTGAACATCGACCACGCGGGAAAAATCATCGAAAAAGTGCTCGAAAATGTGAATTTTGATTGTGGAAATTTAGTCTGCAACTCGACCAGTCAAAGGATTAATACTTGCCAGAGCTCTTTGGAAGGAGATTTGAAATTCTAATTTTTTTACAGAATGGTCAATGTCGACTGCGGCGACAAAACATGTCATTTGACATCGCGGGACGCGTACATTTGCGAAAAAATTAAAAACATCGATTGTTCTAGTGCCACACTAGAAACTCGGCTCGGCGACATGTGTGGAAAATCTGAGTCTGGAAGAGCTACGCGGCTTTTTAGGCTTATTTTAGGGGGTGATGTCTGGAACCGACAAAAAAAATTTCGACAAATTTTGCGTTGAAATTTTCAACAAATCAGAAGCCTGGATTTGGCAAATCGGCCAATCAGCAGCCGAGCAGGCGCCCACGCAAAATTTGTCGAAATTTTTTGTCGGTTCCAGACACCACCCCCTAAAATAAGCCTAAAAAGCCGCGTGGCTCTTCCAGACCCTGACTCAGGTTTTCTACTCAGGTTGCCGAGCCCAGCCAAGAAAATGAGCAGATCAACTGCCAAAAAACACTCATAAGCACGGAAGAAAAAATAAATTTCTTGAAGGAAAGTTTCAATTTGAAATTCGAAAAAATAAATCTCAAAAAAGAATTTGGACTGTTCTCAAAAATATTCGCGCAATAATTTGGTCAATTGCCAGTTTACCATTGAAGAGATGAATTCTGAACTGAATTTACTAGAAGTATGTTTTTTCATTGAAAATGAGTGTTTTTGAAACTTTTGTAGAGCAACAACGAAAACGTTAAAGCGGAAAGCCAGACTTGCCACCAGCAACTTGGCGATTTTAAACTTGAATGCGAGCAGAAACTCAATTCTTCAAATTTGTATGTTTTTAGTCGACATTTTGGGTTTTATTTCTCTTTTTTAGAAATTATGAAGTGCTGACTCAATCTCACACCGATTTATCATCAACCCTGGCGCAGTGCAAATCAAACTTGACAGCTACAAGTATTTCTGAGTGCTCAATAGGAACAAGGTTAAAAATAATTAGCAAAGCGTTTATTTGGGAAGGTTTTTTATAGCGAAAAAAATTTTCGTGGCTGGCTCTCGTTTGATTTGCCAGTTAGCCAAATATAGGTTTTTCATTGGCTAAAAAATTTCACGAAAATTTTGTCGCTATTTTTGTCGCAAGCTATCTTTTTGGACTAAACCAATTTTTGGAAGTGAATTTTTAGATAGCCAATAAGTTTGCTGTATTTGGCCTACCGGCCAGTCAAAAACCTTTTCAAAAAAATCTGTTTCAAAAATTGGTTTTACCCATTTTTTTGACCTCGAAAACGAGCAACAGCTGGTTTTGGCCTTCTTTGGATGATTCTTTTAGCTGTCTGCTGCTTTTTCTGCGGTGGAGGAGGAGGCTTTCTTTCCGCCAGGAGACGGTACATGAAGGTAAGAGATAAAAGACAAACACTGAAATCCACGATTTCAGGCTCAGCCGAAAGAAAGTAACAAAAAGCCATTTTGGAAGGGAAAAAACAAGGAAGAGAACATCGAGCAAAATCCGAACGGGTCGATTTTAACTGGCGCTTATTTAGTTCCCGAGAGTCCTCACATAAGCGGAATGCAGGTAAAAAAGGAAGAATAACCAGAACTAGAATAACCGCTTGAATCGTCTAGACACCTATTATGGTAGTTGATGGACCAACCAGTACTGCTGGGCGGGCGGCGAATGTTTTTACCGACGCTAATGGCGGTACCTATCACCTCACAGTCCCGAACCCGCGCTTCCGAATTGCAAGACTCGAGGATCCACCGGCCTACTCCTCGCACCAGAATGCCTCACGAGCGCAGTAAGTTTGCCTTTATCAAAGTGGTAGTAGGGAGTCATCATTCGAGCTGCCCCTAACCCCAAGCCTAACCAAGGGGGCTACGCCCCCTGGAGCCCCCACCTAAGGCCTAAACCAGGGACCCCCGTTAAGAGTTCCCAGTCCCTAACCCTAACCCTAACCACTAGCCAGATTCTAGAGATATTCGATGGCTCAAATCATAGGCTCGAATGATAGCCCCTCTAGCCGATGAAAATATGTGAAGCTGTTTTCAAGGAGAAAATACTCGAGAAGTTGCGAAAACATTCTGACCGCGTCTCGAGACAGCTCCCCCGGAAAACCTTTCAACAGACAAAGAAGTTCTTCTTATGATCAAATTTTCCCCCGGCATTTTAACACATATCTTCAATAAAAAGTTCTTTTCAAGTATTGAAGTATATTCGGGCAGTTGGCATGCTTTGCACCAATTTTCTAACAATGATCTGTACAGAAATTCTAATTCAGAAGCACACTTTCTTAGTTCGTTTCCTGGCAAACTGTATAACAATAGAAGTATGAACTTGAGGGCTAAAAATGGCGAGTAAGGAAGAATTCGGCTGTTTTTTCAGAAGTTGTTTTTTAGTCTTCGATGGGCGGTGTTTTGATTCTTTGCATGTGCATTCTGCAGCCGTGGAAGCAAGCTTGGCAGAAGACTCCTTCCGAGCGGTGGAGCAAGTTGCAGTGGACAGACCGGTGTCGGATCTAGGCGTTTTCGGTGAAATGGAATTTTATGGCAAAGTACCTCTTCGTTGTCCGGATTCGACCGAATCGACCAAATTTCTGGATAAGAAACGATGTGGCCTTGAATTTCCAGTTTTCGGAAATACGGCGCCGGGAAACCTCGGCAGAAATTGATTCCTGCCACTGTTTTCAGAAACTAAAAGCGTTATTTTCATGTCTCGCTGCTTCTTGTTACCTCAGAAACTGCGGCAGGGCTTTGCTCGACATGAGTGAGCTGGAGTGAATCTGGATATACTTTGCGCCCGTTAGCGTTGACTGTAATGTCCCAGTCGGACTGAATTCGGACCTCGATGACGATTCGTCGCTGGTCGATTAGGAAGTCGTCGACTAGCTTGATCCACTCGCAGTACTTTTTCGAGCAGTGCGTTAGCAACCATCCTTCCGCTTGGGTTTCCTAAAAGAAGAAGTTACATTTTTAATAAAAGAAAAGATTTTTTTTTTCTTAAAATTTTTAAAAATCATTGAAAAAAAAAACTTTACTTGATTTATTTTTTATTTTAATCAAATTATTAAATAAAAGTATTCAAAAATTTTAGATTTAAAATCATATGTTTTGTTACTATCAATTATATTATATATTATTATTAAAATAATTCACGGAATAATTATCATTATGAGAAACAATGTTGACCTTGTCATTTATACTTTCAGTAAGAAGCTTACCTTGAGAATTTCCAAGTTTCGGGAGAGGCCGCCCTGGTTCGGCGGCATTCTCTCAAATGCAGAGCGCGGGTTAATCTCTCTTTGATCGCCGCTGCTATCTCCGTTGACGCTGCCGGTGTTCCGTTCGAAATCGCCTTCCGCTGGCTCGTTCTCTCCCTGCTGCTCTGCTCGCTGCTGTCCGCCCTGGAGGAACTCGCTGCTCGAGTTGCTTTCCTTGACTGCAGAGGCGTCGTCCTCTGTCGCCTCGATTTTCGGACTTTGGCTCTCCGCTTGAACAACGACGGATTGAGACTCTGAGGCTACGTCACTCGCTGTGACGAGCGATTGAGAATTGCTACTTCCAGAAAGCGAGGAGTAATTGCTTTCCTCGAAGCTTCCTTCTCGATCCGGCGACTTTCGCCTGGTCGCGTACCAGTCCCCGCGGACGGCGGCTTCGAAGTTCTCGAGGCAGTCTTCTTTCACTTGAATGTTTGTGTAGACCCATTCCCGCTTTCCGCCGGAGTCTGAGCAAAATATTTATTGATATATTTTTACCTAGGGTTTGGCTGGGCTCAGTTTATGTAGAAACCCTAAGGGTTCCTTACTTGGCTCAGCACAGTGTGTAGAAAACCTAAGTCAGGGACTAAGATCTCAAAATTGCATTATGGAAAGCCGCAAACTTATTTTAGCGGCTTCCCAAAATTAATTTCCCGAACCACTATTTAAATCTGTTGAAGCCACTTTGCGGCGTCGTTGAAAAAAGCCGCTACGGGGCTTTTCATTTGAGATCATTCAGACCCTGACTCAGGGTTTCAACACATGTTCCCGAATACAGTTTTATGCATAAGCAAAAATCGTAGAAAATTTTCAAAAATTTAATCTCAACGACTTTGCTTTGTTAAGATCTCATTTTTTCATTATGATTCTATTGATAATTATAGCTTTTCAGCAAGGTCTTCAGGCAAGGTTCAGCAATAACCTTTAAAATAGCGGCGAAGGTGTTTACACTCTTGCGTTATCGAGCTGCGGAGAAGCCGTCCGACTTGAGAGAGATTTTGAAGCGGCTTGCGAGGATGGTTGGTGTTGTAATGGGCCAGCATTTCAAGGGCTTTGACATAGGCGCCTTCCGCGGGCTCGTAGTTGTTTTTTATCCAAGTGACGACGTTGTTGTCGATCGTGTGCGAATTGACGCCCATCGTTTTTCGTCTTTTCGCTTGCAAAGTGACTGCTACAAATTAAGCGGTTACAATAATTTACGAGTTATTTAGGCCATAAATTTTAGGGTATTTTTTTAAATTTAGGGTCCCAGTGGTTTTTCTCCAGAAAGGTCTTTGCCTGTGTGTAGTAGATAATTTCTAGAAGACACCGAAAAGGTGAGCGTAAAAACGTCCCGGCGTAAGACGCGACCACTCTGGTTTTGCCTCTTTTCCCATTTACCAAAAAATGTCAGCTGGATTAAGACGGACTAACCGGAGACATGCGCGTAGTTGTCGTAATCGTTTGAAGAATTTGGCCGTTTCGGCATTGCCTCGTCTTGAACTTGGTCCATGTAGCTCAGCATCGTTGGCAAGCCGCTCTCCGCCATCATTTTCGCCTTTCGGTAATTACTTCCGCTGCTGCTCCAGGTGTCTGTAGCTGCCTGTTTCTGTACTGCTTGTGCTTGCTCAACGATTGGAGTCGCTGGTGCTGGGTTATCAGCAGCGCTGCTGGCACGCTGCCCGAGATCTTTGTAAACCCAAACGCGCCGGCCCGCCACCGAGATTTTCGTCCGCCCAATTGTTGGAAAATATCGCCTAATTAGACTGCCCACTTGGTAGCTCTGCAGCGGCGCGAACAGGAAATCCTTGGGAAATTCCGATCGATACTGGTTTATGATGTCCTGGACGGTGGAGCAGGCGCCTTTCGAGATTACGAAACGCTCCGTTAGCCATTGGGCCACTTTGGGCTCGAAGCTGAAGTTCGGATTCGGAGAAAGGCCGAGCGACTGGTCCGATTGGTCGAAGTCGTCTTCATCGTCGCCGCCGTCGATTGTGGTCGGAGTCATCGTTCCGGAAATCGACCTCGGCCCGGACGAGCCGGAAGTGATTCCGCTTTCTTCGTCCTCTTCTCTTTCCCGCTCAACCTTTTTCAAATCCAGCGCCAGCGGAAACTTGGCACTTTCCGCCGCTTCTTTATTAATCGTTTCTCGCGCTGCACTACTCTCATTTGCATGTTTGCTGGGAGTCGCCTTCTGCCGCGGCATCTTCTTAGTATTTCTAAATGAGTGCTCTCGTGATGACGGAGAAAGTGTCCGACTGTGTGTGAGTGTGTGTGCGTCTCTCTCGTTCTGTTTCTCGTTCTCTGTGAGTCGCAACCAGTGACGCGGTGACTCGGGCCCGGGACTATCAAATTTGACCACCACACCGACCAGGCTCTGGCCACGCTGCGACGAGCGGTGAGTGTGGTAGCGCCAGCGACAGTGGCGGAGAACGCCGCCGCACATCACGATTCTGCTCGTTTGGGGCCACCCCACTGAACCGACAAACCGCGACCGCCCGAAAACTCACACTCGCAGTACCACTAGTGGCAGGTACCACTCCACTGCCGTGGATAGAAGTGAAGGAGTTAGGGACTAGACCGACCGTTCTTTTTCCGATTTGGAAATTCGGCCACGTTGGACCAAGTGGTAGTGGCCAGGGGGCCGGCCAGGTCCCGCGCTCGGTCGCTGGTTAATCGCTGGCTGCTTCCAACCGCACGACCAGAAAGCGATCCCTTGTGTACACTCGCAACAAACCAGACTCGAACTAGAAGAGTCCGCCCTGGCCGCCTTTCCGCCTTGCTATCGATTGATGATTTTTAATGAAAATCATGGGATAAGTGTGCTGGTCTAGTAACTGACCAGTGCTTCCTGCCAAAGCCTCGGCTGGATTTGGTATTTATGGAAAGCGAGTGGATGGGCGATAGATTCGTTTTCATCAAAAGAAAATGAATTCTATCCGTTCATCCTCCAGTGGACCAGAACTACCTTCCTAGTGCAGTGAACAATTACTTTCCAAATGTATAATAATCGTAAATTGGCAGCTAATCGCCATACACACACTTTCTCGTACAATTAATTCTTTGTGCAGTGAAGTATTAATTCTCATATTTTAGAAGCTCTCAGATCAGATTAACCATTTTCAAAAATTAGGATTTGCATTTTCATTTCCGCTTTTTTCATGCCCATAAAATAAAAATAATAATTGATTTTCAACAAGTTAGCTAAATTAAAGAGTTCAGAGGGCTATTCACGACTGAAAGGATTTTCGCTGTTGCATGTTTTACATCATCCCGGGGTCAAGTGTGCGTGTCCAAAAGGGCGATAACCATCTTTGCCACCTATCCTTACTTGGATACTCTTAATTGTTTAAATTCCAGAGAACTTCTCATCTCAAAAAAGAAAATTAAGCGAGGATTCAGAATCTGTCAAAAACGAAATTTCTTTTTTCAACTTGTTTTTTTTTATAAAAATTGTTTAAGAAAAGTTGATAAATTATATTTTTTGAAGAAAATTTCTTTTTTAAGGGTTTTTAAGACTTATTCAAGAGAGAATTCAACTGAAAGTTCAGATATTGATTGGAGCGTTGCCTTAGCCCCGCGCTCCTACGTTCGCCCGAACAAGAGATTCCTTCTTTTTTTTCGTTCACACACGTCCCGATTTTCTTTGAAAGAGAAATAACTCCACGCTTTCAGAAAGAGAGAGAAGCAGCCACTGAACAATGGAAACAATCGCAATCGGCCAAATGTTAATGCCGATTTTGGCGTTTATTTTCACCTGCGCGGCGGTGAGCCTCGCCGCCTCTTGCAAATTTATCGGACACGGAGAAGTCGCCTTTTTGCCCATGGTCGGAATCGTGGTCAACGTGTGAGTGCCACTTCGCCAAAAGCGCCTTAATTTTTAAATACTTTATAAAACGCCCTTTCCAGTTTCTACATTTCCACAGCAGTGATCACGCTAGTCGCCTCGAAGATCAATTGGGCGGACGGCTTCGTCGGAGCCGCTATTTTCTCCGTCATGTCACTTCTTAGCGCCTCGCTAATGGCTGCCTGGTCCTACTCGCAAACTCAGAATAACTCGAAACCTGCCGTAAGTACTCCGCTTTTTACCCTTCCGAATTTTATTTCAGGCGATCCGAAAGCGCCTGAGCTGGATCCTGCTCATTTCCTACTCTCTTCAAGTCGGACTTTTCTTCGGCCTCGTAATGCTCCTCAAGGATGCTACTGCGGTCACTGCCCTTTAAAACTCCTGCTCCAAAAAATAAATCAAGAACAAGACCAATCAAGCGAGTTCTTTTTTCATTCCACAGTCCGTGATAATTCTTTATTCCTTCAAAAAACATTTCATTTTCGTCTCTTTTTGTGCTTCACTTTTCCGATTCTGTCTTTTATGCTTCCTTCTTCGTCGAACTGTCGCTTCTTTTTGCTCTTTCGTTTCGCGTCTTCTTCCTTGATTTCCTGGACGGCGATTCGCTTCGCTTCGTCCACCCGTTCTTTCAAAGCCATCACTAAAATTCAGTAGTTAGCCAGTTGATTCTCCTCAAAGGTACCTTCGTCCTTTTCGTGCGGCCACTGGTCCAGTTTCTTTCCAATGTGGGCTTCGATCTTCTGGTACAACTCGACGTCGTATTGCGAAACAAAAGTGACTGATTTTCCCGCTCGTCCAGCTCGGGCAGTTCGTCCCACTCGGTGGATATAATCTTTCGTGTTTGTCGGCCTAAATTTTGTAGTGAAAAATTGAAATCAAGGAAGATTTTGGGCTTGACAGTCTTTTGAGCAGCCTGAGTCAGGGCCTTGATTCGTGTTCTTGGGAGCGTGAGCTGTGTTCTTGTGTGAAAGTTAGGTCCAAACGGATTTCCTTGACCCTGATTATATTTGACTCATGACCTGAATGGGAACACAGGGTCTGCGTAGAAATCTGAGTAACAAGAATTAAACCGTGACTCAGGTTTCTTTATAGACCCTGAATCCTTACACAGGTTCTGAATGAAATTTAATCAGTTTCAAGGAAATTCACTTTCACACAGGAAGTCAGGCCCAAAAGCAGGAATCAAGACCCTAACTCAGGTTTCAAGAAAGATTGCCGAGCCAAGATCAAATTCTTACACATCGTAGTTGATGACTACATCGACGTGGGGAACGTCAAGACCGCGACTGGCGACGTCGGTGCAAACCAGAATCGAGCGAGATTTGGCTTTGAAGCGAGCCAGGGCGCCCAGTCGCTTTTGTTGGCTCATTTGCCCGTGTCTAGATTAATGATAAGGAACGTAAACTTGATTTGGCAAGGACTTACAAAGGAACAGAATCGTAGCCGAGTCGCTTGACGAGTCTGGCGATGAGCGAGGTCTTGGCGCAAGTAGAAGTGAAAATCATGAAACTGGAGCCCTGCAATTCGTTCAAAAGAGAGACCAAGTAGCATTCTTTGTGCGCTTCGGGAATGAACAAGTATTTCTGGATGTTTTTGTCGACTGTTTTGTACTTCGAGTTGATCGACACTTTGACGGGGTTTTTGAGCGCCGCTCGCTGCAGTTTCTTTACTTTTGCGGTCATTGTCGCTGAAAAGAGCATAGTCTGTCTTTCTCGTGGAATAGCGCGTAGAATCTTTTTTCGAGGATCAAATTTGGAAGCAAGATTTTCATCGATGCATGAATATTTTTTTGAATTAAAGATCCTTTCCTTGTCAACTTCTGCTTCAAAATCCAAGTTCAAAATGCGATCCGCCTCGTCCATGATCAAGAACTTGAGCGCTTTGAGTCCGAACCCCCTCGTTTTCTCCAAATGATCGACCAGTCGACCGGGCGTGGCGACTATCACGTGCGGCTTCTTGGCCAGCGCTAATTGCTGGCTCATCATTTCGATGCCGCCGACGATGCAGGCGCAGGACAAACCGATCGCGCTACCGAGAGCTTGGAATTGTTCGCGGATTTGAAAAGCCAGTTCTCGAGTCGGAGTCAAAACTAGACATGAAAGGCGCCCGCCGCCAGGCGTTTTTAAAAGACTCTGAAAAAAGCTCCTTAGATTGTGGTCGACAAGAGGGTTTACCTGAAGAACGGGAATGGCGAAGGCAGCTGTCTTTCCCGATCCGGTCTCCGCCAAGCCAATGACGTCCTTTCCCTCGATAGCGATGGGAATGCTCTTCTGCTGGATGGGAGTCGGCTTGCTCCATTTCAAATCCACCGCCGTCTGTGCCACTTCATCGCAAACGCCGAGACTTTGCCAGGCTTCCAGTCCTTCAAGAGTGAATTCCTCCTCTTGATTTTCGTCTTGCTCGTGCTCCGATTCCGAACTAGACATTCTAGCTTTCGAAATTTTAGATTGAATAATTCATTCTTGTATTAAAATGAAAATGTTTCCGTTTATTGAAAAAAGATCAGGATCTAATATGGGCAGTATTAAATTTGAGCAGCGCGGCGGAAAATTCAGAAATCAACGATTTTTCGCAGCTTCAAGCATTCGAGCACCCATTTGACGGGGACGCAGGCGACTTTTCCCTTCTTGTCGGTCTTCTTGTTCGTCACGATCCAGTGGGTGTATTGGAAGTAGGGGTCCATTCCGATTATCGATTGGTCAGCTTTTTCGAGGTTCAAAATATTAGACAAAAATACCCAGAATGGATGACTTCCACCGGTAAAATAGGTGGTGGTCTAAACTTTGAAGTTGTTATGTGCGATAAGAATTTCGTGTGGCCTAAACTTTGATCGTTCTCATGTGTGATTCCTTGAGAAAGTGGCCTAAACTTTGATTCTTCCTATGTGTGAAAGTGGTCTAAACTTTGAATTTCCCCCTAGGCACTCTGACTAGTACCATGTGTGTCATCACCTTGAATGAAAACCGTTATCCTTATTGGTCTGCATAAAGAGTAGTGGCCTTAGCGGGCAGTGCTCTAGTCACCGATGGCAGAACCGCCTCCGGGGAAATTCAAAGTTTAGGCCACTTTCTCAAAGAATCGCACATGGGAACGATCAAAGTTTAGGCCACCCGAAGTTCTAATCGCACATAACAACTTCAAAGTTTAGACCACCACCTATTTTATATGATATACCGTATATCGATTCGAGATCGAATCCTTCGATTAAGTACACACCGTAATATCCATTTTAACTTGAGCACCCCAACTTTCTTATTCATCAGCTACTGCAAGTTGGCTAAAACGCCGCCGGGGCGCTCTCTGGGGCTGCTACTACGTCTAGGGCCTCTGACTTTCAACCCTAACCCATCTAACCAATGTACCCTCCCGACCTCGGGGAGGCTCGGGGGCTTCCAGGGCGCCGCCTAAGGAAGACCCGCAATCTGAGGTTGAGTGTCCCCGGCGGCGGATAACGCGTTATTTAGCTTAATTTTTTACGCCCGAATCTAACGGGCTCTTTTCGAAAAAAGAAATAAGAGTGTCTAGAGAGGTTCCTCTTCCTTGAACAGCGTCGCTGTCGAATTTGGGCTCTCTTCGCAGCGTCTCTGCTCCCGCGTCCACGAAGATCTCCATCAAGTTCTTGCCGACTGCCGTGCTCAGATCTCGCCCGATGAAGACTTTCAGTCCTTCGAGCAGCTTCTGGTTTTCGCCGCGTGCCTCGTCTTCGATCGCTTTTTTCGGGCTCCCGCCGCAGACGTCGAGAAAACAGTCTTTCGCTTCTTTGTTCTCGAGATAGTCGGGAGAGACGATCCAGACATTATTGTACAGCGCTTTGAGAAAAACGAAGATTGAATCTTCTTCTTCGAGGATTTCTTTTCGCGCGACGAGGATGTCGATTCCTTTTGCTGAATTGACAATGTTCATCGAAGTGCTTTTTCGCAGCTCGCGAATCTCTTTCGCTGTCATTTTCGTTTTCTTTTTCCAGCCGGATTTGTGGATGAACACTTTCGGGTCTACAAAAATTTGTCATTGTTCAATCAAAATTCTGGCTTCTGGGTCCGACCATGCAGAGCCTGTGTGAAAAGCTTGAGTCAGGGTCTGAAAGATCGAAACCGCAGAAATGGTAAGTTCCAGAAGCCGCAAAGCGGCTTTGCTTCGCGGCTTCTTTATTAAAAAAAGACGCTAGGTGGCTTTTCATTCAATATCTTTCAGAAACTGACTCAGGCTTTTCACATCGGCCAGGGGTGACCATTTGGGCATTGGGCATTTGGGCAAATCGGGCAATTTTCGGGCAAAAACGCTTTTGGGCGGGCATTTGGTCGGCTCAACGCCTGAAAATAGGCTGGGCAACATTGGAAAAGTCGGGCATTTGGGCATTTTCTGGGCAGTTGGGCACCATCGGGCAGTTGGGCAAATGCCCACCGGGGGAAATCATGAACGTGGGCGTTTTCCTGTCCGCTTATTGGTCGTTAAGCTCAGAAAAAAGATATAAGGAGAAGGTTCTGCAAGAGTGTGTGAAGTGGACCTCTATGGTTAGCTGTCTACCTTTGACCTCTTGATCCTTCTGTGAAATTATCCCTACCCTTAACAACCAACCCCTTCTTTGCGGAGATGGTTCTGCAAGGGTGTGTGAAGTGGACCTTCATGGTTAGCTGTCTACCCTTGACCTCCAGATCCTTTTTATCCCTCATTTTTCCAAGTTGTAAATTCCAACCCCATTTTTGAACCTCTTTTTTTTCGAGACGGTTATGCAAGAGTGTGTGAAGTGGACCTTAATGGTTAGCTGTCTATTCTTGACAACCTGATCGATCTTTTACAAAATTATTTTTAACCGCTTTTTAAATATATTTCAAACCTTCCAAATCTTCAACTGTAATAAATTATTGAGAGAAATTTAAAAAATTAAAGTTTTAACAAGCCCGAAATGTCGGGAAAATTTTTGCCCGAAAAATTGCCCAATTGCCCGATTGGGCATTCTGGGCACATTGGACTGGTCGGGCATTTGGTCGGCCCGGGTCTTGATTTTTGGTATTGGGCGGGCAATTGGTCGGCCCGACGATGATTTTTTGCCCAAATGGTCACCCCTGCATCGGCTGCCGAGCCCAGTGTAGAGACCTGACTCAGGGTTCTGAATTAGCTTGCCAAATTACCAACTAAATCAACAAAAAACTACTACGGGGGTTGAAGGTCTTGAAGACCCTGACTTGAGTTTTTTGAAGTTTTCTACATAGGTTCTCGAGCAAATACTGTTAGCTTACTGGAAGAAAGAGTCAGCTCAAATGAAGTTTCGTCCGCTTCGAATTTTTCTTTCGCCTTGTTGAGCAGTTTCAGAATTTTGGGATTTTTCGTCAAATCCGAAGCGGTTTTCCCGTTTTTGTCACAGCGGTGAGGATCGGCGTTGTATTCGAGCAGCAGTTTTGCCACGTCGAAGCGATCTTCGGAAACGGCGAGGATAAGCGGCGTCGAGCGTTCTGGACCACCGGCCACGTTCAGGTTCGCGTTTTCTTTGATCAGAAACTCGATGATCTGAAAATGCAAGAAGCTTATTGGAAAGGAGCGAGAAATTGTTGAACCTCGATATCTCCACAATTGACCGCGTCGTGAAGCGGCGTCAAGTTACTGTAATCTTTGTGGTTGACATCTTGGTCTTCGTTGACGAACTTCATCACCTCGGAAAGAGATCCTTTCTTGCAGGCGAGCTGCAGCTCGTTTTCGCCAAATTTCGTCAATTTCACCGGTTTATTGAAATATGCCGGCGACTTGGTTGGACTGCGCTCTCGTTCTTTCCGCTCTTGAGTTAGGTCTTGGTCAAAAGAGCCTGGAAAATAGAAAACACCGAATTTGTTAGAAGTTTTAATTGAAGTATTAAAACTTGATATATTTAACACCAACGGATCAAGAAACCGCATGCGGCTTTGATAGGCGAAAAACAGCCGAGCCTTTTAGAATAGCTTATTTAATAGCTGGGTGCTGCTGATTTTCAAAAAGGAAATGATTCGTCGAACTTACTAAGAGTAATGTCGCTGTCTTCGATGAGTTTCCGCTTGCGATCAGTTTTCTTTGCCGATTTCTGCTCGTTTTTCGGCGGCGAAGGCGTGCTCGAATCAGAAGAAAGATTGACCACCGTTTCGTCCTTTGCTTCTTTCTCAAAAGGAGCCTTTCCGTCTTCTTCGCTGTCGGAGGAAAGGGGAGCCACCGGTGGGATCGCCAGTTCTTTAGAAGGAGCCAGTCCCGATTTAGTGTTTTGAATCGGCTGGTTTTCTTTATTTTCCGCGTCGATCTTCCGCTTTTTTCGTTCTAAAAATGGTAAAAAAGCTTCATTCAATTGCTAGACACTGATCTCTGCCAGCTGTGAAGAAACCTAAGGCAGGATCCCGAAGAACTTCTTTTAGCTAAAGCCTTTTCATGCCCTGACTCAGGTTTCTACACATTTAGGAAAAGTACCGATCGCGCGCTGCCAGTTGAGTGCTTTCTTCTTTATTTCCCTCCCGTCTTTCGTTTTTTCGAGATCTTTGAACTCTTCCGAAGAGTTTAGCTTCTCCAGCGCAGCTAGGAGCCCGGCGTAGTCGTCTATTTTAAAATTCACCGGCATTCTGGAAATTCAAGAGAAATAAAAAAAAGGAGAAAAAGATTGACAGGTGTGCGTGTTTGGCTCTGAATAAATAAAGTTGAAGACAAAAAGGCAGAAAATTGAAACTAGCGAGAAGATTTTTCTTCTTCGGGATTGTAGCAGCCGCAGTCTTCGACGATCACCGGATAGCGGGTTTGGCCGGATCGGGAGCCCACCGACTCGATTTTTCTCAAAACGTCCATTCCTGAAAAGAGACAAGTCAAACACCAATTTTAATAGAGAAAATGAATCACCATCAATGACGTTTCCAAAAACGACGTGTTTTCCGTCGAGCCAGGGCGTTTCCGAAGTGCAGAGGAAAAACTGCGATCCGTTGGTGTTTGGGCCCGCGTTCGCCATCGAAAGCGTTCCAGGGCCCATGTGGTTCAGCTTGAAGTTTTCATCGGGAAAGGAGCGCCCGTAAATCGACTTTCCGCCCGTTCCATTTCGGTTCGTGAAATCGCCGCCCTGGAAAATTCAAATATGACTGCTTCAAAATCCGTCAAAAAGCTTACCTGCGCCATGAATCCAGGAATAACGCGATGAAAAGGCGATCCCTTGTATCCAAAGCCGGGGGTTCCGTTGCAGAGCTGAACGAAATTCTCTGCCGTTCGAGGAACGACGTCTTTTCGCAGCTCCATCGTGATTTTTCCGACTGGTTGGCCGTTTACCGACATGTTGAAGAAACAGTGAGGGTTTGGACCGGGGGAGACATCCGCTTCTTTGAAGGCAGTGGCGCTTGAATTTCCTTGGCCTGATTTGCCGGATCAGAATGATTTTAGATTTGGCACGAAATAATGACGCGATAAATGGACGATATTTTTGATACCCGCCGGTAGGCAGCCAATCGGCTGACAGATCTAGAAGAAACAATCGGTTCTTGATGCGAAAAAGCACAAGAAAAAAATCGACAGAGTTGAATTTGGACTCGATCCTCCGCCATGATAATGTCGCGATTTCCGTGGCTTCTTTACTTTTCTCTATTTTTTATGATTTATAAATTCATTAAAACAAACAGTATTTTTTCTGATCCGATAGCCATATTTTCTCTGGGATCTTCCTCCTAAGAATTGAGAAATGATCAAAAGGAGAATTTGCTGCGCGCGAGTTTTGGCTTTTGGGATTGGCCGCCGGCGATTGGCCAAAAGAAGAAATTCTCAAAGCCACGTCGAAAAAGAATGGGAAAATCTGGGAGAAGAATTGAGAGAGGAAAATGAAGACTTTGATCGTTTTAGCTTGCGTATTTTTGTCAGAGAAGGTTTTCGCGAGAAAATGGGAGGACCAGATGGATAGAGCCTCTTTGGTGCTGGAAGAAATTGGGGAGCGAATTGAGTTGCCGGTTTTTGTCAGATCTCAGAGGTAAATAAAATAGTGGAGTCCATAATGGATAAAATTTTTATCGGGCGAATAATTCTTTGAGTTCTCCATTTTCATGGATTCTCTCACTGAAAGACCTTTTTAACGGTTTTAAATCTGGTCTCGGCAACCTGTGTTTAAAACCTGAGTCAGGGTCCCAACGATTTTTACGAAAAGGCTCGTTTTATTTTTGTAAAACGGAGCCGAAAAGCCGTTTTAAAAAAAAACGCTTCTAGACTTTTCGTCAATTGATTTTTGGAACCCTGACTCAGGTTTTTAACACAATATGCCGAACTAAGAATCCGTTAAAAGGGAGACCATCTTTTTTTTCTGAGAAAATATCGTAGAAATCTTATTGTTCATCGTTATTTTCTGAAAATTCCGAGAAATTTTGAAATAAAAAATATTTCAGATGCTCAGATTGCGCGTTTCTACCTCTACGAACTCGCGAATTCGAAATCATCAATTCCACCTCCCAAATCGGCTGGATCGACACTCGCTGGCCCTCTCAGTTCCAGTTCAAGCTCAAAGACGGAGAAATTCGCGAATCAAATTTCATTAATTTCGCGGAAAACACAATTTTCTCGTTCAAAATCGGAGAAAATAGTGATTTCGCTTTTCAAGAATCACCTCAAAAAAGCGAAGATTCTTCTTCTTTGCAACAAATCGGAGCATTGGCGATTTTTGCAGGTTTTATTTGGAAATTGAACTCTTTTCTCGACGCCGAAAATCGAGGAAGAGAGCCAGTTGTGGATACCTGGCGAGGAATAAACGTCGCGTTCATGGTTTTTGTCAATTACGGCGGTGGGGGCTACTGGTGGCTTCAGCACTCGCCTTGGGACGGAATCACTCTCGCCGATTTGGTCATGCCTTCTTTTCTATTTTTGAACGGAATTTCTATCGCCTTGCGGAAAAAATCAACGAAGAGGAGGAATTTGAAGAGATTCGTCAAGACTTTCTTTCTTGGGCTGATTGTCAGCAACAAAGGAAAGCTGCTCAGTTTGAACTTCGATTTCGCGAACTGGAGAATTCCGGGTGTTTTGCAGCGAATCGCAATTTGTGAACTCATCGTTTCTGTCCTCTCCTTTTCAAATTTCGCCCTTTTGACAGGGGTTCTGCTTTTTTACTTTCTCTGGTGGTCAATTTACTTTCTCGCGACTCCCTTTGATCTTCCCTCCTGCCCTGCTTCTTACAACGGTCCTGGTGGAATTTCCAGTAATTCGCAGTTCTTCCATTGTATCGGCGGATCCTCAGGAGCGATAGATCGCTTCTTCCTCGGAAATTCCCACCTGTATCAATGGTCAACTGCGAAAGGAGTGTTTTACCCAGAAGAACACTTTAAAAATCAGCCGATTGTTTTTGACCCAGAAGGAATTACTGGCACTTTTTCGTCGATTTTAACCGTTTTCTTCGGCTTCGTGGCTGTAAAGATTCTTCGAAAAATGGAGAGTTTTCAAAGAAGAACGTTTCTTTTGGGAATCGGCTCAATTTTAATCCTCATTGGCGTCAATCGCGCATCAACTGTTCCCTTCAACAAAAACCTTTGGTCCGACAGCTTCGTTTTCTTCACCGCCGGCTTCAATTTCCTAGCGCTCCTTTTTCTCCTCGACTTTTCTTTTCCCCTTTTCGCCCGACTCGGAAGAAGATCGATGTTTGTCTACGTCGGTCACACCTTTCTCCGCGGCTACTTTCCCTTTTCCTGGAACTCTTCACTCCCCCCTACGCACGCTTCAATCTTTTCTGAAAACCTCTTCGCGACCTGTTTATGGCTCGTTCTTGGCAATATTTTTGAATCTTTTTCTTCGTGACTGAAAAAGTGATTTTCAGTCCTCTTCGATCTTTTTTTGAACAACTCAATGATTTTTCTTTTTATAGAATGGCAGTCAGTGATTGTATTTTGATTTTTTGTACAGCGATTTTTACTGCCTCCTTGTCGGAATTTATTAGGTAAGTAGCGATTTTCTTTGTGGGCTCAGGCGACAAAAAAAACTGCGACGAAATTTGCGTTGGCAGCTTTTCGGCATCTTATTGGCCAGTTAGTCAAATGCAGGCTTTTGATTGGCTTTCCTTGAAAGATTTTGGGTAAAATTGCGTTGTTGGATAAACTACCATTGTCAATACAAGAAGTTATTTGGCCAATAAAAAGTCTGTATTTTACTAACAAGCCAATCATCAGCCGAGTAGCCACCCTCACTAATTTCTTCGCAAATTTTTACAATCTAAGCCACTAGCGCTTTTTGAAGCCTGAATTTTGAATTGATTTTAGTTATGTTTTGGTTTACCGGAAAGAAAAATATCAAAGACTCAACTCTTCGATGGAAAAGGCCGCTAAGGTGGGGGTTTACAAGCTTTTTCAATCCAGCTAGTAGAATTTTTAGAAACTAGCGGAAATGGACAAGGGAAGCAAAAAGTACCAAAAAGAAGAAGCGAAAGTCAAAGACATGTCCCGCGAACTCCAGTCCGTAAGTTAAAAAGGGACAGAAAAGTGGAAAATTAAAACTCTGTTCAGACGAAGCTGGGGTCGATGTTTGCGATGATGCTTGTGTTTGGTACGATCGTGTCAACTGTTTCGTCGATCTACGAGGGCCAGAGCGTCGCCGAGCTGCCATTTGAGCCGATCTGGTTTTTCAAGTCGTTCGCGCAAAGAGGACTCATCAACCCGAAGCCAACTGACTGCAGCTTCATCTTCATCGTAAGCAAAGCCTTTTCCGAGTTCGTTTTCCAACCCTTTCCCAGTACATTTTGTCGACGATGTCTGTCAGACAGCCGATTCAAAAGCTGCTCGGCTTCGCTCCTTCGCGGGCGGCTTCGAAACTTTCCAACGCTGGAATGCAGCCAGCTTCCTTTACCGACGCCAAGAATACTTACGGCTCCGGCGCCTATTAATTTATCTGTCTCAGCGAAAAATTCACTATAATTATAGGCTATAAATTATAGCCTATAATTTATAGCGATTTCGCAATTTTCTGAGAATCGACGAAAACCATTTTTTAATGAAAAATTTTCAAAATTTCTTTCCTCCAAAATCTCTTCAACTCAACGAGAATAAAACCTGTCATGATTAATCAAAGTAAAAATAACGATTTTAGACAGAAAAAGAGTTGGCTTAATGTCATGTCACTTATAACGGGAATCGAGGAAGCAGTTCTTTGCGAGTGGTGTCCCGAGTCGCAGCTCCCTTCCTATCTGGGCACGGCTTCGTATGCCAACCAGCAAGATTTAGGAAATTCCAAAAATGAGATCAATATTTATGCACTCAATGATGATCAGGGACTGTTGTGGAAACTTAAAAAAAATTATTTTTTCATGTTAAAAAGCTCAGTTCTTGGCTCGTCACCCTGTGTAAAATACCTGAGTCAGGTTTCTGGATGAATCAAATGAAAAGCCTATTAGCCGCTTTTTTGCGGCTTCATTTCTAATAAGGCCGCTATGCGGCTTTTCAGTTGACTTTTTTAGAACGCTTACTCAGGTTTTCTGCACAGTGTAACGGTGCTACTACTATTATGCAATACAAGTTGCAGGGCAAAGTTCTGGAGAATTCTAGAAGCGCAGCGCTTCCGGCTCACCGTCGCCCCTAGCGAGCACGCACCTGCGGCGAGTATATAAAGAAGCGTAACCGCCTGAAATGGGCATCCGGACTGAGTGTCCCACTGAGATAAGATTAAGAATAAAGTACCCTTTTTTACTGTAACCCCTTTTGTTATCTTTTTATATGCAATTGCAGAGATAGTATAGAGATAGTAGAAGTAAGCACCCTACATTTGGTGTCAGAAGAATTAAACGAACCCGAGCCGAGAAGATCTAACAGGTATGTAAATTGGGAGAAAACAAAAAAGTAAATAGGAATTTAAGTAAACAAATAAGACAGTATATAACTCACTCCTAAAGGCCTTACTATTAATTTCAGCCCTGAGTCATTGCCATATCTTGCATCCAGAATTCTGGCCCCAAGTTTAGTGGCTCACACCTGAACAGGTGACAGTTTTTGACCTTATATCGATGTTACCCGTTTAGGAGCTAAATTACCCCCTGATTTGACATGAGGCCATTGTAAGACCTGAGCGGTCGCAGGGATACCTGTTGTAATGCCGCCGGGCTATGCGTGCCGGAATCAAATCGGAACCCCCTAATTATGTTTAATTACCCTCTGATTTGACATGAGGCCATTGTAAGACCTGAGCGGTCGCAGGGATACCTGTTGTAATGCCGCCGGGCTATGCGTGCCGGAATCAAATCGGAACCCCTAATTATGTTTAATTACCCTCTGATTTGACATGAGGCCATTGTAAGACCTGAGCGGTCGCAGGGATACCTGTTGTAATGCCGCCGGGCTATGCGTGCCGGAATCAAATCGGAACCCCCTAATTATGTTTAATTACCCTCTGATTTGACATGAGGCCATTGTAAGACCTGAGCGGTCGCAGGGATACCTGTTGTAATGCCGCCGGGCTATGCGTGCCGTAATCAAATCGGAACCCCCTAATTATGCTTAATTACCCTCGTTTTGACTCGAGCCATGCAAGCACTTGACGGGTAGTGGGAGATCGAAAGTCCTGAAAAGGTCAGACTCCCCGATACGTAATTTCTATCAAGCTTGTAAGTGCCAAAAGTCAAACCGGGAATCCACTAATTATGCTTATAATAAGTTATACATTGATTAGCTTCTGAACTAGGCTTCGGCGTTACAATCAGGGTGAAAAGGCTATATAATTGGTTAATATAAGTCTCCTATAAGTAAAAGAAATTCTCTTTACATCAAAGATCGGATCTTGATTGACCGCACGAGTGTCAAAGCACACTAATCGGATATCTCGGTCTTTCCTCTGATCACGAGTACCATACTCCCCATCAGTAAAGATCATGTTTGTCCATTACACAGCTCACACACACGCGCGAAGCCAATAAAGCTTCCGCTTGATCACGAGTTTTTTTTACAAAAAAGGGGATAAGTGGCAATAAATCTTAATTTAAGTTTGGTCTGGCTGGCATTATCGTTTTTGTTGCCAAAATTTCGCTGATCATCAGTTCGCGACGTCAAATTCGTCGTGAAGACGTCACCAACCGGCCAACGCAAAAACAAATGAAGAACGAGGGATAGATCGGTTGTTGCTATCTTACTTTCTAACCAGAAGTTTGTTTTAAGACTGAGATCACATAAAATAAATACCGAAAGGCAAATTGAACAAGCATTGGCCGAAATGGAGCGCGCAATCAGGAACAAACAAGGGGATGAGGCAGTAAAGAAAGCATTTCAGAATCTGGAGAAACAAATAAAGGAACCCGAGACTCAAAAAGAACCTAGAATAGTAAAGGAGAAAGTAGACAATTCAAAAATGCCCGTCGGTCTTAAAGCGTCTTCTTTCGGGCTATCTCAATGGAACCCGAGTGAAAGCTCCTTCTTGGACCATTTAAGCTCATGCGCGATATGCTTCAAAGCGGCACGAGCCCAAGGAGTAGATGAATCACAACTTTGTTCGCTGCTCCTTACGACATTGCTTGGCAAATTTTCCTATATCGACCAGCTGATACCAGAGACAGAGCGAACGAGCTTCACAAGATTTACATACTCATTGATGACCTTCTTAGGAGTGTCCCGTTCAGACCTCAGCCGAAAAATCCATAAAACAATTAAACGGCCTGGCGAATCCTTGATTGCCTTTCTTTCAAGACTTAACCTTATGATAAAACTTGCCAACAATGATAATGTTAGTTCAGGAGATGCGACAATAATGTATCATCGTATTATGGCAGTGGCAAGCGATGCCACGAAGGTGGAAATAAAGAGGTCGTGTGAGAAAAAATTGGAGAACCTAACCCTAACTGTACAAGATTTAATGGACGCATGCATTTTTGCTCAGAAACTGAGAACAGAAACAGATGAACCCGGAATTTTCGAAATAAGAACCTTTGATAATGAAGCGTTAGAAAGCGAGTCAAGCGGTAATAAAATTCAAAATTTGTCAACGTGTAAACTAATTTAGACGAGGAGAATAACGGCGAAGAAGAGTAAACACCGGAAAAAAATAACATGAAAATCAACAACGATTATTTAACGAATTTGATTCGATAAGAAGCAAACAATTTTAAATTAGAGAATAAGATCTTAATTTATTAAGAATGACTCGGAACGATAAGAACCAGCGAGTCTCAATACTATTACTAGCCATGAGCGACAGTTTGAAGAATCAAGGTATAATTGATATTTCGTGGTATCCACCGAAAAGTGATATTGATGAGATCATCGATACCCATTCTCAACTGAATAACCTTATTTATATGAATCCAGATTCAATCTGGACCATAAGAGATCTGATTAAAAGAAATGATACTACGATAAGAAAAACAATCCTCCTGAATGTAACATCAATCGTGTTGGAAAAAACTCCCGAAAACGAAGATCTAATGAGAATTTTTTACGCCGCGCTGCTTATTCTTCAAATCGCATCCCAGAACCTAGAAGAGGGAGAGTTCGTTCGTCAGGAAATCTTTTGCTGGCTTCCCTTGAACGCTCGACGAGATCAACGCATTGTTGAAGCATTCAATTCATCAAGAAGACTTAAAAAACTTGACTGGAAGGAATGCATGAATCTCAGCCTTCGTTCGATCGAGGCTGCTTTCAAAAATATGGACAAAAAGTATTCAACTACAAAAATAAAACGCAAAGGCCTTACTTCAGAAGAGAACTCAGAACCAGCAGGAATAATTAAAGATAATGAAGAGACAGCGGACTCTTCTCGACCGAATCGACCCAAAATTGGTAATACGAGTCAAATCAGTCAGCTTGAAGATGAATTTTGTTTAGAAGCGGAAGAACAAAGAGTCAATAACTTTTTCGAATTTTGGAAAAGAACCATCACTGAGGAAAGAACCGACGAAGAAACAGATGACCTTTTGAAAAATCATCAAAAGTTAATTGAGTAAGCATTGTAAGCGATATTTAAAGTCAAAACCTTTTAAAGAAAAACGGTACAGAAAAGTACTTCACCGAGCGAAGACGAACATAAGAAAAAAATAATGCAAACTGAATTCCAAAAACAACGGCATACGAAACAATTGAAATCGCTTTGCCTTAAACCGAAAAATCAAAGACGACGAATAAACTGATTTTTTTGTTCCAAAATTTAAAGCGATGAAATGTTTAGAATGCCGACAGTCGTTTTCATCAGTTGAGATAACCTTGATGACAGAGAAGACAGGGAGCTGCTGTCAAAATAAAGGTAACCGGATCTGACAATCTTAATTCAGGAATCATAACGATTTTGAACTAGCATACTGGGTGGTGAGTCAGTCCAACGAGTTGGAAATTGGATTCACAGCCACCAAGAGTAAACCGAGCCAGGTGACAAAAATGACAAAGATTATCCTAGGTTTATCAATCAAAGTCAATTTTTTTTTTCACATGTTTAACGAACACAACGAGAGATAAATTTTTTACCCTCCGAACGAATAGAATGGCTTTGGCTACTTAATATGATCTGTATTCTTTTTTGTTTTGCATGAAACGGATACGTCCAGTAGAAGTCATTCCGAAGGTTCTTTCAAGTAAGTATATTGTACAGATCCGAAGAAAGTTGTTTTAGAACAATGATATGGCAAGCGATAATAAACGCTGCGGTTAATTAACAGAACCTAGATGTCAATCGACGGCTCATTTGCGATCAAGGACACTTCAAATGGCCTCCCCAACGATGACGAGACTGAAATCTGTCGACAGTGAGAATGAGAGGTGGTCGTTACAAAGTCAAAACAAAGTCTAGGATGTAAGAACGAGTCGGAAGCAAACGAGAGTGAGAGAAACCCACCGGGTGTCCGAAAGAAGTAACCTCGTACCGACAACAGTGGTCTTTTTTGTAAAGGTACTCCTCCCAAGGGGAAGGGTCTCAATAGAATGCCTAGTCATATTTGTTGTTAAAGGAGAACTACAAAAGAAGATCAACAAGAACAGGAAAATGATGAAGATTGTTTTCGCTGTAAGTTTACCCTGCCAACACCAGTCGTAAGAATAAAGCAGAAATCGATCTGATGAGGTACAGTTTGTCATTCGATACCGAAATTCTTCACGAGATATTGGTGGGGAAGGGTTTATATGACAAGTAGAGAATAACACTATTTTGCGATAAGTTAAATTGAGGAAAATTTCGACGAGACTTGGAATGCGATTCGTCAACAATTTGTTTTTGAGATCATAACGCCTTCACAAGCCATCCTTCAAAAACAAAAACTTAAATTTTTTTACCCTCATTATTTTCGAGACGCAATACGAATGTGAGATGAAACAAAACCAGTAAACCAACTACCTGTTTGATTGAAAAGAAAGAAACAAATTTCTTGGTTCACAAAGTTCTCTCCTCCCGCACTGAATCAGATAACCGGAACCATTTTGCATCATGCTATAACTTGGCGCTTCAGTCACGCGCCGAACATATTTTTTTTGGATTTCGAGCGCCTTGCGGCTACAACAGTGCGACTCCAAGCGGCCGGGCTGAAACTTCTTTTGCGGGCAGGGGAGAGTGTAACGGTGCTACTACTATTATGCAATACAAGTTGCAGGGCAAAGTTCTGGAGAATTCTAGAAGCGCAGCGCTTCCGGCTCACCGTCGCCCCTAGCGAGCACGCACCTGCGGCGAGTATATAAAGAAGCGTAACCGCCTGAAATGGGCATCCGGACTGAGTGTCCCACTGAGATAAGATTAAGAATAAAGTACCCTTTTTTACTGTAACCCCTTTTGTTATCTTTTTATATGCAATTGCAGAGATAGTATAGAGATAGTAGAAGTAAGCACCCTACAACAGGTTGCCGAGTGACTCAACCCGAGTCGAGGTTCAGTTTCTGTAACGGGAAAAAGCTCGCTCGCGTTGCGGGAATACCTCTTCCCGGCCCGGCTCACTCGTTTTGCTGGGTGGACAGCAAAAAAGCGCTGGGCAGAATTGTGGTAGGACTTGATAATGGGCTGATAAACATGTACGATGCGAATGCGATTTTGGACGGCTCTCAGGCGCTTACTGGAAAGGTAAGTTGATATATTTCTTGGGGAAAGTAATGACAGTAGATTGAGGAGTGTCTCGGATTAGACCCAGATTCAGTAGTAGTGTTAGGCGAAAACGAAGAGGTAAAAAATAATCGAATTGTTTGCTGATTAATTTGAAATCATCAAATAAGCAACAGCAAAGACTTACATCCATAATTTCATCCTGGGTTCGACATCCTGAGTAGAAAACCTGCGTCAGGGTAAAAATGCTTAAATATAATTCTAAAATATAAAACGACATTTATCAAAGCTCTTTTTTACCCCGACTTAGGTCTTCCACACAGTCTGTCGAACCAAGATTTCATCCTTTTCGGATCTCATCATGCTAACTTCCCCTTTTTTCATTTTTGCCTCCAAATTTCAATTACTTTATATTTTCTATTAAAACTGATTTTCTCAGTGCATGAGGCACACAGGAGCAGTGTCGACGCTGGATTGGAACCATTTCCAACGAAATCTTCTCGCTTCCGGCGCTCAAAATTCCGAAATTTTTATTTGGGACATGAACGCGCCCGAGAAGCCGATGACGCCTGGCGCAAAGATCCAGCCGCTTTCGCCAGTTCGCGACGTCAAATGGAACGCAAAGATTCAGCACATTCTTGGCTCTCTCATCGGACTGCCCAGTGGAACGCAAGCGGTAATTTGGGACTTGCGCAAAAACGAGCCGATCATAAAAATCAGCGACAGGAGTTCGCGGCTGTCCGCGTCTTCGATGGCCTGGAATCCAAACAACCCGACTCAGTTCGCCGTCGGCAGCGAGGATGACGAGAGACCAGTGATCCAACTCTGGGACGTGAGACAAGCGCAGCAGCCTTACCAAGTGATTGCAGGAAACCAAAAAGGAATTACGACGCTAGAATGGTCAAGAGACGATCCGAGACTGATCCTGAGCGGATCCAAGGACGGCCGAGCGCTCATATTCAACGTTTCGGACGGAGCCCTCGTCAGCGAAATGCCACAACAGCCGGGATTCGTTATTGCGACTACGTTCAACAGAAGACATCCCGATTTGGTGACTGTCGCTTCCGCCGAAGGAGGCGCGCAGGTTTTCGACATGATGGGTCAGCCAAGCGCGCCAAAGCTTCAAAGCCAGAAGCAAACTGCCGCCCTGGACGATGCGTTTGGCGCGTTCGAGGCTGCGCCAGCGCCAGTAGCGCCCATCGAAGCGCCGTGTCCGGAGCCCTGCTCGCTGCCGCCAGCCTGGTTCGGTCGAAGAGTCGGCGCCGCTTTTGGCTTCGGCGGGAAACTAGTTTCTTTCGGAAAAGGAAAAAACACGCTCGAAGTGAGGCAGATTATCACGGAGCCAGATGTGGTGGAAGAGTCGAAGTCGCTGCTGCAGTCGCTGGAGTCGGACACGAAAGAATACTGCGCCAAAAAGCTCGAAGCTGCGAACGATCCAAAGGAAAAATCCGTCTGGAAATATATCCACGCGAGAAGCGAGGCTGATAGCAGGGCGAATTTCTTGAATCTTCTCGGCATCAAAAAGGTTTGATTTCATTTTTCGATGTTTCTAATTTTTTTGTTATTTAAAAAAATATCCGTAAAAATGATAATTAGAAGGAAGAGCAATCAGTGGAATTACCACTTGCACAGGAGGTAGGCTAAAAATCACCGAAAACCCAAAATTCTAACAATTCTAATTTCTAACCCAGCTGGGCTCTTCATTTTGCTCTAGCGCTACCAATCGCAAGAGCTCTTATGATAGCTACGAAGTCGTCGATAAAGTGGTAATTTTTTTATCAAGTAGATTGCTTTAAGAACAAGCCTTTTTTTCCATTTGCTAACTCGATAAGATCATCCTTATTTCGCGACTAATTTATTTCTACGACATTTTCGTCTTTACAAGAAGTTTGATTTTCCGCTTCAGGAAACCCCAGAGCCCGAAACAGAAGCATCGACGGAAGAGGGTTTTTCGATCGTCGATCCGGTCACTCCGCCCGTCGCTTCTGCCCCGGTCGATGAATCCGACCCCTTCGCTGATATTTCTCAGGCGAATGCCGAAGTCCCTGCTCCAGCTCAAACCGTGAGTTTTTTTTTCAAATCATTCTAAATATTCTACTCGTTTTTCAGTCGGAAATCAAGGAAGAAATCGCTCCCGAATCAGTTTTACCAGATCCAGTTTTCAACATTCCGACTGACGGCTCCATTGATTCGCAAATCGCAGAAGCTCTTTTGGTTTCCAACATCGAAACTGCTGTCAAGGTATTTTTAATTAAATTTTTTTTTCCTCACGAAATTCATCAAGATCTGTATCGAGAACAAACGATTTTCGGATGCACTGATCATCGCGAAAATCGGCGGAAACGAGCTGCTCGAGTCAACTATTCAAACCTATCACAAAAAGGTAGAATCATTCTTTTGGGGTGATATTTTTAACCTATTCTGACAGAACGAATCTCCGATCGCCGGTTTGCTCCAAACCATCTACGCCCAGAACTGGCAGCGAATCGCCCAGGAAAGTGACCTTCAAAACTGGAAAGAAGCAGTTTCTTCCATTCTCACTTATGTCCCCGACGCGGAGCTTCCTTCCCTTCTCGACATCATCGCCGGCCGTTTGGAATCATCTGGAAAATCTGAAGAAGCGGCGGCGGCGTACATTATGTCGGGCAACGTCGACAAGCTTGTTTCCTGCCTCAAAAAATTCTTCTACTCCGGCGCGGCTGCTTCGGAACTGCAACTGCTCGTCGAGAAAGTGTTGATTCTCCGACAAACGCAAAACGTGACAATCGGCGACGAATCGAACTCAGTTTTGGAGTCTTACGCGATGCTCCTCGCCGCCCAAGGAGAATTTGCCGCGGCGATGGAGTTCTGCGGCGGCGCGAGCGAACAACTCACCCGTTTGCGAAACCGAATTCTCAGAACGAACACCGCTCAGAATCAGAATCAGCCCGCGCAGACTCAAAACTACAATCAGTACAATCAAGGAGCTTCTTCGTCTTTTAACCAGTACGGGCAGCCAGCGCCTCAGCCGGTTTCGTCGATTCCGAGCGGCCCGCGCTCCAATTTGCGACGAAACAAAACTCCACGAAGCAACCATGTACCCACTCCAGCTACGGCGTTCACCCCCGCTCCAACCCCGACTAGTCATTTCTCCCCAACACCGGTGCAACCGCAATCCTTCGCCCCAACCCCCTTCACTCCTTCCCCAGCTCAACCGCCGGCGCCGTTTACTCCACCACAGTCATCTCCCTTCACCCCTGCCTCTGCGCCGAGCAGTTTCGCTCATCCAGTCCCGTCCTCTGGATTTGCGCCAACCCCAGCGCAAGTGTCAGCTCCTCCTAGTTTCCAGCCCGCTAGCAGCGCTGTTATGCCTCCTATCAACTCCCCCTCTCAGCCAGCAAGTGCTAACTCTTTCGGGGCTCCTCCTATGGGCTCTTCGATGCCCCCCATGGGCGGTGGCTACAACAACTTCTCAGCCGCCGATATTTCGCATATTCCGAAAGGCCCTTCTCCTGAAAAACCAGAGTCGACTCCTGGCTGGAACGATCCGAGGAGCAAGCCAGAGTACGCGAAGGCAGTAGATTCGTCAATGCGATTGAACAAGAAAAAGAAAGCTCCAACGATGACGGCTATCGATTCAGCGAATGTATTCCAACCGGCGCCAGTTCCGACAGGAATGGGAATGTCTGGCGCTTTGGGTGGCGCTCCACCAATGGGAGGCGGTTTCGGGGGAATGCCGCCTATGGGGACTCCAGTGGGTGCCGCTCCGCCTATGGGAGCGCCTCAAAATGCGGCGCCGATTCCGTCAATGTCGATGAACTCTGCAATGCCTGTTTCTGGAATGAACAATTTGGCGAGTCAACCAAGCCACCTTCCAGTTTCTCGCGCCTCCGCTCCTGCTCACCCAGGAGAAATCGAGGAACCAACCGGGCCAAAAGCTAGCGCCCTGGCAGTTGCAAAAGCGCCGCTTCCGGACCAATTCTTGCCGATTCAACAGGCGATGGACGCGCTGCTGGATCGCTGCAAACAGTCGCCAGTGATGAAACCCATTTTGAAGAAGAAAATCGACGAGGCGCAAAAACGATTAGCAATGCTTTACGACAAGCTCAGAGCGGGAAGCTGCTCTCAACTTGGTTAGTGTTCCATTTTTTATGATTTTTCGGAAAAATTTTAATTCAGGATACTTTTTATCTAGACCGGGTAATTTCGTTGTCATTTGTTTTGTAAAATCGTTGATTTACTTTTTCTGTAAAGTCAGAATATGCTCAAACCGATTGATTTCAGTCACCGACGCTCTGCTGCAAATTTCCGACGCGGCGGAGAAGCACGACTACAGCCGCGGCCTGGGAGTGGTCCAGTTCATCGTCCAGAAAGCGAACTTTTCCGAAGTCTCGTCGTTTCTGCCCGGCGTCAAGAACTTGCTCACTGTCGCCTCTCAGCTCAAAGTCTAACCCTGTCTTTGATTCCTGTGTTCTTCGAATTCTAGCGCGTATTTAAAATATACATTCAACTTTTCCTTAGGGCGTATTTTTTATATTTTATTTTGATCTTCGCTTCAACTCCCAAGCTGGGCTTGGCAACCTGCGCAGAAACCTGAGTCAGGGTCTTGAAAGACTGCTTATTTTTTTCTAAAAGCTCTTTCAGGACGCTGACTCAGGTTTCTACACAGGTTGCCAAGCCCGGTCCCAAGAAACAACAAAAATGTGCAATGTTCCTTTTCTTACTTTTCCCAGTTTAGTCTTATTCTCTTCCTTTGTTAGTTTGAATTAAGTTAATTAACTAAAAATATCCATGCATTATTAATATTGTCTAAAAAGTGCAATCTAAAAAGTGGATCTACTTAGAATGAGCGCAAATACGATAAAACTGCACGGTGCAAACTATTTGAGGCAGAGGCTGATTTTGGCCACAATTTCCGGCAAAAATCTGAAAATTACGAAAATTCGAGAATCGGAGGCCGATCCGGGCTTGGTCGAGTACGAAATGAACTTGTTGAAGCTTTTAGGTAAAAATAAGAAACGGTTTAAGCCAAATACAAGGTTCAAAAATCAAAAATTTGTTTATGTTACAGTTCGGTCACGGATACAGGCAACCTGTGTAGAAAACCTAGTGAGCAAAGTAGTTGATGATAGATTAAAATGGCTCTTTTGAACCTTACTAAGGTTTTTACACAGGTTTCCGAGCCAAGACCTCTTCATCGCCGCTTTTTCACAGAAATGCGGCGGCGGGGGAAGTTTCTTTCGCGGAGCACTGGGACTTTAATCCCTTGTTCAGAGGAAATGACGAACGGCACAACGATCAAAGTTAACGAAACGGGGACTATTTTGTTTTACTCGCCGGGAATGCTCACCGGTGGCGTAATCGAACACGAGTGCAGAACAGAGCGCTCCGTCGGATACCTTTTGGAAGTGCTGCTCGCGCTCGGCCCGTTCTGCGCAGAGCCGCTAATGGTGAGAGATTGATTCCTTCGTGAAATAAAAAAAATTTTTGAAAAATTCAGGTGACTCTGAAAAATTGCGTAACAAACAGCTCGAGCGACGTTTCAGTCGATTATTACAGACACTCGGTGATTCCTGTTCTGCGCCAGTTCGGATTATACGACAAAGACGACTACAAGTTTGAAATCAAAGTGAATAAGCGAGGATCAGCGCCGCTCGGCGGAGGCGAAATATTCTTCTCCATGCCTAATCCGAAGAAATTAAGGGCTTGCGTCTCGCTAGGTAAAAGAGAGTCAGCACTTGTCTTGTTAATGGTTAACCTTTGTAAAGACCTGAGTCAGGATCTGAAAGATATTAAATGAAAAGGCGCGTAGCCCCTTTTTTAGGTTAGATTTTCATGGAAGAACTTTCAGACCCTGACTCAGGTTTTCTACTCAGCTCAAGTCAGAATTGGTTCACTAAAGCTGTGTTCAGACGTGGGTAAAATCAAACGAATCCGAGGCACAGCGTACTCGACCCGGGTTTCGCCGCAGACACCGGGGAGAATGGTGGAAGCGGCGCGCAGCATTCTGAACGGTTTCCTTCCAGACGTGTATATTTTCTCCGAAGCTGCCAAAGGAGCTGGATCAGGCAAATCGCAGGGCTACGGATGCTGCCTTGTCGCCGAGTCGACGAACGAAAACGTCAGAATCGCGGCGGAAGTGATGTCGGGGACGAAAGACGACGGAATGAAGAATCTGACGGCGGAGGATATTGGAAAAATGGCCGCGCTGGAGTTATTAGAGGTAAGAAACGGAGAAGGAGATAAAAGCGACGTTTTGTAGCTCAAAAATTGTCGGATTTTTTGTAGATTTTAACAAAGTGCTCGCTTTTTGAAAGTGTTTTTCAGGAAATCAACGTTGCGGGAGTATGCGACTCAGTAACCCAGCCATTGATGATTCTGTACAGCGCGCTGAACCAAGCAGACGTGTCGAAGTTCGTGAGTGGAATGTTGACTCCTTACTCGGTGGAAATGCTGCGCAACATGAAACTCTTTCTGGGGATCACCTTTCGACTGGAACTCATTCCAGCCAAAAAGCACAAAAAGAACGAAAACGAAGGAATGAAGACGGGGAGCGACAAAGTTTTGTTGACCTGTATTGGAGTTGGCTATCAGAACTTGAACAAGGCTACGCTGTGAAAATGCACAGAGAAAATAACAGAGGAAATTCAGATTCAATTCGGAAAAGGAGTTATTTTAGATTGAAACTTGAGAGAGCATTTGGTGAAAAATCAAAATGAGTGAGAACAATGGAAGCTCGAGGGAACCAGCTAAAGGTCGAGGGTCGCTTTCTTTAATTAGAGTCCTAAAGAGACAGTTTTTGGGATTCCTAACGATGTTATCGTTGTCCTCGGAATCAACGATGATTATTGGCTAACAAGAAAATTGTTAGTTAGGGGTTCCATTTTAGCAATCACAAAGCCTTACGTCTTAGAGCCTCAAAGATAGCGGTCTCAATTTTATCGGATTTGATATTCCTCAATGGGCCCCTTTCAAGGAAGGTGGTTAATATTTGGGACTCCCCATTTCTACTAGTATTTTGCAAGAAATTATCCTTCAGAGTCTCATCATGAGTCATTATGTCCTTATTAATGACCCTTCGTATCAGAGCACAACATCATCCTTCTGACAATCCGAAACCCCTTCTATCCGATCACAACGTCAGTCCTTCACAAAGCAGCAGCGCGATTCGGCGACATCAAGAGGATCGTCATTTTCAAGAAAAAGTTCTTGCAGGTATTGTGTTTTATTTCTTCCATTGTCGCTGACTTTATTTCTTCGAAACAGGCGATGATCGAGTACTCGGACATCAAAATGGCGATCCAAGCGAAATCCGGTCTCCATGGGCAAGACATTTACTCGGGCTGCTGCTCCATCAAGTGTGAGTTCGCCCGGACGGACAAACTCAACGTCTACAAGGTATCGGCTCGGCAACCTCTGATGAAAACCTGAGTCAGGGCGCCGAAAGAGTTTTATCAAAAAAATCGGGACCTTCTTTCAGCACCCTGACTCAGGCTTTCCACACAGGTTGCCGAGCTTATGTGCTAATCTGCCAATTTCTTAAAAAAAAGGTGACGAAAAAATTAAGAATGACGACACGACTTGGGACTATTCTGTCTCTTCCCAAGGCCAAGGGCAAAAGAAGCCGTGTGGCCTTTTGGGCGACCGTCCCATCCTCCCCAATGGCGCGGCTCCCTTCACCGCCGAACGAGAGTCCGTCCCGCCGCAAGTTCCGTTTCCGGTTTACAACGCAGATGGACACAGGTATCCCCCGCCGCGAGGAATGGCGCCCCTCGACCCGCAAGCTTACAATGCCGGCTTCGAGAGATACCCTCCTCAAGAGTCCTGCAATACTTCAGTCGTCATGGTAATTCTCTAAAATTTAGAGTCTAAATCCGATCGACTTCTTGAGCTAATTTTAAACAGGTTTACGGAGTGGACGACAACATGAGCTGCCAGCGGCTTTTCAATCTTCTCTGCGTTTACGGAAATGTGCTCAAAGTCAAGTTTCTTCGATCAAAGAACAATACCGCCATGGTTCAGGTAACTTTTTCTGCAATATCGTCCGACGATATATCGTGCTTTTTCATAGCTGGGAGACCCGCAAGCAGTGGACCGTTGCTGCCAGTTACTGACCGGGACTCGTCTTTTTGGCAATTTGCTGACTCTGGCACCTTCGAAGCAGCTGCACCTGGTCGACACTTCTTCGGCGATCTTCGACTTGAGCGACGGCTCCCCTTCGTTTATGGACTTCTCGAGCTCGCGGAACCACCGCTTCACCTCGCAAAAGATGGCAGCAATGAACAGAACGCAAAAACCGAACAAGTCGCTTCACTATTACAACGCGCCCATGGACTTTTCCGAAAAAGACATTCAAGAAATCTGCTCGAAAGAAAACTTGACTACTGTCCAGATTAAGGTAAATCAATCTGTGCCAGGCGGGCAACGCTCTTTTCGAGACCCTGATCATTTTTTCTTTTTCAAAGCCTTACTCAGGTTTTATACACAGGTTGCCGATCTAAGGAAAACTGCAAAAGTAAATGAATCTTCTTCAGGTTTTCCCGCCAAAAGACTCGAAAGTGAAGACTTCCAGTGGAATCGTCGAGTTTAGCAATACCGAGGAAGCAGTCAAGGCTCTCGTTCTTCTCAATCACCGTAAGATCTTTTCCAAAACAGCTGCGAATTCTTAAAATAATTGTAGTCGAACTTGAAGGGCGCCAGATTCTGAAACTCTGCTTTTCTTCAACGAAATAACTGCCTGAACGTCGCTACAACTCCTATATTGCTGTCAAACCCTGAAACTAAGAAGAATCGCCTCTTTCGGACGCGTTCTCCAACTCTGCAACAAAACTGATCATTCTCGCTATCTCTCTCTCGAAGAAAAAGGACTCTCCTGCTAAAAAGAGCTGATTCCGCTTTTGAGAGAATTCTCCAATCAAGTTTTTTTCAATAACCGATCTTTTTTAATTATTAATCTATCTCGAGAAAAATCGATCTTATTTAATTTCCTTATCTTTCTTTTCAGTTTAATTTTTAAGTTATCAAAGCTACGATTTCGTGAAATTTTCAAATTTTCTGGTTTCCCAGTTAATTTTCTCTTTTGAAAAGTTAGAACTGGAGATTCTAAAAAATCATGATTTCTTTGCTTGATTCGCCTTTACCATTCATTTTAAGTTTAAAATTCAGCTTTCCTTTTTTTTCATTTTTGCCCAACTTACATTTAGTTTTCCCATTCAACTTACTTCGCATTTTCTTTTTATTCTCCCTCGCGGTCCTCTTTTTTTCTCAAGCAGTTCTCAAAGTCTAATTCTATCCTTAAAAAAGATTTTACCAAAAAATCCGGTGACGCACAATTAACGATTTTGCTGATCACAAAAATTTCAAACAAAAAAAGAACTCCACAGTTACAGTTACTTACAAGGCTGCTCCGACAGTCTTTAACATTCAAAGCCGGGAAGCGGCCGGAAGCGACAAAAAATGCAAAAAAAATCGCGACAAAAATCGCGACAAAAACGCCCGTAAAAATTTATGTCGCAAATCTTTCGTCGACAATTATGTGGCTATTGTCGCCGAGAATAATTGTCGCAAAATTTTGTCGCGTGCTGCCGCTTCCCCAAAAACACCATCTGGAATTTTATACTGACTCACCAAGACCGTTCAGTAGTATTTATCCTCCATTTATAACTTTCGCTACCCCTCGGCATGATTTAGGGTGCGCTCGTGGAAATCCTTCCGCGGCCTTGAATTTACACAACAAACTGATTCAACAGACAGTCAAATGATTACCAACAGAAAAACGAACTTTCTTTTTTCATTTGCTCAAATGACAAAATCAAAAACCACAATCTTGGGGTACAGACGCTAGCGCGGGCAAATGCTTTTACGGGCCAATCAGATGTCGCTCTTTTCCGCTTTGGCGAATCAGAAGCCGCCACAGAAGGCTCGCGCCCGCCTAGCACAGAACAAGACATGACATGACATAAAACCACATTTTTTGCAATTTTACCATCACGACCTTAAATTTCTTTAGGGATCGACAATCACAAACTCATCATCACATCTTTATCCTAACTCCATTTATTATTTCCAAGAACTATTTTTCGGCTCTCACGATTTCAAAAAGTCCCTCTTCCAATTATTTTTACCTCTCTATTTCTGAATAATTTACTGATTTCTTAGTCAATTAATTTCCAATTCACGTACTAAAAATTTTAATGCTTCCTCTTAATTTTAAAAAAGAAAAAACTATCTTCAACTATCCCTTTTTCACTAGCATTCTCTGCCCTTCTTATTCTAGTAATTCCCGATTTCCTACAAAGGTACCACTTTTGAGGAGGCAAGTCTCAGTGTGCGATTTGTCCCGATATCGTTTTTTTAAGTTACCTATTTCTCTAAAATCCTCGAAGTGCCTCTTTCTTCCCAGACCAATTTCTATTCATCTCAGTTTGGTGCCAGTTTCAGTCTCTTTTTCCGCCGCCAGTTACAGTAATTCCAGCCACACTCCGAAAAAAAACTAACTCACGTGGCTTCAATTAAAAAAAACCGGCTGGTTCGAACAGACTCGCTCAAAAAATGCAAGCGACGCGTGGTGTCGATTGCTCGTTAGAATTTATGTCAAATACTGTCTACCTCACAAGTTCAATCAGTCTTGTTATTAAACTAAAAGCTTCTAAAAGGTCTTTCTTCATCTTTTTTTCGTCCCTAGAATGGGCGTTTTGGACGCAGTGGGCATCCAGTTTTGCAACGAATGCAACAATATGCTCTACCCACGGGTATAAATTCAGCTCGCGTGCAGTGCCAACAACAAAGACTAACAAACTCAAAAATTGTGAAAGTAGAAGAGTTTATGCCATTTCTTGAACTCCTGTTTCTCTGTAGGAAGACAAAGTGAATCGAGTGCTGCTCTATCAGTGCCGGAACTGCGAGCTGAACGTCGAAGCTGAAAGACCGTGCATCTATGTGAACAAACTCATCTCCACCCTGAACGAAGTCAAGCAGATAAACACGGACGTAGTCATGGTAGGGTAGAAATATTAAGCCTCCTAGTAGCCGACTTTAGGATCCGACTCTGCCAACGACTTCGCACATAAACTGTCCCCAATGCAACGCCAACCAAGCGGTGTTCTTCCAGTCCTACTCGACGCGAAAAGACGCGAAGATGAATCTCTTCTATGTTTGCAAAATCTGCCGTTACAAATGGACATGTGTCGAGTGAATTCCTCAATGTCTCTATTTTTCTTTTTTTCAGAGCAAAAGCATGAACTCTCGATTGATCGCCGTTTCGCTGCGATCTCTGAAGGTTCAGAACGTCTCGGTCGTTGGTTCCGGGCTGATGGGCGCTGGAATCGCCCAGGTCGCCGCCCAAACTGGCCACAACGTCGTCCTCAACGATTTGAACGACGCCGCTCTTGGCAAGGCGCAAAAAGGTATCGAAAAGTCGCTTGGCCGCGTCGCCAAGAAAATGGGCGACGAGGGTGCAAAATTCATCGAAGACACCATGTCGCGCATCACCTTCACGACCAGCGTCGAGGAAACCGCTGCCAACGCCGACTTGGTCGTCGAAGCGATCGTCGAGAACCTCGCTGTCAAGCAAAAACTCTTTGCTGATCTCGAAGCTGGCGCCTCGGCCAAGTGCATTTTGGCGACTAACACTTCTTCCCTACCTGTCAGCGCCATCGGCGCCAACCTCAAGGTAGAAAATCGAAGATGATTAAATCTAACACAGTTGAGGATACGACTCGATTCGGCGGTCTCCACTTCTTTAACCCCGTTCCAATGATGAAGCTGCTTGAGGTGATCAAAGCGAACGACACTTCGGACGAAGTGTTCCAGGCGATGCTCGACTGGGGCAAGGCGATGAACAAGACCACTGTGAAATGCATCGATACTCCCGGCTTCATCGTCAACCGACTTTTGGTGCCCTACCTGATGGAAGCCATTCGACTCGTCGAGCGAGGCCACGCCACCAAAGAGGATGTTGGTAAGCGATCATTTTGAAAAAGCAGAGCTCAGGCCAATTTTTTTTAAAGATATCGCGATGAAACTTGGAGCTGGGCATCCAATGGGTCCACTCCAGCTCGCTGATTACGTCGGCCTGGACACTTGCAAGTTCATCCTCGACGGCTGGCACCAGGAGTACCCTGACGAGCCGCTTTTCAACCCCGTAGAAACCCTCAACAAACTCAACGAAGAAGGCAAAATTGGTATGAAGTCCGGCGAAGGATTCTACAGCTACAAAAAGAAGTAAAAAGAGGATAACTGAAGTTATACTTTTCCCTGTTTTGAAGCCCTTGATCCTGAAAACCACTATTTATTCATGTATAGTTAGTTCTTTCTTTTCACTGTTTTGATAATAAAATTAAAAAGACTGGAAGATAAATGATAAATATTCGAAACGCGACGGTCGAAGACATGCAGGCAATGCAGCACTGCAACTTGCTTTGCCTGCCTGAGAACTACCAGCTGAAGTACTATCTCTACCACGGATTGAGCTGGCCCCAGCTGAGTTTCGTTGCCGAGGACGAGAACGGCAAACTCGTCGGCTACGTTCTCGCCAAAATGGAAGACCAGGAGAACCCCGACGACAACGTAAGAAAAGTTCTCTTCCTTGATTTCAATTTTAATCAGACGCCTCACGGACACATCACTTCGTTGGCGGTGAGACGGAGCCACAGACGACTCGGAATTGCAAAGAAAGTGATGGATCAAGCATGCAAAGGAATGGTCGAGAACTTTGGTGCAAAGTAAGCATTTTTTTCTCTTTATTCGGTGAAATTTGTTTTTTTTTTCTTTGTGAACTTAGAAATTTGAAATTAGCAAGTACATGGGTTTGAGGTCTTGTCGGCGTTTCTCGGGCGGATTCCCGAATTTCCAAAGCCAAGAGGTAGTTGATTTGATTCCATCGGCATCTTTTTCATGACATCTGTGGCAATAAACTCGAAGGCACTTAATTAATGACTTAGTTTTTTATGGCCGTCTCTACTCATCGATTTGTCTCTGATGAGAATTCGCTACCTGAATACGTTTGAGTCGGATTTAGCGCTGGACTCGAAGAACTCAGCGCCGAATTCTTGCGCCGCTCTTTGTCCTTGTTCGGTTGAGATAACTCTGTTTTCCTTCTGGTCAGTTTTGTTTCCGACAAGAATCTTGCTCACGTCCGTTCTGGCGTGCGTCTCGAGAAGGGTGAACCACTTTCTCAGATTTTGAAAGGTAGCTGGCCTCGTCACATCGTACATCACCACTGCCGCTCTCGCCTGTCGATAGTACGCCGTCGTGATGGAGTTGAATTTTTCTTGGCCCGCCGTGTCCCAAATCTGCATCTTCACGGTTTTGTTGTCAATATCGAGTCTTCTGACTTTGAAGTCGATGCCCACTGTGGCCGAATATGCCTGACGATGGGCGCCTTCGGTGAATCGATCCATAAACGACGTTTTTCCGACGCCGGAGTCGCCTTAAAATTTAAAATTATAAATTTATTGAATGGCGAAAAAATGGTGTAAGCGATCCGAAGCGACAAAAAATGCGACAAAAGACTTATTTTTTGCTGCGAAAATTTGAAATTTATGAAAATTAAAGTTCTATGAAAAATTTGTCGCATTTTGTCGTTTTGTGTCGCTTTAGGGTAATCGAGCGAAGCGGCACACAATTGAGACAAAATTTTCGACCGGATTTTTGTCGCACTAATATGTCGCTTCGTCTAATTCATTAATGGCTTCGATGTTTGATAAATTTCAGCTGTTGTAGCGTTAGAAATATTTTTTAAATTTTTTTACCGATAATTATGATTTGCATTTTATAATCAGGAGGAGGAAGAACGCGACCTTCCATGATCCTTTTTTGTCTTCTTTTTTTCGTATTCTTCAGTTTATTTTTTTTCCAGTAATCTTAGTTCCTCTTTTTCAAGTTTTTCCTCTGAAGATTTCAGCGCAAGCAAAATCCTTGTTGTTTTGTTCCCTAGAGGCTTTCTTTGCCGCTAATTTCGCGTCCTTTGTTTTTCTCCGAGCAAAGCGTACCCTCTTTAGTCGAGATAGAATATGTCAAAATCTGGCAGCTAAAATTGCAATTGGAAAATATAGAAAAGGCGATTTTACCTGCTTTTTTTATTGAGTCTCTTTCTTGCGAATAAACAGAAAAAAAGCGCGCGCGTGTGTGTGTGCTCAGAGTCCCCTGACTACAAGTGTTAAATATCTCGTGACCTGAGCGAGGTAGACCTAACCCGCGGGGGCTTTTCAATCTCTCTTTTCGATAAATTTGTATTCTGCGCTATTCATAAAAATAGTCTTCTTTTGGTTTTCTTTTGTTTTCTGCAAAATGAAATCGAGTTAGGGTCGATCCAGAGGATGAGTGTCTTTCTGACTCAGTTAAAAGCCAGATACTTTGTCTGAATCAATTACGTGAATAAATAAAAACAAATCCTAAAAAAGAAGTTCTTTCGGATTAATAATGGACCAAAAGACATGACTTTTCAAATTTGTTGAATAGATTTTTATTAAATTACATAACTAATAGATAAATAAATAATTTTTGATATTTTTTTTCAATGAAAAAAATTCCGAAATTTGATTTCTCGAAAAAAGCTGACGGGGGGTCCTTAAATTTTTATTATTATAATCTTTATCAAACAATAATTATTTATTTTCAGGAATTTTAAAAATTAGATGTTCATCAGCATTTTCAGATACGTCTCCCTGCACGTACGAGTGAGCAACAGAGCAGCTCTGAATTTGTACGAGAAGACGCTTCAATTCGAAAAAACGGAAGTGGAAGCAAAATACTACGCCGACGGAGAAGACGCCTTCGCCATGAAAAAGTATTTGGACGAGTTTTGGGAGGTCGGCCTATCTTCTTGTTTTAAAAATTCTAAAATTTGATTTCAGAAAAAAGATTCAAAGCCGCCGAAATTCCAGTTTTCGTGGAGGCCGAGCGCGGAGCAGAAAGTTGAACAAAAAATGAAGAGACTGTCGATCGGGTCCACCGAGTCGCTTCCGGAGCTCGAAGAAAATAACACAGCACAGCCAATTGAGTCGCAATCTTAGAAGAATTACTGTTCAACTATTGAGCGCTTAATAAATATCTTCAAAAACCCCCAAATTGTTTTCTATAAATTTTTTTCAGTACCCTGACGCAGGATTGTATGTGTACAGGTTGCCTTCCAGGTTTCAAGACCCTGCAGCCGGTTGTCTAACGCTTCTAAATTCAGTCGCCACAGATAATGGCATTCTCGAGTTGAATTTTTAAGTGCTCTTGTCGATAACTTTGAAAAGACAGCGCCGAGTTTAAAAATATAATTTCTCAAAATTTCTCTTTTAGAAAAAAAAAACCTGAAAATTGAATCTTAAAAGGAAAACCCGCGAATAATAGAAAATGCAAGTTTTCTCTCCGAACGACATCAACATCTACGACCTGTCGGGCGGAAAGAACCTGCCCGACTTTTTGTCGATGCGGAAGCGCAAAGAAATGCTCCGAAAAGATGTTTCGCTGCGAAGAAGAATCGATCTCATCCAAGGATTCGAAATGCCAACAGGTTAAAGCGAACTTTATTGAAACGATCAATTTTGCGGAAAAGTAGCTGACGCAAGGGATTCGTTCAATTAACAGTCTTATCAGTCTCCTGCGCGCATTTTCGTTATCGCGCAGCTGGCTTAGCTGGACTTATTGGAGCGTTGCTACTGACGCTTCAATTTACTGTTACCATTTTTAACCAAATTCCTCGGGAGGTGTCAGGAAGCGACGAATTTTGATAAATTTGAGTTTTGACACGAAATTCCAACGAAAAATATCAACAAATCAGAATGCTGTATTTACGGATACCGACCGGTAGATAGCCAATCAGGCTGATTGAATCAGCTGTCGGACTGAATAATTTTTTATGTGGACAAAAAGCTCGCGACAAAATTTGACAAATTTGAATTTAGTCACGATCTTGCGACGAAAAATAAACGTCGCTATTTTTGTCGCTTCCTGACAAATTCCCAACTTCCCGGGTATTTTTCCATCAATTCGGAATTTCCCTTCTGTTAGCAATAATTAAGAGCCCCCCTACTAATAGTTTTCAGTGAACACGCGAGTGAAATGCACGAAAGACGGGCAGTACATCTACACGGCTGGCTGCTACAAGCCGACGATCAAATGCTTCGAGACTTCGCAGCTTTCCCTGAAGTTTGAGCGCTGCGTCGACTTCGAAGTCGTCGACCTGCACATTTTAACCGACGATTACCAGAAACTGGCGCTGCTGGGCTCCGACAGAACGATCGAGTTCCACACTTCATCCGGAAAACACGCGAAACTGCGCATCCCGAAATTCGGCCGGGAACTGGAGTTCTACCCGGCCAACAGCGAAGTCCTAGTGGCGGCGAGCGGAAACGAGGTTTACAGAATCTCGCTCGAGGAAGGCCGCTTTCTCCAGCCCTACCAAATGGCGATGGACGAAGCGATGTCCATCGCCGTTTCTCCAGAACACTATCTCGTCTCCTTAGGTAGTTTTTGAGAAACCGAATTTAAGTGGCGCTTTCATCATTAGCCGCCCGAAGAGCGGGTACTTTTGGATAGCATCTCCGGGAGGTCACTTTCCACTAATTATGAAACATCGTCTGTGAACGCACTCTTTTCTTATTGGTCACGAAGGGCAAGTTTGCCACAGTTCGTTGCGTATCAAATAAGTCGTTTTTGAATCTAGTCTGGGCTTGGCAACCTGTGTTGAAAACCTGAGACATGATTTCAAAGATATCTAATCAAAAGCCGTGAAGCGACCTAGAATAATTTTCTTTTCAATCAATTTTTAAATCCAAGCGAAGCCGCTTTGCTACGCGACTTTTTGATCTTTCAAACCCTGACTCAGGTTTTCTACGCGGGTTGCTGAGCCCAGGACCTAAGCCTAGGGCCTAGACTAGGCTTAGACTACAGTAGATTTTTTTTTTTGCTTAGAATGCCATAACTTATGGCCCATAAGTTTGAACTTTTCAATCTGACTCTATTTCCTATCAGAACCCATATTCTTCTCAATAGCGACCATAATAAACTCTTCTGTTCTGCGTTTTTATATTCATTTTATGTCATATGCTGGCTCCGGCGATGAAGAACCCCGGTTTTGCGTGTCATATGATTTCATGATTAGAAGCAAACCTTGAATTTTATTCTGAGCTGGTGAGACAGAATAACTTAAAAGTTGGAGCACACATAAGCCTCTTTTCTTTTTTTTCTAATTCATGTTTTCTTATCAAAATGACACATGCTCACTTCGTTGTTCAATTTTAAACATTTTGAATCTTGGAAGATTGATTTTTGGAGATGTATCGAGTTTCTTCCCTTGATATAGTGATACCCTTATTTAATATTAACAGAAAAGAGCTTTTCAACGCAGGTTGCCGAGCCCAGAGTAGCCGAACTCATATTTCACGTGCTTTTCTTTTTAAAGACTTCTTATTTCAGGCGGCAGTGAATCAACTGTTGAATGTTGGGATCCGCGGGCGCGTTCGGCGGTTGGCTGCGTCAAACTGCCTCAGTCAGATTCTGGAGTGTTTTCGAACATATCGAAGGTCGTCTATCTCAGCGGACTGGAAATCGCCGCCGGCACTGAAGACGGAAGAGTGGCTATTTACGATCTTCGACAACGAGCGCCGCTGGTCGTCAAAGATCACATGTACGAAAAGCCGATCACTTCGATCACGCGGAAGAGCATCTCGCCGGAAAAAAACTGGATCATTTCAACGTGCCAAAAATCGGTGAAAATCTGGGAATCGGAGACTGGAAAGGCGGTGACGGCGGTTGAACCGCCAGCAAGGATAAATCACGCAGTTTGTGTTGAAAATAGTGGACTCATGTTTCTGGCGCTGGAGCAGGAGAAGATGCAGACTTACTTTGTTCCAGAGCTCGGGCCGGCGCCAAGGAAGAGTTGAGAATTTCTCGCTTGAATTATTTAAAACTGAATATACCTCAAGCTGTCCGTTTTCTCTTTGTATATAAAAAGAAAATGCCTATTACTAATAGGCTATTAGCCAAAAATTTTCAACTGAACTGGAAGGTGGTGCTCCTTCCTGGATATGTTGACCGAAGAGCTGGAAGAATCGAAAACAGACGTGATTTACGACGACTACAAATTCCTCACTCTTCCGGAGCTGAAATCGCTCTCGCTGGAGAGTCTCGTTGGAACGAATCTCTTACGCGCCTACATGCACGGCTACTTCATCGACAACAGACTCTACCAAAAAGCGAAACTCGCCTCCGATCCATTTGCCTTTGAAGAGTACAAAGCCAAGCAAGTCGAAACTGCCAGAACCAAAGACAGAAAACGAGCACCCATTGTTGAAAAGGTAATTTTCTCAAATAAATGTTATACTTATGCAATTTAAATTACGTCAAATGCCGTTGTTAAAAGCTGATCTTTTAGGTTAAAGTTAATCCCGATCTTTATGTGAAAATGAAGGAAAATGGGGCCGAAAAGGTGGACGATCGTTTCGGCGATCTTTTCACAGACAAAGCCTTCCAAATCGACGAAGAGAGTGAACGATACAATCAGCTCAAGCCAGTTTGTGAGTTTTCGCCGGTTTAGAACGTATTTATCATTTAATTTTAAATCAGCGTCGACGAAGGTGCGAAAACGCGCAGACTCTTCCAGTGACGAAGAAAAGACGGCTGAGGACGATTTAGTTCCCGACGTTTTTGTTCCAGAAAAGCCAAATCAGAGAGCAGATTCTGAGCGAGACAGTCTCGACAGCGAGAGCGACAGTGAAGCAGATCAAGCCGCCGAGAAAAAGAAACAAGTGGTAAGAAAAGGTTGAGAAGCGATCAGCGCGTTTAGTCTTGCTTTAGCGAAAGACGAAAAAGATGACGGTCAGAAACGGAGTTGACCTTGGCCACTTCTACGACTCCAATAATACCACCAAGCTCAAGGAGCAGCGCAGGGTCGAGGAGCTCATCCCCATGTCCAAAAGAATTGGTAATTGTCTAATGCCTGGGATCTGGGCTCGGCCTCCTGTGTAGAAAACCTGAGTCAGAGTCTGAAACATCTTAAATGAAAAGTCGCGTAGCCGCTACACCGTAGCGGTTTTTAAAAAAACGAAGCCGCGAAGTCAGACACTGACTCAGGTTTTCTACACAGGTTGTCAAGGCAAGCTATTTCAAAAATAAGACCTCTTTATCAATTATTGAATTTTCAATTTAGACAAAAAAGAAATGCCTCAAAGCAGAAATATCCGCGGAGGAAGAGTGTTTGAGATGGAAGTTGGCAAGAAGAAAGGTTAGAAAAAATATAAATTTTCATCTTTTTCTAAAAATTGGTTTAGACAAGCAGAGAACGAAAGACACGATGAAGCACATAAAAGAGCGCCGAACGAACATCAGAAAAGCAGAATCTTTATTGAAGAAGCATCGACCGAAGAAAACCTAAAAATGTGTTTTTTTTCGATTTCTGTAAAATTCTAAATTCAATAAAGCGAGAAGTTGAGTCCATCGAGACTCCTTTAACCAATCGGCAAGAAGCGGCCAGTTCCTTTTCCCGCTCAATGAAGTGGCCGCTCGTCTCGTAGATGCTTATCCTGGTCATTTAGCCAGAAAGTGGCATCGTAATAATGCAAGCTCTTATCGCATTAACAGGCAGGTGGCGCTCCAGAAATTGCGTATAAAAAACAATCGCTTCCCTCAATTTGCACATCGAATCATTTCACTCAAGATACTTTGAGGAAAATCAACAAAAATGAAGCTTTTCAACTCTTTTCTTTTCGCCGTCGCTCTTTCCCAAACTACCGAGGTGACTACTACCACTGGCGACGGTGATCTCGCTCGAAAGCGAAACAAGAAGAAGAAGAATTACACGACCACTGCTGCCCCAACAACGACTGATTTCCCAACTACCACTGCTGCCCGAACAACGACCACCGAGGAGCCCACCACCACCACCGCCGCCCGGACCACGACGACTGAAGTTCGAACTACAACGGAGGCAGCTCCCGTCTACACAACTACTTTCGCTCCTCAAGCTACCGATGCCCAAACCAATGTTTACTTCACTACCGGTTACGACCCAGCTCCCCAGCAAAATTACAACTACCAGGAGGAAAAGCCGGACAACAGTGATGCCGTCGTCGCTGCCATCCTCGACGCTGTTGTCGCCAACAGACCTCTACGACCAGAAAGCGACGAGGAAGCGGCAGAATTGACTCGAAAAGAACAGCAGCCTGACTTTGCGCGATACTGTTGGCGATGCAACGTCGGTGGAAACTTCCGACTGGATAAGGCCGGTCTTGCCGCTGCGCAGAACAAGTGCGTCGCCGAGGGACACATCGAGGTCTGCTACAAGGGAAACAATGGCTGCTATACCGAAACTGTAAGTAACGCTCTTGAATGGGCAACTTCTGTATAAAACCTGAGTCAGAGTCCTAAGCGAGATAAAATAGAGATGTGCGTAGGGTAAAATAACCCTTTGCTTTTTTATATTGTCTTTTTGAGTGCTCTGAGTCAGGTTTTGTACACATGTCGCCGAGTCCAAATGACGCGGTTTTTTTACTGCGTATTTGAAATTAATCTTCTTGCAGCGACTGAGCCCCGGCCAAGATGGCGAAACATTCCTGACGATGGTGGACATGGGCTGCCAGGATTACGATCAATGCAAGAAATCCCAAAACTACCTCTTCAAGCCAAAATATCCCCAGGTACAATCAAACCCTTACTCTCTCCTCTCTCTATCTTTCTCCTTCTAGTGCCAGCCCGAAGGAAAGCAGTCCCACTGCAAAAACTGCTGCGAAGGCGAGAAACAGTGCAACCTTGCATGGGTCGCCCGACGAGGACTCAACCAGAAAGATCTCAACGAATGGCGACATCATGAATATTGAGCTGTGTAAATTGATTTCAATCTCAAATAAATACACAAGAATTTTAAAATATCCTCAAATCATCCTCTTGCAGGCCTTCTTATCCACCTATTTTACACTGACACCCTTATTTTATTTTACGATTATTGAAATCCTAATCTCTTATCCGAGGCCCAGAATTTATTAATTCAAAAAATTTTTTCAAAGAAATTTGTTTGAAAAAAAACGATCCAATCAAAAGTAAATGCCTTTAATTTTGGCAAGCAGTTCATTTTGTTTCCCTGTATGTTTCCCCTTTAAAAAATAATTGAAGCCTTCTTAATCGAAAAAGGGGCTCAATCGCGGATTGCAAGAGCTTATAGCTGGTATCTTCCAATGTATCTTTTAAGTCCAGCGGGAGAAAGAGAGAGTGTCTATTGTTCCAAATCGATCATTTACTTTATAAGTAATTTGCTTTTACCGCGCTGTTAAATTTTGATTATTTGGTCTACACATACAGTACTTGTGCTCGTTTTAATTTGCCGCTCCAGTTTCGATAGAGGAAGCGTTTTTGTGGTTTGATTTCTGCCAGAGAAGAAAATACGTCAGAACAGCAGGGATCCATCGGATTCGACAAAAATAGAAAAAAAAAAGTTGGAAAAGGCGCTAGTTTCCAAAAAAGAGCGCGCTCTTTGACAAGGTCCATTTGTGGCCGTCTGTTCCTTTTTCTAAATGCGTATGTCATTTTAAAGAAATAACAAGCACTCATTTTCACAAGCGAATAGTTCCTCGCTGCCAATTTAAATTCATTTTCGGGCTAGAAGAATCTTTCGACTGACCAACTCGCGAAAATCGAAGAGAAGCAAAAATCGTCCCTGCTGTTTTGCTCCGCTTAAAGAATGAATGATACAGTACGCGAATCGGCTAGAGCGATATTTGAGGTAATTTTGCAAATTTCATTTGATCCTTTTTCCGATTTTTTTGCCTTTTCTCAAAAAAAAATATGGAAAATTTTGAAATACAAACTTATAGTTCAGGGATAACACTGTTTTTGAGTTTTTAGCCGGGATCGGCCACCTGAGTAGAAAACCTGAGTGAGGTTCTGAAGAGACTATCTAACCATTACAAATTACTATGGCGGAGCCGTTTTGCGGCTTCGTTAAAAAAAAGCGGTACACGGCTTTGATTAAAGATCTTCAGACATTGACTCAGGTTTTCTACACAGGTTACCGAGCTCAGGTTTTCAGGGAATGATCACGTGATGCATGAATCTTATTCCCGAAAAAAAAAAAGAATCTGAATATGTCGATTTCGAGCTGTAATTAGTTTTCTTTTGTCAATATTTCTCTGGGCTGGGAGATTAATGTATCAAGAATGAAGGCTTATGTCAGGTTAAAATTGTTTATATTGATTATTTATCTTCGATATCAGCGGTTTTTAGATACATAAACTATTATCTGAAACCTGGGATCGGCAACCTGCGTAGAAAACCTGAGTCAGGGTCTGAGAGATCTTTAATGAAAAGCCGCTTTGCGACTTCGGTCTAAAAAAAGCCAATAAGCAGCTTGTCATTGAATATCTCTCAGACCCTGACTCAGGTTTTCTACACAGGTTTCCGAGCTCAGTCTTCAAAATATTTCATTGAACGTTCAAAATTTGGGCCGCACTATTATTAATAATAATTTGTTATTCAAAAATACAATTGTAAACGTATCCATATCTAAAGCAAGCATTAGATGACTGTCCGAACAGGACAAATTTCCATTTTCTTCCACCGCAGTTATTGGATTTTTTCGATTTCGAATCGCTTCTGTGTTCAATCATTTTTGCTGAAAATGCAATGAGAGCTTTCAATGGTAGGTATTTGGTGCAACAGCTTGACTGCGCTTTCAAGCTTGACAGGCTCAAAAAGAGAAGAAAAAGTTTATTGCGTTTCGTCGCCTTCAGAAAGTGACATTATAATGGAAGGAAATTCTCGGCCGTTATTTCGCCAGTCTAAATTTCGCTAGAGACTGGACCCGTTTTTGAGAGAAAGAAATATGCCTTCCCAAATCAAAATTAATATTCAGGATTCAACGCATTTTATTCAAGTAAGAAAATCTTAGAATTTTTCTAAAGCATTCCTCTTTATCTAAAACCCATTTGTTGTTTTTCAAATATGGGCCCTAACTCCACTAGAATCTCCTAAAATTTGACCTTGAATTTGTTGGCCTATAATTTAACCCTGCCCCGCCAAATGCACCTCAGGAGGTGCATTTTTCGATTTTTCAAATTTTCAATCGTTCATAATTTCTTCTAAACGATGTGATTTTTTTGAAATAATCCCTTATTCAAGAGAACTCTTCAGTATCTTTAATATACTGTGAGAGTGAAAGTTCAAACTAAGTTGAACACCCGAAAAAACCGTTTCGAAAATTGCATTTGGCGGGGCAGGGTTAAGGGGGCGGTCTGGGTTAAGGGGGAGGTCGTCGAGAAATTTTTTTTCGCCTTTTCAAAATTTTGATTATATTTTAGGATTCCTCGATAAAAAAGGAGTATTTTTGGTCCCTAGCTTTTTCTCAATTTGTTAACTTTTTAATGTAAAATTTTCGATTTTCAGTCTCGAACTTGAAATTTCTTGAAAATTATTAGTTGGTGATTTCGTCCAAAAACTATCTGAAACTGATAATTATGCACTAGGCATTGTTTTAATATGATTTCTGACTAATTATTTAAAATAAATACGAGTCTTTGTAATTTTTGAAGAAATTTCCATGAAAAAATGGGTAAAAATGTCGATTTTGACGAAAATCGAATATTTTTAATCAATAAGAAAATTTTTTTTATGAAAGTAACCCTTAATTTTATGATCGCCGGTTAATGTTTAAGGGTCTAAACTATTTATAAATTATATTTGATGAAGAAAAAAAAACTCGGTTTTCGAGATTTTTTGGTCACGAGACACCCCCACTTCAACCTTAATTTTTGGAAAATTTTTCGAAAAAATTTTTTTTCTGCTTTTCGCCGGTTAATTTTTCAAACCCTTTTCTTTCAATCTGAAAAGTCAGAATTTTCCTATCTTATCGGGTTTCTCCGCATTTTTGGTCACGGAAATCCCGATTCTCGTCGACCTCCCCCTTAAGCGACAATTTTTTATGAGAAATTTTGTCGCAGGGCTACCGCCCTAAAAGTGCATGCAGCATGCTAAAAGAGAAATTAATTATTAAACCCATTTAAAGATTTCTAATGGGTTTGAGGCAACTAATTTTTGCTCTAGAACTCTTTCTTAGCCTCATTTATATACTTAAATCATTTTGACAACTTAGGGTATACATGGAGAAAACCCTGTTTGAAATTTTCGAAAAGGTCGACGGGGGGATCCCTAATACTCAATTTTAAGGGCCCCCAGATTAAGGGCCTACTCTCAGGTCAACCTGAGAAGCTGCTTAAAACCTTCCAAATCAATTTGTCCAGTATTGTTCTCTCGTAAATCCCGAGATTTACTTATAATACTCAGTTTAAGATTTATGACGGCTTATCAGGGCTGGAACGGGTTAACGTAAATATTTCGCTCTCCAAAAGCGCAATCCAAGGAGCTTTTTGGAGAGACGAAATCTTTTGTAGAAGAAAAAATATTTCTTATTCGCGAATGGAGTATTATTCCTTTTCTTTTCTATTCAGCGTCTTTCGAAAGTCTGATCGAGTTGGGTAAAAGCATCATTTTATACTTTCATTGGACTATTAATCCTCGTCAAATTGCCTCGGAGGAGATTGATTTCTTTCCTTCTTTTCTGACTTAGGCCTTTGAAGAGGAGGAGGATGAACCTGCTGAATCTAACTGTAAGCGCCCTTCCTGCCGTATTTGTTTAAAGAGAATACTTCCATCACATCAATCTTTGCCTCTATAAATTAGACTTCTTTTCAATTAATTTTTCCTTGTGACTTTTTCTCGCCCAGAAGAGTCGAAATCGAAAAAACATCTTCGAAAAATATTTAAAAACGTAGTTGACCAAATGGAACAAAGTCAACAGAGAACACGTAAAAGGGCTTTTTTATAAGATCAAGTCGATTTTCGCCCAACGGAGACAGTAACGTTTTTTACGGAGAGAAATTGCCCAAACGACGAAAAATATGAAAAATATCAAGTTGTTGTGCTAGATCGGCTACTAAAACAATAAAATGCTTCCTTTGGTAAGGCCAGTTGATCGAAAGGGTTCAAGTTATTGATTCGGGCATCCTAAAATTGAAATTTTCGGAATATCTTTGAAGGTAAAATTTTGAAAGTTTTTAGGGTATCAGCGTTATGTCGCTGTTTGAAACCTTAATTTGGCGATTTAAGGTCGATTACTTAAGGGTATCCCCGAGTTAACATATTTTTGCTTTAGATGTCTTTCAAAGCTATATTGAATATCAAAATCTTTTGGTCTTCTTAGGGTATACATGGAGATAACGTTGGTTGAAATTTTCATCGACGGAGAGATCCTTTATAATAAATTCATTCAATAGTCGCAGGAAAAAGGGTCCTAAGCTTGAGGACTAGGCCCAGTGAGTAGCCCTGGTAGCCCTTATCCCAACCCTAAGGATAAAATGCAGCAGCTAATGTTCTATGGGCTAACTTTTGTTCTAGACGATTGTGTCGCCGATTATATACGTGATTATATCTCTGATTGGGCTAATTGGCAATGGAATGGTGGTATATATTTTCTGGAACAAGCGGCGCGGATCTGCAGGTAAACCTTTAAATCGTTTTCAATTCGTCTGTTTCTGCCTTTCATCTCCCTATTTGGCTGGCGATCAGCGGCGCTTATCATTAACAGCTCATCGATAGTTGATACGTTGGTCTTAAATCTGGCGCTGGCCGATTTCTTGTACTGCATCTCGCTGCTCTTCATGGCCCGTTCGCTCTCGATGAACGGCGAATGGGACCTGGGCGAGCTGCTTTGCAAACTCACTTCCTCCTGGACGATCATTTGCATCTACGCCTCCGGTGACTTGAATAGAAAGAAGTAGTAAACTAACATTATTGAATAATCGACAGTTTGGCTGCTGGTCGCACTTTCCTTCGATCGCTACTTCGCGGTGTGCAATCCGGTACGCGCGCGCAACCTCAGGAGCCAGCGAAATACCACAAGACTGGTCATCTGCTGCTGGGTCCTCAGTTGTCTCCTCGCGCTGCCCACTTTTATTTTCCGCTCTACCAAGCCGCAGAACTTTCACATAGAACAAATGAACAAAAGTGCAAGCATAAATTCTTCTGAAGTTGAAGAGGTAAAACAACTAATCAATCAAAGGGGTATTTTAATAACCAAGTCCATTATTTAATGAATTTTGCTGAATATCTAGGTTCCTCTGAGCGTTAAATTCAATACTCAAATACCAGTTGAAGAAGTGAATGGCAAGAGCCATATAAAACGCTCCTTAATTTTTATAACATTCATCTCTCTTTTGAAAATTCTTGAAGGCAAAACGCAAAATTTGTTAACCCCTTCTACTATCGGAGAAAATTTGATCAAAGATTTTTTCATTAATTTCGACTTGAAGGAGCCTTTAAAATGCTCGTGGAGATGGCCCGGGAGGTCAATCGAAGTGGCCTTCTATCTGCAGAAGTCGGTATTCTCGTACATCCTCCCTGTCCTGCTCATTCTTCTTTGGTAGGGCTGCAAGTGACCACAACCGTAAAAAACTCTTAGCTACGGAAACATCATCCAGACGCTTCAAAATGTGACTTCGATGACCTCCGCGCGGCGCGAAAAAATCAACAAGACGATTCTCATCGTTGTCACCGCCTTTATCATTTCATGGCTTCCGAATCACGTGTTCAGGTAACCGCCCGCGGTTAAATTAATTTATATTTGTTCTAGCTTGTATATTATCTGCATTCCACACGAGAAAATGAGCCAAAACATCAACACTCTCTTGCTCATTAATTCCGTCACTCAAATTCTAGCCAGCTCAAACGCCTCCATGAACCCCTTTATTTACGGTATGGCAGACAGATTTGGAAATTTAGCTAAGCAAATCATAGCTGGCGGAGTTTCAGCTGAGCTAAGCTGAGTCGAAAGTTATTTGCCTAAGCCAAGCTTAGCTTAGTTTAGCTTTTATAATTTTTCTCTTAGCTAAGCTTAGCTGAGTTTTATAGATCCAGCTAAGCTATCTAAAATAATATGTAGTAATTTTTTCATAAGTTTGAGTCAAAAAAGCTTAGCTTAGGTAGATAATAAGCTAAGCAGACTTAGCTGACTAATATTGAGCTAACTAATAGATTCACTAAGCCAAGCCTAGCTAACCCGGCAGCTTAGCTTTCTTAGCTTGAAAATTTGCAACTCTGAAAGGAGGAGTTGACAATCCTGGTTTATAAAATTCTAGCATTTTCGCGAAAATCGGTGAATGAAGAAATGGTCCGGATCATGACACTGTTCTGCCGCCGACTGGCACCGGTGGACAACAGAAGGGCGCACAAACCACACAAAGATGAAGTTTCATCCGACCAGTCAACTCCCATAGTCAAAGGTGGGGAGCAACAGAAATGACGAAGAAACTATTTTTCAGAGCCCAATGGAGTCGAGCCGCATACAGAGCATTCGATGCTTGTAATCAGCTCCCAGTCGCACACAAGAACGACGATAAGTTGAACTCCTTATTGAGAAAGACAGAAAACAAGCCGAAGCCCTTCTCTTTGCCAAAATAGTCTCTTTGTTTACAAAAATTTTTCTTCCGAAGTTCAAACGCCTTTACTTCAACTTCACATTAAAATTAAAAGAAAACAATTTATAATTTCATAACAATTTGCAACTTTCAGCTTTTCTTTTAAATTTTCAGAGAAAGTAAGGTCGAAGTAGATCGTGTTTTCTTGCGCCAGAGATCCAGTCGTCTCGCCTTAGAAGTAGCTAGTAACTTGAAATTGTCCTTCAAAACTTACGTTAAATAAAGACCAGAAACCCGTCGCCTCCCCGTAAAAGCTGTTCTTCCATGCATAACTCGAAAGTTATCGACGAGCAAAACTGTTCCTGGAGGCAAACGGCGCTGAAAATTTATTTCCCCAGATTCGATGATCTTTCCCAGCTTTGTGTAGTGATAATAAAACTCGTCGATGTCAGCTACCGGAATGGGACACCGATCGTGATTGTTGAAACGAAGGCGGAAAATTTCCTTCCTGAATTTTTCATTTTTTGGAAAAAGAGAAAACTTTACGTTATTGGATTTCTGGAGAGAACAGTTCCGATCGAACGGACATGCGAGCCAGGCGTGCTCTTATCAATGTACTCGTGCATCAGCTGATAATTCGACAAGAATTCAACACTTTCTGAAGACTCTTCGTTCAGAAGCTCGATTGCCTTGAATCCGTCCCCGAGCATGGTCTCGCCTCCTTCCCCTTCGTGCTCCAAAACGTGAAAGGCTTGAATGCCCATCGGCTCGTTGTAGTAAGTAGCATCTGTGTGCAGTCCGAGCGCGATATTTGTGTAGGCTTGAATACATTTAAAAATGGTCAAAAGCAAAAATTATTTTTGAAAACCTGTGTCAGGCTTGGCCAAATCCGCTGTGAAGGACCAATCTTCTCCGAAGCAATTAGGCTGCGTAACGGTCAACGCTCGGCAAGCTCTGACTGTACCCTCATGTCTGGGCTCGTCGACCTGAGTAAAAAGGCTGAGTCGGGGTCTGAAAAAAAAACTTTTTAAAACCGCGAAGTTTGAAATAACCATTTCAATCTATTTCCTTTTATCATATACTACGCTGCTTTTACTTAAGTTTTTTCAGATCCTGAGTCAGGTTTTCTACTCAGGTTGGCGAGCCCAGCCTCGTGTTCCGTCGGCGTCCCAGAAATATAAGCAAATCCGTGCTTCAAAAGATTCGTGAAAACTTTGCGTCGTTCTTCCTCGCGAGATTCCTCTGAAACCAGTTTTTGGTAATCAGCTGGTTCTGGATTAGGAGCAGAGTTTCGGTCCCACAGCTCGTGAATCGGATCGAAAAGGCCTTGTTTAGAAATTGGATTTGAAAGCTGAGAAAGCAGTGATTTTTCGAAGACCCTTGTTGTCCCGTCGCTCCATCGTATTTTCACTGAAAAAGAATGACGAAATTATTGATTGCTTCAAACCGCTGTCCTCGTTGTCATCAATCGAGTGAACTTTCGGCAACTCTTTTCCCCACTTTTCAAAAGTCGGAAACTGCCGCTGCACTGTCTCTGTCATGTAGTTATCGTTGTCCAGAAGCCAAAAAGAAGGAAATTCCACATTTTTTCCATTCAGGGAAAAACGCACTTTTTCGGAGAAGTTTCTAACAATTCTTTTTATCATTTTTTTTCTTTGTGAGATTTTTGAGAGACGCTCTGGTCAAATATTACTGTCCAAAGCATAAATAAACAAACTGCTAGTTTTTCGCAATTCTTTTAAGTTGCAAGCCAGAAAGAAACGGACCAACACAAGAAAAGGAAGTGATTTTCTGGATCCGATTTTTAATCCCAGAAGCCTCATTTTCCAAGAGCGAAATTTTGAAGAATCACTTACGAATTTGAGGAGTTCAATTTTCGCTCGCATTCAAGTTCGCGATGGTGATTTTCTTTGACCGCTCTTACATATTCGTTGTTTCTCTACAAAAGTTGCACATAGCACTAAATATTTCCTCACTCGATTCACCCTATTGTCGATTTTCTCCATGTGGTTGACGTTGACCGGTTTGTCATCTTCGTCTTCGGAATTTTGTGGTCCCATTGTTTTCTTTCGAAATTTCTCTTTTATTCTTGAGAATTTAATTTTGATGATTTGTCATTGAGCGGAAGAAGTGATTTAGATGCGTTTTACTCAGTTGGGTTCGGCAACCTGTGTAAGAAACCTGAGTCAGGGTCTGAACAATATTTAATGAAAATCCGCGCAGCGTCTTCGCAAAATTTATTTCTCAATATATTTTTAAAAAGCCGCTGAAGTATCTTTCAGATTTTGACTCAGGTTTCTTATAGTAACTTTCTAATACAGTCTTGATTTTTTCATCTGGGATGAGTTTTTATTTGCGAAATGGGCGGATTGTGGCTCGATCCATTTAGGACGATTCATAACTTGGGAAATTGAGTTTCATTTACATTTGGAATTTAATTTCAAGAACTGTCGAGGATGAGAATATTTACAGAATGCAAGTTAGTGAGAAAGTCTTGGCATGGAGTGGTCAGCTCCGCCGGGTAAAACTTGGTTTTTCCTCAGTTGCTTTCGCTTTTGATAAGTTGACGTTCCCTCAATTTGTTTCTCGGCGATCATTGCGTCTTGCTGTTGCTAAAGTAACTATCAACATTCGCTTTTTAAAGTGATCAAACCTGCAGTGCTCTTTTTTGAGCGAGTCTGTCTTCGTAAGAATCGGGAGCGGGCACTTTCAATTTCTTATTCGGAGGTTGTCAGCCGTGCTTTGGAAAGATCAGCTTCCAGGCGTCGCCTTAAAAATTAACAACCTCTTCCTGCGTGTTTCGGGCGTTCGCTCGAGGGCGCGTCGGGTCAAGACTGCGCGCGATATTGCGCCCGTGGTGGCGAGCTACGAGGACCACCACGCACAAAACCAGGAAGCTTTAAATTCATGTTTGGAGTGAATTCAAGGGAGTAGCAAGCTTACCCCATCAACGAGCCAAGGATTGCGACAATTGTGTTTGTGACGGTGATCGGGTTCTTTTCCTGAATCCTTATGTAGGTAACTTCCTTCGGCTTTCCGTCTTCTATCAAAATCTTGCCGAACTCCAGCGCGGAGCTGATTTTGCTCGGCCTCTCGTCCAAAATCAGCTCAGGAACGCCACTTCGTGATCTTCTCTTCATTTGATACAGCGGACGATTTTGCTCCAAAAGCCAAAAGTCCGCCGAAGTCACGTTGCAGGACTTGTGTTTGTAGCGCTTGAAGTCTTCTGTTGCCTCCACCTTTCAAAATAAATCTACTGGTGATTAGTAAAACTGTACTTTGAGTTTTTTGTAAGCATCCGGTCCCATGATAAACTGACTAATTCTATCCAGCGCATCTGCAAGTTCAGCGTCTTGAAGTCCATTTTCTAGCTTTCGAAGAAGAACATCTATCCAATTCTAAAAATAAGAAGCGTTGAATCGAGGCAATCATCATCAAAAGAAGCGAAACAGAAACTGACTCACTTGACCATAATATTCTCGATATTTTAGTTTTCGCTCTCTATCAATTTCAGTTTCATTTATTTCGTCTTCGGCTTCAAAATTTCCATCCTCTCGTTTCCTAAATTACGTTCAAATCTTTTTGTTCCGTTGACAAATGAAAAACCTCCGGCTTAAAACAGTTGCGACTTGATTTTTCCAAGAGTTTATCTCTTCAACTGTAAATAACTGGTCTGCTGGCTTCTTCGTTCCGTAAATATCCGGCAAAATATGCCTCGCTTTTCTGATACTCGCCTCACTAAAGTTTTTGGTTTCGGTTGTGATCTACACAGTCAATTCAACCTGTTTCCCTCGCGATTATTCGCCTGAAAAAGGCAATCTTGCAGCTCTGGCGACTTGGCAACAAATTTTCGCTTGCATTCTGCCCGGGCTTGTTGACGGTTTTTGCGAATTTCACTCGGGGTAAGATGCGATTCTTGCGTGCTCTCTTCGACAGTTTCTGTTTTCATCGTTGAACTCGTCACAGGAAAAGTCGTTCGTGTGATGGGCACTGTTCGTACTCCTATTCGACCCTCGGTTACTTTCTCAGGCTCGACTATTTCTTCTCTGAAAATGAGATTTTATTTTACATTAAATTTATAAATCTCTGGTTTCAAGAATTCACCTAGTAAAGACTTCCTCAAAAGAAAAAATACTAATTAAAAGGGATAAACAAAATTATATTAAAAGGTGGCTCCCGAATCATGCAAAAAATGACACTTAGATTGGAAGTTCATTTTGAGCAACTTACACTTCTTCCTCTATTTCGTTTTCTTCTTCAAGAGGAATTGGTACGTCTGGAAGAGACATGTCTATGTCCATGTTCATATAGTAGTTGTTGGGATCGTATTGAAAATCTTCGGGCTCTTCAATTTCCTCTTCGCCGGAGTACGAATCATCGTACAAGTCTTGGAAGGATATTTGGTTGTTTGGATCTTTCGCCCTGTCGAGTTTCTCTCGCAAAACTGTTAGACTCTTCCCTCGGTAGAGTTTTTCAATAAAGCCGCTTCCATTTCCGGGCAAGTTTTCAATCGTCTTGCAAAGTTGGGACCAGTGTTGCTTCTCAGCTGCTGTGTAATCTCTCCTTTCAGGCTCGCTCTCGAAAGCGAAATTCTTCTGAAAAATAAAAAACAAAAAACTCTTCATTTTTCAAGGCTCCTGTCGTGTACTCTACTTTTGCCTTTCTATCTGTGTTCCAATGGCACTAGAAAAGCGCTACAGTCAGACTCGTTAAAAATTCATTTGCGCGCTGTTGCCCTGAATCCTGATATCGTCCTGAAAATTTAATGCCGAGCATTTCCAGAAGTGAATTCTGATCTTTCTCCGGATATCGTTTAATTTTCAATTCAATCAGATGAAAACAAGACAAGATTGGGCATGAATTTATTCATCTAACTTGCTGCGTTTGGAACTGAATGAGCCGACAGTACAAGGCAAGAACATGGTCAGGACAGACTGAGCATTGAGTCCGTTAAAAATGATGATGTGGCGCAGGAAGGACGAGGGAAGGCGAACGGTGCATTTTTATTTCGTGGCTGGCAAGAGCATCTTTGTACCTAAATTTTTGTTTACACAATATAAACCGCGAATAAAAAGGGGGTCCCTATTTTCAGAGGCAATTTAGCGGACTCAACATTTCCCCAAAGGATTACCATTTTTACGGGTAACCATCACTCCACCTTGGCAATTATCTTCATAATGTCAAGGGGGTCGACCTATTACTTTAAGAAGGTAGTTTACCTTCCTTTGTTTCTAATTTACTTGTTTCCTTTCGTTTTCCTTATGTTACAACTCTTTGTGTTGATACCTGTATTTATTACTGTATCTTTAAATAAACTATCAGAAAAAAAACACCTCGCGGAACTACCGATCAAATCTCGCAAATGGGGGCATAAGGATGATGAGGCCTTTGATTTGACCATTTGCAGCCAGCCCTCGCCTCAGACCGAGGTTTTCGATGCCCCAGTTACCAAATCTGATCGTTATTTTCCCATTTGCGGGATCCTTGTTTTTTACTTACCTAAATCTCTGCTGACAGAAAATGCATTCAAAAGGCTTTTCGCCTGTATGAATCATTTTGTGTCTTGTAAGAGCTGATTTCTGCGAAAATCGCTTTCCACAGTCGCTGCACGGAAACGGCTTTTCGCCAGTGTGTGTTCTGCAATTTCAAAGTGAGAACAGCTAAAACAAAGTGCAAATTACCGTAGATGAGTGACCAACGTGCCGGACACTTTAAATTTAGCCGGACAAAGAGGGCACTTGTGGGGGCGCGTATCCGCCGACTTCTCGTGCACAGCGCGAGTGTGCTGCTCCAGCTGCGCCAGACTACGAAATTTTTTATTGCAGACTTGACAGGTCGTCCGTTTCTTCGGGTAGGGATCCGCTATTGAGCGAGGCGAGACGCGTTCCACGCTTTCTTCGACCGGCTGCGGCAAGATTGAAACAGAAAGAGACAACGGTAAGCCGGAAGCTTCTGGAGTTAATGGTGCTGACTCGTGATGCTGCTTTTCAATTTTTGAAGCGCTTTGATTGATTTCAAGGTCGGAGCTGGACTGTTCTTTGCTTTGCGGAGATTCGGCCATCTCAGACGACGTTTCTTCAATAAAAATAAGTGAAATTCAAATTTGAATAAAAATACCTTTTGGAAGATATTCATTTTTGATTTCATCCGTTTCTTCGATCGGCTGAAGCTCCAGTTGACTGTTGACTGAAGTAGCAGCCTTCTCCCTCATCGCGTTAATCGAGCTCAAGACAAGCGAGATCCTCGAGTAGGCCAGCAGCTCATTCTGTATTGTCTTTTGACAAATGGACTTGTGCAATTCAAGAGATACTGAAAAATAGACGCGTCAGAGCCGCAATGCTTCAAAATTATTAACGCTAGGATTATAAACCCGCTTTTCAGCTAAAACGCAAAAATTAACCGCGTGGTTATTTTTGCACGTGTGGATTCTTTTCTTTACCTGGCGAGAAAAAGCTCTGCACGCGGCAGAATGGGCAGAAATTAATAAACTGGCTGGTCCATTTTGCATTTGCGGAGTCGACTTTTCAGGGATGAATTATTTCAATGAAAATCAGTTTTATTCGGTTTTTTATCTTCTTTATTCATTATTGTTCCAAAACATCAATTTTATAAGGGGATAGAAACAGCTTTCTCGATTTTGGTTTGAAGCTACATTAAAGAAAACATAAGATTTATTTATGTTAACGGTGTTTCCTCATAAATGTTCCTAGAAAAGAGGTTGAGGTTCACAACACTGTGAATGAAATTTGTTTAAAAATCAGGTGACTAGAGATATTCGTGTTTGAAAAGTTGCGAAAATCGAGAATTTCGGAGAGATGAGTTGCTTCTGAGCCTGTTTACTCAAAAAATTGATGACTAAAACAAATTTTGAGGGAGATGCTCCTAGTTCTAAGATGTATTTATCTAAACCTGAAGTGAAAATTTGAAAATGTAAGATTCTCTTGTCTGTAGCGCCAGTCAAAAATCGCCTTTTTCGTAAAAAAAGCTGTTTCTATCCCCTTAAATTATATTTTTTTCTATATAATATAATATAATTTTTCTAAATATTATATATTTTTCTGAATCAGGTCTTAAAATTTGTAGGCCATCCCTCTTCCTGGATATTTCAAATTCTCTTTATTTTTCTCTTCGATCTGTGTTTTCAGTATTTTAAGAAGTTCCATGTTTTAGGTAAAAAATGCGTTTTAGGAAGAAGCCCAGTGTGTCTGTGCAGAGTGGTGTGTAAAGTGATTGTGTTGTTAGTGTTGTGGGTGGCTTTTGCTATTTTCCGTCGGTCTGCTCCTGACCGTACCGCGACCGCGGTCGTCTCCAAAACGACCGATACGATGGTGCCTAAGCCAGAAGCAGATTTGTATGGAGAGAGACGAGTACTTTCAAGTAAATAACACAACGCCCGCCGAGTGGTCAGCGCAAAAGGTCGACCGCGCTCGAGCCGCCTCAGAACGCAGTTCAGCCCTTTTTCGCGGGGGCGCTCGGTTTCATTACCAAAAATTTTTGGTATTTGAATACCAAAATTGGTATTTGAATACCAAAAATTGGTATTTGAATACCAAATTTTTCTACTGGAAACAATTTTTTCCTTGAAAAATAGGTAAATCACATCAAGAGCTTCCTATAAAACAGGCGCGGAGCGCACACTCGCATTTTTTGGTGGGCGAAATAAGTATTCTTTGGCGAATTTGGTATTTGAATACCAAAATTGGTATTTGAATACCAAAAATTGGTATTTGAATACCAATTGGTAATCAAACCGAGCGTCTCCCCTTTTTCGTCTTCGCCAAAAAGTGTTGTCTCGTATGATCATTTTGCCAAAATATATCCGCAAACTAACAATTGGCAAATTTCGAATGAAAGCTCGATTTTTCACCAAACGAAAGAGAGGTCAAGATCTCTTCGCTAATTATTAGGCGCCAGATTAGCTCAGAGCTGTACTACTTGCGGGTACTTAAAATTTCACACAATCCACTTCGCCTGATTTTAAAAATTGTTCTCGTCATGCACGTATGCGGACGAATTTGCACAGCGCTAAAGACTTAATTGCCTTGTTAGTAATAGGAATTTGTAGGAATGGTTTCCACGTTGGAAAGTGAACAGATCATCGTTTCCGTCAATTGCAGTATTTGCCAAGGAAAGGCTACCTATTTAAGCGTCTCTCTCCAGTTTGGATGGTCAAAATCCTAAAATCAAAAAATGAGCAACGAAGTTAGCCCCGAGAGTCCTCCAGCCTACGATTCGATCCTAAAAGATGGCTCAGGAATTCCCATCGCTGGAGAAGCGGTGCCACAAACTCAGCAGCAGCAAGAGTACGCTGAATACTGCGCCCAGCAAAACACACAACAGCCGGTAGTAGTAAACCAGCTACCAGAAGGGGCAGTGATCGTGGAGCAGCAGCCCCAAGTTGTTGTGATGCAGCAAGTCGGCCCGAATTACTGTCATTTTTGCAAGCAACACGTAAGCACTCAAAAATAAGAAAAACATATTAAATATCAGTAACAATCATGTATTAGAAGAAAACCCAAAATTTAGCCGCTTTTCAGTGATTTCGAATCTAAAAAGCAGACAAATTTTGGGTTTTCACTGTATCGAGCCCTACTAGGGGTCTGGATTCGCTTAGCGAGTTCGCTCATGAGCGAAGCGAAGCAGAGCGAAGCGAATTCGCTTCGCTTTCGCTTTAAATTTTTGAAAAATTTTCGCTTTCGCTTTTCATTTTTGGTCAAAATCCAGACCCCTGGCCCTACTAGTAACAAATATAATTTCGTTTAAGTTTGACAAAAATTAACTCGCAAATTTAGGTGACGTTTTACTACAGATCCGGCTGGACCCCTGGGGCGATCTGTTGCTGTATCTTTTTCCCGCTGATCGGCTGGGCATTTCTAGCCTGCTCAGTTTCGAACAACTCTGGCCTTCACTGTCCACGCTGCCATCTGCGGCAAGTCTAGTTTTCCGAAAAAATAAACTTTGATTCCTTATTTTGTACAATTTATAAATGTATGTAAAAGCAGCTTGGTGCAATGCAGGCGAAAATCTGGTCAATCTTTTTTGAGAAATTGTCGAACGGCGGAAACCTTCCTTTGCGCTCGGCGTAATCGCGCAGAGTGCGATTTCCACTGGTCTGCAACGTCCATTGTCGCCAGGGAAATAACTGAAATAATAGTTACCAGTGTTTTCTTGCATGTATCCGAGTCATAAGCGGAGCCAGAAAACAGCAAATTATAATATAATGTTAAGGACCCCCGTGGGTTCTTCGTATCAAAACGCGATTTTGAGCCTTCATTTTTTGGGGTCTATCTGGACTCTTAAATTGGAATTTTCGCCGGAAAATGTCAGAAATGCCGTAATTTAAAATTACTAATTTTGGTAAAAAATATCGATTTTTCTTGGTTAAAACTTCCTCGACAAGTTTAACGCTCAGACACATCAACAACCAAGAATATGGCCCATATTATATAGGTTTTTTAGAAATTTCTATTTTTTAAATAAAAAAGCTGACGATAGGGTCCTTAGCACCCAATAAGTGAGTCTTACTACTTAGTCTTCCGGCGGTTTCACTCGGTTGTTCTTGCATTCTTCTTATTGCATCTTCGGACCACATTTTATTCAGAATCGACGTATGATCCTTAATCAATATAAGAGGTTTGAACTTGATTGGAAAACTTACATCTAGTCTGCCGGCGTATTTCTTGTCGAATATTTTCTGGATATCCTGGCTGTGCAGCTTTCGCTGGCCCTTGTGAGTCAAGTAAAATCTGACAGTGTAGGAAAAGAGAACGGAAATCCAAATGGCGCCCAGGACGATCGAGGCAATTACAGTAAAGGAAGTGTTCGTGTCTATTTTCAAATTTAGGGAAACTTAGCGAAAAGAAGCTCTACCTCCAATTTCAAGACTCGTCCAGCTGTCGACGAATTCCATCAAGTGGAGCATCTCATCCGCGAAAGTTTGCTCATTTGTTAGAGACGTATCGTCGTCTTCGTTAAAAAGCATAGACGAAGTCTCGGTCTCATCGTCCGCAGACGCAGTTTTTGTTTTACCTAAGAGCCAAAAATGATGAATTATCTCAAGAAGAGAGCTGAACGCTACTCCTAGCGATTGTTTATAAGCTTAGCCGAACGATTTAAAAGTTACTTTTTTCGACCGGACAATTGTCTATCTTAGATAAATAGACTATCTAGCTCTTTTCATCGGCCTAATATCCAAGTTTGCTAGGTTAGGACCCCATGAATCCTAAAATTTTGAGGACTTTTGCATATCTTGAGCTCTAACATAAGAGCTTAGCCTAAAGGCTTCAAAGGCAAAGAATCTTTATGGGTCATAAATTTCAAATCTTCAATTTGATTGAACATATAGAAAATAGAGGCAAATACTTGTGCAAGAGTCTTTTTTAATATTCGGATTTTCTAGTTTCAGGCTTACTTCGTTGCGAATTTATAGATGACACGTTTCACAAGTTACCATTTTATTGTCGATATTTCTATGTTCCCTACCAATCTTCAAAACCTCACTAATATTAACTCTCTCACTAACCTGGTCTAGCATGGACCCAACTGAGCAAGAGAAGCAATATTAATTCTCTGGTTATCATGCCGGGCGATTATACTAGGCGGAAAAGAAGAGGCTGCGTGGGGAGAATCATGTACAAAAAATAAGTACAAAATGGAAAACGACTCGAGTATTGTTAAGCGGGGAGACCGACGGGTAGCATTTTGTTTTATTACTTTGAAGGTTTAAAGGATCACGCAGCAAGCACTCGATGAGCCATCCTGTTCTGCTTGCCATTCTTTCTCCTCCATTCCGCCGCCTTTGCTCTAGAGACCGTTTATCATATTTTTCCTAGTTTTGACTTCTACGCAAATAAAAAATATAAATTCAAGGCGACTCTCAGAATTCGGCTTTCTCAGAATTTCGCAGAACTCTCAAAATTCTGCCCGGCCTTAATCCATAAATTGTGCAAAGTTAGCAAAAGCAATTTTCAACCTCAAATGCATCCTCGCATGCACACACTTTTCACGCTCTATAAAATAACTTTATTACTTCGCGCTTTTTCGGCTTTGCTTGACTTTTTTCCGTTTCATCTGAAAATCGAAAGTTAAAATTGCTTCATTTATCTGATCAATTTCAATTTTTTGCGGTTTCTTTATGAAATTTATTCATTTTTTGATAAATTATTTTAATTTTAAATTCGAAAACAAAATAAAAACAAACTCAAATATTCTGAAGATTCATAGAAACAAAACCTGGAATGACGAAAAAGCCCTTCATGGCGCCTAACGAGTCTCTGCCTTGAGATTCTCTGCTCTGACTTGACACTAGATCTTAGTCACGAAAGGTCGCTTGTTACGTAAGTTGTCCGTTTCTGACCAAGTCCTGAAAACTGTCTCTGGACGAAGGACATTTGCAGCTGCGTTACGAATTCTCTGAAGCTTAAAAACGATGAATTCGGCTTTTTCGATAAGCGTTCAATAAAAGCGACACATCATAATTCAGTCCGTCAGAAAGAGCGCTCTTGTCAACGCGCTCGCACCTCGCCTGCCTCAAATTACTGAAAATTTATAGTTCTAATAAGGATGCCACTTGCACGCAAAATAAAACAGCGGAAGAATTTATTTCTTCTACAGCAGATTAGTCCTTAGCTTGTTTAATCGCTTCGAGAGAACGCTTCAACTGGTGAATCTCGATTCTGTACTCCGACTCTTCTTGTTTCAGCGCTTTGCTTACGATCTCAGAAGTATCTGAAAACAGTTGGGCGTTCAAGTAGATTAATGCTTAATCGATTACCAAGAACTTTCATGAAGTTGATTCCTTTTTCTTCGTTCCACTCTCTCACCAGGCATCGCTTCTGTGGCGTACTGTACAAATGGCCATCAGGCGTGAATGACAGTCGAGCGATGCACTTGGCCGTGTCCTCTTGCAAAGGGCTCCGCAAACTGAGTAAAAACCTGAGTCAGGGTCTGGAAAAGCCGCGGAGCTTCTTTTTTAAAAACTTTGCTATAACCCTGACTCAGGTTTCTTACCCAGGTTGCCGAGCCCAGAGTTCGAAATTCCCGCGAACTTTTGCGGGTGCGGGGGGGAGCGGGAACTATGACTGAAATTTTTCGCGGGGGCGGGGGAGCGGGAGCAAGGTCGAAAATTTTTGCGGGAGCGGGGGAGCGGGAGCAAGTCCAAAATTTTGCGCGGGAGCGGGGGCGGGGGAGGAGGTCTAAAAATTTTGCGCGGGAGAGGGCGGCGCGGGAAAAAGGCCTGAAAATTTGCGCGGGAGCGGGGGGCGCGGGAAGGATTCCCCCTCTCTTTTGCTCCCGCGGGAGCCCGCGGGAAAGAAAAATCAACGTGATGGCTGGTTTAAAAAGGTCTTCACTAAGGAAGAAGCCTGAGTCAGGCCCCTAAGATAATTCGACAATTGAGAAATAAAATTGAAAAAAATTAATACAAACCATAACAAAGCTAAGAACATGAACAATATTACTTTCACATTGAATGGTGGTGGGTGGGGTTGGGGACGAAACTAAGATTGATCAACTAAGACTTCCCCGGCCTTTGTCAAGCCCCTTAAATTTGAAAACCAAGGAACGGGGCTGAAACGGCCCGAAGGGCCGTCAAGCCCCTTAAATTTGAAAACCAAGGAACGGGGCTGAAACGGCCCGAAGGGCCGTCAAGCCCCTTAAATTTGAAAACCAAGGAACGGGGCTGAAACGGCCCGAAGGGCCGTCAAGCCACTTAAATTTGAAAACCAAGGAACGGGGCTGAAACGGCCCGAAGGGCCGTCAAGCCCCTTAAATTAGAAAACCAAGGAACGGGGCTGAAACGGCCCGAAGGGCCGTCAAGCCCCTTAAATTTGAAAACCAAGGAACGGGGCTGAAACGGCCCGAAGGGCCGTCAAGCCCCTTAAATTTGAAAACCAAGGAACGGGGCTGAAACGGCCCGAAGGGCCGTCAAGCCCCTTAAATTTGAAAACCAAGGAACGGGGCTGAAACGGCCCGAAGGGCCGTCAAGCCCCTTAAATTTAAAAACCTATTTCCCCGCTGCTCCCGCAGCCCCGCGGGAGCATTTTTGAGTTTTCGCGGCGCGGGAAGGGGCGGGAAGAAGGCGGAAAAGAACAATTTACGGCGGGAGCGGGGGGGAGGGGGAAAGATCACGAGAAAATCTCGAGGGAGCGGGGGCTCGCGGGAGCATGCGGCGCGGGAAATTTCGAACTCTGGCCGAGCCAAGCCCTTGCGATTTTACTTGAAAGAAATCGATCGAAAAGTGCTGCGTCTGGACGGGCGGGAACATGCTCCTCATCAGTTTGAACATGCGGCTTTTGAAGAGATCCTGCTGGTGGAGATTCGCGGAGACTCCTACAATAAACTTCAGAAAGGAAAAAAGAAGCGTGGAACCTTGAATATGGCCGTGGTTCGAAACGCCCAGCCAGAGTTCGCCTTTACAATCGCCGTTGAGAAACGAGGCCGCGTAGTCGCAAATGGCTCCATCTGTAATCCCGTGGTCAAAATCGGCAGCAGCTTTGAAGACTGTACATTTCGCTTCGACCAAGGTATCGATTCTGTCCCGCTCCTTAACACCAGCTTCGAATTATCCGTCAGAAATATACAAATACCGAAATAGTTGGAAACTCGTTGGCTTTTGAAGAGGAAGAGATGCTTGCATCACAAGGCTCTTCTTCATCATCGGAAAACCATTCTTCTTCTATCGAATAAGCAGATTTCTCCGCTTTGAACTCGGCAGAACGGGACCCCTTTATTTTAGGACAAAGATTTCGTCTGGATTTAAGATACCACTGAGTTACAACTTGGTGGAATGGAACTTATAAGTTGGGCTCGCCAACCTTTGTAGAAAACCTGAGTCAGGTTCTGAAGTGCCGATATAAAAATCCGAAAAGCTACTTTTTTAAAATGAAAAACAGAACAACGGTATTACCATTTTAATCGGTCTTTAAATATTGGCGAAGCCACTTCTTGGCTTCATTCTTGAAATTTTTCTTGCTTTAGCAGCTACTTTTCATATAGGCTCTTCAGAGCCTACTCAGGTATTCTAACAAGTTGCCGAGCCCAGGTAGCTAGTCATATTCAGAAAGTTAAAAATACTCTCATTACTTGAGAAATAATGATTTTGCTCCCTTTCCTTTGCTTCGCAACAGTCGTTTATGATAATATTTTGGTCGTTGTAAACAATCGCGAGCATGCAGATGTTCTTGAGAATATCGTACAGAATTTCTTGCTGCCTGCCATCGAATTTCGAGACGAACTTGAAAATTCCATGCTTGATGAGTTTTCGCGCCACGTGATAGCATCGCACGTTGTTTTTGTTCGAAATGAAGAGAGCAAAAAGAGTGAGGATTTTTCCGCTGAGTTTTAAAGCGATATCCGATGAATCTTCAATGGCCAGGTTCTCCATCAAAATTTGAACGAAGGAGTCTGATCGGACCGCTTCTTGGAACTCTCCTACTCTTTTCCTGGCGTAGTAGTGGTCACTTTCATTTTTCGAAGCGATCAAGAGAAGGATGCAGGCGCAAAAGTAGCGAGCTTCTGTCGAGTAGATTTCGTGGTTTTTCAGAATTGTAAACAGAAGGTAGGGACTGTCGGGAACGCTTCTTTTGTCTTCCTTGACCAACAGAAGTAGACATCTTTCAGAAGATTTTTAGGCGAATTCGAAATTCAGAATTACTCTTTATTTCTTATTTCTTCAATCAATTATCTCCTTCCTGAGACAAGTGGTTACCAGAGTGCTCGAAACAGGAGAGGGCGCTATTTTATCCAGAATCAGAAAGACCAGCCTTGGCTCAGTCTTGAGCAATTGCAAGTCGGCTTCAAAGACTTCGACTCGCGGTTCGCGGTAAATCGTTCCAGATTCGCAGTCGAAAAGGTTTCCCTGCGAAGTGATCAAAACCCGTCGCACGTGATTGTCTATTATGGTCAAGTAAACCTTGTTGAACTTTCTGGACTCGGCCTTTCGGTCTTTCAACCGTTGCGGGTCGATGGAGAAGAGTTCCTCGAGAATTTGAGAATGCAAAATTTGGTCTTCTTTGGAAAGGAAGCCCCAGGCGGAGTATTCATTCACTATTCGCGCGATCATCACATCCGCTGTCTTTTCGTTGTTTCTCGCGAATCTGGTGAATGGTTCGACGCTCAGCTTGTGAGTCTTCATCACTTTCGAAAACCACTGCGGTTGGGCATTTCTGTCTTCTTGGACGAGACAGTCGACTTGAAATGCCGCGGCAGTGCACTCCAACTCCTCCTGACCGAGCAAATCTGCCAGTTCATGCTGTCTAGCCGGAGACGCACGAGCAGTGTAGGAACAGCCAGGCTTCAGTAGCATTCCAAGTTTCTTCGAATATTCGGGTTCGAAAGAGGTGTTAAAAACTTCTTTGCTTCTGGCGCAGCTGTCGACGAGATGGAGCAGATTTCTGAAAAAGTCAAATTTGTTCGCCGTCGCTGGATTGCCCTTGATGATCCATTCCGCCAAGATGCCGATCTTTTCCAGCAGCTCCAAGCCAAACTTATCGCGTTGGAAAAAGAAACGCTTCATTCTGACCAAAATTGAGTTGCAGAGGTCAAGAACGTTTTTGTAGAAAGAATGAGATATTTCTTTATTGAAATTTCTTTTGTGAGGTTCTTAACTTTTGAGACCGTCGTTCGCACTTCTAGGAGGTCTAAATCGCCGCTCAAAACAAATAAATTTTCAGAAATATCAGGAGATATACCAATGATTTTGCTTAACTCTCGAGAAGCGCCACCACTACGACGCTAGAGAATTTTGATTGGCTGCGCTCAAAAATGTCGCCATATGTGGTCATTTTAAATTTTCGCGGCAATCGCCGAAAAATCATCAATAATTGTTCAGAACCGGGACCTGATGATAAAGTCTCTATAAAAGTCCAGAATCACTTTGATCGCGAGAATTTTATTACTTCCATACGCAAGAAGTCGTGGTTTATTTTCCTCAATTTCCACGCGACAAGTATAAGCAATATTCTTGTAAATCTCCACCTGAGTCAGGAAATCTAAAAGTTAACTTCTGATAAAGATCTCGCGCAAAAGAATACCGTGCCGCTGTGGAATAGAAAGCACTTTTAGTAGATTCCACATTTTCTCTAAATAAAAAAACTGGCTTTTTTTGAAAGATTCCCCAGCCAATCAGAATGAAGATGCGGAAAATTGAGTTTTATCCTAGGAAAGACAAAAAGTACATTAATAACGATTGTTTGTAAAAATTGACGTTGTTAATTTGGGAATTACGCAGAGGTACAGCGGAAATCTAGAAAGAGAGCGCGCGCGGTGTTCTCGAAAAGCAGATCTGGGGAATTGAGTCAGTAGGCTCCATCTGCGATTATTTTTCTGCGGTACTTTTCGAGAACACCGCGCGCGCTCTCTTTCTAGATTTTCGCTGTACCGTACAGCCTGTACGTCTGCTTAATTCTCTTTATTTCGTCACTTGGACTCCGGTCCCTGTCAAAGTGAATTCACTTTCTTCGTTCTTACATGCAGTGATTTACCGAAATAAGAGGCCTCGAAATAAGAGGACTTTTGGTTAAACTAGGCAAATTCTGTCATCCAAGAAAATTTCGAAATAAGAGGACTTTTTTGACAATTTTAATTAAAAAATCAGGAAATACCGAACTGACAGTGAAGCAACTATTTAAAAAATCTTTTATCTATGACTAGGGCCGACGAGCAAAAAATCAACCCCAAGTACCCGTTGATGGAAACGCCCGAAACTTTGTAGAAGTGTTTATTTTAGCCCAATTGAAAAAAATGTAATTGAAATTTTTTTGATCGGATCACGTGATCTCGGGTTACAGACCCTCGAAAAGCTAGAAAAGCTTGCCAAGCTTGATCCCCTTATGGCATCATCTTCTCGTTAGGCTAGAAAGAAAGGTCTTAATTTGTTCTAGTGGCTTAGTTAAAAAAAATCTTGGTGTATTTACAGGAGACGCTAGAAGCTATATAAGGACCCAAAACTAGCTAAAATTGAGGTAAAAATCCAGGTTTCACGGGCTACTTAGGGCAAAATACCTTGCAAAAAGGGCCATTTTAGACATTTCAATTCCCTCTTGCGACTCATGTGATCTTGCCACCAAAAATGTTTTGGATTATTTAGAAAGAACTTTTTGTGCTCTTTTATGTGAGCTACATTAAGATCCCCTGGGGTAATGGGATCGAGGTTGGCAAGCTTTTCTAGCTTTTCCAGGGTGTGTAACACGTGATCACGTGATCCGACCAAAAAATTTTCAATTACAATTTTTTTAGTTGGGCCAAAATAAACATCTTTACAAAGTTTCAGGAATCTACCTCAACGGGTTCTAGTGGTTGACTTTTTGCTCGTCGGCCCTATCTATGACTGTTTTGTCGGCCATTTCGAAGTCGATGGCTTTTCTGAGTCGGCTTCATCTGCAACTTGAACTTGAGGCCGCGCGTGTTTCATTGATTTGAAGCGCCAGGAGATGCTCGACCAACTCCTCTTCGTCTTCTTTCTCCAGAACGCTTGCAAGAACTTCCACATCCTCGAAGTCTTCAACCGTCTCGTTGAACTCTCGCTCTTTCAACAGCCCAGTATTAATCCAAGAGCGCTTGAAGTTCGCTGGGTTCATGTTCCTTGATCTTCAGGTGATCATTGTCGACGATAAAATCATCAAGATAACACCGCATCTTCTTCTTAAAATTTGCGAACCAGTCTTATTCTGGAAATGAATCTTTCTCCTCTCTTGATCTATGATTCATAGTCTATGAATCATAGACTATGAATGCATTCCTTTGAAATCTACTAGTAGTAGTAGAAGAGCAAAATGAAAAAAAGAACCTCTGTCACCCTAGCTTGATTTGAAAATTTCCAAAATAAGAGGACTTTTCGTCATCCCCTGTCATCCAAAAAGGCCTCTTATTTCGGTAAATCACTGTGTGTTACTCAAGTTTAAGCCTCCGAAACATGTCGTCATAAATTCTACCACCAAATTAATTAATAACGATGATCATTATTAATAAGCATGTGCTTGATAATGTCGATAAGGTTTCCCTTTTCAAATTTTCCTGATATCAAAATCATGCCTTCAATGAGCAGTTATCATGCTTTTCTCGCATTGAATATAGTCGGACCTTCTATCCCTTGCTCAGCGCCGAATAATAATTCAATACAGCGACAAAACTCTGACATCTAACGCATCCCGGGCGCTATTTAGCCAACTGTCTGAAAGTTTCTCTTCACTTCTCGTCAAAAAAATGAGACTTGTGAGCGCTTTTCTTTCAGCCGCTTCGGCTCTAACTGCCGAAGAAGTCGCCGCCTTCGGCTGCAAGTCCGGTACTTTCTACCAGTTCCACAAGGTCGAGGTCGAGGGAGCTACTCAAATGAGCAACACGGCTTCGGCGAGCAACAACTGGAACGGATGCCACCAAAAGCAAAACGGCAATTGCTGGAGAACGGAGCTCTCCTGTAGTATGTCCATGAACGAAGCAACTCCTGGCGACACTCCTCGGTAATTTGAGAGAAATAAAACAAAAGAAGGATAAATTTAAATAAGATACGCGATCAACGCGGGCGGAATTCCCGATCACAACGCCTGGGCCCTCACTGGTGGAAACTCCTTCATCCAGAGCCGAACTATGCGATTCCGAATCCCGCGAGTTCCAGTCCTTCTTCCCTGGGCCGACAGAACCGCTGCCCCGCAAGGACCGATCGGTTACGCAACTAACGGCGTTCCTATCTTCGGCCCGTACAACTCAGGCTGCTGCGACGCGATCTTCGTCGAAATCCAATCGATGGACCACTGTCTCGGTCACCCGGCGAACGGCAACTACCACTATCACTTCTTCCCACAAGCATCGGGCAACTACGACGGATGTAGCTACAGCTGCGAAGACGGAGGCCCGTCTGGAATCGTCGGTGTGGCAAACGATGGCTTCCCCATCTATGGCCCCGCGCAGTGGTACTCGGCTACAACTGGGAGAATCTACGAGCAAATGGAAAACTGCCAGGCAGCTGGCGAGTGCTCTTTGACTCACATCAGCGAAGAACACACTGACATTTGCGGCGGAGTGAGAGTCGGCGATGGAGACGCCTCGGTCGGAAACGTCTACCGATACATCACGACCAACACCTTTCCGTACAACCTGCAGTGCTTCCGAGGAGACCTGTCGATGTCTCAAACTCGGCAAGGAAGCTCCTGGAATGCCTACACAGTCAACAACAGTTGCGGAGAGAACTCCGATAACGGTGGAAGTTGTGATATTTTCAACCAGTCATTCGCCGCCTCCATTGGATGTTCTCCTGGAAGCTGTACCGCGCAGCAATCTGGTGCTCAAGGTGATGTCACTGCTGTCTACATGGAGTGCCCTGTCACTCAGCCTCCTACAACAACTTCGACCACGACCACACCTTCTACTACAACGACAACAACGACGACTACTACGACCACAACCACTACCACGACAACAACGACTACTACGACAACAACGACTACTACGACGACGACCACTACAACAACTACCACTACCACAACTACCACCACCACAACTACCACTACCACAACTACCACAACTACAACAACGACGACAACAACAACTACGACTACGACCACCACAACAAGTACGACAACAACAACGACAACTTCTACAACTACGACTACGATTGCCACATCGCCAACAACAACAGCAGCTCCAATTTCTTGCTTGAATGAGATTCCCAGTTCAAGAGAAGCTCCAACTAATTGCAACGCGAAGCATGTCAACTGGAAAGGCGCGAAAGTGACTCGAACGGCTTTCCGTGGAAAAGGATCTCGAATTCTTCGATTCGCCGTCAACAACAACGAGGGCGCTTTCGATGCGGACTACACCGGATTCCTCGGTTTTTCGCGAACTAAATGCGGAATCGACTTTGTCAACGCGTCTATCGACGGTCGACTTTCTCTCTCTCTCGCGGACTACGAGGCTGACTACGAAATCATGTACCAGCACAAGCGAATCAACGGAAAGCAGACGTCTTCAATGACTCAGTTTTACCGAACAAAGGGCAGCGGCGGAGACCTCGGCAACCAAAAGAAAGATCTCGTCTATCTGATGATTCAGGGATTGGATCAAGTCGATTTCGGCGACCTTGACTTGGACTTTTGCCTTGAGCGAGTCCAGGTCGGCATCATGCCCGCCACCAACGTCGACCACACCGCTTGTGCCGCCTGGGACAAAGACCTTGGATGGTAAATGAATCGCCTTTAAAATAACTTTTTATTTTGCGAGCGATTTTCTTCGTGTTTATTTTTCAAATAAATATCGATTTCGTAGAAGCTCTATTGAATTATGTTCTGTACATATTTTAGTGATCAAAAGTCAGACGGCAAAAAAGTGTGATGGAAACCGTAGGGCAAGCCAGTTACAGTTGTCGTGCATCGTGCGATTTCAGTCAACGTTTTCGCATCGAGAATGAGCAGAAACGCGGGCACGTCCTTTTTCGTGGAAACACAAATTGACAAAATGACACCATTGTCTTCTTCTCCCGGAGCACTTGGATCCGTCACGGATTTATTTTGAACAAAAACCGGTTCCGACGGAAAAATGTCTTTTTCGAGCCACATCTTAATGGAGAGCATTTCATCTCATGGCTTAACTTATTGAGAGCACCTTGATTTCCTTCGTGTTGACATTGACTTTGACGATTCTGTCCGGCAGAATTGTGCCGAACCCGTTTCCGTACAAGTACGTGTAAGGAAGGCCGTTTAGCGCATAATTGTATCGCGGAAACTCGAATCCATAGAACCCGACCTTTTCGTCCGAGTTGTCAATCAACAACTCTTTTTCCAGCCAGACTGATCCGTCCTCTCTGAGAACGGCAGTGGCACTTGTTTTCAATTTTCCTTCGAGTCTCTTGTTAAGGTCCTCGCCCACTGTTGCCTTTTTCGGCAGTTTGATCGGGAAAACAAATCTCGCTAGTTCATTTTCACCCGCTTCTTTGAACTTAATAATTCGTCACATTCGTAGTGAGTTACTAGCGATACCGCTTCATCGATCTCCGCTGCAGAGCGAGAACGAAGTGTCTCGATGTTGAAGAGATGAGCAGCTCCCTGGGCTTTGTAATTTGGGCAAGCGTCCCAAACGCAGAAAATTCCGCCGTCAACTAAACAATACTAATTTTAAGAAAATTCCACGTGCGACTCGATACCTTCGATTTCATAAGCATTTCCAAAGTGAAAGCTTCCCATGCCTTCCGTATTGATTTTTATTGGCAGAATTTCGCCGCTTTTGAAATCTGCAACTCGAATCGACGAGGGAACCAGGGTGAAAAATGGCGCGTGATTTGCCTGGGATCTCGCGCGCGCGGCAAAAAAACCTCCCAGAGCGCGTGGGAGGTGGCGCCATTATCACAGAAAATTCTGTGAGGTACCTAAAAATCGAGATCACCCACGCGCTGTGAGCTCACAGAGAGCCTGGGAGCGCACGAGCACTACGGCTAGTGCTTTACGCGATGCGCGGCGAGCCCAAAAGCATAAGCGCGCCGTAATCTCAGTGGGGGCTTATTGTGACCATGTAGTCGAAATCAGATGCAAATAGTACCGGGTGATTAACACAAAAAAATTCCGGAAGTAAAATGGATCATGTTAGCTTACTAATTTAAAAGAAAAACAACTTCTGATCCGCGAAATTTACGCGAAGAATCACCAAATTTTTCGTTATACAGTCATAAACAGTGAAAATAATTCTTTTTCTACCCTAGAATCCATCATCAGATGTTGTCAAGCATTTAATTTTTGTTCAGGACGTCAGATCAGTTATAGTCTATAACTTATAGAGGGAAATGATGCTGCAGTTATTTTGGTATCATTGAAATCAGCTAGAAAATCTATATTTATAACTAAATTTTCAACAAGAGCAAAGCATTTTCACCGTGAAAGTCCCTTTACATTCAAGCTTTGAGAAAAGCGTAAAGTCACTTCGCCTCGCGAAAAATTTAGCTCCCCACGCTCTGTGAGAAGCCAAAAACCTCCCACACGCCCTGGGAGGTTTTTTCACCGCGCGCGCGAGATCCCACAAATATCCCACGCCATTTTTCACCCTGGAGGGAACTTTCTTGTCGTAAAACATCGCCTCAGCTGGCGCAGCGTTGGTAAACTTTCGTGTGAGCATTTTCAACATGTTGATTCTAAAAAGCGTTGTTGACAAAACTAATCCGAGTTCGTCGAAAAGCACCTGTAGGGCATTTCCAGAAATATAATGTGTTTCTTAGTGAGGCCAAAAGAATGGAAATAGCTCGGACATTTCGGATTTGTGGCTGGAAATTTGGCAACGATCTTCATTTTCTGAATTAAATCTAAAGAGAGTCAACCCTCCCGAGCGAGGATTACGTTGAAGTCGCCGGTGGGATCTACTTGGATCACATTGTAGCTGGTTTCTTTTCCAAAGCTGCTGCCCATGTTGAGAAACTCGCCGCTCGCCAGAGTATGGGGATGAGCGGTTGCCGTGTGCAAAGTCATGTAGTTGTTGTAGGCGATGCGTTCTCCTGTTTCTAGCGTTTTTGGATCCACTTCCCGAATCGCAGTAGTTTCCGTCATCGCGTACACTTTATCGCCGATCGGCCACAAGTTTACATTGCAATTATCGTTCTGAACAAAATCAAAGACTCGAAAAGAACATGGTCTCCTGAGAAGACTTTGCTCAGGTTATCGGATTATTATTAATAATGTGTGGGCAATATTTGTAAACCTACTTGTCTGGGCGCTCGAAAATACGAAGCGAAACGGTCGAAGAGAGACAAGCACGGGTCTGAATATTTCGTCGGAGTTCCATAACCAGAAAGAATCCACCTGTCGAACTTTGTGTTCTTCTTGTAAACATCCGAGCGGAGAAACTTGTTTAAGTAACGAGCTTTGCTGCGATCAACAAGGACTAGGGCCGTAGCTAGTAGCTACTGAAGCGTTTTGTCGAGCACGAGTTCCTGAGCCGTTTTTTATTTCGAATTTATGCAGGAGAGCATGGCCGTCGAACCAGTGTACAACTGATTCTCCTCCCAGGTCCCACTGTCCAACTCCGTTGCGTAAAATTGTTCCTTCTAACCAATCTGGGATTTTTCCTGAGTACGGTTTTTTTCATTTTGCTGTAATTATTTATTTTTATTTAAGAAAACGATGCAAATTATGACGCAACGAAAATTTTTCCATGGCGAAAGAATTGCATTGATTGTCAAATTTCATATGATATATTATAATAAATATAATATTATTTATATAATATAATTAAATATAATATAATTATATATTAAATATAATTCTTTTGCATCAGGGAATAATTTAACAAAAAACTGCTCCTGTGATTGTCGTTGACTGTTCCTGCTCAAGCTCCGGGACTGTCTGGACAAGCTGGTGAACCGCCACTGTAGCTGGCATCTCGGGCGAGTTTCTCTTGGAATCAAGTACTTCTGGAAGCTGCCGTCGGACTTGACATCTACCGCGTAAGATCGTGAGTGCCCTCCTGGACTCTCTTGTGACCTTCTTGCCTAACATTTACGCGATGCGTAAATATTGACTCTTGAAATAAGAAAAATACGTCCTTTCCCTTAATTTTTTCGCTTTCGAAACAAATTGACCCTCATTCGGAAGAAAGTGGCCTCATGCGTAGGCAACTATCAACCGGGTACTACCCGCAAGCCATTTTTAAACATTCTGTCCAGTTCAGGTTAACTGGGGTCGCTTTTCGCCAAAGATAAATAAGTTTCTTGTTTGCATGAGAAAACGCTGATTTTCCGCATTTTAGCGAAGGGTCTGCTAGTTTCGATGCAAGGCAATTAATTAATAATCAAGTGGATTCTCAAATTGCTTATTTTTAATTTATTTACAGTTTTGTCAAAATTGACTCTTTATTTTCCCGTTTTGGCAGCTGCATGTCGAGCAAGAATAGCACCTTTTCGTTTTCAATTTTTCCGTCTTGATCGTGTTCAAGAGCTGAAGCCTTTAGTTTGGCAAAATCGAAAGAGGGCGTACCATAGAGAGCTGATCCTCGATCTTGTCAAGATTCGTGTTTCTTTCGTCGTTGTGACTGAAACTGGAGTTGGCGCTCTTTTGCGGCTGGAGCATCGGAACTCGCTGCTCGTAAACAAGCTCTTGATCCCTTTGCGGGCAGGGAGGAGAGCTTGCGCTTTCGCTGATCTGTTTTCGAATCTAAATTTTCAGTTTTCTTGGCCTGCAATTTTGATAATTCAATGCCCGGCCCTTTTTCGGCTTACCTTTGCCCATCTGCGAAAAGCGGGCGGAGCCGGTTGCTGAATCGCGTGTTGCTGCCTTTCGCAGTCCATGTCTAACGTCGTCTGCGGCGAGTCGAAATCGGAATGGCTCTCTGTTCCCTCCTGGTGCGACTCCGCGCTCTGTTGATGCTCATTTCTTTGGGCAGGATTCGATTCTGACCCCATTTGCGTGTTGAACTCGTGACTGAGCAACAGTGAAAAACAAAATTAAAAAGAAGGGCACCTGATATATTGTCTGATTTTGCGCCACTTCATCAAACTTCGCTGAAAATTTTCCTCGCAGGTTTTTCGACTGATCGCGCTCATCCCTCGCCGGAAGGAGACGTTTTTTCGCGAGTTCGAGAAGCTAGCGTTTTTGAAACTTCCAATCACCGAGGCTCGTTTCCGAAGACGGTAGTATTTCCACGAGCATTGGATCACTCTTTCAGACGTGATCGAAGTTATTCAAATTTTAAAGACACTAATCATTTTAGTGAAGGGAACTCCTTCTGCCTGGAGAATATCCGGCTATTAATTTACTAAGTTAATTCTACTGAAACCGAAAACTTTCAATAGGTCATTGACAATCACTTTCCTGGCAGCAGCTTCCATTTTGAGTCTGTGAAATCGCTGGCGTTTAATTGCCGCTAGAATGCGCCGCTCATTCGGCTTAAGAAAATCATGAAAATGATGAAAACCAGGATGCCTTATTTTGAGTCTTTGGCTACTTACGGGAATTTCGAGCCAATCTCTCATCACTCCAATCATCAGAGCGGTCAACAGAGTGCCGAGAATCGAGGCGATGCCGACAAAAATCCTGCCTCCAGAAGAATTGGGCACTACGTCTCCAAAGCCAAGATTAGTAATCGACACAACGACCAGCCAGACCATGTTCTTAAAATGTTTTAAAAGCGTCTTTTATTTGGCCCGTAACCGCAATCGTGTATTATTTATTTCTATCGATTTCAGAAGCATTTTGTTAATATCAAATACCTCGAGTTTAAGGCTGCTGTTATCGCTGGCCCGTTCGAAGACGAAAACAACGTAGCCAAGACCAAAGACGCAGAAGAAGTAAATTGCCAACAAGACCTTTAATTTTGAAAGGACAGTTTTTCTTCAATTTTGTTACCTGCGCTGGGTGTTTGAGAAAATGCGTCTTGATTAAAAATGTATCTTCGAAGGTAATCTTCACCAGCGAGGAAAGCACATTCGTCAGTCTACCGAATCAACAGTAGTCAGGCAGGCAACTCGAAAAGCGAACCTGTGGTAGCGAAGTTCGTTGTGTTCCTTGAGCAGCTTTATGACTGAGCGGGATGATTAGCGCATGAATGTATAATTTGACTCCCTCCGAGAGTGGCTCACCTTGATAAAGCCGGATCATTGGGATTAGCTGCCACTCGGGCCTCAAAATTAGGTTCAAATACACAATCCATTACTGCTGTCTGTGGCTGCTATTGAACCGTTCCTGAAGCTGGCGTCGAAGCCAGGAGGCATGTGAATTGTGCACAGAATGCACTCCAGGATAAATAGAATCGCCATTGGACTAGTTAGAACGCCAGTCTGGCCTCGGATGAGATACCGTTTTATTCTCATTACGCGTAGCTCCCCAGTGTAATACTGGACGCGCGATGGCCAGACCCTAATCAAAAATAAGCTTGATTACTTTTTTCGCGAACTTTCGATGATGAATTTCATTGGCCATCGTTTCCTGGTAAAGAGCATAATTCATAAATATACTTATGATTGCGAGGGAAAGCTTCAAAAAAGAGGTGAAGAAAAGTATTCTTGGGCATGTTTGACGGATATCTTCGAAAGTGAACTAAAAGCAAATGGAAATTTTTACGTAGACAAGGGTTATCCTTCGACCATCCGTCTCAAGAATCTGGAGCTCACAAAAGTGGAACTTCTTTATTTATTGCAGCAAAATTGAACGAATAAGGTTACCTGTTCGAGGCGGCAGGACATAGTTGTGCCATTAAGAATTTTAATGCATAATATATTATTTCTTGCATAAGAGGTTTCGATGTCTACGACGGCGATGATAACTTGAAATGAGCTCGATATTGTCATAAAACATGAATTAGATATGAGAAAGGAAAAGCGAGCCCTCGCCTGATAAAGCACAAAGTGAAAATATTATTCTTGAGTATTTAGTCAGATGGGCGTGAATGCGGCTGAGGAGTATGTCTCGGACTTGAAACTCTTTCAAATCTTTCAGACGGCTTCGTTCTAAAAAAGCACTGAATAAAGCTCCAACTGTAACTGAAAAACCTCTACTCGCAGCCTCAAGTAAAGCCTTTTACTTTGATCAAAAAATATCTTTCTGAGCTGATTTAAATTTGAGAGTATTTTTTGAGGTAATTACTTATAAAAAATTAATAATTGATGAATCGAAATCGAGATTGGCAGACTTTTGCAAAAATACATCGAGTCTATTTTAATTTTAATTTTAATTTTTAATGAAACTGGCCGTAAGCTTAACAAACCAGCAGAATGAAACCTTCTTTTCAAAATGTCAAAAGAAACATAGACTATTAGCGCATTGAGCTGGATAAATTACCAGTGATATATCGACCTGGTAATATATAGGCTAAAAGCCTCGGTTGACAGCATTCGATTTGGCTGTTTTGAAAAAAATGCATTTTTTTAAGTCAATGCAGTTAAAATAAAAAAAAAGATAAACTTTAAGTTAACTCGAGATTAATTTTGCAAACTCATTTATCTTCACTGATTTCAACTGTTATCAATTCAACAAGTTATTTACTGTACTGTAATTATGAGATATGAAAGAAAATAGTAATAAAACTTTGAAGAGGAAATTTATTTCAAGTCCTGCATCCGAAAAAATCATTATTTTGAATATTCTCGTTGATCTGGCCTTAAAAAATCTATCTCTACTCGACTTTTTCATAAAAAGCAGATTCTCTCTTGTGTCCTTTCCAATCACTGAAAATACCTTTTGCAACGAAAGCCCAAAAGCCTGTCTTCTTTCCCATTTCCAGGCGGCTTATCTCTTTACCCCGAAATCACTTTTATTGGGTCATCGAGGGAGCTTAATCCCATTGCTGATGAATGTTTATATCGCTTTCTTGTTGAGCAGTTCCGATTTGATTTTCGATTATATTCTCACTATTCTTTAAAATAAAGATCGCTTTTGCAAGGCAGTGGAAGGCGCCTGTGTCAAGATAGAGAGGACTCTTATTGTGCCCCAGTGCGCCGCCGACAAATCGCGCGAACTTAGGTCACTGCATCGTGTCCAGCGATACTGTCTCGCGTCCGAGCATGTAATCGCCCAATACACCAGTAAAATCTCATCTTTTGATTTAAGCTCTCGAAAGAAAGGAAGAGGCTTTGAGTCAAAAAGTAAAGAACTTGGCGAGATCGACTTCTTCACTTTTAGTGAGCATAATATTTTTGATAATTTATTAACAATTTGACAACAAAAGGCAATTGAATCCATAATAGAACGATGAATTCACTGTATGAAATATACTGTATATTCGGAATATAATATTCCTTCAAGAGATATGCAGGTTTTTCAAATCATCTATTATTCAGTCACAGAAAAGTAGCCGTCGTAGTAATTTAAACTGTAATGAGTTTCATTTGTTCCCTTGGACGACTGCGAGGCATTCTTCTTGTGTCAGTTGCACGCCGTCATCGTTGTAAAAATAGAAATCGAAGCAATCTGATTACGTTTGTTCATTTCAAAAGATTTTATAACAGAAAGACTAACCCGAAGGAGTTGCCGGAGCCCCGCTTGAATCTCCGTAAAAATCGTCGTAATTTTCGTCAATTCTCGTCGTCGTTGTTGGCTTAGTCGTTCTCTTCGTCGTTCTCATGCGTGTTGTTGTTGTAACTGTAGTTGGAGAATTCGTCCAGTTGTAGCGGGTCCACTGAACTGGTTTTCTTCTCGTGGTTAGGGCGCTTGTCGGGCGCGGTCGAGGCGATGTTCTCGTCGTTGTCCGCCGCGTTGTGGTTGATCCTTGCGTACTTTTGCTTCCAGCCGTCACTGGTGGTCTCCAAGTCGGCGGATTGTAGTTCATCGCATGATTCAAGTATTTCTGGCGGAGACTTTCCATTTTTTCGGTGCTCTCCAACTTAAAAATAACTACTTTTCGTTTCTATTTTTTGGTCTGATCTTATTGTCACGTGAGCTAAGGTTATCATTGGTAAGCAGCGATACATACAGATCAAATCGATTTGAGAACAAACTCACCGGGGGAATTTCTGTTGAGCTCGGGCTGAGTGTGATATCAGCAAAGTAACGCTCCCGAGTTCCATCTTGGTTCACATTGTACTTTGCATTTTCAGAAAAGCCTGCGCCGTTTTCGGACTGCGTTTTTTCTTTCAACGGATTGAAAATTTCTACTGCCCCAAAAAAGGCGGTAAAAAAGTAAATAAGCTTGAGTTTGAAAACTTTGAACCCTTGGCGATTTGAAGCGTCTCCTTGTAAGATGTTTTCATGGGAGCGGGAGGAGAGCTCATTCCAGCAGCCGTTTCCTCCTCCTCACCTATTGTAAAAATATGAGAAAGCTTCAATGAAGCTTCATTGAACAGACTGTAGAGAGGCGTGAATAACTTACATGCAGAAATCTGGCAGTACTGAAACTGTCTTTCAGGGGAGACTTTGACGAAGCACCAAGGGCCGTTTGAATCGTTATCTGGGTTTCGGCAGTAATTTTTTCGAGGCCAGCATTCGGAAATTTTCCAGAGGAGGGGTGGAATTTCAAATTGTCTTTTTCTTGCTTGTACATTACTGTAAATAAATTATAACTAACCATCGAGTGCACTCCACGGCAGGCACTTGGCACCTCGTTTTCCAACACTCATCGTTCCCCTGTAATCTTTTCCCAGAGGGTCTTCTTTCATCAGGCATTCGGCATCACGAGTCTCCGCCGTGGATTCTTAAGATTAACTCACTTCAGCCTCTAAAGTCGTCGAGGATTAATCTCAACCGACAGATTCATCAAAGTCACCTCCATATACAGTTTATTGCTAGCTACATATTACCGTTAATATGTATTAAACAGTGAGTCGGTGATAATCACACTTCATACATTTACAGACATCTCACATAGCCTATGTCACATAGGCTATGTGACATAAGGCCGTACATACATTCAGACTTGATGTGCAGACATTCAGAAATGTCTGAAGGAATGTGTCGTTACCTCTTACAAATGTATTCGGAAAAAGCTCGAGAGTGCTTTTTTGGCGACTTGAGTAGATATCTGATAGAAGAGTATCTTTTATTAGCTACCAAGATGAAAGCAGAAGATTTGACAGATAAACCTAACCCTAAAGTCTGTACAAATTTTGCGGCCGAAATCGGTAGCAGAGTAATTTTATCGAGCCAGAACCGCCGGTTAAAAGATCAGTTTCGACATTTACGTTACCAACCAAACCGATTTAGTATAAAATGGCGTTCGGTTCTCCCAAAAAAATTTTTCGTTCGGGTTTAAGGAGGTGTGGGGCGGTTTTCGGGAAATTGACCATTTTCAAACAGCCCTCAGGCTCAGATGGGTAAGAAAATTATTAAAAACTCTTCTTCTACTTATAGATTGGACCTTAAACTAGAGTTGAAAATTTTTTCAGAAAAAATTATTAAGGGATTCTGCCTATAGACTCTATAGTATAGAGAGCTCAGCTTCAAGTCATGTCCGTGAAAATCACCATTTTGCGTCATTTTTGAACGCGATTTTTTTAATGAAAAAAATTTTATTTTTTAAAACTTAGATGATAAAAAGAAACTTCCATCGCTGTTCTAGGGTTGAATTGAAAGAATTTACTTTTTCGCAAAAATTGCTTATTTAAAAACTTCAATCAAAAATTGGGTTTCAAATTGTCAAAAAGATGAGATTTAAAATTGCACTAACTCGTAATACAGTTAGATAAGTGAGTCACTGTAATGAATAAAAATACTCAGCGAGTCGTAAGCTTTCTAAAAATATTAAAATAATTGCATTTGTGAGACTTTAAAAAATCTAATTTCACGAATTTTCATAGAAATGTCAATTTTCAATCCCGTTTTTCACCAACTTTTGTTGACATTGAAAAATAAAGCTAGGGACCTTTTTGATGCTCTTGATGTGGGCTTTCTAAAAATGGAAAGAAAATTTTAAAATTCGAATTTTCGCCAAACCGCCCCATACCTCCTTAAGGAATGAAATTTAATTTTCATTTTTCACATCTCAGTTTACTTGTTCGCAGTGTGCATATTTTGGAGCAGTACATAATTTTGGGTTCTACCTAATCTATATCTTTGTCAATAAAAATAAGCAGTTTATCGACCGGAATAATTATTGGAAAAAACGAAACCCGAAATTGGCAATTTTCCGATCAAAAACTTCTGTCTTGGTCTCTTTTCCTGGTCTGTCGTCTGCCAGCCATGAATTAATAGAATACTTTAATAAATTGATCATCTTTTCGCTCCGCTCCGCATAAATTGTGAAAAAATCGTGCTAAAAAGAATTAAAAATTAAGCGTTGTTGGGAAAACGAAAAACCTCTTGGCTCCCTTGGTGAAACGTCCAGTCGCATAGGTCCTCTACCCCACGTTCGGTACTTTTTTGGCTTCTTCGATTTCCATTCAGAAAAGTTATTTTATTTCACGAGCCAATGCCTAGGTTTATATTCAAATGTCAAGAGAATGGTGTTATTGAGTTGAATTTTTTCTTCGATCATCGCAAAAAATGCGTTTTTTACTCGCTTCGGGAACATATTTAGCTTGATAATTCCGTCGTTGTCGATGTTCCAGTGTCCATTTCTACCTGCTCTTTTAGAAACGCTTTAAAATTGTATGTGCATTATAAGTCCTGAAACTACAATCTGTATAAAAAGAAGCGACGTTCCTGGCGATGGCCGTGATTCCAAAGAATTCTTGGGAGAAATCGAACTCGTTCGTGGACATGAATGTCGCTTCGAAAGCTTTGATTCGGATAGTAGGGTATCCTTCGACTTGGGGCGGAAGGAGAAACGAATCGACAGAAGAGTAGTCCCGGTTGTATTTGATATTTTTGTAGTTTTCGTCTTTCCATGCTTTCATAGGATGCCTTTCCAGTTTCATAATATTGAATACAATCAATTGAATAGACTCTGAGGAACAGAACGAGTAGTCATCAGATTCCTGAATATTTTGAAAAAGGACTTCTGCCCTCCAATCTCCCAGCGATGCAGTCAGCTTCGATTCGTGGCTCATAATTCGAGGATCTGCCGCACATGGTGCCAGTACGCACATACTGCCGGTTGACGCACTCGTAGTAGGGCTCGATCCAAGGCTTCAAAAAATCGTTGACCCTTTTTCCGGGGTAGATTTGGTGAGATTTCTCTGGAATTCTTCCCATTTGCGGGTGCGGACCGGCAGCTACTGCGCCCAAAACCGGGGCAATCAAGCTTTCTAGTCTCATTGCTCGATTCTGTCAGGAAGAAATAATCAGGACTTCGTTCGAATCTGCAGAAGCTCATTGTTTGTCTTCGGCGAATTCGTAAACAAAACAAATACCTGAACAAATATCTTTTTGCTGATTTTTTTGCTGAAATCAACGAAGATACTTTCCAAATTACTTTCCAGAAAATTGTTCCTGAAAAGGACGAACTTCATGAGACTTTTTCACTTGCGTCGAGGTGAGCCTCGCTCTCTCGTGCAAAGTTGGCAAACACGGAAAAGCCGCCTTTTTGCCTATGGTCGACGTGTGATAATTTTAAAACTATTTGTGGGCAAGGAAATCGTAAATAATCTGCTAACTGCAGTTTTCTTCAGCTCGTCCGGGCAAATTGAATGGTGGGTCTAACTCTTGAGTATTCTAAGGATTGGCGGGTCAACCGGCTGGTTACTGTAAAGCACGTTGTCACCGGCCGTTTTTTTCTAGAAATGATAGACTTATGATCATCGAACACTCGACCTGGTCGGATTGGTTGGTAGCCGACCCTAGACAGTCGGTTAAAAGACAAGAATTTTTCGATTTCCTAAAAATGCTACTAATACCATTAAATAATGTTATTGTCACTATATATTATATTTTTATTAATATAAAATTACTAAAGAGCATAATACTCTATCAGAAATTAGTAATGAAAAACGGGGAAAGAGGCCGTCTCGCTGCGTCGCCGCCAAAAGGATCATGCCTGGGGCCAAATTCGAAATTTGGCGAATCTCGATTTTCTCCGGCGAAGTTGGTGTTTTCCCAATTAGGAGATCCCTTTTTCGCCCAGAAATCAATTTGTGTTCGCCCTCTCGGACTTTCGCTTTTTCTGGGTAGTATGAGTCAGCACGGAGGAGTGACGTCACGCTTGGTTTTAATCAAATGGGAAGAGAGGGCTCTGAAGCGCTGAAAAGGAAGAAAATAATTTTCGACTCGTAAAAACGGAAACTCTAAATGTCGAGAAAGCAGATACAGTAGAGTGCCGACGGAAATCGAAATGGCCTGCAAAAGAACGTGGATTAGAGATCATCTGAGCAGAGATGGAAATCACCTGTTAGTCGAAGTCGACCCCGATTATCTAAAGGTAGCCATTCAAAGCTGAAAATTTTTCTTTAGTCACTTTTAGTGACAGTAGAATTTAATGAAACACCACAGAAATAGGTTACAAAGTTGCAAATTTTAAAACAGCAAAGTTTTCGCACTAGCTTAGTTAGCTAAGCTTGGGAATGAATTAAACTTAGTTAGGCTGGCAGACTTTCTGGCTGGGTCACAGTTGCTAGACCTTAGCTAAACTTAGCTAAGCTGAGAGTAATTTCGGCTAACCTAACTAAGCTAGTCATTTTGAATAAGTTCAGCCAAAAGGTCTTGCTCAGATAGCTTAGCTGAGGTCCTCAGCCTGAGTAAGATATTTAGCTAGGCTGAGCTAAGCCGACAAAATTTTTCGAAAGCCTACCATCGTGGACTTTTTTTACGGCGCCTATGACTCATAAAAAAAGGAAAGCCAGCGCGCGCAACGCATACTTTCTCTAGATGTGCGAAATCAAATCCAATGGGGAAAGTCGATCCTGCAACGTGGCCTTGACTTTCCTCTTTTTTTAATGAGTCATAGGCGCCGTAAAAAAATCCACGATTGTAGCTTAAGCTGAACTTAGCTGGCTTCGGGCGAATGTAATAAAGCTCTAGCTATGCTGGCCCTTGCTGGAGAGTCACTTAGCTAAGCTCAGCTAAGCGATCTAAGCTTGGAAATTTGCAATTCTTATAGGCTACAATGTTGTTAGCCTTTATTGACTGAAAATGACGAATTCGGAGTAGGACCGCTTCAATCACCAAGGAATTCTTGCCGACGTCTCTGAAAAAGTAATGAAGGCCCACGGAACAACCCACGAAGCAGCAATGAAAATCATTCTCGGTACAAAACAAGCCTTCGCTCTGTAAATATGAATAATAATCACCTGTTTTCGAAGAGACGGGTTATCATTCGAGCCTTTGATTCGAGCCATCCAATATCTCTAGAATCTGGGCTAGTGGTTACGGACTGGGAAGTGGGTTAGGGCTAGGGGTTGCTCGAATGATAACCCCCTACTATCGTTTTTAGATGTGCGTCCTCCGAAAAATGCGACACAGATGGAAAAAGACTCCGCCGAATTTTTCTATGGAATGCTGCACGCTCGATGGGCGACGACCACCATGGGGATAAAGCAGTATCGTGAAAAGTGGTACAATGGCAAGTTTTTCAGAAGGACTCTTTTTAGTGTTTTCACTTGAAACAGAAATTAAATATTACATGATATGTAACTATATAATAAAGAGTGTGGTTACAGTCTATAGTATAGATATAATATAGTAGTACAGACTCAGGTTTCCGACACAATTGCTAAAAATTAAGAAAACTTTTAGGGTATTTCGGCGTTTGTCCGAAGTTGCGATGCGGATCAAACCTGATTCCGATCGGGCCGGACTCGGATCCCGGTCTTTCGAAAGTGAAGCTCTATTGCTACCGTTGCAATGACCTTTTCCACTGCGAGAACTCGGAGTTGGACTCTGCTTACTTCGGCCCCAACTTACCAGTAAGAACGCAAGTCGTTGTTCTTTCTCTTTACTTTTGCGAGTAGCAAATGCTGCGAATGATGTCGCCCAAGGAGCCTTTTTCGCGCGTCGTCTATTTCACAGAGAAAATCAAGCCACACTATATCGTGGACGAATACGACCAACTGGTGAACCCGAAGAATCAAGTCAAACGAGTCGCAAGCTCGATTCGCCCGCAGATCAGCGTCAACGGAGCTGGGCTCGGCAACCTGTGTAGAAAACCTGAGTCAGGTTCTGAGGAGCTTTAATGAAAAGCTGCATAGAAGCGCCTTCGCCAAAATTCAGTAATAGATTGTAATGGTTGATAAAAAAGGCGCTTTTTCAGGCCCTGACTCAGGTTTTCTACAGATGTTGCCGAGCACAGCAACGGAGATCACCCCATCGCCGTTATGGGCAATTCAGAAGTCGAGAAAACTGAAGTAGCAAAAAGAGAGCTGCTCGAGAACTTGAAAAAAAATTTGAAAATTGAAACTGTGGAAAATCTCAATTCAAATGCCGCTCCGCCAAAGTAGCCTTTTTTAAGTCGTTCTTTTTCATCTGTAGATAGACGATGAGCAAATAAGCAGTTGCGAAAATCTGCAATCAAAATAGCCGCTCCTGAGTTCGGAAACCTCCGTAGAAAACCTCAGTCTCGGTCTGGAAGATTAATTATGAGAAGCCACCTAGCTTTAGATTACAAATGTTTTTAGGTTTCATTTAAAAAAAGCCGCTACGCGGGTTTCCATTTAAGATCTTTCAGACCCTGACTTGAGTCTGAAGGGTTTCTATGGAGGCTGCCGAGCTCAGAGCAGCGCAAGATAACCGAAAACTGCTTTTTAACTCTTTGTTCTCTACTGTATCTGCCTTAAAGACTACTTGTAATTTGCTGCTCACGAAAACAAACTGACTAAAGCTTGAACTCTTTCTTTTAAAGCCAAAACGAAGGCTGCGATATTCTGTGAAACTCCGTTGCTTCCGATTAAAAGAATTAACTGGCTGACTGTTTTTTTTTTTTGCATTTTCCTGATTCAGAGGGTTTATGTCGTCGTCAGAAGAAGTGTCATGGATTTCTTGGTTCTGTGGTCTGAGAGGCAACGAGTTCTTTTGCGAGGTCGACGAGGACTACATCCAAGATAAATTCAACCTCACCGGGCTTAACGAGCAAGTTCCACATTACAGACAGGTACCCTTCGTTTTCGATGATAAATTCATGAAATTCCCAGAAATTGGACCAAAGTCTAAACTTTAGACTCTAAAGACTCTGGTTTTTACAGAGGTCGCACAACTGAACATTGCGCCCCTTAAGAGCAGGCTTTCTCTCGCTCCCCCTAAACTCGCCAACCTAACAAGTAAATTTGTTGTTGAAAGATGCTCTAGCATCTTAGAAATCCTAGCGATTCTGTTTGCAGACTAACAATACGCGATTTACTAGTTTAACTCTGAACTCGTTCAGGCGCTGGATATGATTTTGGATCTGGAGCCGGATGACGACCTGGATGACAACCCGAACCAAAACGATCTGATTGAGCAGGCGGCGGAGATGCTCTACGGGCTCATTCACGCGCGATATATTTTGACAAATAGAGGAATTGCACAGATGGTAGAAAAGTACCACCAAGGCGACTTCGGACACTGCCCAAGGTCAGCCACTCTCTTTTTAAGCGAGTTTGATTGTTTTCAGAGTTTATTGCGAGAACCACCAAATGCTGCCGATCGGCCTCTCGGATATGCCAGGAGAAGGTAAGCACTTGTTCCTCCCCTGGGCTCGGCAACCTGATAGGTAGAAAACCTGAGTCAGGTTCTTAAAACTTTAAATGAAAAGCCGCGAAGCGGCTTTTGCAGGTTGTAGAGTCGAGCTCCTCCACGACTAATCCGAAGCTCTTAGCAATGGTGAAGCTCTACTGCCCAAAATGCCAGGAAATCTACAATCCGAAGTCTAGCAGACACCACCACACAGATGGCGCCTATTTCGGCACCGGATTTCCAGTAATTAGAAAAAAATCGATCGCAATCTATTTTTGTTGTAGCACATGCTGTTTATGGTTCACCCAGAGTATCGCCCGAAACGGCCGACTTCCCAGTTCGTCGCTCGCCTTTACGGCTTCAAGATCCACCCGATGGCTTACCAGCTGCAACAGGCACCGGGTTGAGACTGATCTATCGCTTGCGAGCCTCAGTTCGCCGCTTTAAATCCCTAAAACCCGTCGATCAGCAAGCCAACGCGAACCTCCACAAAAAAGCACTTCAGCGCCATTAGGAAGAACTAGCCTGATAAACGATGCTGAATAAAGTCCCATGAACATATTTTAACTTCGCCGTGTGAACTTCTTCTCGACCTTGATTTCCACAGTCTCAATTTTCATTCGCGACCAAAAACCTTAGTTGGGCAAAACTTTACCTGCCACTCAGCTTCCAACCTATAGGACTATTTTTACCAAATTTTTTGGGTGACGGGCGGCCACGTTCTGCCAGAACGGCGTTCTGCAAAAACAGAACGGCGTTCTGCAAATGCAGAATGGCGTTCTGCATGATAATTTTTTTTACGATGTAACATGATTTTTATCAGTTTTAACGCATTCAGCTAAGCTTCAAGAATATTTGGCGCCTCTTGGCCGGTACCCGAAGAAAATCATTTTTGGCCGGCTAGGGTTAAGACAGGCGCGAAGCGCATATATTTTGAGTGCAGAACGCCGTTCTGCATTTACAGAACGCCATTCTGCATTTGCAGAACGCCGTTCTGCTGCAGAACGTGGCCGCCCTACACCCAATTTTTTAAATAATTTAATAAGTACACGACATATGCGGTCAATCTTCGGGGTAGAATCCCGAAGAGCTAGCAATATAATAAGCGGTCAATCTAGACCAATTTATCTTCTCCTTTCAGACTGGCTAATTATCGCTGTAAATTACAGCCTGTAAATATAAGTGTTACAAAATTTAAATTACTCCTGAAAACCGAGAAGCCGCTTCGAATAAAAGGAAATCTAAGCCATCGGAGCCTGGGCTCGGCAACCTGTGTAGAAACCTGAGTAAGGTTCTATTATTATTACAATTTGTATTCAAATATCAGCGAAGCCGTTATGCAGCTTCGTCTTTTAAAAAGCCACTACGCGGCATTTTATTTTAGCTCTTCGGAACCTGACTCAGGTTTTTCACACAGGTTGCCTAGCCCGGATTCGAGGGGCTTTTCTATATTATCTCTCGATATCATTATTAATTTCTTTAAATAACTGTTTCGCAGTGCTTGATTTTCAGCAAAATCTTACTTAAGAAACATTGTTTCCAGTTTGTGAATTCCATCGAAAATTATTCTGTCTGTGGAGAGAAAATTGCGGTACTTTCTATATTTATCTCTTCCGAAAAGAGCAAAGTTATGAAGTTTGACCAATATTTTATTTAAATTTTTTTCTTTTTTAATTTACTTCTCGAAAATTTTTACTCCCAAAAGACCGAAATCGTTTTTCCTTTCTTTTCATTTCTCGTGCTTCGACTAACTTTTTTGTTCAAATCGTTAATCCTAACCATCTCAGCAAGAACTCAGCCTAGAACAATAAGAATCAGTTCTTAGACTAAGTAAGCGCCTTCCTGAATTTAATCGTTCGCAGAAAATCAGAATGAGCAGTCGAGTCGAGTTGTCTTTTGCCACGGCGGAAATACGCGCGTTTCGAATCCAGCGCAGCTTCCTGTCGCCGTCTGTGGCAAACTCGAGTTGCTCCACCAACTCAGTTTCGACCAGATCAAACATCGACTGGAGCCCCAAGTTTCTCCCGCGCTCTGGAAAAAGGAAAGAAACTGAACCCCGTTGATAGCAAAGCTAGACTCGGCAATCTGTGCAGAAAACCTGAGTCATGTTTTGAAGAGCTAAAATGAAAAGCCAGGGACTCGCATAACAATCACTGTTATCTATTTAAAATAGACTATTTTATAATAATGGCGTAGCCGTTTTCCGGAGTCGTTATCAAAAAACCGTGTATGCGGCCTATAGTCTTTTCATTTTAGCTTTTCAAAACATGACTCAGGTTTTCTGCACAAGTTGCCGAGGTCAGATAGACACTTGACCCAATTGATAGCATTCTTTCGGGCTCGTACTCTGAATGACACTCTTTCTAGGCGTTATACCAGCTTAACCCTTCGCCGACAGACAAGACGTCTCTTTACTTGTCGAGCGCGTACGTCTGTGCATTGCCATCTAAGATCTCGCGGCATCTCTCGCCCTCTGCGTCCATTTACTTCCATCGCATCATTCGCTTTTTCACTGGGTGAGAAACCAGCTCTCAACTTTCTCTTTAAGTCGATTCTAGCGTTCTAATCGTCATCTGTCAGAAAAAGGAAGTGATCCCTCTCGCCTCCGCCATCGCCAGGAGTTATCCGCTTTACTCAAGAAGGACGACGATGAAGAAAGTGAAGCAACTCTGCGTAGAATTTCTTGTCGTGGATGAAGCCAAGCTCTTTTCGCTGACCGAAATGAAAGAGAGGCTGGAGGGGGACTCGACATGCTGCCAAGAGAGAAAATTCTCTCGCATCTAGGAATCGGAGACAACTTTTTGCTGGGCTCGGCAACCTGTGTCAGGGACAGGAACAGGGACAGGGTTTCCCTCTTCCTGACCCAAATTGTAGAGAGGTACAGAGGACAGGACCAAAAATCTTCCGATTTCACACAGGAAGACAGGACAGGTTTTTCCAGACAGGTCAGGAAATAGGACCTGAGTCAGGAAAAAGACAGGATTTTTTGTCATCAAAGAATTTAATTCTTCTCTAATACAGAAAAATTCTAATTTTTAGAATATTATAACCATTTGGTTCATTGCACGGATAAAAATGGCCATTCTTTCGCGAATGTTTTCTTAGCAATCGATTCTTGATTTCAGATAATGTATAAAAATGACTTCGTAATTTATGGGTTGAAAGTAAGTAAGTAGTGAGAACCTAAAAGCATCACTTTTACTTTTATAAGAATCAAATTGGTAAAATCCGGTTGAAATCAATTTCGACGCTTTTATCTGAAATTTAAATAAACTTCCAGAAGATAAACCGGTACGATCAGTTTATTATAACGACGTTTTTGGCATTTTTCTTTTAAGGGACCTGGGCGAGGAGCGCTGAGCCAAACTTCACGCGCTCGCCGTTCTTGTTAGAAATAAGATTTTTGAAATTTCTTTTTATAATTATATCTCTGAATCTTCAGCTTTCTGCTCCCATTCTTAGTTTTCTCTATCATTCTTGGTTGATGAGCTAGCGAGAAAAGAGAAGCCCAACTTCAAAAGGCATCAAGTCTTGCAAACTTTAATTTTCTTCATGAAACTAGCATCATTGAAAAGCGCGTTAAATTCTGAGCAGATTCCACCCAATCAGCTTAACTAAATCGGTACTCATTGGCGTCTAAGGCCAGATAAACAAGAAAACTTAGCGCCCGCTCAGCGGGAATCATGTCCAGGAAGCCCAAAATAGCTAAATCGGAGCGTCCAGCCGTGCCGCGACCAGCTGCGCGCGCTAAGTAGTTTTCTTTATCTGGCCTTATACGCCAATGAGTACCGATTTAGTTTAGCTGATTGGGTGGAATCTGCTCAGAATTTAACGCGCTTTTCAATGATGCTAGTTTCATGAAGAAAAATAAAGTTTGCAAGACTTGATGCCTTTTGAAGTTGGGCTTCTCTTTTCTCGCTAGCTCATCAACCAAAATGATAGAGAAAAACTAAGAATGGGAGCAGAAAGCTGAAGATTCAGAGATATAATTTACAAAAAGAAATTTCAAAAAATCTTATTTCTTACAAGAATGGCAAGCGCGTGAAGTTTGGCTCAGCGCTGCTCGCCCAGGTCCCTTAAGGCTATAACCTCTCTTTTGGCCTCTCTGGAAAACGGACTTCCCTTGGTCGATTTCAAAAATTAAAGAGACTCCTATACTCAAAATCTATCTTAGATTTCAGAAATGCGGTCAAAAATTATTTTTCTCTCGAAATTACGACTTTACAATCATTTAGAAAACGCCATTCGGTTTTCCGAAGAATTTTGCCATTACAGAGGTAGATTTTTTCGATCAGTTGATAGATTAAAGCCTTCTCTACAATCCCCACGGAAAAAATCTTCGATATCTGTTCAAATTTTCATTCTAGGGCCATGTTAGTGCTGGCACCTGAGGATAAAAATGCGCGTGGACGCGCTGCGCTGAGTGCTATCCTCCAGGCCAAAAGAGAGCGCTGTTGGCGAGCGTGTGAGTCAAGCGATTCATCGCGCTTTGATTGGCTGCGCGGAGCTCAAGCGTCAGTCTATAAACAAAAGAGTTTTAAAAGAAGAGAGAACTATAATCAAAATTTGGGCAATTTCATTAAATATTTTCCGTGAGGATCATAGAATATGCTCTATCTAATATTATTATCGGATAAATTTTACCTCACAACTGCCAGTTTTCTCGGAAAACCGAATGGCGATTTTTGAATGATTCTAGAGCAAAAAATTACCTGAGAAAACTATTTCTTGGTGGCATTTTTGAATTTTTTAGGAGAAAACAAGTATGTTTGCCCTTTAAATTTTTGAAATCCACCAAGGGAAGTCCATTTTCCAGAGAGGCCAAAAGAGAGGTTATAGCCTTAAATTACCTTGCCAATCTACGGGGGTGTCTTTCAACAACGACCGGGCTGATTTGCATGATTGACCAATCACAGCACAGAATAATGCTTCATGATGGGAATCGCCCCGGTCGTTATTGAAAGATCCCCCGTAGGTTATTGAAGCCTGTTTCCTGACCTAACTACACGGGAACCTGTCTCAACTCAGGCCCTGACCAGGAAAAACAGGCCTGTCTTTAGTCAGGGACAGAAACAGGGTTTCGAGATTTAATCCCAATTTTGGTCAGGTACACAGGACAGGGCCAAAAATATCCCTTTTTACTCAGGTACACAGGACAGGGTCTCAAAAACAGGTCCTGTCTAAGGTTTTAAGACAGGTCAGGATGCCGAGCCCAGACTTTTGCTTTCACTTGAACTTTGACAGTCAAAGTTTGACTAATTATTTAGACTGACGTGCTTTTTTAAGGTTATGCAATTTATTTCTCCGATTTTTCCATTATCGACCCAGAACACTATATATATTTAGAATCAGTGAACAAAATCTAGAAACTTGACCGTTTTAGTTTTTCGAAATTCACTTCCGGTTACGATTCTAGAGCCGGAAGTAGGCGAAATTTTGGAGTCATGGTAAAGTGTGACCTATCAAATTTATGCGCAGAAGATTCTCAGTCATCTCATTATAGATATACTTGAAGAAACAGGCCCAAACGCGCTTAAACTGACCGGTAAAACTAAGAAAAAAGCATGAGTTAATGAGAAAATTTTCAATTTTTACCGGTCGTTTACCGGCGGTTTTTGACCGTGGTTAGACTCGGTTCCGATAAATAATGACTAGATTCGTAGTGAGCTTCAATTTGATAGGTAATATGCAGTTTTTTCTTATAAATTTCGTGAACTTCCGGCTCTAGAATCGTAACCGGAAGTTAATTTCGAAAAACTAAAACGGTCAAGTTTCTAGATTTTTTTCACTGATTCTAAATATATATAGTGTTCTGGGTCGATAATGGAAAAAATCGGAGAAATAAATTGCATAACCTTAAAAAAAGCACGTCACTGTAGTCATTTGAGAAAGAGGTTTATTATAAGGTCTCAGCGTGAACTATGCTAAAAGCTTCTGTCATTTTCAATCAGAATCGATCGTCAACCATCATTGCACCTAGTATGTTGTGAATGATCAGCGGTGCTTAAAATTACGGTTCGTTCTTTTCGGAAATAAGCTTATGGTTCTCCGAATAAAAGACGCAGAAACGAGCGACATGCTATCGCATCTGTCGGAGTCGATCCGGATGGTTGGTAGAATCGTGGACATGCCCTGCAACGAGATGCACACAGATGCCTTCGTCGAAGAAGCGAAAAGAGTTGCGCTGGAAACGAAATCGAAAATGCGTCTAATAAGTGGGGAAGAACTCAAAGACCAAGGTTTCGGAGGGCTTTGGAATGTTGGCAAGGCTGCGAGCAGGCCTCCTGCGCTCGTTGTTCTCAGGTATGTTTCGCGTCGTTGTGTTTCCCCTGATTTATTAATCAGTTCTAAATTGAACTAAAAATTCGCTAGGGTAGGCTAGGCAGATAGAAATCTTGAAAAGCTACAGAAAATTTTCTGTCACAAACACCAGCCTTTAAAATTATTACTAATAATTTATTAGTCTAGCTTTTCGGGCAAATTAATTCCCGTTCAAAAAATAAGCGGGTGTTCTGTCATTTCAACTCCATAGATGAGCTCTCATTCGGTCGCACCATAGTACCTGCTTTAAAGACGCAACACCCCTACCCTTATTTTGTGGCCAGGGAGTAGCCTAGGCGATTTCGAGCCCTGTTTTTAAATTGAAAATTTCAACCAAAATTAAGCCACGAGCCCGAGGGTGCTCGAACAGCAATATCGTGGGTGGGCAAAGGAATTGTCTACGACACTGGGGGCCTGAGCATCAAAGGAAAAGTCACGATGCCAGGAATGAAAAGAGACTGCGCCGGAGCCGCTGCAATTTTAGGCGAGACGCCGTCTAATTGTTATTTGCTTACTTCTCAATTCAGGTGCATATCGAACTGCCGTAAAAACGGGTTTCAAAGAAACTCTTCATTGCATCCTTTGCTTAGCCGAAAACGCCGTAGGACCTGACTCGATAAGACCAGACGACGTTATTACTCTTTATTCCGGAAAGACTGTAGGAATGGGCTTCGTTTACAAAATTCTAGCAATTTCTAGCTTCAGGAGTTCGGCTGAGCCATTCGAGCGGAGTTTGATTTATCTTGTCTTTTCTTTTTTTCAGATAAGAAAAACTAAGTTTGCCAATTTTCGCTCTAAACTTGCTCGCTCAAACGCTCATCTCGCTCAATTCATTTTTGAGAATTGTGCCACGATTAAATTTGATATTTTTTCTTTGCATAACCCTAACCCTTGTAACCCTACTAGCATGATTTTGAAAATGAAGAGGATCGGCGGTACTGTATCGCGATTCGCGAATGAAGCCCGAGACAGAAGTGAATAACACAGACGCGGAAGGAAGGCTAGTTCTTGGCGACGGGGTCGCATTCGCCAGCAAAGATCTCAAATCAGACATCATCGTCGATTTGGCGACGCTGACTGGAACGCAGAACATAACAACTGGTAACGCAGAGTGTTGCCACTCGTTGGTCTAAAACTTTTGAACGCGCAGGAAAGCACCACGCCGCAATTTTGACAAACTCTGAAGAATGGGAAGGTCACTGCGTCGCTTCGGGAAAAGCGTCGGGCGATCACGCGTACCCGATCATCTACTGCCCGGAGTTTCAATTCACAGAGTTCGCCTCCTACGTCGCCGACATGAAAAACTCGGTCAACGATCGAATGAATGCTCAAACGAGCTGCGCGGGGATTTTTATCCATTCCCACTTGGAAGACGGCTTCGACTTTTCAGGTTCGTTTATTGTCATTTTTTTCCGTAGTCAAAGTTGCCCAAAAAGCCGAAAGAAGAAGTCAATCTTTGGGAGAAGGGGTCTTCGTTATCCCAGCCAGATTCCGCTTCAGTCTTTGTGCCAGGGAGCGCGATAATCTGGTTCATTTGCTCCACCAAATCCGCGCAAGATAGAATGTTTGGTCTTCTTTCGAGCTCCGACAGAATTGTTGGCTTGCTGAAAATTATACTCATCAGCTGTCCTCGTTCTCCCCCGGTTTCTCCTAAAAGCAGCTGTCTTTGATAAGCTCGGGCAGTGCCTTACCGTTCGAGCACTTGTTAATCAACTTGTAGAGCGAGAAGTTCGACTCATTTAAATAAAAGCTCGGAGCAAAAGCTGTCGCTGATAGAAAAAGAGTGAAAACCTTGCCGAATTTCATAACCAATATTTTTCGCCTTTTTATTTTCGAAAACCTTCGGTTAGTTTATATATTCGTGCTGGCGATTTAATTTTGAATAATGAAGAAACATACAATATTTAGAACAACATTTCTGGGCTCGTGGATATGCCACTTGATGTGATCTAATTTTAAAGTTATTTATCCAATCGTTTAGGAACTGCTGTTCATATTGATATGGCCGGTCCCGCGGCGAGTGGAGAGCGAGCTACATCCTGGGGAGTCTCCTTCTTGCTCACGCTCTTCGGACAGTACAGCAGTAACTCCACCATCCGAGCTATTGCTCCTCAGTCGCGGCTCGCCAAGTTGATACATTTTTTTCATAAACCGTCTTTTATATTTCTTCGTTTTATGTATTTTGGTGAGCCAAGCCCCGAAGCTATCGATGGAGGAGATTCCAGCGAAGAAACGACGCGTAGAAGAGTCAATTACAGTCAGTTCCACTCAACTCGAATGCTCTCAGTTCTAGTCAAAGTCTACCAGAAATGTCTAGCCCATTGCCATTATAAATGCTGATTTTACCTAAATAACTTTCTGTTTTCAATTTCCAGACCCTTTAAATTTGCTGTTATGCTCGACTTTCTCTAACTTTTTCTTTTCAATTACAGAGAAATTTCAGAACACAACCTTGGAGTGGTCATTACCCAAAAAAATATATAGCCATTCGTCATTTTAGATTTTTTAACATGGAAAATTTACCTTCGTGGACTTCTCAATCTCTCATACAGGTATCGTATTTCTGCATCGTCTAAAATATCGAGAGCTTGTGTTCTGAATAGGTGCATTCAGACGCTGTCCAGCTTGACGGACTCGAAAATCGAGCAAAGCGTTGAAAAGAGCGAGTCCGAGTATAGAACGGTCTCAATCAAAGACATTTCGCCGGCGCTGGCATGTCCGCTCTGCAGCGGCTACATCATCGACGCGATCAGTTTGGATGGATGTGGGCACGCTTTCTGTCGCGGCTGCATTCTCACTAGGGTCGGACCCCTTACTAAGGTTTCCTTAGTTACTAAGGGTAAGGGTTTTGAAACTGATGAAAATCAAGAAAGGCCTAAGGAAGGACTAAGGGCCTTCCTTACTAAGGCCTTAGTAACCTTAGTAAGGATTTGATTTAGTTCGTTTCGCAAAAATGTTCTTCTTGATAAAAATGCCAGTTATTTTAGTCAACGACCCTTTACCCGACCGATTGGGTATTTTTCTTGCTGTCAGTAAGTTGCCAAGAGACATTTTTATCAAATTCCTTCACAACTTGTCCTTAATTCCTTTCCTTACTAAGGCTTTTGTAAAGGCTTTTTGATAAAAGCGTTCTCGAAATGTGTAGGCCGTCGAAAAAATCCTTTTTAAAATCCTTAGTAAGGAAAGGAATTAAGGAAAAATCGCTTAGGATTGAAGATCCTTACTAAGGATCTCTGAAAACTAAGAAAGGAACTATGGTAAGGATTTTTTTCAGCCGAAATCCGAAAAAGGGTAAGGAAAAAATCCTTACCTTACTAAGGAAAGGACCCTTAGTAAGCAAAAAATTAAGGAAGGAAGTCCGACCCTAGCATTCTCAGACACGCTCACGTAAGTTGACTTCAGCGGAAAGCGCGCTAAAGCTGCTGGTTTCAGGATTCAAAGAAGTGCCCGGTTTGCGAAGTGACGATGCACTACACGGACCCGACGAAAGCAATGAAGAGGGACCAAGTGCTCTGTGATTTGATTTATCTGATGGTGCCGGGGCTAATGAAAGCGGAGCAAGAATCGCGCGAACACTGGCGTGAGCCAAACGAGCTCCAAGCGTTCGAGCTGGAAAAGCTGCTCTCGTTTGTGATGCTCCCGAAAAAGACCTCTTCGTTGAAGACCGAGTGTATTTTGCGTCTTCCTGCCCAAGGCAACATTGGACATCTGAAGACGGCGCTGTGCAACTTGATTAATAATAGACGCCCCAAGGAGATGGAAATAGCCGCCGACGACTTGTGTATCTTGGCGAGTAACTTGCCACTGGAGAACATCTTGACGATGAGCGACATTCACGACTACAACCTGGCGCTCGACTTTCAGGACATAGAAGGCGTCGACAACCAAAGAGTGAGCGAAAACTATAAAATGACATTTTTTCGAGAGTTTTTTAAGTATCCCGTGCTTCACTACCGCCTCATCTCGGAGCCAAACTCTGAAGAATCCTCAGACTCGGAATAAAGCATCTCTCTGAATTTAAGAATGGTCCTTAGAAAAGCTCTCCTTCCCTTTCTCAAATCTTCTTCTTGTAAATATTACTTTCACTGCCTGTTTTTCTGTTTTCACATTTTTAAGTGGGTCAGCTTCTATCTAAGATTTCGAGCTTTAAAATCAGTTCAAGTTGCAATCGTTGATTTTCTTAAGAAAAAAGTGTTTTAATTTCAAAGTCGCAAAACTGGAATCCCTCAAAGCGACATTCTCGAGCGGGTCAGGACGAGCTCGTCCTGCTCCCAGCGAAAACGCAGTCGATTTCGAATCCGCCCGTTTGCCGAGTTCAAACATTCGCCTTCACGGAAACCGGGACGACGACTTTGAGGATGGGCGCCAAAGTCCGACGACGAGTCCCCGAACGTTCAGCGGAAACAGTATCGTCGGACGCAAGTTTTCGGAAACTCCGACGGAAGGGACGATCTTGCGGGGTCTGTCTTCCTTGCGAATGGACGGACATCTCTGTGATGTGACTCTAGTCGCGGAAGGGCTCCATTTCCAATGCCACCGGGTCGTTCTCGCCTCGGCCAGCGCCTACTTCCGCTCCATGTTCACCTCCAACATGATTGAAAAAGACAAAGGTCTGCTTCTTGTCCAGTGCTACGTGACTAAGAAACTTGCTTAGAGTACATCGAGCTGAAAGACATTTCGTCAGATGGTTTCGACTCGATCTTGAAGTTTATCTACACGAATTCCATCGTCCTCTCTTCACGCAATATTCAGTACATTCTTCATGCCGCCACGATGCTCCAAGTCGAACCAGTCATCAAATTCTGCTGCCAGTACTTAGAAGAAGAAATCAGGTACCGCCAGGCTTTTAAACTCGCACGATAAATGTTTGAGTATTGGAAACTGCGTGGAAATTAAAAATTTGGCGCGCTTTTTTTCGCTCAAGGAAGTAGAGGACGCCGTTCAAAATCACATTCTGACAAATTTCGCCAAGTTCGTGCACACTGAGGAGTTCTTGAGATTACCCGTCGAGGATCTGTGTGGCATTCTTAGCTCCGACTCGTTGTGGGGCCAATCGGAGCTTGAACTGTTTAAAGCTTCGGACAAGTGGCTGCAGCATGATCTGCCGAACAGGTCCCAGTACATCCGACAGGTCATGAAGTAAGAAAACTTAGTTCCATTAGAATGTTTAATTAACGTCTTCAGCAATATCCGATTCCCTCTTATAGCTCCGGACGACCTGGACGAGAAGGTCGAAAACGTTGACTACATGAAAGGAGAATGCATGGAGCTCCTGCTAGAAGCCTGCAATTACCACATGCTTCCATGGAAACAGCCGATCATTACTTCTCCAAGAACTCGTGTCCGCGGTAGTGCGCCCTGCTTGCTAGCGCTCGGCGGAAAGGGTGAAAATTTCTCTTTGTCTAAAGAAAATCGTTGATTTTTGTCCTAGAAAGTACGAATATGGTTTCGAAAGAAATCCAAGTTTACCACAAAGCGCTCGGCGACTGGGTAAAACTGAGTGAAATGGAATCGCCGGCGTATTGCCACTGTCTTGTCGTCCTCAACGACTACTTGTTCGTCGTCGGCGGTCAGGAAATATTTGGTGCGTGCATCTTGCCGGACTAGAGAATAAGCAGCTATTTAGACAACAACGGAAACACGGCGACGAACTCGGTGTTTCGATTCAACCCGAGATTCGACAAGTGGGACAGAATGGAGTCCATGAGAGACACGAGGACGGACTTTCACGTCAGCGTTCTCAACGGATGTCTCTACGCCATCGGCGGCAGAAACAATCGTGGACCGCTCTCCAGCGCGGAAAAATACAGAGTTGATAAGTAAGCACCAATATTAGAGAATTGCTTTTTAACGTCGAAAATGGCAGGAACAAGTGGGAATACGTGAGTAAATTGCCTCAAGCTGTTTGCGCGCATGCAGGAGCTTCCCTTGACGGCAATTTATACATCTCGGGTGGATTCGCCACGGACGGATTCCAAAAAGGTGTCTTTTGCTACAATCCAGACGATGATAAATGGGAGCCAAGGCGGAATCTGAATAGCGAGCGGGGACTCCACTGCATGGTCGGCTTCAAGGTTAATTTCAAAAAATAGCTGTTTCCATTTATTGCTGAGATTTAGGAGCATTTGTATGTAATTGGAGGGAATAACAAAACAGGCGGCTGCCGGAAAGACATTCTGCTGACTGAAATTTACAATCTAAAAACGGACCAGTGGACTGAAGCGCGGCCCCTTTTCGAAGGGCAGTCCGAAGCAGGAGCAGCTGTTGTCGACGGGAAAATCTACGTCATCGGAGGACACAACTGGAAGGAGAGAAAAGATGTTAGAACAGTTGCTTGTTATGACCCGGAAACGTGAGTCAAGGCAGCTGCACGGAGCTCCAAAAAAATAAAAACAGTAGAATCGGATTTGAAAGTGTTTTTAAGGAACGAGTGGGAGAAAGCATCCGAGTTTCCCGAGGCGCTTACTTCCGTCGCTTGCTGTTCCCTTGTTTTGCCGAATGCGACGGTGGCAATGCTGACTCGAGAGAAAGAGAAAACTAAATCGATCGACCAGTTTGACCTGCTGATGGATACCGACTCCGTCGAAGACGTCATCTCCTAGCAAAATGCTAGTTACTTTCCTGCTGCTTTAACTTCTTTCTTGATGTCTCTGTAAATCGCCATTCTATGTATAGAAGCATTCTATAATTGCACATGCAATTTTCTTTGAACAAACCCGTTTGCTTGGTTCTTGAAGAAAACAAACGGTTACTTTTTTTCTTTCTACGAGAGTAAATGTCGTATTTTCTGTTCTAAGTACCACCATGTCCACCATTGAAGATGTGTTATTTATTAAATGACTCGTCGATTTTTCGTTCGGTTTTCCAAAAAAAATGAATCAACTTCAAAATGATCCAGGGCGACAAAATCGAACGAAAAAGAGGTCTATACGGCCGATTTCAACTGTGCTTTCGGTCTCTCTGGCTAGAGCTTGTTTTCTTTAGAAATCGGGTTATAGGGAGGAATGAGCGAAAGGCTGCTCGTTTCGACGGCGCTTGATGCTAGGGATGAAATCGAAGATTACTGGTTGAAGCACAGAGACTCTGTTCTCCAGCAAGTTAAGCTCCCGAATCCAGACTTGATCGATAGTGATACTTCGCGGCTACTTATTCAGGACAGAGTAAGACTAGACTCCCCTCCCAGTTGCGAATGTCACATTCGGAATGTAAGATTGTAAACTCTGAAGCAGGCTTGTCAACAGAACAACCCAGACGAGCTGCTGGTCGGTGCGTGCTGCGTGTTCATTCTCAGCAAAGACGAGCGCGTTTCGCAGCTGTGGCTGAATGCGCTCTGCAACGCGTCACGTGACTCGCTACAAACGACGATCGGGCGCGTCGTCGACTTGATCTCCAGAAAATATCCGAAATTTACAGATCACGTGCAAGTGAAAATAGTGCGGCTTCTGGCCAATCTCGCCGAAAAAGGATTCGGTGCGCATGCGATTGTCAACATTCTCCTGCGACAGATAACTGGGGGCAGTCTTTCAAACGAGAACTTGAGACTCACAGGTAAAATTTTAAGTTTTCGTTTGTTTTCATTAAAATTCAAGAGACGATGCTGGACGTGTTGATCGGAAACCGCAATTGGCTCGAGCGCAACACGGAATGTTTTCAATTCGCTACCTTCCGCTACCTCCGTCTTATCCAGGACCACTACGGCAACCCGGCCTGCGAGCGTCTTTTGCATAAAGAGATCAATTTCGTCATTCATAACCTCCGCAACAAGTTTTCGGACATTCTGCCCATCGGAAAGGACCTTGTTCGCTTACTGATGGCAGTCTGCGGAATCGACGTCTTCCGCGAGTTCTGGACGGCGCTGCTCAATAATCCCCAGTCGCTGCAGCCCAAGTTCACCGGGCTCCAGGAACTGCTCAAGATCCGCACGCCGACGAAATTCGTCAAGCTCAACGTCACAGTCGAGCTCCACAACAAGATTTCGTTTATGCTGGCGAAGGTGAAGTTCGGCCAGCACCACCACTACGAAAAGTGGCTCGTCAACAAGTACCTCTCCTCGATGACGTCACAGACGCTGATCCCTGATATAATGCGCTTCATCGTCGCTTGCATCATTCCCACTAACGAAATTCTCGCATCCGATGTTCTGCCTCGCTGGGCCTTCTGCGGCTTCATGCTCAGCCAGTGCAGTAATCTGCAGGCGACGTCCTCCGCCAGGTTGAGCCTCATTTGGGACTGGCTGCTCTTCAACGAGAACAGGAACACAATCATGGACATCGAGCCAGGGCTGCTCTTGATGCAGCAATCAAGGAAGACTCACCCCCAGACGACGTATGGGCTTCTTGATTTCCTCCTGCGCCTTGTCAAAGAGTTCTACCCGCCGATGGAGGACGAAATAAAACGAGGAATTATAAATAGCTTTCGCTGCTGCATTAAAGTGAGTGCCATTCTTTCCGCCTTGGCGTTTCCTTTTCACATTTTCAGGTCGGAGTCGCAAAGTCAATCGAGCCGATTTTGATAGAGACGCAGCGTTACGCTGCCATTACACCCTGCCTTCACAGCATGATTCAGCAGAACTTGCAAGAGTTTATCCGCCCGGAGCACCGAGTAAAGATAGACGCGCCGGGGAAGAAAGCGCCGCGCAGAGCAGACCCTGTCGATGGTCGCTTCTCGGACGAAGACGAAGACTCAAACGACGCGTCAGACGTAAGAAGATCGAAAACGGAGAGTTTGCCTCTTTTGAAAACTGGGGAAGCTGAACAGAATGACAGGCAGATAGAAAATTCGAAAGCAAGTGTAGTGAGCAGGGCGGATTTTCAGAATCGCTATTTTCAAATTCTGGAGCAGATAAATGCGCTGAAACGCGATACAATGAGCTGCGCAGTTGAGCTAGACGAGAGGATAGAGAAAATCAAGTTGATCGACATGGACATGGCGGAAGCGATGGAAAACCTAATCAAGTTCAAATCCGAGGAAGACGAGTTTGCTCACCATCTCGATATTGTCCTCTCGAAAGTGAGCGCGTTCGATAATGGGCCCTTCGACAGCGACATTTGCGACCCTGTGGCGACTTGTATCTACAGGAAAAGTTAATCAGGCAAAACAACTGATGTGCAAATTAATTAATAATTATATTATCAACTTCTTATTCTTGGATTTCAAGCCTTCCAAGTAACGAATAATTCAAAGCAGTCAATTAACTTTATCAGCCTTTGTTACGGATCGTACGAGCCGATCCGTATTCCGAGCGAGAAAGCAGACGATGACGAGTTCGACGAGTTGCTAGGTCGCCCATTGTACATTTTATTTCGTCAAATTCTGGAGCGCATAGACAGAGGAGAAGAACTGGAAAATCTGATGGACTTGCTGGTAAGTCTGCAGAACAACGACGGACGAACTGTGCATCACTTTCTGTTCTACATTTACGGCCACAACTTGCAGCACAAAAGCGACGGCTGGAGCCTTTTCCCCACTTTCTGCAAGAGAATTACCGAAACTGAGCAAATTGAAGCGCTGGAAATACAGCTGCCACTCTCCATCGCCTCTCTGCTGGAGCACGAGCGGGGTAGCTCGTTGATTTTTATCAAGACGATTATCGATCTTTAGAGTTACTTTTTCGGCTTCTTCCAAAGATGTACAAAGAGCATGCCAAGCTGCTGATCAATCATCACGAAGTGACGCGTATAATTCTGTCTGAGATTACGCCAAAAGACCTTCAGTTTCTACAGGTTGCAAAAGCGCATTAATCACCCTTGTGACTGATTTTTAGACTCGACTGATGGTCGGCGAGTTGACCATGTTCAAGACGAATACTCCGGCGAATCAGAACGACTTTAAGAATCTGCTGATCGATTCTCTCAACTGGGAGTCTTTTGAGCAGCAGGCCCTCTGGGTTCTGGTCTTTGCGCACAAAAATGTCAAACCTGAGTCCTGGGGCGTAGTCGTTCCCTATTTGAGCGAAGAAATTCATTTCGGTAGAGCTATTGGCAATAATAATATCACTTTTGATTTGTTTTGTTTGCAGAGGCAGTTACCGCGATTTCGAACTACTTCTACGGGCGGGACGAGTACAAGCCCTCCCAAGAGCTCTCCCGGCTGTTTCTTTGCGCGAAGGAATCCAGATGGATCGCCGCGTTGATGATGTTGTTTTGCGACAGCGAGGAGAAGCGCAAGAACTTTTACGAGCAAATAGGCACAACTCTTATGCTCAGTCTCAAGAAAACTCCGGTGATAGATTTCGCTTCTTTTCTCTCAATTCAAGGTTTATGTAGTCAAGCTCGCAAGCTGGGGGAAGGAGAAAGCGTCAATTCGACGGAGGCAGCAAAAAAGAGGAGCCATCCTTCGTGGGCATCTTGAAACACCTCAATCTTTTCCGAATGACAGTCGAGAACAGAGCAAACACGGGTGATAAACGTAAGAACTCTGTTTTTCCTTTGAATTTTTTGGAAATTATACTAGCGGATAGAGAATTGATTGAATTTTTCAGAAATGCAAAAACTTTCAAAAAAATTGTGTCTTGTCCTTGTTATAGCGCTTCAAAGGCGCCATGGAGATTAGTTCTCAACGCGACTGTTAACGGTTTAAAAAGGGGTAAAAGGGCATACTAATTAATAGTACGATCTGCATTCAACGTTGAAAAAATTTTTGCGTGCCGGCGTTAACTTATAATTTGTTGAAGGAATGCGAAAAGCAGCTAATGATCCTAAAACGATTCTCGGCGACGACACTTTTCTGTCAGTGCTAATGGCGGCGAAGGACAACTCGTCGGCGATTCCCGATGACGAGTCAGAGGACTTTTCCGACTTGTGGAAAATCATTGAAGAAATGGAAGTTTTCAATGACGATTCCCCGGTAAGTTTCGAATCAAATCGACTGAGAATTTTTGAAACATAATTTTTTTTAATTAATTTATTTTTTCGAAGGTTTGTTTCCTAGCGAAAATTTTACGTTTACAAGAAATATTCTGTCTTCAGAAGCAGAGAAAAGAAGCGGGGAAGAAGCAAAGCAAAAAACACAAAAGAACACCTATCGAAATAAGCGACGACTCTGAGAGCGATTCTGAAACTCCGCCCAAGAAAAAGCGAACGTGATGGACTAAGGCGGAAAGTCGCTAAGTAACCATTTCTGTCACCGATCACTCTTCACTGCTGCTCTTTCCTTGCTTCACACTGAATGTACAAATACTGCCAGATAGACACATATACTGTATATGACGTACGCCCAAGATCATCGGAAGAGAATTGTTTTCAGACGAGTCATGACATCGAACATCAGCAACTACAAAAAAATTGAGAAGATCGGAGAAGGAACATATGGAGTTGTCTACAAAGTAAGGGCAATACTTGGAAATTTTCAAATCAGAAGATATTCTATCGTCGGGTGCGCGTCGATCGCTACGGTTTCGGGGTTTTGCGTCGATCCCTACGATGCGTCGATCGCTACGGTTGCGTCGATCCCTACGGTTGAAACTGACTCATGTCTAGGAAGGAAAGATAGGGTCTTCAACTTTTCTGCACGTGAACGAAAAAATACTTTTCAAAGACATATTTATGTGAAAATTTTATTGAATTTTCTTGTAATTCAATCGGTTTTTAGTTGAAGGGTTGGTACGCTCTTTATCATATCGTGAAATATTTTGCTAAAATTTGTCATTTTTCTGGCAAAAAAAACGAAAAATGCAAAAATAAATTAAGCAAAAATCAATTCTTTAAAATCACTTCTCATCAAAGAGCCAACAAAGTAAAAACAGACAATCACGCAATATAGAAAAGCAATAACCCATTAGATCTTTTATGATAAGTTGCAGACCCTATCTTTCTTTCCTAGGCATGAGTCATTTCTAACCGTAGGGATCGACGCAACCGTAGCGATCGACGCATCGTAGGGATCGACGCAAAACCCCGAAACCGTAGCGATCGACGCGCACCCTCTATCGTCGTATACCGTATACGGTATACGGGAAGGCTTCATTTCCCCAAGAGCTTCATTTGCCCAGGCTGCGGAGATGAAGCTATTTGGAAAATGAAGCTCTGGAGAAATAAAGCTCTTGAGAAAATGAAGCCTACCCGTCGTCTGGGGTCGGCGACCCATCTTTCAAATAAAAGATGGGTTAGGGAAAGATGGGTTTTCCCGAAAGATGGGTAAGATGGGAATGATGGGAAAGATGGGTTTCAAAGATGGGAAAGATGGGTACCCGAAAGATGGGGAAGATGGGTTCCAAATATGGGAATAATGGGTCTCGGAAAAGGAAAGGATGGGTTTTAAGACACAGGAAACATTGATTTTTGGCCAAAACACAGGGTTTTTTCGACCAAGTTTAAACATAATAACTAAAATAATTTCTTTTTTTTTTCCAGATAACTTATAACTTTAAAGTTCTATAATCACAAATCCCCATAAGATGGAAAAAACTGTATATTGACCCATTGACCGTGTAAATTGACCCTTTTATATGCTTATTTTCGACAACTCAGGCCCTGTGTGAGCAACTCAGGCCTGTTTTTTAACTCAGGTCGGGGTCAGGCTCAGGGTTTTTTTTTCTCGAGCCTCGATTTTACTCAGGCACACAGGTCAGGGCCTACGTACTCAGTACTCAGGGGCCTGACTCAGGGTTTTTCTCAGGTCAGATTGCCGAGCCCAGATTTTAACTCAGCTCAGCTCAATTATTTTTAGAAACTACTGTACATCAGGTTTAGAAAACTAGATAGAAATCCGATGTTCAAACTGAGTGAAACCCATCTTACCCATCATTCGAACCCATCTTTCCCATCATTTGAACCCATCTTTCCCATCTTTCGGGAGACCCATCTTTCCCATCTTTCAGAATCAAAAGATGGGTTATGGAAAGATGGGTTTACCCATCTTACCCATCTTTCCCATCACCCATCTTTCCCATCTTACCCATATTTGAAAGATGGACCGCCGACCCCAGCCCGTCGTATACGGGCGTATTTTTCATCAAGATATTTTAATGTTGTTCAGGCAATCTACCAGCCTGATAAGCTGGCCTCGGCATTCTGTAACGGATCCTGATACATGAGTTAAGGACTAAAATTTTAGCGAAATCGGGACTTTTTCGTCCTTTTTAGTCAAAAAATCAAATTTTCAAACATGATTTTGAGGGTGTTAGAGTCGAGATAGACCCCCCGAAAAATGATTTTTTCCCATCATTTGAAACCATCTTACCCATCTTTGGGGAGACCCATCTTTCCTATCTTTTAAAGATGGACGGCCAACCCCAGATACAGAACTTCCCTGTTCTGTTTCCTGTGTTAAAGTCGAGCGAAATAATTTTTGACCTGTGTCTGTCCTGTTTCTGTATACAGGATGCCGAGGCCAGCTGACAAGACGACAGTAGCTCTGAAAAAGATCCGAGTAGAAGGCGATGATGAAGGAGTTCCGAGCACGAGCATTCGAGAAATCGCGCTTTTGAAAGGTAAACAAATATTTCGAGAGCTTACACTGACTCCTCTTCAGAGTTGAAACATGAAAACATCGTGAAACTAATCGACGTCTCGCTGGACGAAGAACAACTGTTTCTTATTTTCGAGTTTCTCTCTTGCGATTTAAAAAACTACCTCGACAAGCAAAGACGAGCGAAGAAAAGGCTAGACCAAGTGACGGTAAAGTCCTACACCTTCCAAATTCTTCAGGTAGCCGTATATCCGAAACAGTTTCAATCGAGAATTATTAAAAACGGAACTCAGGCACTGTCGTTTTGTCATTCGAGAAGAGTACTCCACCGAGATCTCAAACCTCAAAATTTGCTGATTTCGCCGGAGACGGGAATTCTCAAACTCGCTGATTTCGGCCTCGGTCGCGCATTCAACATCCCACTCCGAGTCTACACTCACGAAGTCGTCACACTTTGGTACCGAGCGCCAGAAGTGCTTCTCGGCTGTTTGGTAAGCGCCGAGAAATAGTTTTGTTGATAATAATTTTTATCTATTTGATGTAAATATATGATATATTTATATATATCATATATTTATATATATATATATATATATATATATATATATTTATATATGATATATTATATATCCCATTTAGAGATACTCGATTCCGATTGACATGTGGGCAGTAGGAGCTATTTTCGCGGAGATAGCGACGCTGAGAGCACTGTTTGCCGGAGACTCCGAGATTGATCAGTTATACAGGATCTTCAGGATTCTAGGAACACCCTCGAACAGGGTTTGGAAGGGCGTAGAAAGCTTCAAGGACTGGAAGGAGGGCTTCCCCAAGTGGGAAGGCAGCGGAATCCCTTTTGACGAGAACTGGCCCATCTGCGAGCAAGGAAAAGACCTTCTTCGCAAGTTCCTGATTTACGATCCAGCGAGCCGACTCAGCGCTAAAGCTGCGCTCAACCACCCCTACTTTCAAAAGTAAGTCAACTAATCATCTGCTCATTGTGGTAGGACCTCTTCATTGACTTCAAAATATGCGATGTTTCTGAAATTATTCCCATGCTCAATTAAATTCTATTTGCTCAGCATGATAGGCTGATTCTAAAGATAATTTTTAGTATAATCTCAAGTTGAGATTATAAACAGAGACACTGTTTTATATATGCTGTCAAACTGGAGAGTCTATGTTCCCGAACCACAGTTTTGGTCCCCCAGGGTACCAGACCGTAGCTTACGGTCTCATCGTTTTCTAGGGGTGTAGGGGGGCCCAGTTCTGCAGCAGAACCTGGTTCTGCAAATTGCAGAAATGATTCTGTAAATACAGAACCTGGTTCTGCAGTCAGAGTTTCTGTGCGCTCCGCGCCTGTCTTGAAGAAACTTCAAGATTATGACAAGTCAGAACAAACATGCAAGCCTTATTTAACGTGCTGATACTGAGGAAATTCAAATAATATCAATTTTAAAATCTGACTGCAGAACCAGATTCTGCATTTACAGAAACCGGTTCTGCATTTGCAGAACCTGGTTCTGGCAGAACCGGGCCGCCCGCCACCCTTTTCTAGAGGGTTCGAAAGCAAAAATATTTAACTGTCAGTTACCTGTAATTCTAGCTTCGAGCCGCCGTACAAATCGAAAATCATGAAGAACGTAACGAATATTCACTGAATACAAAAGTATTTACTGTATCACTACTATCTCACAAAAACAGTATAATCTCACAAAAATTCAGATGAATTCTATCCTAGTTAAGACTTTCACATTCCTATATTTGACTGCCATTAATCCACATGTATCCACACCTTTTGTCCTCACCACCGTGGAACCTAGGATCTTCCTGCCAAGATGTTATTTTCTGAAATATAATCGATTTATTTTTAGAGCTGAATCCGCGCTGATGCCAGGTTAACTATCGATGCTTCTTGCTCAAGATGGGCCTAATCAAGACGACTTGCAATGAACTGGTCAGACTATATTGGTCTAGTCGCTGCGTCAGACTAGTTTTCGCTCTCATTCAAATATGCGCCGTCACCATTATAAGGTATCCCGTGTCATATTTATAGATCGGCTTGATTAGAATTTGTAAAAAAATAAATAAATTGAATTAGCTTCACGATCCAATGCCAGCTCGACGGAATTCCGATTTTCACCGAAATCTCAATCTTCGACCTGTTGCGCTTTGTAGCGGAGTACCACTTACGCTCGGTGAAAAACTTTCTGTTCCAAGTACGCTACTGGAGTTACTACAACGAAGATGGCTTGCTCGTAGTGAACGTGCCCAGCTCGCTTCCGCGCATGTGCTGATCCGACAAATTAAAATGCCCGTTTTCGATTCTCGCCTTTCACTTTCAACTTCATTTGCATATAACTCTTTCATTCTTGTTCGTCTTTTGTGTTTCAAAAATTTCCATCTTCTCGGAAAAAGCTATCTTCAGTTCAACGCAAAATAATATTTCAATGGGGATAATATGTACCCAGCTAAATAGGAAGTCCCTAAATTCATCCTCGATCTTCATGCAAGGGTCTTCTAGTTCATCCCGCCCGCGCAGCCTCTTCCGTTTATGAGCAAATCTGGAAAGTCAAGATAGCCTCTCATAGCTGGTTGGTACGCACGTCGATTACTTTTCTTGTTTATTTAAGATAAAACAATGACTTCTGCGTGGGCGAGATGAAGTAAGGGACCCATGAACCAAGTTAGAGGATGAACAAGGGGAGCCCCCATTTTATTCATGTAGATTCAGATTCCTTCGAAAATCGGCAACTCCCAACACTCATAGAAATCCTTTAAAATCAATGATCTTAACGCTTTTCTCAGGCTGCTTTCTGATCTTGTACAAAAATACACATCTCCTCTAATACTTGCCCTTTTCCAATTTTCTCGATGACAATTTCAATAAAAAGAATTCTCCAAAATCCTCTCGAAAATTAAAGTATTCAATTGGAATAATGATCTCGCATTCTTTTTCTAGTTGGATTAATTTCATGTCAGGAATAGAATAAAGAATATCTCGCAGAGACTGTAAGAGCTTTTAAAGCAAATGTTTAAGGGACCTGGGCGAGCAGCGCTGAGCCAAACTTCACGCGCTCGCCGTTCTTCTTAGAAATAAGATTTTTTGAAATTTCTTTTTGTAAATTATATCTCCAAATCTTCAGCTTTCTTTTCCGATTCTTAGTTTTTCTCTATCATTCTTGGTTGATGAGCTAGCGAGAAAATGAGAAGCCCAACTTCAAAAGGCATCAAGTCTTGCAGACTAAATTTTTTCTTCATGAAACTAGCACCATTGAAAAGAGCGTTAAATTCTGAACAGATCCCACTCCATCAGCTAAACTCAATCTGTACATACTGGAGATAGAGGCCAGATAAACAAGATAACTTAGCGCCCGCGCAGCGGGAATTATGTCCAGGAAGCCCAAAATAGCTAAATCGGAGCGTCCAGCCGCGCCGCGACCAGCTGCGCGCGCTAAGTAATTTTCTTAATCTGGCCTTACACGCCAATAAGTACGGACTTAGTTTAGCTGATGGAGTGGAATCTGTTCAGAATTAAACGCTCTTTTCAATGGTGCTAGTTTCATGAAGAATAAATTTAGTCTGCAAGACTTGATGCCTTTTGAAGTTGGGCTTCTCATTTTCTCGCTAGCTCATCAACCAAGAATGATAGAGAAAAACTAAGAATCGGAAAAGAAAGCTGAAGATTTGGAGATATAATTTACAAAAAGAAATTTCAAAAAATCTTATTTCTAAGAAGAACGGCGAGCGCGTGAAGTTTGGCTCAGCGCTGCTCGCCCAGGTCCCTTAAATCTGAAATTCAGTATTTAGGTCAATTAATGTATTCGCTAGATTCACTAGATTATCAGAGAGAGAAGAAGATACGCAGCGCTGAGAATTTCAGTAACAGCAGAGCTAGTAGAAGTAGTAGTTGATGCAGTAGTAGTAGAGCCTTGCTCCCCACAAATCACTCCTCCGTCGACATGGCTGCAAGTTTCTCCAGCCGCGCAAAAGTCAAGATCGCAAACATCGACGCAGATTTCTCGAAGGGGATTCGTTGGCACGTAAAGATATCCCGGGCTAGAGAAAATTAACTCAGACTTACGGACTCGATCATTAATGATAACTTACGCGCAGTCACACTCTCCATTCTCCTTTTCAACGAGAGGGTCCCTACAGCCGCAGTATGATTTCCCCCCGCTCATTTTGCATGCTCGACCGTTTCCATAGCAAGGCTCACAGTCGTCGAGAGGGGTCGATCTATCAGTTTCCCGCATGTCTTCAATTGATGCTTGAACAATGAGAGTGTCATGCTTTGTCTAAAATTGGCTGCTTTCTTGATGAATTTTGAGTAATATTTAGCTTTTAGTCACGTTCATAGTAGCCATGCTGATTCGTAAATAAATCAAAGTGAGAAATGAAGCCTTCTCGCCCATATCCTTTCGGGCTGGTTTCTCCTGTCGGCATTTCCCAGTTGTTTCCATCTTCAATTCTGGTCACGTAGCTCCACTGGTTGTCCATCCGCTCGAGAACGTTTGGATTTTGATCGCGGGCAAAAATTTTGAAGAACTGGTCCATGAACGGCCAGAAAAGCTCTTCGTTATCGTTTGAAGCGTTGCTCAGGTACAAGTACGCAGAAGAGTAGGTCTTCCTTGTTTGCTTGGCGAACCAAACCCATCGAATTTTGAACGCATGCCCCGTCGGCGCGAACATCACATCACTCCAGAACGAGTTCTCCGCTATTTCGAGATAATCAATTTCTCCGCCATTCGCTGCCATTTCTGCCGCTTCTACAGCGCGCTTGGCAGCATCAAATTTTTCTCGGACATTTTCAATAACGAAACCATAGGGGCGGCAGGGCGCTTCTTGGATAGAAAAATCATCAATGGCTGCAAGATCCTTTCCTTCGTAGTTTATCCGGACCTTGAATTTGGACTGCTTTGGTTTGAAGTTGTACTGGTTGTAGCGCCATTTCCCCCCGCTTGCTTCGATCTTGAATGAATCTTGCTGTTGATCCAGCTCTCCGTAGTCCTCCGTAGCCGACCAGAACTCAACGCTGAGATTGCCCTCTTTGAAATTGCTCCAGATGACGACGCATTGATCTTCGCTTGCATAATGGTTGAACACACGTGAAACAAGACTACTCGCTCCATCTGTGTAAAGAAACCTTCCAGAGTCGATCACATCTCCGGAAGCGTCTAAATCAGGAAGTTCCAAATCTTCCGTCGAGATGTCTTCAATTTGCCCGATGACAGATTGCGAAGCAACATCATAATGAGTCCATTTGTCTTCACCAAGGTGCTCATTGACGAAACCGCAGATGTTGAACTCGTTAAAATTGCAATTGAAAGTTTTTCGAAGTGGGTTGTCGCAGTAGTACAATTTGTTGATTCGCTCAGCGTCCAGCGGGGAGAAAGTTTTTCTTTGCCCGAGAACTGGCGTAAAATATTCAATTCTGAAGCAATGTTCATTGATTATTTCGCGAAAGATTTTTTCACCTCGGGACCAGCGTTGGTTTATCCGCAACATTGAAGGAATATGCGCTGTAGTGCATAATAGAATCGTAAGCATAAGGAGTGTCAACGGGAGAAACATACTCCAGATCGTACTTATTGAAATTGTGTTCTTTTCCCTCCTGAACTTGTTCCAAGTCGAGAAAGATGTAGTCGTCCCGATCGGGGCGTGACTGCTCGTGGTAGATTCCAAGAGCATGCATCAACTCGTGCTCGATTGTGACGGACCACTCACATCCGCTCCCGATGGAGACATTCTGCTGAGACGGATAGACATGCCCAACGTAGCTCCAGCATCCCCCAAGAGGGTAAATCGAAATAAAATCATCTTCACCTTCCCATGGCTTAAAAGACACGCACGTGCGGAGTTCGTATTCGATCAATGACTCGAGATACTCGCCCCGCGCTTTCAGGTTCATTGCGGAGGAAAGTTCAACTGGAATCGGAAGCTTCCACCTAAAAGATTTTATAAGGGTCCGAACGTTGTCATCAAGCACCTGTAATATTCATCGTTTAGTGTAGATCGCAAGTTACCAGAAGCATAGGCACTTCTCATTATATCCCCATCTCTTAGGTCGATACCGGCTCTCTCATTAGCCTCTTCAATCGTGATGTCATCGACGTCGACGACGTTATTTGCACCAAATGCAGCGCCAAGTAGAAAAACCTTCATTTTCTGCTTGAATGGACCCGAGTTGAGCTGCTTTCAGAACTCGCTATTTGTGTATTGAGCAAATTTGCTTGAAGTACCAAACAAACGAAATGCCCGCAATTTGTTTCTTTATTGGACTTTAAAATGCGTGTTTGACTTTCAAATCAGTGTTTCCTCAAAGATGTGCTCAATTTTTGAAGAAGTTTTATCAAAATAGACCAGATTCTCCAGTTCGTCTAAATAGCTAGAAATTTCTAGTGATTACGTCGATTTCACGAAAGCTGCCGATTTTACGATCATTGATCGTCGTTTGGCTTTGATTAGAACTTTTAATCTCTTCACACCCATTTACGAGCACCGGCTGAATCCAGCGAGGTTTTAATTATTTGAAATCAACGGTCAAAATGAGGATTATTTTGATTTTTAATATCGTCAGTGAGATATGCGGACAGAGGGTGACTCCGGATCCGAAAGAGTTGGACGTGAGGTTAATGGATGGGCCAACAGGAAATGAAGGCAGAATCGAGATTTTTGTAAGTTTAGTGTCTGAAGATCATATTTATGTCATAAATTTTATGATAAAATATACATTGATCTTAGCAAAAAACGAGTCTAGGGCCTCTCACCCGAAAATGGGTCGATGAGCGTTCCGGGAAAAACTATTTCATTCGTTCCAGCCCTAAATGGTATATGTTGATTCGGAGGTATCTTGCCTAGTCATTCGGTAGTTCGAAACCGGAAACAGGGGAATAATTAATTCCTCAAAAAATATAGTTTTGAAAATATTAATAGATTCGTTGTTTTATTGGAGGCGCGTTTCGATTACAAAAAGGCCTTCATCATCCCTAGTACAGAAATTAACTTTACAGCTTAGAAAAAGGAAGAATGCTCTCACCTAAGAGTCGACAATTTCGAATGAGAACGGAAGAGTATTCTTCCTTTTTCTGAGCTGTAAAGTTAATATCAGTACTAGGGCTGATGAAGGCATTTTTGTAGCCGAGACGCGTCCCCAATAAAAACAACGAATCTATTATTATGAGAGGTCAATTATAAGACAATTTTAAAATATTGATTTTCGAGTATTTTTTTAGGATATTTTTAATACAAAAAAGGGATGAAGAGTTTTAGAGTAAAAATGTCCAAAACACTATTGCTAACTAACAATAAAATCTAATAAATGGCTACAAATATCTTAAGCACGACGGAGAATGGGGAACGGTGTGCGATGACAGCTTCTCCACCGAGCTTGGTCACGTTTTCTGTCGTATGGCTGGTTACACTGGCGCTATCCGCTACCATCATTCTGCCCGATATGGCCGCGGCGACGGACCAATCTGGATCGACGAGCCTTCTTGCATTGGATCGGAGATGAATGTAATGAACTGTACGTGGACGAACAAGTGGGGCGAGACAGACTGCGAGCACCACGAAGATGTATCCGTAGAGTGTAGTCCCGAGCGAATTCCTGGCTGGGACATGCTCAAGCTAAAGAACGCTCAAGCAGTACTTGAAAATGACGATTTTAAATTGAGATTGAAACCTCTCTTTCGCCATAGGCGCAACTCAATCAGCGAGAAAGGCTTCATCACCGCCGGTTTTCTTGAGCACTTTTCGAAGCGAGACAATAAATGGTACCGAGTCTGCGCGGATGGTTGGTCTCACGCGAACTCCAGGGTCGCATGTGGTCAGTTAGGTTTCTCAAGCTTCAACGAATTCGACTACGGAGGCTACACACGAGGCGAGCGTCTCCGGCGAAGTCAATTCGGCCTCAAAGACGTGACTTGCGATGGGAGTGAGAACAATCTCCAGTGGTGCGAAAAAATTGAGCTCGGCCAAAATCACAGAGATTGCACATCGCACCAGCCGGTTGTCCTTCAATGCAAACCAGGACGGCATTACACGGATAGAATAACCCTCACAGATCAACATGTAGACAATATGTTCACGCGAAGCAGACAGCCGGAAGGCCTTCGTGTCAGGCTGAAGTCCGGAGGGAACCTTGGGTCCGGAAGAGTCGAGGTAATGATCAATTCGGAATGGGGCACTGTTTGCCACAACGGTTGGTCAGTCCTGTCCGCCAACGTTGTCTGCCGACAGCTAGGTAATTTCTTTTAACAAGAAAAACCGATTAATTCGAATTTCTTTTAAGGATTTGGAACAGCAAAACATGCCTTCTCGAACTCGGAATTTGGAAATGGCCATGGGCCTGTTTTTGGTCCGATGTCAACTGTACTGGCCACGAGACGAACATATTCAAATGCCAAAAGACGGAGCTGGACATCAATATTTCCGCATACCAATTGAGGATGCGCGAAAGTTGTAATCACGGACACGATGTTTCTGTTATCTGCAATACACCCAAGATTGAAGAGAAAGCGGAATTGAATATAAGGTAGGATATCGAAGAAAACACAAAAGAACAATTTCATATAATGTAGGCTTGTTAATGGTCGTCACATGCGTGAAGGAAGAGTTGAAGTTCAAATGAATCGTAAATGGGGAGCCATTTGCTCCGATGACTTCTCAATGGCGAACGCGATTGTTCTTTGTCGCCAGTTGGGCTTCGGTCACCCTCATCAATTCATCCAAGACTTGGCCTATTGGGCAGCAGCTGATGATGCAGAAGACAGAGCAATCCTTACCGGTCTTAAATGCAAAGGCGATGAATATCACATCGAAGAATGCGAAATTTCGTCATCAGAGAGATGTGGAAAAAAGTCAAAAACTCCATTCGTCGGAATCGTTTGCAACGAGCGATCAGCTGATTTAATCGTTGACACGGTCCTTCTCGAACAGAGTCTTCATATCAATCGACGATCGACCGGGCAACTTCAATGTGCTGCCGAGGAAAACTGTTTGTCAGACACTGCCTACCTTCCAGAGTATCATCAAACTCAGTACTGGGATCCATACCGAGAGCGAATGCTTCTCAGATTTTCAACGCGTGTTTGGAATCGAGGAACTGCCGATTTTTTGCCAAAATCTGCCAGGTATACGCGAAAAAAAATAAGCAGAGATAAAGATAGAATTCAAGGACAAATTGGGACTGGCACGCATGTCACGGACACTACCACTCGATGGAGCGATTTATTGACTACGATCTTATGCATCTGAATAGGACGAAAGTCGCTCAAGGACACAAGGCTTCTTTTTGTCTCGAAGACAATGACTGCGAAGGGGAAGCTTCGAGAAGATACGACTGTGACAATGTTGGAGGAGGAAATCAAGGGATATCGATGGGTTGTGCCGATACATATCTTTATACGCTTGGTATGTTCATTTCAAATAGATCAGTGCGGTTATGTAAGAGTTTCGTCTTTTTGCGTCTTCTATATATTCTACTTTTGTTTCTGGTCTGTTTTTTTTCGAATAAACCTAACCCAAAAACGCGATTAGGGAGTGTAGATTAGAGAAAAACACGTTTTTTGGTTTCTGAAATAAATTTTAGAAATATAAACTATTTACTAGATTGCCAGTGGATCGACATCACTGACGTTCCTCCCGGTGAATACCTTTTGCGGCTACACGTCAACCCGGAAATGAATGTTTCCGAGACAGACTATTACAACAATATCGCTGTTTGCAACATTATTTACGAAAATTCGGCAGGGCAGCTTCGGCTCTACGCATTCAACTGTCATATTCCAGGTTACAATGTCTTTTGTTATTTAAAATATAATTGCGATTTCAGACGACTATGAAGGACGATATATTACTCAATTTTACACTGAAAGGGCATTTGTTGGTAAGATTGTTTTTTCAATAGACTATTAATATAATGATTATATATTTTAAAAATTACATTTCTTTATTAGCTTTCCGCCTTCTTCAGTCCTTCAGTGATGTAAATATGAATCTAAGGAGGATTTTTTGCATCACTCAGGCACTGAAGGAGACGAGAAAGCGAAAAATTTATTAACTCGTCAACTCAAAATATTTGTACAAGTATTTAAGGACGAAGAACTGGCTATGCGCGTGGAGAAACCCGAACCTAATCGCATTAGTTTTGTAAATTTCTTTTATGTAGATTCGCAGCAAAATATACTTCTTCAACTCAAACTTTTTCATTATTTGATGTCAAGTCATGTCAGTATTTTAGTTTCTTAAGTTAATAAAAGGATCTTTCAGCAATAATTTCTATTTAGCACTGTGTTGTAAGTTATAGTCGATAATATGCAGCCATTCTTTGAGAATTCAACGCACCTAGTAACCATGAAACGCGCCGGGCGCCATGGCAACACGTCAAAGTTTGCTGAGCAGGATTGAGAGGCACCCTTCGAATCTCATTTGTTCGAATAAAAAGAGAACTTGCTTTGGGGGAAATTTCTCAAGTGAAATTCTGAAGTAGATACAAAATGTCCACTCAAACTGGTCGGGTAAGCAGCTTACTTTTGAGAAGTTCAAGAAAGCGACTTCCAAGAGGATTAATTCTCAGTCAGTTTCGTTAATTTTGGCTTTAGGCGGCGAAAACCGTCGTCACGACCGACCAGATGAAGGACCTCCAAATGCGAGCAAAAGCCATCAAGGTAAGCTTAAATTTCTACAGCATTATTTACTGTTATGTATCATTTAAAGCCCTTTTTTCGGGCAGGCAAGTGTGCATCATTAAGGGTACCACCTTCGATTTCCGCAACTTCACCGTTGAATAACTCAGAAAATGTCAATGATAGGGGAAATCTTTTTTTTCTTAGGAGATCTGTGTAAGATCTTTAATCTGTTAGAAGAATTTTTAAATTTTTCAACGAAAAATTGGCTAACTTTTTGGTTAAAGTGGTCTACTATGCTAAAATTACGTACTTAGTCTGAAAACTCGATTTTTTCAATTTATTTATTGCAAAATAGTCTATTGTCAATAGACTTTTCAATCTGTCAGGAGGATTGTTGGATTGAAGCTTACACTAAAGATAGTTTTTTTCAATAACTTTAAAAAGGAATCAATATTAAACTTAGGCAAAATCTTGTGCCGAATTTATTTTTAATCCCACTTTTATGAACTTGCTAGATAAAGCACGTTCAAGTTTTCAAAAACAACAAAAAAATTCTTAATAAAAGTTTTGACAAAATTTGTCTTGAATCCAAAACGTATTCAAACTGACATTTTTTCAGGAAGAGCGTCGGAATAATATGGACGGGCGTCACTCGCATCTCTTCGGGCTTGTCGCTCACGCCTTGGAAAAAACGGAGGAACAAATCACAGAGATCGCCATCGCTGATGATCGCTGGCATCTACTCGAGGAATTTTTCAAGCAAGGCGGCTCCAGAAAACTTATGTGGTATTATCAGGAGCCGAAATTGGGCGAAATTGGATCGGCTAACAGATCTGATTCTCAGGTAAAATAAAATCAAAAGAGATTTTTATGAATTTAACAACAACGTATTTTTGAACGGATATTAACGGGAAGGTGTTTGGAACCGACAAAAAAATTTCGACAAATTTTGCGTGGAAATTTTCAACCAATCAGAAGCATTCAAATTTTTTTGTCGGTTCCAGACACTACCCCATTTTAACATGCGATTTAAATAATTGATTTTAAATAAAGCGGATTTAACTCGCCTGAAGACCCCTATTTCAAATTTTTATTAGATCTGGTAGCGTGAATTTCAATATCTTCACGCTCTTACTGTATCATTTTTAAGTATATTTTTAGTCTGGTGTTCAAAAATCAATGGAACCAAAGTTATTCCTTACGACCGGGCGCGAGGAGATGCTTCGAGGAAAGTGCCTGCTCTTCATGCGGCTGAACGCGGACAAGGCCCTCACGCCACGCAACATGAATGAGGCTTTGTTCACTCAACTTGATGCGACCGGCAAAGGCGGAGTCCTCCAGGCGATCTCCGATTACCTGAAGAAAGTGATGCTCCCACACCTTCGCGTTCAAAAAAGTTGGGGCAAATTGGACGCAGTAGGTCGAGCCGGACAGAACAAGATCAACCAGTTTCTGGAGTCGGTTGACAGATTCAACCAGGGACTTGAATCTGCGCAGCTATCGATTGCCAACGCTTTCAAGGTTAAATATTTATCGAAACTTTGTGCACATCAAATCGGTCGCATGAAGTTTTGGGTGATTAAAAAACGCATTTTAATTGATTTGCATTTTCAGTTGGAAGAAGTGGACATCGGATACAACCTTGACGTTGCGCTAGAACAAGAGGGCGTTGGCTCACCAATCGGCAATTCTGATTTTGCAGCCAAATTGGAGCAGTTGATGGGAGTATGGTGCAAGCAAATTGAGCTCGTGCTGACGGAAAGCGAGCAAATGCGCAAAGAAGCGGATGACATCGGTCCTTCCGCCGAGCTGGATCACTGGAAACAGCGAATGACCAAGTTTAATTCGTTGTTGACCGCGATCTCAACCCGGCGAGTGAAACTCGTCTACGCCACTTTGGCAGAAAACAAGTCAAAGTTGTGCCCAGTGTGGATGGATTTGGACAGGCGCGTTTCCGACGTTGCCAACGAGGCACGAGACAACGTCAAGTACCTCTCAACGTTGGATCAGTATCTTGGGCCATTGCAGACTTCTGATCCGATGGGAATGAAAGAGCTCCTCCCTAACCTGATCAATTCAATCAGGATGATCCACACCGTCTCCCGCTACTACAACACTTCCGAAAGGATGACCTCTCTCTTTGTCAAAGTGACTAACCAAATGATCAAATCTTGCAGGGCGTATATCATGCAGGGATCAAATGGGAAGGTCTGGGATCAAGAACAGGATGATTTGCTGGAGCGAATTGACGGCTGCGTCGGTTTGAAGAATGAGTACCAGGTCAGGGTGGCAAAATTGTTGAGAAAAAAAGTAGTTGTATTGGAATTTTTCGCTCATAAGACTTGAGCTCTTCTCAAAATAATTTCTTCGTAAAAATTTAAATTTGGTTTTCTCCATCAGCTGGTGCACTCACCAAAGGTTTATGAGACAGGTGCCCACCCTGAATACTAGACTCAATTTGCAAAGGCAAAAGCAAAACTAATGGACGAATCTAATAGGATTCCTGGTAACCAAGAAAAACACTTCGATTTTTCTGAAAATTACATCTTCGGAAAGCTTGAGAATTTCTGCAACCGTCTGGAATGCATTAAGAAGGTTATCGTTACTCTACGAGTGTTGAGCAAGCTGAAGGCTCTGAGAGTGGATGGAATCGACTCTATCCTCAAAAACCTGGAAGCTTTTGAATCAAATATCAAGATGCGCCCTGGTGAGCTTGATTATAAACGCTCAGACTGGGATAATGGCTATAAAGACTTTCTCGCGTCGATCGGGAGATTAGAGGCGGACCTGCAGTCCTTTATCAAGGACTGGATCGAGAAACCGGTTCCAACAACGAAGGTCTTGGAGATTCTGGCCATGTTTCAGCCGCTGTCTAAAGACATCAACTTGAACATGCAAGAAGCTTATCAAGACATGCTCAGGCGTTATCTGAAGCAAGATCTTAACGTTGCCCGCTCAGCCTACAACAAGCAAAAGACCGATCCGCCGGCACCGAAGAACTTCCCACCTGTTGCGGCTAAAGTTGCTTGGGCTAGGTAAGGGTCGAAAATAATCTATAAAATAGAAAATGAGAATTTTTTTCAAGTACAGTTGACATCAAAGATAAGGAATTTTTCAAAATGCCGAAAATCTGCGGCACGGTTTGTATTGTTGTCAGTCACAACTTATGATCTACGCGTTAATCGCCCCTTATCAAAACCTACTTTTTATGAAAAAATGGCATTTGTTGACATTGACCTCTGAAATTTCATCAAGTCTAATCGCAATGGTTCAATTTGCTGAGTATGTAATTGTAACAAGCGAATTCGACCCTCAAAAACAGACAACTCTTTAAACGAATCGACGAACCCATGGCAGTAATTCGGCCGCTGCAGGCTGAGTTCAAGATACTTGATACAAAAGACGGCAAGGCATGCATCAAGACATACAATCAAATCGGCACCGCTCTAATTGAATACGAGACGATGTATCATCAACTTTGGATCGGATCCGTCGCTTCTGCACGGGAAGGTCTGAAGGGTGCAATCCTCAATCGCTCTGGACCAGAAAAGGAATACGAGGTCAGCTTCAACACCGATATTTATAGACTTTGCAAAGAAGGTCGATTTATGAAGAAAATCGGACTTACTGTTCCGCCCCAAAGTGACGAGCTCTTGATCTCAGAAGAACGGTTGCGCGAAAATCATATCAATGTCAATCTACTTATTGAAAGATTCGAATCTACTTGTCGAATGGTTTCGCCAGTGATGATGCCTTTTTTGAGATTCTTCATTATTCGAATGGAAAATGCCCTACGACCCGGAGCGGCTTTGTTGACTTGGGATTCCCTCAACGTTCCGAACTTTATTCAAGAAAGTGGAAAAGTCATTGCTGAGACAAGAGAACTCTTTGTGGCCGTCAATGACATTTTGGACTGCCGAATCGATACGATGTTGAAAAAAATTGAAAACACGCCGATGATTGAGTTGCCTGAGGAACCAGTTCGAGCGGATAAGTTTGTAAGCTTAACAGCTGCTACCGTGGCCAAAGCGGAAGAAGTGTTTGTCCAAGCCAGTAAAAATGCTGAAAGTTACGTGAAAGAACTCGTGGAACTACTAGAATCGCATTATACAAAGGCGGAAATGGACAAGCTCAGACACGTTGCGAAGACCGAACATAATCCCGAATGGTACTATAATTTGACCGCTTACTTCTGCGCTAGAAACACAGAAGCGTTCGTTAGATGCACTAGAAACTCCTTGGATGGATTGAAAAGACGACTTCAGCAATCGAAAGTTCGATACGGAGCAGATGAAGGAGGGGATGGTCAATTGGAAAAGTTCCCACTTTTTATTGCCGACATCACATTAGAAATTCCGCAAGTGGTGTTTTCGCCGTCTTTAGATGACATCCAGCAAACCGTTAACAAAGTCGTTGATATGGTCTTATCAGGAGGAAAGAAAGTGGTTCTTTGGGAGCACTTCGAGCTCGTGAAAAAACATCAGGCTATCGAACAGGAAGCTGCGAGAAAGCGCGGAGAAGATAAATTGAAGCAAATTCTTGAACCAAAGCCCTTCGATCGACAGCTTCGGGAGCATAAAGATGTGATTAAATCAGTTATTCCTCTGAATACCATTATTTCTTCCTTGAAAACAGACGCTGAAAACCTTCTTCGCGGCTTCAGCACATTCCAGGAGCTCTGGGAAATTGACCCTGCCGAGAAAGTTCGTCGATTTGAGGACGAAAAGCCGCTTTATTCCGACTATGGCAATCAAATACGTCACTACGGAATCCTCAGCAGCCGAATCAGCGAAATTCCGGAATCACGAACACTTGGGCCGATCAAATTTGACACTGATTTACTGAATGTTTCGCTGACGCAAGAATGCAATAACTGGAAACGCGCGTTCGGAAAGGCCTTGGACAAAAAGGCATCTGGAGATATGGACAAAATATTTGACATCGTCGAGGACCAGAAAAAACGATTGGGTCGAGAGATCAAAGATCTTGATGATATTAGAAACTCGATGGGGGCACTGCGTGAGCTTAGGGAGAACGAAGTTTGGATTGAAATGACCATCGCGCCGATCGAAGAATCGTATGGAATCCTCAATCGAATGGATTTGGTCTTCAATGAAGGAAATCAAGAAAGAGTCGACACAATCGGCTACGCTTGGAAAAACACACAAGCTCAAGCAAAGATGGTACAAGACAGTCTTGCCAAGATCCAAGGCCCATTCCAAGAAAATCTCATCCTAAGCGTTGAGAAATTCCACCGAGATACTTCCGAGTTTTACTCCGACTTTGACACTCAAGGACCCTTGGTGGAGGGGATCAAGCCTTCCGAAGCCTCCGACAAAGTCACTGTCTTCCAAGGACGATTCGACGAGCTCTGGCGTAAATATGTCACCTACAGCGGCGGAGAAGAGTTGTTCGGCATGGAGGTCACTGAGTATCCTGAATTGCAAAGAATCTCGAAGGAGCTCAATTTGCTTCAGAAACTATACGGCTTGTACAATCAGGTTCTGAGCTCAGTCGACGGGTACTACGAAATTCTCTGGTCCGATCTCAACATTGATGATATAAACAATCAGCTTCTTGAATTCCAAGCTCGCTGCAGAAAGCTCCCTCCAGCACTGAAAACTTGGGATGCTTACAAAGAACTTTCAAAGAAAATCGACGATTTCAACGAGTGCTGTCCTTTGCTCGAGGCAATGAGCAACGATGCTATGCTGAGAAGACACTGGGATCGAATAGAAATGGTGACAAAGTGTAAGTTCCCCGTTGAAGAAGACTCATTTGCCCTCCGAGATGTCATGGATGCGCCACTGCTGGAAAATGGAGAAGATATCGAAGACATCTGTATCTCCGCTGGAAAAGAGCGAGATATTGAGTCGAAGCTAAAACAAATAATCGGCGAGTGGGAGAACCAAGATCTCACTTTCTCTCAATTCAAGACTCGAGGCGAACTTCTGTTCAAAGGAGCAGATATTTCCGAAATCATTGTCAAACTTGAAGATTCTCTCATGATCCTCAGCTCCTTGCTCTCAAACCGTTACAACGCGCCATTCAAGGCGAAGATCCAAGAGTGGAATCAAAAACTCTCCGGCTCTATCGAAATAATTGAACAACTCCTTCAAGTTCAGAACCTCTGGGTTTACCTCGAAGCAGTCTTTGTTGGTGGAGATATTGCCAAACAACTGCCACAAGAAGCGAAAAGATTCTCTAATATTGATAAATCATGGCAAAAGATCATGCAGAAAGCGCACGAAACCACTAATGTTGTCAAATGTTGCATGGGCGATGACATGTACTCACAGCTACTTCCGCATCTGTTGGAGCAGCTCGAAATCTGTCAGAAATCGCTCACTGGATATTTGGAAGCAAAGCGACTTTTATTCCCTCGTTTCTTTTTCGTTTCCGATCCAGCTCTCCTGGAAATTCTTGGTCAAGCATCAAATTGCCATACAATCCAGGATCATTTGCTCTCACTTTTTGATAATGTCAAAGAAGTGGTTTTCGATACAAAAGTATACGAAAAAGTCCTGGCAATGCGTTCGCAGGAAGGAGAAGAGGTTGACATGGTTACTCCAGTTATTTGCACGGGAAATGTAGAAACATGGCTGAATACTCTTATGCAAACGGTCCACAAAACCGTCCACACGATCGTGCGTCGGGCTTGGCAGAACCTTGGGGATACTGGATTTGATCTTTTGCGATTTGAAGACACTTTCTGCGCCCAGGTCGGTCTTCTTGGAATCCAACTTTTGTGGACAAGAGATGCCGAAAACGCGTTGAACGAGTGCCGCTACGACCGAGAGATTATGAAAAAGACAAACGACTATTTCCTGGAGCTTTTGAACACGCTCATCGATAAGACGACCCAGGAACTCACAAAGCTCGATCGTGTTAAATTTGAAACGCTGATTACAATTCACGTCCATCAGCGAGATATATTCAACGATATGGTTCAATTGAAGGTACGGACGCCTAATGACTTCGAATGGCAGAAGCAATGCCGATTTTACTACGATGAGGATTTCGACAAGTGTCGAATAAGCGTCACAGACGTCGATTTCACATATTGCGATGAGTATACCGGATGTACAGATCGCCTCGTTATCACGCCGCTCACTGACAGATGTTATATTACTCTTGCTCAAGCTTTAGGAATGGATCTTGGTGGTGCCCCCGCCGGCCCCGCTGGAACTGGAAAAACTGAGACCACAAAGGACATGGGAAAATGCCTTGGAAAGTACGTCGTTGTCTTCAATTGCTCCGATCAGATGGATTTCCGAGGCTTGGGAAGAATTTACAAAGGACTTGCCCAATCTGGCTCTTGGGGCTGCTTTGACGAGTTTAATCGAATCGAGCTCCCTGTCCTGTCTGTAGCAGCTCAGCAGATCGCAATTGTCCTTCAATGCAAGAAAATGAAAAAGACGCAGTTTATCTTTTCGGACGGAGATACAGTTCCGATGAACCCGGAATTCGGTCTTTTTATCACTATGAACCCTGGTTACGCCGGTAGACAGGAGCTTCCTGAAAACTTGAAGATTATGTTCCGTTCCTGCGCTATGATGGTCCCCGATCGACAAATCATCATGCGAGTCAAATTGGCCTCCGCTGGTTTCCGGGAGAACCAGGAACTATCCGGCAAGTTCTTTACGCTATACAAACTCTGCGAAGAACAACTATCAAAACAGGTTCACTACGATTTCGGTCTCCGAAATATTCTCTCCGTACTCCGAACTCTTGGTGCTGAAAAGCGAAAGAATCCAACCGATCCAGAGATAAAAACCGTTATGCGCGTCTTGCGAGATATGAACATGTCAAAACTAGTCGACGAAGATGAGCCTCTCTTCTTGTCGCTCATCGACGATCTTTTCCCAAATATCGTTCTTGAAGTTGCTGGTTATCCGAAACTTGAAGAAGCCATTGCGTTGCATACCGAAGAAGCTTTGCTCGAACTTTGGCCGCAATGGAAGCTCAAGGTCATTCAACTTTACGAGACCCAGCGGGTCCGTCATGGAATGATGGTACTTGGTCCCTCCGGGGCTGGTAAAACAACAAATATCCACACTCTCATGAAAGCCATGGGAACAACAAACGATCCTGGTCCCCACAAAGAAGTTAGAATGAATCCTAAAGCCATTACAGCGCCACAAATGTTCGGCACGCTTGATGTCGCAACTAATGACTGGACTGATGGTATCTTCTCCACACTTTGGCGACGATCTTACAAGAAGAAGAAAGGAGAAAACATGTGGTTGGTACTCGACGGTCCTGTAGATGCAATTTGGATTGAAAACCTGAACTCTGTCCTTGATGACAGTAAAACCCTGACACTTGCTAACGGTGATCGTATTCGAATGGCGCCAAATACCAAGATCGTTTTTGAGCCGCATAATATCGATAATGCTTCGCCAGCTACAGTATCACGTAACGGTATGGTATTCATGTCCAGCTCTTCTCTCACCTGGCAACCGATCTTGGGTGCTTGGCTGAAAAAGATTCCGATGGCACAAGGCGATTCACTCAGAACAAAATTCGAAGTTATCTGGGAGGAAACTCTTGTTTTCCTCAAACAAAGCTGTCTCCCAAAAATGGACCTTCTTGATTGCATGTACATTCGACAAGCCCTGGATATTCTCTTAGGTCTTCTACCAACTCAAACAGAGGATTTCGCTAAATTGAAAGACGCTCATTTGAACAGTTACTTCATTTTCGCCCTCATGTGGTCGCTTGGGGCGCTTCTTGAACTTGAAGATCGAGCAAAACTTGAAGCTTTCTGGCGAGAAAATCAATCCATCAGCAAAATGCTCCCCGTTATCACTGGCGACCAGACAATTTTCGAATTCGTTCCAAGAAACGATTCTGGAGAATGGGAACCTTGGTCTGTTCGAGTTGAGAAATACGACTATCCGACAGATTCAGTTCCTGATTTCAACAAGATTCTCATCCCGAATGTAGATAATGTTCGAACAGATTTCCTTATGGGCTTGATCATGAAACAAGAAAAGGCCGTCCTGCTTATTGGTGAACAGGGTACTGCAAAAACAGTCATGATTCAGGGATACATGAGCAAGTATAACATCGAAGAACATGTCACAAAAGCTCTCAATTTCTCGTCAACAACCACTCCTGGTATTTTCCAGCAATCGATCGAGTCATACGTTGAAAAACGAGTGGGTACCACTTTTGGTCCCGCTGCTGGAAAGAAAATGACAGTGTTCATTGATGATATCAATATGCCACACATCAACGAGTGGGGCGATCAAATAACAAATGAAATTGTACGTCAACTCATGGAGAACAAGGGCTTTTACAATCTAGAAAAGCCCGGTGACATGATCAAAATCGTTGATCTGCAACTTGTGGCTGCGATGATTCATCCTGGAAGAGGAAGAAACGACATTCCTCAACGGCTTAAGCGACAGTTTAACATCTTCAACTGTACTCTTCCCTCCAACAACTCAATCGACCAGATTTTCAAAACGATCGGTACCGGGTACTTTTGCGGAGAACGCGGATTTTCAGCCGAAGTCACTTCTATGATTGAGCCACTCGTTGGTATCACTCGACAACTCTGGCAGAAAACAAAGATCAAGATGCTTCCGACTCCGGACAAGTTCCATTACATTTTCAACTTGCGTGATCTTTCCAGAATCTGGCAGGGTATGCTTACAATCAAAGCTGACGAATGCAGCTCGAAATCTGACATTCTCTCTTTGTGGCGCCACGAATGCACAAGAGTCATTTCTGACAGATTTGTTAGTCAAAATGATCGAGACTGGCTGGATGAAACCGCCGATGCTCTCATAGGTGAGAAATTTGGCGAGAGTTCAATTGAACTGATCCAAAAAGATAAATATTTCGTCGACTTCATGCGAGAAGCTCCTGAACCGACCGGAGAAGAACCCGACGACTTTGATTTCTCCGCGCCTAAAGTTTACGAAGCAACCACGATCCAACGACTGGGTGAGAAACTTCTCGAATACCAAGATGTGTACAACGAATCGATCAGAGGAGCAAACATGAATCTCGTCTTTTTTGAGGATGCTATTACTCACATGGTCAAAATTTCAAGAATCATAAGAACTCCTCGCGGTGCAGCAATGCTTGTCGGTGTCGGCGGATCAGGAAAACAGTCCCTTACTCGTCTTGCGTCGCACATCTCAGGATATAAAACCTTCCAGATTACTCTTTCAAAGTCCTACAATGCTGGAAATCTCCTCGAAGACCTTAAGATCATGTATCTCTGGGCAGGTCGGGATGGCCAGGGAGTAACGTTCCTCTTTACTGATAATGAAATCAAGGAAGAGTCATTCCTCGAATATTTAAACAACGTGATTGCTACTGGTGAACTCTCAGGTCTATTCCCAAAAGACGAAATGGATGCACTTCTGGGTGAAATGATTCCAATCATGAAGAAGGAATTCCCAAGACATCCACCAACGCAAGAAAATCTTTACGAATATTTCATTACTCGAGTCCGATCAAATCTCCACATTGTGCTTTGTTTCTCCCCAGTCGGCGAGCAATTTAGAACTCGATCACTTAAATTTCCAGGTTTGTTTTCAGGCTGCACAATGGATTGGTTCTTCCGATGGCCAAAAGAAGCGCTCGTCCAGGTCGCCGGCTCGTTTATGAATGACAAATCTTTCAAACTCGAAGCTACTGAAGAGACGAAGGTACAATTGGTCGATGTAATGGGCCAAATTCAAGATATGGTCTCAGAAATCTGCGACCAGTACTTTGAACGATTTAGACGAAGATGCCACGTGACACCAAAATCTTTTTTGAGTTTTCTCAGCGGCTACAAAGCACTCTATGCTCAGAAATTGGCGCACTTGTCCAATCAGCGAGATCGTATGACAACAGGTCTGACAAAACTTGCTGAAGCCGAAGATGTCGTCGGAGAGCTCTCAATCGAGCTTGAGCAGAAAGAAAAAGACCTGGCTGTTGCTTCTGCAGAAGCCGAACTTGTTCTTAAAGAAGTTGATAAGGAGAAAGAAGCTGCTGGTAAAACACAGGCCGAAGTCAAGGTCATCGCAGACAAGGCCCAAGCGTTGAAAGACAGCATTGCCGCTGACAAAGCCGTTGCCGAAGGAAAACTAAAAGAAGCTGAACCAGCGCTTCAAGCTGCCGAAAAAGCGTTGGAAACAATCAAGCCAGCCCATATCGCCACTGTTAAGAAACTTGGAAAGCCGCCACATTTGATCATGCGAATCATGGATTGCGTACTCATTTTAATGGGTAGACGGCTCAATCCAATAACTGTCGATGAAGAGAAAGGTGGAATCAAGCCATCTTGGTCAGAGTCATTGAAGCTAATGAATGACTCATCTTTCCTGAGCATGTTGCTGGACTTCAACAAAGATACTATCACGGATGAAATGATCGATCTGCTTCAGCCGTATTTCAAGGCAGATGACTACAACTTGGAAAATGCGAAGAAGGTATCCGGAGATGTTGCTGGTCTCTGTACGTGGACTCTTGCAATGGCGGATTTTTTTAAAATCAACAAAGAAGTTCTTCCGCTTAAAGCAGCACTGGCGATCCAAGAGGCCAAGCTAGGTAAGGCTGAAGAAGAACTAGCTGCAGCAAACGAGCAACTTGCTGGAGCAGAAGCAGCGCTGAAGAAAGCAAATGACAAGTACGACGCAGCAATGGGACACAAAAAGGCTCTAGAAGATGATGCTGCTGCTTGCCAGAAGAAAATGGATAACGCTTCCGCGCTTATTGAAGGTCTCGGTGGTGAGAAAATTGCCTGGGGGGAAGCAGAATCGCAGTTCTCCGACCAAATCAGAAGATTGGTCGGAGATGTTCTCCTTGCCAACGGCTTTTTGTCATACTCTGGACCTTTCAACCAAGAATTCCGAAATAAACTGCTCGATGGTTGGCGCAAAAAGTTGAATTTCCACGACATTCCTTTCACTGAAGATCTCAATCTCATCAAAATGCTAGTCGATGATCCAACCATTGGCGAGTGGAACCTTCAAGGTCTTCCATCGGACGAATTAAGTATCCAAAACGGTATCATTGTAACGAGCGCCACTCGATTCCCACTACTCATCGACCCTCAGGGTCAGGGTAAGATCTGGATTAAAAATCGGGAGAAGGACAATGAACTACGAATTACAAATCTCAACCATAAATATTTCCGACAACATCTCGAAGATGCTCTTTCTCTCGGTCAGCCGCTGCTGATCGAAGATGTTGGCGAAGAAATCGACCCGGCTCTTGACAATGTTTTGGAAAAGAACTTTATCAAATCTGGTTCCACTCTCAAGGTAAAATTTTAACCTTATTGTCTCTATACAAGAAAACTCTTCTATGTCATCACTAACAATTAACAAAAGCCATGGGAAATTGCCGAACAGTTCGGTGGTGACACTGATAAAGTGCCAAAAGTCATGCGGGTAAGATTAAAATCTCAAGATCATGAGACAGCGCACCAAATCAATATTACACAAAGAATCACAGATCAAGAGCACCAAAAATAATTAATCAAAAACGCATTAAAAATTTTTCATCACTCGTTTTAGCAAAACGGGGCTAAAATTTTTCCGTTAAAGACTTATTTTCATTTCTAGTGCAAAGTCGGCGACAAAGAATGCGACGTGCTCCCAACATTCCGACTTTATCTCACGACAAAGCTTGCAAATCCAAGTTATACGCCGGAAGTTTACGCACGAACTGCCATAATCGATTTCACTGTTACAATGAAGGGATTAGAAGATCAGCTTCTTGCGCGTGTCATTCTAAGAGAAAATCCGAGCTAGAAACTGAGCGTGTTTCTCTTCTTGAAGATGTCACAGCCAACAAACGCAAGAAACAAGAACTCGAAGATAATCTTCTCTACCGTTTGACGTCAACGCAGGGCTCGCTGGTTGAAGATGATGATCTCATCGAAGTGCTAAGAATTTCAAAGATCACTGCCGCTGAGGTCAAAGAAAAACTCGACATTGCGGCGGATACGGAAATCAAAATAAACAATGCTCGGGAAGAGTACAGACCGGTGGCGTTCCGAGGCTCGATCATGTACTTTCTCATCGTTGAAATGTCACTCGTGAATGTGATGTACCAAACATCGCTAAAGCAGTTCCTTGTCCAGTTCGACTACGCCCTAGAAAGATCAAAAAAGAGTCCAATTACTGGAAAGCGAATCGCAAACATAATCGAGTATTTGACCGAAAAAGTCTTTTTATACACTGCAAGAGGATTCTACGAGTCCGACAAATTCCTATACGCCCTTCTCTTGACTCTTAAAATCGATCTTAACCGAGGCAAAATCTCATTCGAGCAATTCAACACCTTTATCAAGGGTGGTGCTTCTCTGGACATGAATTCCGTCGATCCCAAACCAAAGAAATGGATTCTCGATTCGACCTGGCTCAACTTGGTTCAGCTTTCTCGACTTCCGAATTTTTCACAACTCCTTATACAAGTTACAAGAAACGACAAGGCTTGGAAAGCTTGGTTTGATTCAGCGGAACCTGAGGAAACAACGCTTCCGGACGGATACCAAGAATCACTTGACATCTTCTCAAAACTCTTGCTTATCCGATCCTGGGCGCCAGATCGGACGACCGCTCAAGCGAGGAAATACATCACCGATTCGATGGGGCCAGTCTTCGCCGATGCCGTTATTTTGAGCATGGATAGTATGCTAGCTGAATCTGACAAGCGTATACCTCTCCTGTGCTTCTTATCTCTCGGTTCTGATCCAACAGAGTCCATTGAAAAACTCGCCAAACAAAACAACACCACCAGTCGGGCAATTTCAATGGGTCAAGGACAAGAAGTACACGCTCGCCGTCTTCTTACGACAAGTTTCGAAGATGGCGGTTGGATTTTGCTTCAGAACTGCCACTTGGGTTTAAATTACATGGACGAGCTTTTGGACCAAGTGACGACCAATGCAAATGTCCACGAAAATTTCCGGTGCTGGATCACCACCGAGCCGCATCCAAAGTTCCCCATTAATTTGCTCCAGAACGCGATCAAATATACAGCCGAGCCTCCACAGGGTCTCAGAGCTGGTCTTAAGCGAACTTATAATTTGGTCACGGCCGAAACTTTAGAATTGTCAAACATGCCTCAGTGGAAGCCAATGCTATTTACGACCGCCTTCTTGCATTCGATCGTTCAGGAGCGTCGAAAATTCGGTCCTCTTGGCTGGAACATCCCTTATGAGTTCAACCAGTCCGACTACAACTCCGCCGTTCAATATGTTCAAAACCACCTAGACGACATGGACATCAAGAAAGGTCCGACTTGGAAGGCAGTTCAGTACATGTTCGGGGAGATCTTGTACGGAGGTCGAGTAACTGATGATTTGGACAAGATTCTACTCAACACATATTGCTCTGCTTGGATGGGCGACCACATGCTCAAGCCAGAGTTCAAGTTCAAAGGCGAATATATCGTCCCGCAGTGCAAGACCGTGGCCGATTACCACACATATATCGATAATCTGCCGCTGACAGACTCACCAGAAGTGTTCGGTCTTCACAAAAACGCAGACATCACGTACCAAACAAACACTTCCAATTCTACACTCAGCACAATCGTCTCAATTCAGCCGAAAGAGTCCGGCGGCGGAAGCGGTGAGTCACGTGAGGCAGCTGTTTACAGACAGGCGGACGAAATGCTTGCAAAGATTCCGACTGATTTTTCCCCATTTGAGGTCAAAGCGCGATTGCAAAAAATGGGCAAAAACGATCCAATGAACATTTTCCTCCGCCAAGAAATCGATCGACTTCAACGAGTCATTTCCTCTGTCCGAATCACTTGCAGTGAATTGAGACTTGCAATAGACGGAACAATCATCATGTCTGAACAGTTGCAAGACGCATTGAATCAAATTTACGATGCGCGGATCCCAAAAGTTTGGGCAAAGATTTCGTGGGATTCGAGTTCGCTTGGTTTTTGGTTCACGGAACTTTTGGATAGATATGCTCAGCTGTCGAGCTGGATCTTTGAAAAAAGGCCGAATTGCTTCTGGCTCACTGGTAAGATGAAAATTACAGACATTAGTGTTTATCAGTAAAAATCAGGTTTCTTCAATCCTCAAGGATTCCTCACTGCAATGAGGCAAGAAACAACTCGAGCCCACAACGGCTGGGCTCTGGATAAGGTCAAATTGACAAACGACATTACCAAAATGATGTTGGAAGATGTAACGAGTCCTCCACCTGCTGAACTCGGCGGAGTTTACATTCACGGCTTATTCGTCGACGGCGCTGGCTGGGACAGAAAGAACATGCGGCTCACGGAATCTTCACCAAAGGTTACACTGAATAATTTGCTATTCTTTATAACTTTGTTTAAGGTTCTGTACACAGCGTTACCAGTAGCGCATGTCTACGCAATTAACACCTCCGAGCCCCAGGCGGGTGTTGGAGGCAAAAAAGGCCAGCAAGTAGCTCTATACAAATGTCCAGTCTACAAGAAACCTCGCAGAACCGACTTGACGTTTATTTTCTTTCTGATGCTTCGAACAACAAAAAATCCAGACTGGTGGACATTACGAGGTGTAGCAACGCTGTGTGACACAAAATAAATTTATTTTTTAATACAAAAACTATTTATATTTTTCTGAAATAAACTGAACTACGGTTCACTCAAAAATTGAAAAAAAAAAGTTTTTTAAAAGTCCTTGATTTCGTCACTCGCGCGTCATTCTGAGCCTTCATTTATAACGAGAACGGTAAGGGTTATGATAAGAGTTTCACTAAGGGTTAGCCTCGATTAGTGGTCATATCAAGGAAAAGGGACATTTCAAGAAAGCGGACATTTCAAGAAAAAGAGACATTTCAAGCAAAAAAATAAAATTCTTGAAATGTCCATTTTCTTTAAATGTCTGTTTTGATTGAAATGTCCTCTTTTCTTGAAATGTCTTTTCAGATTGAAATGGCGCTTCTTCTTGAAATGTACAATTTACTTTTTCTAATTTTAATTGTTGCACATACTCAAACGTAAAATTTTTGACCCCCTACTCAGACTTTTTCAAATTTAAAATTTTGAAAAATATAAAGATTCAAGTTATTGATTTATTTATGGTCTCTGATGTTTCCTCGAATAAAAAGTCGCAATGATTAGATGATATTCCCCAAATTTGCACTAAAAAATTTGAAAAAGTAAGGGAAAAACATTCAATCAGCTGGTCCTAAGACAATCAAAAATTTTTGTAGTTTATTTTCTGGGGCACCCGCTAAAAGCAGCAAATTATCGTTGAATCTTCCAGATGCGCGTCTTTTATAAATATACTTAAAAATATTGGGTTTTTAAATATTTCAATTTTTCGAAGGTAAAGGCCGACGGGGGATCTTGGAGAGATGTTTATCACTATATTTGACTGTCATCGAGAAGATGTATAACGACAGTTAAGGCAGCCCAATGCAACAAATTGACGATGGTTAGAGCAGCTCCTTGCAACAAGTTCACGACGTTTAAAGCAGCCCTTTGCAAAAAAATGAAGACGTTAAAGGCAGCCCTTCGCAATGTTTAGACAACGTCACACACTTCCTTCATCAAAATTCATTTTACTTTGAATCTGAGAGAAAGTTTTTTAACCCCCATCGGTACGTGTCCATTTTGGACATTTTTTATTTTGGCCATATCTTTTTCATTAAAAAGATTCAATATTTCATCCCTCTTAGCAGCAATCGTAAAAAATAAAAATCAAAAATGTCCATGTTGGACACGTAATAACGATGGGGGTTAACAGATTCTACGCCTGCCTTACTTACAATGGACGTTTTGAACGATCAAAAAGCATATTTGAAACATTTAATGGAAAATATATTTTTTTTTATTTTTAAATTTTTGATCTGAGTGGGGGGAAAGCAGTTTTCATTCTGCGACACCGCAACAATAAAATTGTTGAAATCAAATGGGGACATTTCAAGAAAAAGGGACATTTCAATAGAAATACACATTTCAAGTAAAGCGGACATTTCAATAGCATCAAAGATGATGCATATGACCAAAAATGAATATGACCAAGGAGAATCAATCGAATGAGAATATTTTTTCAAGAATCAAGCCAACAAGAATCTGGTCACAAGAATCTGGTCACAAGAATCTGGTCATAAGAATCTGGTCATGAGAATCCGACCAATGAGAATCTGAGAATGAGAATCTGACCATTGAGAATCTGAACAATAAGAATCCGACCTATGAGAATCTGACCAATGAGAATCAAGCTTCAAAAATTAAAATATTTTTCTAAAATAGCAATTATATTTATTTTAATTTAATGTTTTGAAGGCATTTAAATCATGTTTATTTCGATAAAAATACAAACACTGATTGTAAATGAAAACTCCAAAATGGCGGGTTTTGAATTCAACGCAATCAAAAGTAACTAAGTATTTAAATTCTACTGGCGATTGCGCTTTGAATATTCAAATGTTTTTAACATGCATGTTTATTAAATATTTTCTGGTGGAGAAAAATTGAATAGTGGTATTTCAATGATTTTTGAAAATGAAGCGCATCGTGGTGCGCTTAATAGTGATATTTTGGTGCGGGTTGAAATGGAGTCGCATTGATTGCGAATTCATAAGAGCTGCGGAGCGGGTCGGAATGTTCTTGCATTGAGGTGCATGAGCATAGGAGCGGATTCAGGTGGAGAGTCAAGTGATTTTTGTCATTTTTTTTTGAGTGAAATTTTTGGAAAGGGGTTAATCGTTTTTGTTTTAGATGTCTTCGGGCATAGTGAAAAGATGTGTTCAATTGGAAACGGCGACATTGCCCTACTTGAAATGGCTCGCGAAAAAACACGGGGTTAATGGGAGTAATGTGAATAAGGAGCCACTTTTGGCGATGCTCATGGAGCTTGAATTGGGGTCTGTGTTCAAGGTTACGCTTACTGAGGATCGGCATGGGGAGGCATATTTGATTCCAATCGATGGGATCACTAAATTTGAGGATGAGAAAAAGCGAGGATATGCCACAGATTATACTTTAGATGAGGCGCGTAAACAATTCGCTATTGGCGAATCAAAGGAAATTTTTCGATTTGACGAGAATTCAATCAAGCAAGGTGAATATGGGACATCAGATCAAGACTGTCGTGCAGTCATGCTCGAGTTTTACACTGCAACAAATCAATTCAAAGAGTTCAAATTTGATGGCGCGAAAATTTTGAAGCGAAAAGGAGCCGTGTCTATCGAGGAGCCAGCCAAAACTAATGAGGACTATGATATTGAGTTTGAGGGATCGTACATGTGGGACGATGAAGTTGACAAATTGGGAGTATTTGGGGAGAATATTCGTAAGAGCAAGCAATATTTAGAGACGCGACAGTTAAATTTAGAGGCTGAAATGTTGCAAAACCAAGTCCTCGCGCAAATGCGCAAAAATGCTGAATCTCGAATAAAATTGATGAAGGCCTCAATGAATAATTTGAGTAAGCAGTCAAATGAATATGAGCGAGATCTTGAAGAGGTGCGAGGTATGAGGGATGAAGTTGATGAAGTGAGGCGGTTAAGAGATCTTGCTAGTGACAAAGAAGCGGAGTATGCTCAAGGGTCCGAGAATTTGCGCGGGAATGCTTACGAGAGAACTCCGAGTCAGCCTCAAAATATAAGATATGGTTATGATCGATTCGGTAACTGGGCAGGAAATGATTTTGGATCAAAGGGTCTCTCGAGCAAATTGAAATTGCCAGTACTTTTCGACAAGAAAGATGGGGAGAACAAATTTCATGATGTCAATAACTGGTTTATGAATTGTTGCTTTCTTATGGATCTTCAAAATATTACATCGCGGAAAGCGCGACTTGCAAACATGGTGGCGCACATCGGGGACCCACACCAGGCATTGGTGACCAAGGCGCTTAAATTAAAAAGGGAACCGAATGAAAATGATGTTCTCCAGGAGCTCTTGCGTCTACTCAATTACAATAGAAATTTCATCGAGCAGGAGATCGATCGATTCCAAATAATCAGATAAAAGCAACTTTTGACACAATTCCACGAGCTGCGAAATTTGGTCGGACTTTTGAATAATCATATTGATGGAAAGAATGGGGAAAGCGCAATTGATGCAATTACGTTACGCGAGTTCAAGGGGAAATTGCCTAAGTCGATCTCCAATCAAATTCTTTTCCGAATCGGGTGCGAGGATAGAAACCCGGAAGAAATCATTCGATTTGCCCAGCAAATAATAGACAGTACCCCGCTGAATCAAGTGTGAATAATTTGAAAGATGAAACTGATTCGGAAACGAACGCCCTGAAGGCGAAAAAATGGGGCGAGAAAAAGGGTGACAGACCAACGAGTCGCGGGATTGAATCGTTGCGCAATAAATGCTACGTTTGCGGAAGGGCAAATAACACGGCGAGAGAGTGTTTTTATAAGTCGAAAAGCGGATGTTTCAGATGTGGAGATTCATCACACCGAGTTCAGGATTGTACTGTGGGAGAAGGTCCCCTCCTCTTAGGCATAGTAACTGGCCCTAATGGCGGACAAAGTCCCCGGAGAAGTAGTGCAGTGGTAGCACACCGGTTCATGAACACGGAGGTCCCTGGTTCGACCCCAGGCTTCTTCAATACTTTTCACTCGCCTTTGCCTGATCCTACAGTACGAAGCCATTACGTAGACCTCAGAAGGACTCCTCTTCTCAAGGAGAGCGCAAAGAAGAAAAGAAGTCGACTGTCCCACCAGCGGGATATATTTGTAGAATTTGTAACGTTCCAGGGCACTGGATTCAAGAATGTCCTGAAAGAGCTCAGAAGAGGGATTAATCAGCAATATGAGCTCGTTGCCAACCGTTTTGGTAACGATATGTCAATTTTTGGGGATATCGAAAGTCGAGAAAGGGCCATTTTGTTTTTTAGTTGATACTGGTTCTGAGAAAAGTTTTGTTAAAAAAGGTCTTCTTGAGGGTTCTTCTATTAAATTCTGTCCAAGAAAACGTGCGTTATGCATCGGAAACGCGGCGGGTTCAACAATGTGTAGAGTAACGGAGAAAATTGATTGTGACATCCGAATTGAAGGCTTGGATAGTTCAGTTTGTTGTATTAATGTTGAAATAAACGTCTGGAATAATGATCTTTCATATGATGGGATTTTGGGGTTTGATGTTCTGAAATTTATTGATCTTAAACGTGTTCTGAATTCGAGGGTTCTGTATTTGAATAATATGCAAATAGTCGAAGATGATTTTGAGGAGTATCCGTGGGTTATTTTAGATAATCCAGACATGAGCAAAAGAGGAAAGTGCATTTTAGTGAGGGCAGATGTTTATGTTCCACCGCATGGCCACGCATGGGCCAGAATCAATCATCAATTAAAGAAAGTTTTTACTGACACAGATTTCGAGCTTCTTGAAAATGGAATTTACGCGAACTTGAATCGAGAACTTGACTCATCAAGGACATTAATTAAACTTGAAAATCACACGGGCATTGGGGTTCTTGTAAGCGAAAATTTTCCAATCTTAGAGATAGTTGAGCGGTATCAAATTAATTTCCTGAGGGAGATGGGGCAAATTGAAAATTTTGAGAGAGTTGTTCATGAAAAAGAAATCGAAATATGGCGCGAGCGGCGTAATCAATTAGTCATCGAGTCAGATATTTCAGCAGAAATTCTAGCAGCCGCAGAAGGAGCTCCTCAAGAGTATAAACCGGGGCTTATAGTTGTTCTCAATAAGCATAATTGGATTTATTCAAGAAATTCGAGTGATTGTGGATACAGTTGTAGTTTTGTTGCAGACCTTGTTATTGATGATGCAGGGGTTCCTACTTTTGCTAAACCGTATAATATTGACAATAGTCAATTACCAGCTGTAGAGGGAAAATTAACGGAGATGGAGACTGCTGGGATAAGAAGATTGGGAAATTCTGGATGGAACGCCCCTCTGCTAACTGTTCCAAAATCTGATGGGTCAATTAGAATCGTTCAAAATTATAGCGGGGCATCGAGGGGACAAAAATCGCTTAATGAGAGGTTAATTCTGCCGAAGTGGCCAATTCAGACAATAAGAACGATCCTTACCACTATTTCGAGATATATCACGGAGTTGAAATCTGATTTTCCAGGGGAACAAATATATTTTTCCAGCATCGATATTCGTAATGCTTTCTATACTCTCGCTTAAAGACAAGGAAAAAGGGAATATTCTTCTTTTATATTTAATGACAAGCAGTTTGAGTATCTAAAAATGTCGCAAGGTTTGGCGACATCGCCGTCGACGTTTACAGCTTTTATAAGTAAATTTTTCGCGAAAATTGAGGTCAAAGAGAAAAACTTTTTTCGGGTCATCTGTTATATGGATGATATCCTGGTTATAACCGTTGGGAAACATTTCAATAAAGCGATTGATAAGATTTTTACTTTGTTCCAACAAGAAAATGTGGTTGTTTCATTGAAAAAATGCAGCTTTTATAAAGCGGATACAAAATTTTGGGCTTCTTGATCTCTGAGAAAGGTTATCGTGCGGACTTGAAAAAGATCGAGGGTATTTTGAATCTAAAATATCCGGAAACGTCGAAAGAGGCACAGAGGTGGCTAGGGACTGTAAATTATTTTAATCGTCTTATTCGAGGTGCTTCTGAGTTGCTTACTTCCTTCGCGAAAGAATCTGGCAAAGGGAAAAAGTATATGCTCACTGAACAGATTAAGGCGGACATTGATGAATTAAAAAGGCGAATCAAAGTAAATGGGGTGCAAATGATCCATTTAAAATATTATAACGGGACAGATGGGAACTATTGTTTCGTGGCAAGCGATTCCTCACTTTACGCTACTGGGGGAGCACTTGGAAATTGTCATTTATATGATAATGAAGTGAGCGATATTCAGTTCGCGGAATTTTGTAGTAGAAAGCTGGACGAGCAGGAGGTACTGCTCTCGGCCAGGTCCAGGGAACTTATTGCGCTATCGACCTGTTTGCAGTCGTTTTCAGATATATTAGCGAAAGATATGCCTTTACTGGCTATTGTGGATCACAAGTCTTTGACTGAAGTACTCAAAAATATAAACTTTAGAGGCGCCGGGCAAACGAGGGTTCGTAAGGCGTTTGCCGTGTTATTGGATTTTCCGAATCTTAGAATTTTACACTGTGCAGGGACATCGGAGGTTATCAACGTCGTCGATTTTATAAGCCGAAATAGCAATTTTATCATTGATGAAATAAATCCACGAATTTTCAGTCCGAAAAATTTAGAGCTTGAGCTTTCTTGTGTTAATAATTTGACAGAAATTGGAAAGGTCGTTCACGAGATCGACATTAAAAATCTCATAAGGGCGCAGAGGGAAGATTTTAAGGATATTTATGAGGAGTCAAACGGCGAGTTCCGAACGATTGGAGATAAGGAGTACGCTTTGCAAAATGATCTTTTATTTCAAAGGGTGAAATCGGGGGCGAATTTGCTAATGATCCCACCATCTCAAGCGAAAGAGGTCGTTCAATTTTTGCATGTGGGTTGCATGCATGCTTGTCGGCAGGAGATTTTAACAAAAGTGAGAATGTACAAGATTTTAATAAAAAATAAGCAGCGAATCATTGATGAAGTCCTTAGATATTGTACGTACTGCAAGATTCGCATGACAACTAAACATTCTTTTGAAAAGCAGCAGTATTTGAGGGAGCCTGCTTTAAAGTCACTTGAGAAAATCCATTTGGATGTCGTTGACATCAGAACGAATGAGGGAAAAAGCAATCTATTTATCTCTTTTGTAGACGAATTCAGCAGAAAACTTTTTATCAAGAAAGTCAGAAATAAAAGTGGAAGTTACTCGATTGTTATAAATGATAACGGCAAAGAATTTGTCAGCGCGGCGGTGCGGGAAGCACTTAAGGTTCTCAATATAAACAGGGCATTAATTCTTTGCCCTGTTTTGTTCATTGTTCTGAGAACAGCCAAATTTGAGGCTTTAATAAGCCAAATTTCAGTTTTCACCCGATTTTCAGAAAGCAAGCTGTTCATGTGAATGCTCCAAGAAGCCCGACCATTCGTAAGGCCGTTGACGATGCTGCCAGAGCCTCAGTCAAGAAAATTGAGTACAAGATTGACAAAGACCTCAACCATTACAAGTCGCTGACAGTCCGTGGCCACAATGTCTGCGTCAACAGATTTGCTGAGTCTGTTTTTGGAATCTTCAAGAAGGCTGAACTAGACAAGGCTTCAGCCACAACTGAAACAGTGATTGAGCTAACGATCGCAAGAAAGAACAACCTCGAATTCTACTTGGATAACTTGTCCGACTCCGAGATCAAATCACTTTGCCAGAAAATTGATGGAAAGAAAGCTTTTCAAAACTACCGTTTTGCAAGAATCGCCACTCAGCTCAAGCTACAAGAATTCGCCGCAAAACGCCGAGAATCGATTGCAAGGGAGAAATCTGGAAAACAACTGAAAAAAGAATTGAAGAAGGAAAACAAAACGCCTCTCAGGTCTTCGCTAACGAAAAGAAGAAAAATCGCCAAAGAACTCTGATTAATTGAATAATAACAGCTGTTTTTACTGCCTAAGACTGATCAAAATATACTATTTATTCTAATTTCCGCTCAGTAAATTGATTACGATTAGCGCGCGCTCGGTGTGAAACAGCGCTAAAAATAAATGCTTGTTCTGAGAGCTTCTCAGGGTTATTAAAGGCTTAAATGGTGAGCTCTTTCGAGAAAATATCACGAAGAAAAGGTTTGCTGGCAAGATAACTTTATTCAAACCATTTTTGGAATGAAAAAAATAAACTGAAAGGCTAGTATAAGGGGTACCATCCTCGAAAGTTTGAAGCGCTCTCACCATGTGAAGATATGTAAAAAATAAATACATATTTGGAATCAGCGAAAAAAACTGTACTTGATGATAAATTTTCACAGTTATCGGAGCACCTTGATTTTTCCGTGAAAGTCCCTAGCTATAATGAATCGCCCAAAAACGAGGTCAAAATTTTGAAACTTCGTTTTTCGCCCTAATTTAATTTGCAGCGTTTCCGCCGTCTTTTGAGCGTCATTTTGGTTGATTCTGAGCCTCTTAAAACCAACAGAAAAAATTCAAAAAAAAATTAATTTTTCGATGGTCTTCTCTATCATGAATCGCCCAAAAACGAGGTCAAAATTTTGAAACTTCGTTTTTCGCCCTTATTTTATTTGAAGCGTTTCCGCCGTCTTCAAAGCGTCATTTTGGTCGATTCTGAGCCTCTCAAAACCAACAGAAAAAAAATTCAAAAAAAAAAATATTTTTTTCGATGGTCTTCGCTATCATGAATCGCCCAAAAACGAGGTCAAAATTTTGAAACTTCGTTTTTTGCCCTTTTTTTAATTGCAGCGTTTCTGCCGTCTTTCGAGCGTCATTTTGGTTGATTCTGAGCCTCTTTAAACCAACAGAAAAAAATTCAAAAAAAAAAAAATTTTTTCGATGGTCTTCGCTATCATGAATCGCCCAAAAACGAGGTCGAAATTCTGAAACTTCGTTTTTCGCCCTTATTTTATTTGCAGCGTTTCCGCCGTCTTCGAAGCGTCATTTTGGTCGATTTTGAGCCTCTCAAAACCAACAGTAATACCACTAGGGAAACAGCTGCTCTACAACTACGTACTTCATCAGGAAAAATAATTGAAGAGAAATATTTCAAACCCGTCGTAGTTCTAATTCACGGCAAAAATTTATTTTTATTCGAAATCTTATGTGATGATCTCACTCATAACTTATATTGTCCATAAAGAGTAAATCACAAAATATAGTTTTCAAGTTTTGTATTTTATTACATTTATGTGTTTGAGTTTCAGGCTAACATAAAGTTACTTAAATCTAAGAGGTTGCATCGTTTATAAAGGGCGCATTTTTACAGCAAAGTTTTTTCTTTGCTTGTTAGCATTTGTTCAAACAACAAACGTTTTTTGGCGTTTTCAGATGATTTTCAGGTCATAAAAATCAAAAAAAAAAATCAAGAAAAATTCTGATTCGTTTTTTGGCGTTTTCAGATGATTTTCAGGTCATGAAAATAAAGAAAAATCAAGAAAAATTCTGATGCGTTTTTTGGCGTTTTCAGATGAAATTCAGGTCATAACAATCAAAAAAAATCAAGAAAAATTCTGATGCGTTTTTTGGCGTTTTAAGATGATTTACAATTCATAAATTTCAAAAAAAATCAAGAAAAATTCTGATGCGTTTTTTGGCGTTTTCAGATGATTTTCAGGTCATAAAAATCAAAGAAAAAAAATCAAGAAAAATTTTGAAGCGTTTTTTGGCGTTATCAGATGATTTTTAGGTCATTAAAAATCAAAAAAAAAGAAAAGAAAAATTCTGATGCGTTTTTTGGCGTTTTCAGATGATTTTCAGGCCATAAAAATCAAAACAAAATCAAGAAAAATTCTGATGCGTTTTTTGGCGTTTTTAGATGATTTTCAGTTCATAAAAATCAAAAAATATCAAGAAATATTCTGATGCGTTTTTGTCGTTTTCAGATGATTTTCAGTTCAAAAAATCATAAAAATCAAGAAAAATTCTGATGCGTTTTTGGCGTTTTCAAGTTATTTTCTGGTCATAAAAATCATAAAAATCAAGAATAATTCTGGTGCGTTTTTTGGCGTTTTCAGATGATTTTCAGTTCATTAAAACCAAAAAAACAAAAAATTCTGATGCGTTTTTGGCGTTTTCAGATGATTTTCAGGCCTTAAAAATCAAAAAATCAAGGAAAATTCTGATGCGTTTTTGGCGTTTTCAGATGATTTTCAGAACATAAAAATCAAAAAAAAAATCAAGAAAAATTCTGATGCGTTTTTTGGCATTTTCCGATGATTATCAGGTCATTAAAATCATAAAAAAAATCAAGAAAAATTCTGATGCGTTTTTTGGCGTTTCCAGATGATTTTCAGGTCATTAAAATCATAAAAAAAAATCAAGAAAAATTCTGATGCGTTTTTGGCGTTTTCAGATGATATAAAGGTCATAAAAATCAAAAAATCAAGGAAAATTCTGATGCGTTTTTGGCGTTTTCAGATGATTTTCAGGTCATAAAAATCAAAAAATCAAGAAAAATTCTGATGCGTTTTTGGCGTTTTCAGATGATTTTTAGGTCATTAAAATCAAAAAATCAAGGAAAATTCTGATGCGTTTTTTGGCGTTTTCAGATGATTTTCAGGTCATAAAAATAAAAAAAAAATCAAGAAAAATTCTGATGCGTTTTTTTTTGCGTTTTCAGATGATTTTCAGGTGATAAAAAAAAATCAAAAAAAAATTTTATGCGTTTTTTGGCGTTTTCAGATGATTATGAAATCAGATAAATGAAAACTCCAAAATGGCGGGTTTTGAATTCAACGCAATCAAAAGTAACTAAGTATTTAAATTCTACTGGCGATTGCGCTTTGAATATTCAAATGTTTTTAACATGCATGTTTATTAAATATTTTCTGGTGGAGAAAAATTGAATAGTGGTATTTCAATGATTTTTGAAAATGAAGCGCATCGTGGTGCGCTTAATAGTGATATTTTGGTGCGGGTTGAAATGGAGTCGCATTGATTGCGAATTCATAAGAGCTGCGGAGCGGGTCGGAATGTTCTTGCATTGAGGTGCATGAGCATAGGAGCGGATTCAGGTGGAGAGTCAAGTGATTTTTGTCATTTTTTTTTGAGTGAAATTTTTGGAAAGGGGTTAATCGTTTTTGTTTTAGATGTCTTCGGGCATAGTGAAAAGATGTGTTCAATTGGAAACGGCGACATTGCCCTACTTGAAATGGCTCGCGAAAAAACACGGGGTTAATGGGAGTAATGTGAATAAGGAGCCACTTTTGGCGATGCTCATGGAGCTTGAATTGGGGTCTGTGTTCAAGGTTACGCTTACTGAGGATCGGCATGGGGAGGCATATTTGATTCCAATCGATGGGATCACTAAATTTGAGGATGAGAAAAAGCGAGGATATGCCACAGATTATACTTTAGATGAGGCGCGTAAACAATTCGCTATTGGCGAATCAAAGGAAATTTTTCGATTTGACGAGAATTCAATCAAGCAAGGTGAATATGGGACATCAGATCAAGACTGTCGTGCAGTCATGCTCGAGTTTTACACTGCAACAAATCAATTCAAAGAGTTCAAATTTGATGGCGCGAAAATTTTGAAGCGAAAAGGAGCCGTGTCTATCGAGGAGCCAGCCAAAACTAATGAGGACTATGATATTGAGTTTGAGGGATCGTACATGTGGGACGATGAAGTTGACAAATTGGGAGTATTTGGGGAGAATATTCGTAAGAGCAAGCAATATTTAGAGACGCGACAGTTAAATTTAGAGGCTGAAATGTTGCAAAACCAAGTCCTCGCGCAAATGCGCAAAAATGCTGAATCTCGAATAAAATTGATGAAGGCCTCAATGAATAATTTGAGTAAGCAGTCAAATGAATATGAGCGAGATCTTGAAGAGGTGCGAGGTATGAGGGATGAAGTTGATGAAGTGAGGCGGTTAAGAGATCTTGCTAGTGACAAAGAAGCGGAGTATGCTCAAGGGTCCGAGAATTTGCGCGGGAATGCTTACGAGAGAACTCCGAGTCAGCCTCAAAATATAAGATATGGTTATGATCGATTCGGTAACTGGGCAGGAAATGATTTTGGATCAAAGGGTCTCTCGAGCAAATTGAAATTGCCAGTACTTTTCGACAAGAAAGATGGGGAGAACAAATTTCATGATGTCAATAACTGGTTTATGAATTGTTGCTTTCTTATGGATCTTCAAAATATTACATCGCGGAAAGCGCGACTTGCAAACATGGTGGCGCACATCGGGGACCCACACCAGGCATTGGTGACCAAGGCGCTTAAATTAAAAAGGGAACCGAATGAAAATGATGTTCTCCAGGAGCTCTTGCGTCTACTCAATTACAATAGAAATTTCATCGAGCAGGAGATCGATCGATTCCAAATAATCAGATAAAAGCAACTTTTGACACAATTCCACGAGCTGCGAAATTTGGTCGGACTTTTGAATAATCATATTGATGGAAAGAATGGGGAAAGCGCAATTGATGCAATTACGTTACGCGAGTTCAAGGGGAAATTGCCTAAGTCGATCTCCAATCAAATTCTTTTCCGAATCGGGTGCGAGGATAGAAACCCGGAAGAAATCATTCGATTTGCCCAGCAAATAATAGACAGTACCCCCGCTGAATCAAGTGTGAATAATTTGAAAGATGAAACTGATTCGGAAACGAACGCCCTGAAGGCGAAAAAATGGGGCGAGAAAAAGGGTGACAGACCAACGAGTCGCGGGATTGAATCGTTGCGCAATAAATGCTACGTTTGCGGAAGGGCAAATCACACGGCGAGAGAGTGTTTTTATAAGTCGAAAAGCGGATGTTTCAGATGTGGAGATTCATCACACCGAGTTCAGGATTGTACGAAGCCATTACGTAGACCTCAGAAGGACTCCTCTTCTCAAGGAGAACGCAAAGAAGAAAAGAAGTCGACTGTCCCACCAGCCGGATATATTTGTAGAATTTGTAACGTTCCAGGGCACTGGATTCAAGAATGTCCTGAAAGAGCTCAGAAGAGGGATTAATCAGCAATATGAGCTCGTTACCAACCGTTTTGGTAACGATATGTCAATTTTTAGGGATATCAAAAGTCGAGAAGGGGCCATTTTGTTTTTTAGTTGATACTGGTTCTGAGAAAAGTTTTGTCAAAAAGGGTCTTCTTGAGGGTTCTTCTATTAAATTCTGTCCAAGAAAACGTGCGTTATGCATCGGAAACGCGGCGGGTTCAACAATGTGTAGAGTAATAGAGAAAATTGATTGTGACATCCGAATTGAAGGCTTGGATAGTTCAGTTTGTTGTATTAATGTTGAAATAAACGTCTGGAATAATGATCTTTCATATGATGGGATTTTGGGGTTTGATGTTCTGAAATTTATTGATCTTAAACGTGTTCTGAATTCGAGGGTTCTGTATTTGAATAATATGCAAATAGTCGAAGATGATTTTGAGGAGTATCCGTGGGTTATTTTAGATAATCCAGACATGAGCAAAAGAGGAAAGTGCATTTTAGTGAGGGCAGATGTTTATGTTCCACCGCATGGCCACGCATGGGCCAGAATCAATCATCAATTAAAGAAAGTTTTTACTGACACAGATTTCGAGCTTCTTGAAAATGGAATTTACGCGAACTTGAATCGAGAACTTGACTCATCAAGGACATTAATTAAACTTGAAAATCACACGGGCATTGGGGTTCTTGTAAGCGAAAATTTTCCAATCTTAGAGATAGTTGAGCGGTATCAAATTAATTTCCTGAGGGAGATGGGGCAAATTGAAAATTTTGAGAGAGTTGTTCATGAAAAAGAAATCGAAATATGGCGCGAGCGGCGTAATCAATTAGTCAACGAGTCAGATATTTCAGCAGAAATTCTAGCAGCCGCAGAAGGAGCTCCTCAAGAGTATAAACCGGGGCTTATAGTTGTTCTCAATAAGCATAATTGGATTTATTCAAGAAATTCGAGTGATTGTGGATACAGTTGTAGTTTTGTTGCAGACCTTGTTATTGATGATGCAGGGGTTCCTACTTTTGCTAAACCGTATAATATTGACAATAGTCAATTACCAGCTGTAGAGGGAAAATTAACGGAGATGGAGACTGCTGGGATAAGAAGATTGGGAAATTCTGGATGGAACGCCCCTCTGCTAACTGTTCCAAAATCTGATGGGTCAATTAGAATCGTTCAAAATTATAGCGGGGCATCGAGGGGACAAAAATCGCTTAATGAGAGGTTAATTCTGCCGAAGTGGCCAATTCAGACAATAAGAACGATCCTTACCACTATTTCGAGATATATCACGGAGTTGAAATCTGATTTTCCAGGGGAACAAATATATTTTTCCAGCATCGATATTCGTAATGCTTTCTATACTCTCGCTTAAAGACAAGGAAAAAGGGAATATTCTTCTTTTATATTTAATGACAAGCAGTTTGAGTATCTAAAAATGTCGCAAGGTTTGGCGACATCGCCGTCGACGTTTACAGCTTTTATAAGTAAATTTTTCGCGAAAATTGAGGTCAAAGAGAAAAACCTTTTTCGGTTCATCTGTTATATGGATGATATCCTGGTTATAACCGTTGGGAAACATTTCAATAAAGCGATTGATAAGATTTTTACTTTGTTCCAACAAGAAAATGTGGTTGTTTCATTGAAAAAATGCAGCTTTTATAAAGCGGATACAAAATTTTTGGGCTTCTTGATCTCTGAGAAAGGTTATCGTGCGGACTTGAAAAAGATCGAGGGTATTTTGAATCTAAAATATCCGGAAACGTCGAAAGAGGCACAGAGGTGGCTAGGGACTGTAAATTATTTTAATCGTCTTATTCGAGGTGCTTCTGAGTTGCTTACTTCCTTCGCGAAAGAATCTGGCAAAGGGAAAAAGTATATGCTCACTGAACAGATTAAGGCGGACATTGATGAATTAAAAAGGCGAATCAAAGTAAATGGGGTGCAAATGATCCATTTAAAATATTATAACGGGACAGATGGGAACTATTGTTTCGTGGCAAGCGATTCCTCACTTTACGCTACTGGGGGAGCACTTGGAAATTGTCATTTATATGATAATGAAGTGAGCGATATTCAGTTCGCGGAATTTTGTAGTAGAAAGCTGGACGAGCAGGAGGTACTGCTCTCGGCCAGGTCCAGGGAACTTATTGCGCTATCGACCTGTTTGCAGTCGTTTTCAGATATATTAGCGAAAGATATGCCTTTACTGGCTATTGTGGATCACAAGTCTTTGACTGAAGTACTCAAAAATATAAACTTTAGAGGCGCCGGGCAAACGAGGGTTCGTAAGGCGTTTGCCGTGTTATTGGATTTTCCGAATCTTAGAATTTTACACTGTGCAGGGACATCGGAGGTTATCAACGTCGTCGATTTTATAAGCCGAAATAGCAATTTTATCATTGATGAAATAAATCCACGAATTTTCAGTCCGAAAAATTTAGAGCTTGAGCTTTCTTGTGTTAATAATTTGACAGAAATTGGAAAGGTCGTTCACGAGATCGACATTAAAAATCTCATAAGGGCGCAGAGGGAAGATTTTAAGGATATTTATGAGGAGTCAAACGGCGAGTTCCGAACGATTGGAGATAAGGAGTACGCTTTGCAAAATGATCTTTTATTTCAAAGGGTGAAATCGGGGGCGAATTTGCTAATGATCCCACCATCTCAAGCGAAAGAGGTCGTTCAATTTTTGCATGTGGGTTGCATGCATGCTTGTCGGCAGGAGATTTTAACAAAAGTGAGAATGTACAAGATTTTAATAAAAAATAAGCAGCGAATCATTGATGAAGTCCTTAGATATTGTACGTACTGCAAGATTCGCATGACAACTAAACATTCTTTTGAAAAGCAGCAGTATTTGAGGGAGCCTGCTTTAAAGTCACTTGAGAAAATCCATTTGGATGTCGTTGACATCAGAACGAATGAGGGAAAAAGCAATCTATTTATCTCTTTTGTAGACGAATTCAGCAGAAAACTTTTTATCAAGAAAGTCAGAAATAAAAGTGGAAGTTACTCGATTGTTATAAATGATAACGGCAAAGAATTTGTCAGCGCGGCGGTGCGGGAAGCACTTAAGGTTCTCAATATAAACAGGGCATTAATTCTTTGCCCTGTTTTGTTCATTGTTCTGAGAACAGCCAAATTTGAGGCTTTAATAAGCCAAATTTCAGTTTTCACCCGATTTTCAGAAAGCAAGCTGTTCATGTGAATGCTCCAAGAAGCCCGACCATTCGTAAGGCCGTTGACGATGCTGCCAGAGCCTCAGTCAAGAAAATTGAGTACAAGATTGACAAAGACCTCAACCATTACAAGTCGCTGACAGTCCGTGGCCACTATGTCTGCGTCAACAGATTTGCTGAGTCTGTTTTTGGAATCTTCAAGAAGGCTGAACTAGACAAGGCTTCAGCCACAACTGAAACAGTGATTGAGCTAACGATCGCAAGAAAGAACAACCTCGAATTCTACTTGGATAACTTGTCCGACTCCGAGATCAAATCACTTTGCCAGAAAATTGATGGAAAGAAAGCTTTTCAAAACTACCGTTTTGCAAGAATCGCCACTCAGCTCAAGCTACAAGAATTCGCCGCAAAACGCCGAGAATCGATTGCAAGGGAGAAATCTGGAAAACAACTGAAAAAAGAATTGAAGAAGGAAAACAAAACGCCTCTCAGGTCTTCGCTAACGAAAAGAAGAAAAATCGCCAAAGAACTCTGATTAATTGAATAATAACAGCTGTTTTTACTGCCTAAGACTGATCAAAATATACTATTTATTCTAATTTCCGCTCAGTAAATTGATTACGATTAGCGCGCGCTCGGTGTGAAACAGCGCTAAAAATAAATGCTTGTTCTGAGAGCTTCTCAGGGTTATTAAAGGCTTAAATGGTGAGCTCTTTCGAGAAAATATCACGAAGAAAAGGTTTGCTGGCAAGATAACTTTATTCAAACCATTTTTGGAATGAAAAAAATAAACTGAAAGGCTAGTATAAGGGGTACCATCCTCGAAAGTTTGAAGCGCTCTCACCATGTGAAGATATGTAAAAAATAAATACATATTTGGAATCAGCGAAAAAAACTGTACTTGATGATAAATTTTCACAGTTATCGGAGCACCTTGATTTTTCCGTGAAAGTCCCTAGCTATAATGAATCGCCCAAAAACGAGGTCAAAATTTTGAAACTTCGTTTTTCGCCCTAATTTAATTTGCAGCGTTTCCGCCGTCTTTTGAGCGTCATTTTGGTTGATTCTGAGCCTCTTAAAACCAACAGAAAAAATTCAAAAAAAAATTAATTTTTCGATGGTCTTCTCTATCATGAATCGCCCAAAAACGAGGTCAAAATTTTGAAACTTCGTTTTTCGCCCTTATTTTATTTGAAGCGTTTCCGCCGTCTTCAAAGCGTCATTTTGGTCGATTCTGAGCCTCTCAAAACCAACAGAAAAAATTCAAAAAATATTTTTTCGATGGTCTTCGCTATCATGAATCGCCCAAAAACGAGGTCAAAATTTTGAAACTTCGTTTTTTGCCCTTTTTTTAATTGCAGCGTTTCTGCCGTCTTTCGAGCGTCATTTTGGTTGATTCTGAGCCTCTTTAAACCAACAGAAAAAAATTCAAAAAAAAAAAAATTTTTTCGATGGTCTTCGCTATCATGAATCGCCCAAAAACGAGGTCGAAATTCTGAAACTTCGTTTTTCGCCCTTATTTTATTTGCAGCGTTTCCGCCGTCTTCGAAGCGTCATTTTGGTCGATTTTGAGCCTCTCAAAACCAACAGTAATACCACTAGGGAAACAGCTGCTCTACAACTACGTACTTCATCAGGAAAAAATAATTGAAGAGAAATATTTCAAACCCGTCGTAGTTCTAATTCACGGCAAAAATTTATTTTTATTCGAAATCTTATGTGATGATCTCACTCATAACTTATATTGTCCATAAAGAGTAAATCACAAAATATAGTTTTCAAGTTTTGTATTTTATTACATTTATGTGTTTGAGTTTCAGGCTAACATAAAGTTACTTAAATCTAAGAGGTTGCATCGTTTATAAAGGGCGCATTTTTACAGCAAAGTTTTTTCTTTGCTTGTTAGCATTTGTTCAAACAACAAACGTTTTTTGGCGTTTTCAGATGATTTTCAGGTCATAAAAATCAAAAAAAAAAATCAAGAAAAATTCTGATTCGTTTTTTGGCGTTTTCAGATGATTTTCAGGTCATAAAAATCAAAAAAAATCAAGAAAAATTCTGATGCGTTTTTTGGCGTTTTCAGATGATTTTTGGTCATAAACATCAAACAAAAATCAAGAAAAATTCTGATGCGTTTTATGGCGTTTTCAGATGATTTTCAGGTCATGAAAATAAAGAAAAAATCAAGGAAAATTCTGATGCGTTTTTTGGCGTTTTCAGATGAAATTCAGCTTATAAAAATCAAAAAATAAAATCAAGAAAAATTCTGATGCGTTCTCTGACGTTTTCAGATGATTTTCAGGTCATAAAAATCAAAAAAAAATCAAGAAAAATTCTGATGCGTTTTTTGGCGTTTTCAGATGATTTTTGGTCATAAACATCAAACAAAAATCAACAAAAATTCTGATGCGTTTTTTGGCGTTTTCAGATGATTTTCAGGTCATGAAAATAAAGAAAAAATCAAGAAAAATTCTGATGCGTTTTTTTGCGTTTTCAGATGAAATTCAGGTCATAAAAGTCAAAAAAAATCAACAAAAATTCTGATGCGTTTTTTGGCGTTTTCAGATGATTTTCAGGTCATGAAAATAAAGAAAAATCAAGAAAAATTCTAATGCGTTTTTTGGCGTTTTCAGATGAAATTCAGGTCATAAAAATCAAAAAAAATCAAGAAAAATTCTGATGCGTTTTTTGGCGTTTTAAGATGATTTACAATTCATAAATTTCAAAAAAAATCAAGAAAAATTCTGATGCGTTTTTTGGCGTTTTCAGATGATTTTCAGGTCATAAAAATCAAAGAAAAAAAATCAAGAAAAATTTTGAAGCGTTTTTTGGCGTTATCAGATGATTTTTAGGTCATAAAAATCAAAAAAAAAGAAAAGAAAAATTCTGATGCGTTTTTTGACGTTTTCAGATGATTTTCAGGCCATAAAAATCAAAACAAAATCAAGAAAAATTCTGATGCGTTTTTTGGCGTTTTTAGATGATTTTCAGTTCATAAAAATCAAAAAAAATATCAAGAAATATTCTGATGCGTTTTTTGTCGTTTTCAGATGATTTTCAGTTCAAAAAAATCATAAAAAATCAAGAAAAATTCTGATGCGTTTTTTGGCGTTTTCAAGTTATTTTCTGGTCATAAAAATCATAAAAAAATCAAGAATAATTCTGGTGCGTTTTTTGGCGTTTTCAGATGATTTTCAGTTCATTAAAACCAAAAAAACAAAAAAATTCTGATGCGTTTTTTGGCGTTTTCAGATGATTTTCAGGCCATAAAAATCAAAAAAAAAATCAAGGAAAATTCTGATGCGTTTTTTGGCGTTTTCAGATGATTTTCAGAACATAAAAATCAAAAAATCAAGAAAAATTCTGATGCGTTTTTTGGCATTTTCCGATGATTTTCAGGTCATTAAAATCATAAAAAAAATCAAAATTCATTTTACTTTGAATCTGAGAGAAAGTTTTTTAACCCCCATCGGTACGTGTCCATTTTGGACATTTTTTATTTTGGCCATATCTTTTTCATTAAAAAGATTCAATATTTCATCCCTCTTAGCAGCAATCGTAAAAAATAAAAATCAAAAATGTCCATGTTGGACACGTAATAACGATGGGGGTTAACAGATTCTACGCCTGCCTTACTTACAATGGACGTTTTGAACGATCAAAAAGCATATTTGAAACATTTAATGGAAAATATATTTTTTTTTATTTTTAAATTTTTGATCTGAGTGGGGGGAAAGCAGTTTTCATTCTGCGACACCGCAACAATAAAATTGTTGAAATCAAATGGGGACATTTCAAGAAAAAGGGACATTTCAATAGAAATACACATTTCAAGTAAAGCGGACATTTCAATAGCATCAAAGATGATGCATATGACCAAAAATGAATATGACCAAGGAGAATCAATCGAATGAGAATATTTTTCAAGAATCAAGCCAACAAGAATCTGGTCACAAGAATCTGGTCACAAGAATCTGGTCATAAGAATCTGGTCATGAGAATCCGACCAATGAGAATCTGAGAATGAGAATCTGACCATTGAGAATCTGAACAATAAGAATCCGACCTATGAGAATCTGACCAATGAGAATCAAGCTTCAAAAATTAAAATATTTTTCTAAAATAGCAATTATATTTATTTTAATTTAATGTTTTGAAGGCATTTAAATCATGTTTATTTCGATAAAAATACAAACACTGATTGTAAATGAAAACTCCAAAATGGCGGGTTTTGAATTCAACGCAATCAAAAGTAACTAAGTATTTAAATTCTACTGGCGATTGCGCTTTGAATATTCAAATGTTTTTAACATGCATGTTTATTAAATATTTTCTGGTGGAGAAAAATTGAATAGTGGTATTTCAATGATTTTTGAAAATGAAGCGCATCGTGGTGCGCTTAATAGTGATATTTTGGTGCGGGTTGAAATGGAGTCGCATTGATTGCGAATTCATAAGAGCTGCGGAGCGGGTCGGAATGTTCTTGCATTGAGGTGCATGAGCATAGGAGCGGATTCAGGTGGAGAGTCAAGTGATTTTTGTCATTTTTTTTTGAGTGAAATTTTTGGAAAGGGGTTAATCGTTTTTGTTTTAGATGTCTTCGGGCATAGTGAAAAGATGTGTTCAATTGGAAACGGCGACATTGCCCTACTTGAAATGGCTCGCGAAAAAACACGGGGTTAATGGGAGTAATGTGAATAAGGAGCCACTTTTGGCGATGCTCATGGAGCTTGAATTGGGGTCTGTGTTCAAGGTTACGCTTACTGAGGATCGGCATGGGGAGGCATATTTGATTCCAATCGATGGGATCACTAAATTTGAGGATGAGAAAAAGCGAGGATATGCCACAGATTATACTTTAGATGAGGCGCGTAAACAATTCGCTATTGGCGAATCAAAGGAAATTTTTCGATTTGACGAGAATTCAATCAAGCAAGGTGAATATGGGACATCAGATCAAGACTGTCGTGCAGTCATGCTCGAGTTTTACACTGCAACAAATCAATTCAAAGAGTTCAAATTTGATGGCGCGAAAATTTTGAAGCGAAAAGGAGCCGTGTCTATCGAGGAGCCAGCCAAAACTAATGAGGACTATGATATTGAGTTTGAGGGATCGTACATGTGGGACGATGAAGTTGACAAATTGGGAGTATTTGGGGAGAATATTCGTAAGAGCAAGCAATATTTAGAGACGCGACAGTTAAATTTAGAGGCTGAAATGTTGCAAAACCAAGTCCTCGCGCAAATGCGCAAAAATGCTGAATCTCGAATAAAATTGATGAAGGCCTCAATGAATAATTTGAGTAAGCAGTCAAATGAATATGAGCGAGATCTTGAAGAGGTGCGAGGTATGAGGGATGAAGTTGATGAAGTGAGGCGGTTAAGAGATCTTGCTAGTGACAAAGAAGCGGAGTATGCTCAAGGGTCCGAGAATTTGCGCGGGAATGCTTACGAGAGAACTCCGAGTCAGCCTCAAAATATAAGATATGGTTATGATCGATTCGGTAACTGGGCAGGAAATGATTTTGGATCAAAGGGTCTCTCGAGCAAATTGAAATTGCCAGTACTTTTCGACAAGAAAGATGGGGAGAACAAATTTCATGATGTCAATAACTGGTTTATGAATTGTTGCTTTCTTATGGATCTTCAAAATATTACATCGCGGAAAGCGCGACTTGCAAACATGGTGGCGCACATCGGGGACCCACACCAGGCATTGGTGACCAAGGCGCTTAAATTAAAAAGGGAACCGAATGAAAATGATGTTCTCCAGGAGCTCTTGCGTCTACTCAATTACAATAGAAATTTCATCGAGCAGGAGATCGATCGATTCCAAATAATCAGATAAAAGCAACTTTTGACACAATTCCACGAGCTGCGAAATTTGGTCGGACTTTTGAATAATCATATTGATGGAAAGAATGGGGAAAGCGCAATTGATGCAATTACGTTACGCGAGTTCAAGGGGAAATTGCCTAAGTCGATCTCCAATCAAATTCTTTTCCGAATCGGGTGCGAGGATAGAAACCCGGAAGAAATCATTCGATTTGCCCAGCAAATAATAGACAGTACCCCCGCTGAATCAAGTGTGAATAATTTGAAAGATGAAACTGATTCGGAAACGAACGCCCTGAAGGCGAAAAAATGGGGCGAGAAAAAGGGTGACAGACCAACGAGTCGCGGGATTGAATCGTTGCGCAATAAATGCTACGTTTGCGGAAGGGCAAATAACACGGCGAGAGAGTGTTTTTATAAGTCGAAAAGCGGATGTTTCAGATGTGGAGATTCATCACACCGAGTTCAGGATTGTACTGTGGGAGAAGGTCCCCTCCTCTTAGGCATAGTAACTGGCCCTAATGGCGGACAAAGTCCCCGGAGAAGTAGTGCAGTGGTAGCACACCGGTTCATGAACACGGAGGTCCCTGGTTCGACCCCAGGCTTCTTCAATACTTTTCACTCGCCTTTGCCTGATCCTACAGTACGAAGCCATTACGTAGACCTCAGAAGGACTCCTCTTCTCAAGGAGAGCGCAAAGAAGAAAAGAAGTCGACTGTCCCACCAGCGGGATATATTTGTAGAATTTGTAACGTTCCAGGGCACTGGATTCAAGAATGTCCTGAAAGAGCTCAGAAGAGGGATTAATCAGCAATATGAGCTCGTTGCCAACCGTTTTGGTAACGATATGTCAATTTTTGGGGATATCGAAAGTCGAGAAAGGGCCATTTTGTTTTTTAGTTGATACTGGTTCTGAGAAAAGTTTTGTTAAAAAAGGTCTTCTTGAGGGTTCTTCTATTAAATTCTGTCCAAGAAAACGTGCGTTATGCATCGGAAACGCGGCGGGTTCAACAATGTGTAGAGTAACGGAGAAAATTGATTGTGACATCCGAATTGAAGGCTTGGATAGTTCAGTTTGTTGTATTAATGTTGAAATAAACGTCTGGAATAATGATCTTTCATATGATGGGATTTTGGGGTTTGATGTTCTGAAATTTATTGATCTTAAACGTGTTCTGAATTCGAGGGTTCTGTATTTGAATAATATGCAAATAGTCGAAGATGATTTTGAGGAGTATCCGTGGGTTATTTTAGATAATCCAGACATGAGCAAAAGAGGAAAGTGCATTTTAGTGAGGGCAGATGTTTATGTTCCACCGCATGGCCACGCATGGGCCAGAATCAATCATCAATTAAAGAAAGTTTTTACTGACACAGATTTCGAGCTTCTTGAAAATGGAATTTACGCGAACTTGAATCGAGAACTTGACTCATCAAGGACATTAATTAAACTTGAAAATCACACGGGCATTGGGGTTCTTGTAAGCGAAAATTTTCCAATCTTAGAGATAGTTGAGCGGTATCAAATTAATTTCCTGAGGGAGATGGGGCAAATTGAAAATTTTGAGAGAGTTGTTCATGAAAAAGAAATCGAAATATGGCGCGAGCGGCGTAATCAATTAGTCAACGAGTCAGATATTTCAGCAGAAATTCTAGCAGCCGCAGAAGGAGCTCCTCAAGAGTATAAACCGGGGCTTATAGTTGTTCTCAATAAGCATAATTGGATTTATTCAAGAAATTCGAGTGATTGTGGATACAGTTGTAGTTTTGTTGCAGACCTTGTTATTGATGATGCAGGGGTTCCTACTTTTGCTAAACCGTATAATATTGACAATAGTCAATTACCAGCTGTAGAGGGAAAATTAACGGAGATGGAGACTGCTGGGATAAGAAGATTGGGAAATTCTGGATGGAACGCCCCTCTGCTAACTGTTCCAAAATCTGATGGGTCAATTAGAATCGTTCAAAATTATAGCGGGGCATCGAGGGGACAAAAATCGCTTAATGAGAGGTTAATTCTGCCGAAGTGGCCAATTCAGACAATAAGAACGATCCTTACCACTATTTCGAGATATATCACGGAGTTGAAATCTGATTTTCCAGGGGAACAAATATATTTTTCCAGCATCGATATTCGTAATGCTTTCTATACTCTCGCTTAAAGACAAGGAAAAAGGGAATATTCTTCTTTTATATTTAATGACAAGCAGTTTGAGTATCTAAAAATGTCGCAAGGTTTGGCGACATCGCCGTCGACGTTTACAGCTTTTATAAGTAAATTTTTCGCGAAAATTGAGGTCAAAGAGAAAAACTTTTTTCGGTTCATCTGTTATATGGATGATATCCTGGTTATAACCGTTGGGAAACATTTCAATAAAGCGATTGATAAGATTTTTACTTTGTTCCAACAAGAAAATGTGGTTGTTTCATTGAAAAAATGCAGCTTTTATAAAGCGGATACAAAATTTTTGGGCTTCTTGATCTCTGAGAAAGGTTATCGTGCGGACTTGAAAAAGATCGAGGGTATTTTGAATCTAAAATATCCGGAAACGTCGAAAGAGGCACAGAGGTGGCTAGGGACTGTAAATTATTTTAATCGTCTTATTCGAGGTGCTTCTGAGTTGCTTACTTCCTTCGCGAAAGAATCTGGCAAAGGGAAAAAGTATATGCTCACTGAACAGATTAAGGCGGACATTGATGAATTAAAAAGGCGAATCAAAGTAAATGGGGTGCAAATGATCCATTTAAAATATTATAACGGGACAGATGGGAACTATTGTTTCGTGGCAAGCGATTCCTCACTTTACGCTACTGGGGGAGCACTTGGAAATTGTCATTTATATGATAATGAAGTGAGCGATATTCAGTTCGCGGCATTTTGTAGTAGAAAGCTGGACGAGCAGGAGGTACTGCTCTCGGCCAGGTCCAGGGAACTTATTGCGCTATCGACCTGTTTGCAGTCGTTTTCAGATATATTAGCGAAAGATATGCCTTTACTGGCTATTGTGGATCACAAGTCTTTGACTGAAGTACTCAAAAATATAAACTTTAGAGGCGCCGGGCAAACGAGGGTTCGTAAGGCGTTTGCCGTGTTATTGGATTTTCCGAATCTTAGAATTTTACACTGTGCAGGGACATCGGAGGTTATCAACGTCGTCGATTTTATAAGCCGAAATAGCAATTTTATCATTGATGAAATAAATCCACGAATTTTCAGTCCGAAAAATTTAGAGCTTGAGCTTTCTTGTGTTAATAATTTGACAGAAATTGGAAAGGTCGTTCACGAGATCGACATTAAAAATCTCATAAGGGCGCAGAGGGAAGATTTTAAGGATATTTATGAGGAGTCAAACGGCGAGTTCCGAACGATTGGAGATAAGGAGTACGCTTTGCAAAATGATCTTTTATTTCAAAGGGTGAAATCGGGGGCGAATTTGCTAATGATCCCACCATCTCAAGCGAAAGAGGTCGTTCAATTTTTGCATGTGGGTTGCATGCATGCTTGTCGGCAGGAGATTTTAACAAAAGTGAGAATGTACAAGATTTTAATAAAAAATAAGCAGCGAATCATTGATGAAGTCCTTAGATATTGTACGTACTGCAAGATTCGCATGACAACTAAACATTCTTTTGAAAAGCAGCAGTATTTGAGGGAGCCTGCTTTAAAGTCACTTGAGAAAATCCATTTGGATGTCGTTGACATCAGAACGAATGAGGGAAAAAGCAATCTATTTATCTCTTTTGTAGACGAATTCAGCAGAAAACTTTTTATCAAGAAAGTCAGAAATAAAAGTGGAAGTTACTCGATTGTTATAAATGATAACGGCAAAGAATTTGTCAGCGCGGCGGTGCGGGAAGCACTTAAGGTTCTCAATATAAACAGGGCATTAATTCTTTGCCCTGTTTTGTTCATTGTTCTGAGAACAGCCAAATTTGAGGCTTTAATAAGCCAAATTTCAGTTTTCACCCGATTTTCAGAAAGCAAGCTGTTCATGTGAATGCTCCAAGAAGCCCGACCATTCGTAAGGCCGTTGACGATGCTGCCAGAGCCTCAGTCAAGAAAATTGAGTACAAGATTGACAAAGACCTCAACCATTACAAGTCGCTGACAGTCCGTGGCCACTATGTCTGCGTCAACAGATTTGCTGAGTCTGTTTTTGGAATCTTCAAGAAGGCTGAACTAGACAAGGCTTCAGCCACAACTGAAACAGTGATTGAGCTAACGATCGCAAGAAAGAACAACCTCGAATTCTACTTGGATAACTTGTCCGACTCCGAGATCAAATCACTTTGCCAGAAAATTGATGGAAAGAAAGCTTTTCAAAACTACCGTTTTGCAAGAATCGCCACTCAGCTCAAGCTACAAGAATTCGCCGCAAAACGCCGAGAATCGATTGCAAGGGAGAAATCTGGAAAACAACTGAAAAAAGAATTGAAGAAGGAAAACAAAACGCCTCTCAGGTCTTCGCTAACGAAAAGAAGAAAAATCGCCAAAGAACTCTGATTAATTGAATAATAACAGCTGTTTTTACTGCCTAAGACTGATCAAAATATACTATTTATTCTAATTTCCGCTCAGTAAATTGATTACGATTAGCGCGCGCTCGGTGTGAAACAGCGCTAAAAATAAATGCTTGTTCTGAGAGCTTCTCAGGGTTATTAAAGGCTTAAATGGTGAGCTCTTTCGAGAAAATATCACGAAGAAAAGGTTTGCTGGCAAGATAACTTTATTCAAACCATTTTTGGAATGAAAAAAATAAACTGAAAGGCTAGTATAAGGGGTACCATCCTCGAAAGTTTGAAGCGCTCTCACCATGTGAAGATATGTAAAAAATAAATACATATTTGGAATCAGCGAAAAAAACTGTACTTGATGATAAATTTTCACAGTTATCGGAGCACCTTGATTTTTCCGTGAAAGTCTCTAGCTATAATGAATCGCCCAAAAACGAGGTCAAAATTTTGAAACTTCGTTTTTCGCCCTAATTTAATTTGCAGCGTTTCCGCCGTCTTTTAAGCGTCATTTTGGTTGATTCTGAGCCTCTTAAAACCAACAGAAAAAATTCAAAAAATTAATTTTTCGATGGTCTTCTCTATCATGAATCGCCCAAAAACGAGGTCAAAATTTTGAAACTTCGTTTTTCGCCCTTATTTTATTTGAAGCGTTTCCGCCGTCTTCAAAGCGTCATTTTGGTCGATTCTGAGCCTCTCAAAACCAACAGAAAAAATTCAAAAAATATTTTTTCGATGGTCTTCGCTATCATGAATCGCCCAAAAACGAGGTCAAAATTTTGAAACTTCGTTTTTGCCCTTTTTTTAATTGCAGCGTTTCTGCCGTCTTTCGAGCGTCATTTTGGTTGATTCTGAGCCTCTTTAAACCAACAGAAAAAAATTCAAAAAAAAAAAAATTTTTTCGATGGTCTTCGCTATCATGAATCGCCCAAAAACGAGGTCGAAATTCTGAAACTTCGTTTTTCGCCCTTATTTTATTTGCAGCGTTTCCGCCGTCTTCAAAGCGTCATTTTGGTCGATTTTGAGCCTCTCAAAACCAACAGTAATACCACTAGGGAAACAGCTGCTCTACAACTACGTACTTCATCAGGAAAAAATAATTGAAGAGAAATATTTCAAACCCGTCGTAGTTCTAATTCACGGCAAAAATTTATTTTTATTCGAAATCTTATGTGATGATCTCACTCATAACTTATATTGTCCATAAAGAGTAAATCACAAAATATAGTTTTCAAGTTTTGTATTTTATTACATTTATGTGTTTGAGTTTCAGGCTAACATAAAGTTACTTAAATCTAAGAGGTTGCATCGTTTATAAAGGGCGCATTTTTACAGCAAAGTTTTTTCTTTGCTTGTTAGCATTTGTTCAAACAACAAACGTTTTTTGGCGTTTTCAGATGATTTTCAGGTCATAAAAATCAAAAAAAAAATCAAGAAAAATTCAGATGCGTTTTTTGGCGTTTTCAGATGATTTTTGGTCATAAACATCAAACAAAAATCAAGAAAAATTCTGATGCGTTTTTTGGCGTTTTCAGATGATTTTCAGGTCATGAAAATAAAGAAAAAATCAAGGAAAATTCTGATGCGTTTTTTGGCGTTTTCAGATGAAATTCAGGTCATAAAAATCAAAAAATAAAATCAAGAAAAATTCTGATGCGTTCTCTGACGTTTTCAGATGATTTTCAGGTCATAAAAATCAAAAAAAAAATCAAGAAAAATTCTGATGCGTTTTTTGGCGTTTTCAGATGATTTTGGTCATAAACATCAAACAAAAATCAACAAAAATTCTGATGCGTTTTTTGGCGTTTTCAGATGATTTTCAGGTCATGAAAATAAAGAAAAAATCAACAAAAATTCTGATGCGTATTTTGGCGTTTTCAGATGATTTTCAGGTCATGAAAATAAAGAAAAATCAAGAAAAATTCTGATGCGTTTTTGGCGTTTTCAGATGAAATTCAGGTCATAAAAATCGAAAAAATCAAGAAAAATTCTGATGCGTTTTTGGCGTTTTAAGATGATTTTCAATTCATAAATTTCAAAAAATCAAGAAAAATTCTGATGCGTTTTTGGCGTTTTCAGATGATTTTCAGGGCATAAAAATCATAGAAAAAAAATCAAGAAAAATTTTGAAGCGTTTTTTGGCGTTTTCAGATGAAATTCAGGTCATAAAAATCAAAAAATAAAATCAAGAAAAATTCTGATGCGTTCTCTGACGTTTTCAGATGATTTTCAGGTCATAAAAATCAAAAAAAAAAATCAAGAGAAATTCTGATGCGTTTTTTGGCGTTTTCAGATGATTTTCAGGTCATGAAAATAAAGAAAAAATCAACAAAAATTCTGATGCGTTTTTTGGCGTTTTAAGATGATTTTCAATTCATAAATTTCAAAAAAAATCAAGAAAAATTCTGATGCGTTTTTTGGCGTTTTCAGATGATTTTCAGGTCATAAAAATCATAGAAAAAAAATCAAGAAAAATTTTGAAGCGTTTTTTGGCGTTTTCAGATGAAATTCAGGTCATAAAAATCAAAAAATAAAATCAAGAAAAATTCTGATGCGTTCTCTGACGTTTTCAGATGATTTTCAGGTCATAAAAATCAAAAAAAAAAATCAAGAAAAATTCTGATGCGTTTTTTGGCGTTTTCAGATGATTTTGGTCATAAACATCAAACAAAAATCAACAAAAATTCTGATGCGTTTTTGGCGTTTTCAGATGATTTTCAGGTCATGAAAATAAAGAAAAATCAATAAAAATTCTGATGCGTTTTTGGCGTTTTCAGATGATTTTCAGGTCATGAAAATAAAGAAAAATCAAGAAAAATTCTGATGCGTTTTTTGGCGTTTTCAGATGAAATTCAGGTCATAAAAATAAAAAAAAATCAAGAAAAATTCTGATGCGTTTTTTGGCGTTTTAAGATGATTTTCAATTCATAAATTTCAAAAAAAATCAAGAAAAATTCTGATGCGTTTTTTGGCGTTTTCAGATGATTTTCAGGTCATAAAAATCAAAGAAAAAAAATCGAGAAAAATTTTGAAGCGTTTTTTGGCGTTTTCAGATGATTTTTAGGTCATAAAAATCAAAAAAAAAGAAAAGAAAAATTCTGATGCGTTTTTTGGCGTTTTCAGATGATTTTCAGGCCATAAAAATCAAAACAAAATCAAGAAAAATTCTGATGCGTTTTTTGGCGTTTTTAGATGATTTTCAGTTCATAAAAATCAAAAAAAATATCAAGAAATATTCTGATGCGTTTTTTGGCATTTTCCGATGATTTTCAGGTCATTAAAATCATAAAAAAAAATCAAGAAAAATTCTGATGCGTTTTTTGGCGTTTTCAGATGATATAAAGGTCATAAAAATCAAAAAAAAATAAAGGAAAATTCTGATGCGTTTTTTGGCGTTTTCAGATGATTTTCAGGTCATAAAAATCAAAAAAAAATCAAGAAAAATTCTGATGCGTTTTTTGGCGTTTTCAGATGATTTTTAGGTCATTTAAATCAAAAAAAAATCAAGGAAAATTCTGATGCGTTTTTTGGCGTTTTCAGATGATTTTCAGGTCATAAAAATAAAAAAAAAATCAAGAAAAATTCTGTTGCGTTTTTCGGCGTTTTCAGATGATTTTTAGTTCATGAAAATCAAAAAAAATCAAGAAAAATTCTGATGCGTTTTTTTTGCGTTTTCAGATGATTTTCAGGTGATAAAAAAAAAAATCAAAAAAAAATTTTATGCATTTTTTGGCGTTTTCAGATGATTATCAGGTCATAAAAATCAAAATAAAATCAAGGAAAATTCTGATGCGTTTTTGAGCATTTTCAGATGATTTTCAGGTCATAAAAATCAAAAAATAAAATCAAGAAAAATTCTGATGCGTTCTCTGACGTTTTCAGATGATTTTCAGGTCATAAAAATCAAAAAAAAAAAATCAAGAAAAATTCTGATGCGTTTTTTGGCGTTTTCAGATGATTTTTGGTCATAAACATCAAACAAAAATCAACAAAAATTCTGATGCGTTTTTTGGCGTTTTCAGATGACTTTCAGGTCATGAAAATAAAGAAAAAATCAAGAAAAATTCTGATGCGTTTTTTGGCGTTTTCAGATGAAATTCAGGTCATAAAAATCAAAAAAAATCAAGAAAAATTCTGATGCGTTTTTTGGCGTTTTAAGATGATTTTCAATTCATAAATTTCAAAAAAAAATCAAGAAAAATTCTGATGCGTTTTTTGGCGTTTTCAGATGATTTTTAGGTCATAAAAATCAAAAAAAAATCAAGAAAAATTCTGATGCGTTTTTTGGCGTTTTCTGATGATTTTCAGGCCATAAAAATCAAAACAAAATCAAGAAAAATTCTGATGCGTTTTTGGCATTTTCAGATGATTTTCAGGCCATAAAAATCATTAAATAATCAAGAAAAATTCTGATGCGTTTTTGGCGTTTTAAGATGATTTTCAATTCATAAATTTCAAAAAATCAAGAAAAATTCTGATGCGTTTTTGGCGTTTTCAGATGATTTTGGTCATAAACATCAAACAAAAATCAACAAAAATTCTGATGCGTTTTTGGCGTTTTCAGATGATTTTCAGTTCATTAAAACCAAAAAAACAAAAAAATTCTGATGCGTTTTTGGCGTTTTCAGATGATTTTCAGGCCATAAAAATCAAAAAATCAAGGAAAATTCTGATGCGTTTTTGGCGTTTTTAGATGATTTTCAGAACATAAAAATCAAAAAATCAAGAAAAATTCTGATGCGTTTTTGGCATTTTCAGATGATTTTCAGGCCATAAAAATCAAAAAAAAAAAAATCAAGAAAAATTCTGATGCGTTCTCTGACGTTTTTAGATGATTTTTAGGTCATAAAAATCAAAAAAAAAAATCAAGAAAAATTCTGATGCGTTTTTTGGCGTTTTCAGATGATTTTTGGTCATAAACATCAAACAAAAATCAACAAAAATTCTGATGCGTTTTTTGGCGTTTTCAGATGATTTTCAGGTCATGAAAAT